ATTTTTGCATGATATTGTGTATATTACTTCATATGGTGTCATATTTTCTTGTTTTGTGTTACATACCATCCAAACCTTTCTTTCATAAAAAAATTGATGGTTTGTTTCCGTTGCTAATTGAACACCAAAAGGATTTCCGTTATCTTCCTCAAATAACCAACATTCATTGTTGTTGTTAATTGCACAATTACAAACTCCCTCAACAAATAATCCATATTTTTCAAAATCAATCACTAAAAAACAATTCTGTAATGGATGGTCATTATTTTGTAGAGTATTACTTGTTGTTTTTTTCTTTAAAAGTTGTTTTTCTCTTATCATATCATTAAAAATGTCTCTGTTGAAGCATGAAGCACTTATCCCAATCTTGCCGACAAACTTCAACAATATTCTGGTGAGTTGAATTAAAACATGACTCAATCAATTCGTTCCCAATTTTTATTCTCTTTCACCTCTCACAAGGGATTTCTTTCGATGCCAAACAACACAATGAAAGCCATGATCGTGATGGTGTGTTTTTGAAATGATCTGCATTTCCAGAGTTTCCAAAGTGTATAAACATGTATTTATTTAAACTTTGGAACATAGAGCTGCTACTCCCCGTAAGGTCCACTTGCTCGGATCATCACTCGTCTTTAAATGTAAATCAAAAATGTAATTCCGATGAGTTCGGTCTGGATTCTTATAGACTGGACACACATACTCTTTGGGTCCCATATCACTGCCTTGCATGGATGAGATGGCTGAGAGATGAATAATTGGCAATTCGTGAACCAAACTCAACTCGGAAGATGGAACATCAGCTAATTGTTTGGCTTTTCGATCCCAAATCGCTCCTTCCAAGTACAAACCATAAACAAAGACTCCTTCAGCATCTTCGGGTGCATTGAAACTGTCTTTGAGAGCATCTTTGCTTGTAATTTCAGTCTTGAGAGAAACGGATTCGAGAGACCATCCTGCATGTTTGCGAGTGGATTCTTGCTTGACAGCTGTCAAAAATCCAGCAATGTTGAAAAAGCCAGAAATCCAGAATAGCTTGGGTTGACCTTTTTGTAACCAATTCATAAATTGTTCATGTCGTTTCTGTAAATGTTCAATCCAAACACCCAATTTATGGGATTCCCATGACACTTTTTGCCATGGCTGTGGAACTTTGGCGTCATAGAGAGAATCGAAAATGTTTTGAAGTTCTGCACTCATGACAATAGTTCCTGCAATGGCAAGTTTCAAATCTTGCAAATGTCTTCTCACAAGTTTTAACACAATTTTCATGCGATCAATTTCTTGTTTCAAGAAAATGACCATTGGATTATTTGCACCACCATTATCCTTTTTAGAATTTTCAATTTTCTTAAAGTATTTCTTAAGTTCCTTACTGTCGTATTCTTCGGGAATTTTCTCCAAATAACTTTTAACATCCTTCAAGACAATGTCTTCTCTGGTTTCTCCACTTCCTGCAGCAGATTCTTTTGGTTGAATACCTTGAATAGTACTCAAAACAAAGTTAGTCTTTTGTTCGTTGTGAACAATTTCTGCATTTTGATGCAATCCGAAAACTTCTGGTGGATCGAAGAATGGTAGAGTGTCATGAATGTACTTTCTATAGTCGTCAATTTTGGCCTTTTCTGGAATTTCATATACTTTCTGTTTTTCACGGTCACAATAAAATGTAAAGTCTTTCGAGAAGACGTGTTGTCCATAGAATTTGTTTCCATACTTGCTCAAGAGAACAGAGTCATAGGCATCAGTCACTCTTCCACCATATTGTACATCACAAATCATGTATCGAATAGTATTCCATTGGATCTTTTTGATATCATTTTCATTAAGGTAATTAATTAAGAAATGAAGAGAACACTCCAAATCAGATTGATTGAATTCGTAAGGAACACACCAACCAAGAGGGCCAAACTTCTTTCTTTCAATGAGTAACGAGTGAAGAAAACATGTGCTATAAATCAATTTACGATTTTCAGGAACTTCACCGAGAGCTTCTTGAGTGAGCCAATTGTAAGCTTTGGCTAAACCAGCTCTTATACCTGTAGGTGGCTCGTCTGTGACCTTGATGGACATTTGTAAGAGGTTGATAGGGAATAAAGGAGTTGGCTCGGTTGTAATCCAAACTCTGAATGATTTGTCACTGTAATCTTCCTTTGAGAGATCAAGTAGTGTCTTTTCTAGTATTTCGAGATAGTCAATTCCGAGGTGGCAGTTTTGTAGTAAAACCCAACCACCATTTGCGATGGCATTCTTGACCAATTCTTGAGCCTTTTCCTTTTGACCTTGACCCATTGAAACTCTATCTATGGGCATTTTCAAATGTTGTGCAAGTTTTTCGATAGATCCAGTCAAATCAGAACCTTGTGACAGTAAACAAACAATGGGTGTGATGGGAGACGATTCTTTCCATGTTTCTTCCAGATTTAAAGAAATTGAATCGACGAATTGTTGTCCGAGTGTGTCAATGATGTAGGATGAGCAAGCATTCATGGTTCTGTCCATACGAATACATCTTATGAGTAACAATCTATGGAAAGTACTGAGAGAGGAGAAGTCAGGAATTGGCTCATTTTCAGGACTTGCAGAAAAGTAGAATTTCTTCCAATGATCTTCGATATTTTCAATTTGGAGGTGAATGTTTCTAAATTCAGGAATATCCGCTTTGGTCAAGCTGAAAATATTGAGCCATGTTTTGTCTTCAATCCATGAAAATGGAATTTTGGGTGCATCACTCTTTTGAAGTGCGTTACCAGCTCGAATCAAACAGTTGAATTCTTTCATGGTAATTCCTTTTCCTTTGGACTTGGGTTTCTTCAGGTCAATCTTGAGAGCAAGAAGTAGTGCAAATACAATTCTGTGCTTTTCATACAGACCTCTCTGTACGTATTTGTAAATGAAGAAGGTGGCATAATTAATAATGTTGTCAATTCTCACCTTATTATTTCTGTCCTTTTCTGATTCATCGATGGCTTGTATGAAAAGTTTGATAAATTGACTGAGACTGACTTGATACATGCAATTGATAAGACTGAGTTCTGTAATCACAAAGTACATGATGCTTCCTCTGTTGGCGACAGGCCTAAACTCTTCTCTTGCCTCCTGAATACTTCTGTTTGTCTCCTCACTGATCATGAGTTTTTCTTTGATGGTTCTGTTCTTTTCTTTGGTTTTCGTGAGGATATCAATCAATTCACTATCATCCACCAAACTCTTTTCACGATTTTCACTGAGCTTTTCAAGCAATTCCTTTTCGCATTGCTCCATGATTTCGTTACATTCTTGGATGTCGTTGAGTAGGGAAGTTCTTTTATCTTCCAATTCGATCATTTCCTTGTTAATGACAATGGCCAATAATTGGTCTTCCAAACCAATGGCAGTGACAGTAAAATCAATGACTGAAACCTTTGCAAACATTTCTGGAGTGTATCTAGGATTTGGCAATTTGGTCGTAATGTACAATCTAAAGTTCTCATTGAAAGGTACCTCATTTTCTCCAATCTTAATCTTTGGTCGTTTACCTTTTTTAATGAGCTGCATATCGAGAACAGAGTCCAAAATTGGATCAAGTTCTTCTCCAATATCTTCAATGAGGAGTGGTCGACCAGTGGCAACGCATTTTTCTAACTCTTCCTTCAGATTGTCTGCAGAAAGGGTTGTGATAACAAGATCATTCACTTCCTTGTGTTTAATCCATTCTTTACCCTGACCCTGAGGATCAATCAATAAAGGATATCTTGTACCTGTTGTGACAATGATAGCATTTTGAGTGGAATAGTCATCGTTTGGCAATCCCTGTAATCTCCATTCACCGATTGTGGTTGGATGTGCGATGAAATCAATGACATTCACTTTTTCAGAAAATGGAATTCCTCTGTTTCTAAATTCAGCAAAGCATAACTGTTCAACGATGGTACTTCTGAATTCTTGGTTGAAAGGACCTGAGTAAGTCAAAAATGCTGAAGCTAGGGCAATATCTCCAATTAAATTATGAATATCCAGTTGGAATTGTTTTTGATCCTTTCTCCATCTTTCTTCTTCAGATGACAAGCCATGAATTAATGCTTCAGCAGCTTCCATTCTTTTTCTGGTTTGTAGTGCATCATCTTCCAATTGTTTCTTGTGATTGAGGGCTTCTTCGAGTTGTCGATTGAGTTCTCTGAGCTCTTTTTGCTTTTCCTCGTATTCATCAACCATTTCCTTTAATTGGGCTTGAGCTATTTGCAGCTTGGTCTCTGCTTCTTCGACTTTTCTTCTCTTTGGATCGACCACTTTGGCAATGTTGTGATAATTGACCATGGATTGTACCCATTCCCAAAGACTAGCAGCAGCTTCAGAGGAGTTCAAGACATTCTCAACGGTTAAAGTTGGATCATCCATATATGGTGCAACTAATTCCACTTGCTCGTCGCTGATTGAGTCTTTGTCAAATTTCAACAAACTTTGCATAAAGTTGATATTGTTCATCATTTCTTTGGCATATCTCCAGGATGGTTTCAAAATCTTTCTTGGGTTCTTTGGATCTGTGGAGCGTTCTTCAATTTCAGTCTTATCAATTGGAAGACCTCTGAAGATGAGAATGGTGTCCATGACTCTCATGATTGGTTCTGGAGGTGTCTGATACTTTTTAATCTTACTCAAAGAGGCGCTGGTAATTTTATCCAAAGCTCTTTCTGCAGCTTGGAGATGAGGTTCAGCATTCTTGAGATCATGAGTGACTTCATCTCTTTCCTTTTGGACAATTTTCACTTCTTTTTCTTGCTTTTCTTTTCTCTTTTGAATTTCTTTACCTTGCTCTTCTGCAGCCTTTGTTTCTTTTTGTACTTTATCGACCAACACTTGAGCACTTGCTTGTGCAATTTGTAGCTCTCTTTCTTTTTGTTCTAACTCTTTTCCTTTCTCTCGTACATCTTCTTTTGCTTGTTGTAGCTTTTCGAGACCTTTCGAAATGTTATTGCTCTTCTTTTCGATTTCTTGTAATTTTTCAACATAAATCTTCCTATAAATGTTTAGAAAAGAAAGATAGGTCTTTGGAGTGACATAGGTATTTCTTCTATACTTATTCAAATACTCTACGGTAAGCTCATTCACACTGTAGTGCAAATCTTTCATGAATAGAACCAGACTGTTCTTAATGTTATCAGTTGTCGATAATTCGAAATTACCAATAAATTTGTCAGCCGTTGCCTTGAGAGCTTCTTTTGGCCAAGGATCAAACCAATCAATGGTACAGCCACTGATAATTCCAGGGAATTTTCTTGATCGATTTCTGAATTGATCTCCAATTGGAGAGAAGCATAGAACCATATGTAAATTATCTCTTGCTCGATCAATGAAAAAGTTAAACAAATTTTCTGGAGTTGCCATAAACGATGGATCACTTTTGATGGCAATGGGTCGCAGCTCTCCAATCATCATTTCTCGTTCTTCTTTTGTGAAAAGACCTGGAATGTCTCCCGATGTAAGCATCATGTTGATATACTCTAAAAATTGTTCGTCCTTAATATCATTATCGGTAAATATGAAAGTAACTGGAGATTCCAACACTGCAATTTTGTACAGCTTTTTCAAGTCATCAAGCAGAGCCTGTACATGATAGTTCTTTGTGACTTGAATTTTAAAGGTTTTATATCCAGCAATGTAGGATGCTAACTTGGTGAGTGATTGTTTTCCACTTCCTCCTACTCCTACTAACAATGCATTTCCTCTTTCACTTCGAATAATTCTCGAAATTCTTGTAATGTGTAAAATTGCAAAATCAAAAAGTACAATATCCAAAGGTTCTTTCTTATGTTTTTCATTGTACTTGTTGAGTAACTCATCCAATCGATTATAGAGAAGTGCATAGTCATCGACAGGTTCGTAAATTTTTGGATCATCTTCTGGTGGAGGAGCCTCATAGTCCATGTCATCCATGCTCACCACATTCTCGTCATGAGTTTCAGCTTTTCTCAAAAAGTCAACAAAGAGCTTTGATTTTACAGCTCGCGCAATGTCTTCGCCGTAGTGTTCCTTTAAGAGTCCCTTAGATGTGTTTTGGAACCATTCACGATCTGCGTCTTCAATGAATTTATCATGCAATACACGATCTGATTCGTGGCGCCACAAATGTAGCAAATCCAAATGATTTTGAATAATTTCACTCTTACCGAGTAACAATCCTTGGAAAATTCTGCTCAAATCTCTCAAGTTAAATACATAGTGGAATTTGTTAGGTGTTGGAAGCATCTTCTCTTTGGTTTGCATCCATAACTTTCTTGTGAGCTCTGGCAAGGTAGAAGCACATTGAATGACTTCTTCAGAGAATCCTCTTGCTTTACAATAGTGACCCTCAATAATGGTTGTAAAGATGTGATCAATTGATTTTGTAGAAGGAACAGTTAAATTGAAAATAGCAAAATGTCTCTTCAATCTATCTGGAATATCATTCTTACCAAGGCCAGGTTGATTCATAGCAGCCAAAAATTGGACATCCACAATCTTTAACCATTGATTATTAGAGTCGAGAGAATAGAATCCACCATCCTCAATAACTTGTCTGACAATTTCATTTGTGATTTGATCTCCCCATTCATTGATTTCAGGCATGTTAATATCATCAATGAAAATAAACATTTTTCTTCCGAGAGGAGGTCCAAACACCTTATTACTTAATCGTTTTTCGAGAGAGGTAAAGATTGAATTCTGCACAATACCAGGTGTAGTGGCACTCGAGAAGGAGATTAACTTATTCTTGAACTTGTTCTTGTCTAATTCATTGAGATACTTTTTGATGGTGACTGTTTTAGCAGTACCACTGGTACCAATAAGAAGGACAGAATGCTCTTGCTTGGCCATCAATTGAATCAAAAAGTCGGTTCTTACATTGTCTACTGTAGGAATTAAAATGCTATTGAATAGTGGCTCATAGTCGGTTGGATATTTCCAATGTGGGACATTGAACTTCCAGTTTCTCCAATCTCCATTCTCATCTATAGTGAACTCATAGATTGTGTCTCCCGAGTCAAGAGAAGGAATTGACAATTTACATTCTTTTTCGAGGAATGTATGAAGCTTAATACGATCTGGACTCTCCAACGTGCCACCAATACCCCATATCACAGCGAAAATAAAGAGCTTTTCAATCATTGAATCAGAAAAGGTTTTTCGTGTAAAGTTTGTGAACATTCCATCCAATATTTTCAATGTGGTAGCAACAATGTTTGCATTTCCAATAAGCATTGATGGAGAACATTCATTCTCAATGAAGGTGAGAATATCCGTGACATGCTTGGTAAAAAGATTTGTGAGCTTTTCAATCTCATTGTTTGGACGCTTGTTGTGCTTCTTAATCCAAGAGAGGAACACAGGTTCCCATCCAAGAATAGTAGAACCAATATAAACCATACCCATTCTTGAAACGGTTGCAGGAGAGGCATTGTCCAAGCTACCAACTTCAAATACCAATTTCAAAGTTTTTGGCATATTCAATCGATCACCATTGGCAAGCGTCAATGATTTGGTATCGTCCAGAACGGTATTCAAGTTTTCAATCCAAATGGTATCTACAGGCCCATCCAATAGAATCCAAGAATATTCCTTCTTCTTGTCGGCAGTTTCTCTCCACAGAGATGTAAATATGCCATCGGTCCAATCGTTTGTTCCTTTATCGAGAGTACCAAACATTTGTTCGGAAGTAATTGATTTTGGATTCATCTTCTTAATTTTCGTTTGAATGCCAATTTTTCCAAGAGCTTCACAGAGCACATGGATGGCAGCACTCTTACCTGAACCACTGGGACCCATGCAACACAGACCATGACGCACCTTGTATTGTTCGTAGAGTTGTAAAACTTTCAATTTCCAAGGTCCATGGTTAACAAGTCCATGCTTTTCAATGACGGAATCTATGGCCTCGCTCATGGCAGCATCTGGGGCATCGTTGCATGTTTCATTGGGGAACAAGTCTTTCAATAATTCTTTGAATAAGGTTGAGTCTTCATCCACAAGTTTGGAATTGTTCATATCTTGTAGAACTCTCATGAGTACTTTTGTTTCATCTTTTTTAATTTCATTACCACCCTTTTCTCCAGAGTTTTCAGATCGAAGGGAAACTCCACATGTTCGAAGGACAGACAAGATGTTTCTCAACCCAAAGTCATAGTGATTTTGGTTGGACAATTGTTGCTCACAAAGTTTGTACAACATGTCAAATTTCTTTGAGAGAGGTTGATTTTCCAAGAACCCTGAAGCAGCCAATCGTACTTTCATAATAATTCTTCTGTCAGGTTGAACGACTGCAATAGTTCTAAACAATGCTTTCATGTTTTCTGGTAGTTCAGTACGTCCAGCATAGCCAGGATTGAATGTGATAAAGCAAGCACATGTTGGATCGAGAACAAGTTCAGATCCATCCGTGAAGGTAAATTTTGAGGCTCTGTTTCTCATGGCATCGAAAATGCATGCAACCTGAGCAGCCACAACACTCAACACTTCAAGCTTCACTCTGTTAATTTCATCAAAACCACACCAGGCTCCACTTTGAGCAATACCTTTAAAAGTTGTACCCATGGAGTGCACAGAACCTTGATCTGAACAATTGATCGTAATGAAATATTTGCCCATTGTTCTTCCCATATCTTTGGTAGTTTCTGTTTTTCCAGTACCTGCTGGACCAGCTGGTGCTCCACCCAAAAACATGCCCATCGCTTGTGCACATGAAATATAAATTCTGTCTGTTAATTGAGTAATGACAAGTCTTTCTGTACATCCAAGATATTCATTGCAATATTCAAAGTCAACATCTGTGATTGAAATGACACACTTGTCTTGCTCTGCTTTCCAGTAGAACCTAGTTCTTTTTGTCCACTCAAATTCATTCACATTTTTAATCTTCTTCTTGAATAACTCTTGGAATATTTCTACTTGATGGATATGAATGGTGATGAGAGTTTCTAGTCTGGTTCTTTGAAGAGCTGTTAGTTTTGGATTGGTTGTGAGGGTGACCAAATGATTGAAGATGGTCTCAAACTTCTTTTTAGCATTCGTCATTGATGACCTGTCTCGTGAATTTCGAATGGCCATCTCGCTGTCCCAAGTCCACAACAATTGGAGACCTAACAGAGCAAGCTGAGAACAAGGAATGTCACCAATAAATTTGGTCAATTTGTCTCTACCGTAAGAGTTATTTTCAACCACAGCCAAATCTGAAAGAAGGGTTGAGCTCATATTTCTTGCCAATTCATGAACTGTTTCCTGCATGGCTGAAACCAGCCTGTTGAGCCAAACTTCAATGTTATCTTCGCAGATAACAGGTTCTACGAGTGGAACATATTCGCCTTCGTATGATTTCATGGCAATAATGTGATTCTTTTGTCTCGAGTCAAATTCCACTTCTGCAATGTTAGAGAATATGCTGAGTAAATGTTTCTGAATGGAAGACGGATCGCTTCCTTGTCCAAGAATTTCTAAAATTTGCTTATCTGACAAGAAATAAAACCTTGGAAATAACATTCTCTTCTTTTCCAAATATCCAGAAAGGTCTCGTTGACATTTTTCAAGAAGTGTTTTCAAGTGAGGCAACAAATCTCTGAGCATTTCATCATGATAACAGAGCTTAATAACATTGGGTTCTGATTCGGCTGTTGACATGATTTTCACCCAGGACTTGTCCACATTTTGGAATCTTTTGAATACATGTGGTAGTTCTCTACCAATGTCTCCTCCGGTGAAAACATAAAACATGTAAATCCACAGCGACTGGATCTGTAACCAATCATCAACAACACTTTGAGTCACAGATAATTTGACCATCCATTGTTGAATTTCCGGCTTGAATGGTTCATTGTAGAGATCGCCTAATAAGGTCGAAAGAGCAAGCTGGGTGTCTTCAATACTTTGCATTAAATCTTGTGTATCTTTGAGAACAAGCTTTCCTCGATTCTTAAAATCTCCAAGCACAAACTTTTTCAACTTCCATTCTTCTTTGATTTCCTCCAGCTTTTTCTCTACATTCAATTCTCTGTTGGCTGCATTTACAATTTCTTCAATATCATCTTTGTGGTCCACCAACTTGGCTTCAATGATATCTCTAATTTTAAACTCTGGATTTTTGTAGTCTAGAGATCTCTTGCACAAGTCAGAAATTTGCTTCCAATGGCGTTGTGTGACACATGGTTGATTTAGTTTTTCCAATAAGGGCAAAGTGTTCAAGAAATTCTCGATCGTGTCTTTCAATTCAATGTATGCATCCCATTTTCTAAGCGCTGGGTGCATATTCTTGCATCTGGTATTGAAATTGTTCAATACAGTGGACATTTCTTCAATGTCAATTTCATTCCATGTAACATCTTCAAAGCTATTCACTGTGACAATAACCTCCGTATATAGATCATACAATCCAGAGAGCCAATCCAATTCTTTGCTAATTTTAACCAAGTCAGGATATTCAGTTTCTTTCATTTTGAATAGGCGCTCTCCCATCGAGTATGTTTTCCACTTTCTCACCTTTTCATCGAAGGCACTCTTGAATGATGTTAGTCTCGCTTTAGCAACTCTAGGATTGATTCCTTTTTCCATAGGACCTTGTTCGTCGTAAAGCTTTTTAAACTCTGCGACTTCAATCTTGAATGCTTTAACTTTTTGTTCGAGGTCTCTCCTAAAACCAGGTCCAATTTTTTGGAATTTTGACATGACGTCTCTGGAAAGAGCAATAAGTGCCTTCCATTTGAATTCCAAGCCGTTATCTTCAACTTGTTCCAATTCTTCCTTTGAAATCTTAATATTGTACAGTTTCAAAATTTCATATGCTTCGTTGATTGGTTTAATGGCCAAGTCGAATGTACTTTCTCTTTCACGAAGCTCATTTAAAACATTCATGACATTATTAATTCCTTCAATATCAGAGACATCTCTCTTTAAGTTATTTGTAGTTTCCTCAATATAGGTTAACAGGCTTTCCATTTCAGCTTTTGCTTTCAAATTCAATGCTTGGCCATACGAGAATTTCCACTGTGATGCCTCAACTGTGAGAGCTGTCTTGATAGGTTTCAAATCAACCAATAAAGATCCCTCTTGGTGGTATTGTTCCAAGTCTTGAAGCTCCTTCTCGAGATCTGAAAAGTATTTGATTTTCTTTTCAAAGTCCTCAAGTGAAGGTGGAACTTTCTTTTCGTCCTCGAAAGCACCAGATGTTGTTCCTTCAACAAATGAAGATATCGATTCAGATCGATCTTGCTTCCATAAAAAGTCGTATTGCTGAAATTTTGCAATGAATACGTTGAGCTTGCTAGAAAGCCCGGCAATGGCTCCCGTGAGTTGCAAAAAACCTTTGATAGTTGTCTTGTCTTCTCCTATTTGAGAAAATATATTCTTTCTTTCTTTCGATTTGTCTTGGTTCCACTTGTGAATGTGTTGAGTCGACTCCAACATAATTCTTGCACACTTGTTGACACACTTTTGAATCTCTTCGAGACTTGGCTGTAACACAATGTTTGGAATGGACAGTGCAAGCTGTACATTGAAAACAGGTTTGGAATTGGATCTCTTATCCTGGCTAATTTTGTCTTTCAAATGCTTTACAGAGCTTCGTAAACAATTGGAAACAGCCTCAAGCATTCGTTCTTCGAAATAGATTTTAAATGTTCGACAATCCTTTGAAACCTGAGATTTTTCTTCATCTATATATCGGAACGTGATGATAGAAATCAGATCCGAGGCTGCTGATTCAATTTCTTGATTCTTGATATCGATGTCCAAAGCCATTTGCTTGGAAAATTTCTCATTGTCCAATAAAAATTGTTGAATTGATCGCACCTCATTGGTGAATGATATCAAATAGGTTTTTGTAATGGAATCAATATTCGATTTGATTCTGAAAGTAAGAATGTCATTGGCTTTTTCCAGAGTTTCTTCCATTGATTTGATAAATTTCATAACATCCTCAATGTAGCTATCCACTCTAACAGAGAGCCATGTGATTGTTGTTTTTCCGAGTCGTATCTTTTCATCTAGAGTCTTGATCATGGGCCTTAATATTCCCTTGTAGAGCTCATCTTGCATTCCCATCACACGATAATACTCTTTTACCATGAATTTGAGTCCTTCTTCCAAGTAGAGCAATCTCTCTTGTTGGTTAAATATAATGATAGCTGATTCAGGTAAATCTAATCCCATGAGTTGAAGATATTTCACCTCTTTCATTAACATTTTCAAATCACTATCAAAATTGACATATAATTGATTCCCCTGTTCAACAAGAACCGTAGCCAATAGTCCCTCTCGAGCAGTCTCCAGAGCATCATAAAATTTTTCCATCCACAACGACTCAAATCCAATTAAGGCTCTTCCAATTTTGTTGTACAACTTGATTGTTTTTTTGGATTCTTTTAAATCGAGAATGGCAGGAGTTTTTTTGAAAAGCTCCATAGGTTCCTCAAGCCTTCGCATCAATTGTCTCGACCACGCTATATTACCTGCGATTGGTGGTGCATTTCTTGGTAGTGTTGGTCTTTTACTTTTCTCTTCATAAATATTTTTTATCATCTCCACATCTTTACTATAGTTGTTGAAAATGGCTCTGTATTTCTCTTCCAGTATTCGTTGTAAATTTTCTTGCTTGAGAACCTTTTTGAATTGTTCCAATAGCTCTAATGAGTGGCGTGTGGTTCTTGCTTCAGAAAAACTGTTGTTAATGAAGGTCATTAATTCCATCTCCAGCTTGGTAATATCATTGTTAAACTCTACATAATCATTATCAAAAATCTATTGCGTGTGATTGGTGGTGACGCTATTAAACTACGTAGTCAACTTACAGTTTTTCGGTAATCTAAAAAGTCATATTTCTTTCTCTTCAATACAGTGATGATCTTGTTGAATTGCTTCAAAATTGGTTCCAGTCCTTCAATCGTACTCTTTTGTAGATAGGAAAATTGATTAAATGTTGTGAATAAATCAATGAGCTTTTGTATCCTCCAACAAAATTGATCGAATTTCCCAAAAATTGCGCTTTCGCTAAAATCGAATTGCTTTCCGAAGGGATTGAGTTGTAGTTCGCTCTTTGTTTTCCTATAATAATGTTGATAGGCCTCGTTCAAATCGATACAAGCTTTGAATTTTTCAATTAATTTTTCCGTGTCCTGTTCCCACAGACGACCATCTTTCATCAAATACTTTTTGGAGCAAATAATCATTTGATTGGTAATTTTAACGAACAAGGCTGTCATTCTCTCTGAAGTGTTGTAATATCGGGCAATACTAATGAATTATTACATTTGATGATCATTGATCGATGAAATGAATTTAAAAATCATTGATCCAGTCACAATGATGAAACGAATTCAAAAATGGATTAACGGAAATGTCACATTTTTTTGGCGCTTTCAACTTACCTTTGCATCATCTTTATGGCATTGATGAGAGCTGGCAAAGTATTAATCATTTGGACTGGATCACTTTTGTATAATGGTTCACTAAACTTCTCTAATATATACAAGTATTTTACATTGTCTTTTGCTTCGTTAGCTGCATCTGTTATTCTCATGTCAATATTTTTCCATCCGGCAAGAATGGGCGATTTTTTTGCTTTAAGAACGCTTAGAACAGTTTTGCAAACTTTTCCTCTCAGTTGGTCTGTAATGCTGTTAAATTTCGCCATTCTTGATTTCCAATAGTCGAGCTCTGCTGCTGGCCCACTCTCGTCGTCCTCCTCTCTCACCGCGGTCACCTCGTTGAGGAGCGCATCAATGTCTCCCATCCACGTCGAAACTGCTTCCTCAAAGGAAGAAATGACGTCCGTCCTATTTAAAGCAGTTTTCAAGAAGGATTTTGGTTTTGATTCAATGGAAGAAAATTTCTTTGGTGGTTCCAATCGTATGGAGGATTCAAGGGCGATTTTTGCTTCGCTCACATTTTGTACAAAGTTTTCAACATTTTCCAAAAATTCAATAATTTCTTCTTTCTTTTCACTAGATTGTGACAACTCTCCCCAGTCTGTTTGTTTCCTTAGTTGAGGAACATATAAATTTTCAAGTCGATCTTTGAGTTCCCTCATGAGTCCTTTGCTTCCGGATATTACTCCCATTGCAAGGTCCTCGATATTATTCATTGTAATGATGGTCGTGATTTCTTCTTTCACAAAATAAATACAAATAGCATTATTGATGAGAGGGTGTGCATTAAAGTCTGTTGAGACGAGGAATACTGGGCCGTCGGAGGAGCTTCTGGGCGATTTCAACGATGCCACTGTACTCTCAGTGTCCGCCGTTCCAAACGATATGACTGTTTGAGCTTTTGAGTATGTATTCGCAGAACTTGCAGTCAAGGTTTCATCAAAATCGGAAAAGTCATTCACACCTTGACTGAAGAAGAACCAAAGCAAACACTTGGAATTACCAACTCCATCCAGGAAAGATCCAATTAATTCGGCATTTTCATTCGTTCTTCCAACACTTGCTATCGTTTCCTTATCCATATGAAACGCATCTGCAATTTTCTCAAACAACCACTCCGAACGCTTGTCGTTATACCCTGATGACATTTTTTTTGAATGGTTGTACTTTGATTGCGCGGTTTTTTTTTATCAACAACGCAATCCTTTGAGCTCCATACACTCCATACAACAACAACCACAAGGAAAGTTCGACCATGTCATTCAACATATCTCGATCATACATCCCATGATGAAAGCGATAAATAAACAACAGTGAGTGTGATTCACTCCACAAAAAACAACTTGTATTTACTTGGGCACACTACACCTTGTGTTGATGGATCAACACTTCAGCATTCAACAAGATCATTTCATCACCCAACTTGTAATCACCATTCAACTTTTTAAAATCTAACAAGTGGGTGGGTGTATACGATAGCAAATCATGGGGTTGATCACTCACATTAATGAGTCTCAACTGCTTGAACATGAGTAACACAAAAACACACGAAAAGACATTCGAGACATCAAATCGAACACGTGGAATAAAAGTACCGTCAATATTTTCAAAGAGTTCTCGAATTCGCTTGTTCATGAGACACTCATTGGTTGGTTCTAATTGAAGAGAAACATACACTCGTTTCTCTTGCATTCTCATGGATACATTGGTTCCTTCACTTTCTAATTTTCGAACTGCTACTCGAATGAATGGAACACTTGCCAAGTAGGAATGTAGACTCTGTGGATGAGTTTCCGTAGGGTGTGTGGTGATGGTGATCCAATTTATTGAATCATTCAATACTAGTATTAAAATTATACTTACCTGCACTCGACCTTCCAATACTTTACAATTTGGAATTTTTGCTTCATCCTGACTCAAATAATAAGGCGCAATGTCATAGACAAAGAATTGACCCTGAATACGAATAATCACTCCAACTCGAGAGTAGGTGGAACCATTCCAGACTCGACGAACGGCACGACCTACAGTAGATTCTTCTTGTGTGAAAATCAAGTCACCACTTCTTAGAGTGGAAATGAGTGAATCATTCCAATTGAGAGAGAGTCGATTTCTGACAATTTTGTCACAAATTGGAGAATCAGTGACTTTGAGAGGGAGTGTCTTGTTTTCAACCCGTAATTGATCAGCAAATACTTCATAATCCAAATAAATATACATTGGATCTTCCAGACCCATGACTAATTGCTTATTAAAAGGTAATTTGTAGGAAGAGTCTTCTGAAAAGTGAAAGGGTGTGAATTTAGAAATGATATTCATATTCTCCATTTTGAAAATTCCCAACTTTTCATAAATGAGAGCCGTAAAATTGGCACTGATCAATAGTTGTCGATCTTCAGGAGGTGACGCAAAGATTAGACCATTCTCAAACAAACTCTCTCTAAAAAAGTTATTGAAATAATGTGGATGTATGGAAAATGTAAATTCACTTTCCAAAATATTTGCGAGATCATGTTGAGGATCTTTTCGTTCCAAATCTCTATCAAAGAGTAAATCTGTGAGTTGAGTGTGAATCAACTCGGATCCCTTTTTACCATTTAAATATTTCAATTTTCTCACTGCTACTAAATCATAGTATCCAGAATATAATTTTGAAGTCAATCGTAGCATACTTGCTCTCACTTTGACTCTGTAATTGGATGACATGGAAGATCCTTTTGTTAAATCATTTGTACTTGTGCTCGATTTGGAAGCAATTGAATTGGAAGCAACAATTGAAGATAAATCCAAGAATTGTTCATAATCGACTTGAGGTTCTAAAATATAGACGTGTTCTGCACTGAGTGCTTTTCCTTGATTCAACAAGGATTCATTGGACTCACTCGAGTGGTAATTGGATTTGTCTGATTTTGGAATTTTTACAACAATCCCGACATGACAATATTTGCTGTTGGTGTGAAATCGGAAGAGACGACCTGGCGTTGAGCGAGTACTAAATAGAACAATGTCACCAGTATTGAGATTTTGTTCAATCTCATAGAGCATGTACCAAGGTTTAAGTCCTAGATCACTCCGATCGACTGTGAATAATTATTTTCATTTTGGAATTATTATAATTGTTTGGAAATTTCATCAATTGAATGATTCAATGCAAAGGATCATCATTGTAAACACGCGACACAAGTTTGCATCCAATGGGTTGCACACATAATATATTTGTCCATTTTAATGAGTACTTACCACTTCCGCCAACGTTGTTGCCCATGATGATGATTGCGGGAAGGAAGAAATGGTGGTATTGTTTTCGGTTGCTGATTAAGTTCTGTCAAGTGTCATTTATTGAAATGTTTTTCCTTTTTGCTTGAATTGGAAGGCACCCATGAGAGTTCATCTGTAGAACAACTTGTTAGAAGAACATTTGTTGAGTTATTATTGACTGTTCATACATTCACAAAGTCCTCACTTTTTCTCCTCGAGAACTATTTCTTCATTCAAGTGAATAGACATGACCACTTGTTTTTGTTTCTTATTAATATTATTCTTCTCCTCTTCAAGTCGCTTCTTGAGAGCATATAATTCCACAAGTTCATCATCCTTCTTGGACAACTCTGTAATATACTTCATTTGTTGTTGATTGTTACTCTTCACGACTTCGATATTACTTCGAATACGTTGTTGATCGTCTTTCACTTCTCGAATTTCTGACTCGGTGAGATAAATTCGACTCATGATCGCATCTGCTTCTCTTCTCAACTCGATAGAGTCTTGCAATGCTTTCAATACGGATAAATCTTGGATGTATTTGGCATGTTTTTGCAAGACCTCTGATGAGATGGAATTAATATCAATGGTGTCGACTTTGATGGCTTTTTCTGTGACAGAAAACTTTTTCTTCTCATTCGGCAACAACTCTCCACTGAAACGATAATATCGATCCGTAATATCACATGGCTCAGCATTGACAAATCCTTCAGCACTCTCCAAATCCCATCCATCGACAAACATGTGATCCACATAAACTTCTTCATACTTGTGATGACTCTTATTATTGAAATCATAGGTTGTTGTTTGTTTCTTGTACTTGTACAATGAAATGGTACCATTCTTAATCATAATTTGATGGTATTCTGTTTGACTGATATTGAAATCTTTTGTCACCTCAATGGCCAATTGAAGAGAGATGGGTAACAAGGTTTCATCTTGATTCCACATTTGACTCAAAACCGATTCTCCCACAACATTATCATTCTCATCTCTGAATGTAATGTTACCAGGTTCCAAGACATATCCTGTAGTGTTCTGAAAGATGACAGCATTCAATGGATTTCCAGTCTTGATACTTTCATTAAAGAGCAACACTTTCTTCACATCCACCTCCTTCTTGAGGAAAGAAATCATGGCCTGTTGTTTGCGTTTCACAGTAATTGGATATTCAATTTCAAAGAACGACAAATTAGAAGAGTCAGCCATACGAAGCGACTGAGATGACCCTAATAATGTGGAATTTTCAGTGATACTCTCACTCGACTCTTCCGTTGTACTATCCTCTTTCAAATGAATTCGACTCTCGTTTTGAATGTTGTAATCACTCATCATTCTTCCTTCTTCCAATTGTTTACCAGCAAAGAATAACTTGATTCGCTTGTAAGAAATGTTTTGAGAGTTTTGAATACGTCTTTTCACTTCATCAACAAGAGTGGAAGGATTCACTTGCATGGAGAATGAATTTCCTGATTTGACATACACGATGGAAATATTCATACCTCCACTTTGAGCAGAGGATGATGAATTCAAACTCGAGTTGGCCACAGGTGGAGCACCAGTGACCAGTACGAGTTGAACATTCGAGTAGTCCTCTTCTTGATCGTTCTTAATAATGGCTAAGCAATCCAAAAGACCCTTTGCCTGACTCTGACCATTCTTATTGTTCTCTTCACCTTCCCTACTATTGCCATCACTATCACTGGTTTGAAATTTAAATCGATACGTTGGTGCCCAAGGTTGAGACATTTCATCATAATTGGCTTGAACCATGTACTCATTCTCTCCCTTAGTGAAAACAGTCAAATTGAAAAGATCCTTATTTCTCTGACTAATGTACGACTCCAAACTGTGTTGAACATCGGCTTGAATGTTCGGATCGTTGAATTTGACTCCTGCCACATTGGACAAGATGAAATTCTGAATGGTGCAATTCTTGGTAAAGAGAGCCACTGAGGGAACACTCACTTTGGTGAGAGGATCCATCATGTCCTCCACTCCCAACAAGACACCAGAGACATCTGAACTACCTCCATGGAAAGATAACGTTACAGATGCTCCTTTCAGTTCTTTCAACATTCCAGTCAAGGGAGCATGCTCTGGAATGGAAATGTTGAGCTTATCTGTCTCTTCAACTGTGTTTTGATAAGAGACACTTGAAACGCTACTACTACCAGAACTCGAAGAGTCGGAAGCACCCCGAGTGGAGAAGCAGACGGATTTTGTAACATCTTGATAATTTGAATTTTTAAAGAAGAGAGTCATTTCTTGATCTCCTTTCATGGGATCAGTCGTTCTTCTCTCAAAGGAACATAATCCATTATTGTAGAGGACAATTTTGTGAAGTGGAATTTGAGACATTTTTTATGTTGTCAAGAGAGAAACTGTGTTGCATGATGATGAACTTTTTATATTTTTTCCAATAAAACTTGTTGTAAAGTGTTCATGCTTAAGGTTCATACATGTTAAGGAAAGGAGTGCACCCACTATTACCATTCCTTCGGGAGTTGGCTTGACTTAAACGTAGTTGCAAGGAAAATGATGAATTGATTCCGAGAAGAAAATACAAAATCAACATTGCGAGAATGAATCATGGACCAACCAGAAAGAGGCTTAAAGTTCGCTTTTAAAAAATGTCATCTTCAAACACCACCACAACAACATCCACACCATCATCGGATCAATCCAAAACTGAAATTGAATTTGAAGTGGTTCAGACTGGAATTTATGGACAAAAGGATTTCAGAGATGCAATATTGTTGCAATCGTAAGTGTTGATGATGGTGTGTCAGGTAAATGGAAAATGATCATCATCCTCTCGGACCATCAATGTTGATGATGGCACTGAAAATAATTGAATAATTATTATTCCTATTATTATTGAATAATGTGAAAATTAAATGATTATCCATGCGTGATATAATGATGATATTTCTTAATACAACACGAATATATTTCAAACTGTGGATATGGACGACGTGTTGAATTTACCCTTGTGGTTGAAATTGGACAACACTAAATATCTGGATTGGAACCAACGGAAATACTCCACACAGGGCCAAGGATTGTCCAAGTGTTGGAATCAAGAAGGAAGTAGAAACTCATACCTCTTTTGATAATCATGTATTAATCTATGTTTCTTCTGGAAACAAACCCACTGGTGGCTACTCATGCGTGATCAAAAAGGTTCAATTCGACCCTGAGAAGAATACCCTCATCATTCATGCCAAGGTTTGTGTTTCATTTCTCTGATTTCTTTCTAACAACATTGAATGTCATTCAAAATTCAAACATTTTCATGCTTCCCTGACTTTTACAAGGATGCTGAGCCCAAAGATTCGTTTGCGACCATGGCGCTGACTGTGCCGTTCTCTGTGATACGAATCAAGAGATTGGACAAACCTTACGAAAAGGTGAAAGTAAGATGGTTGACGAAGAAGAAGAGCAAGGAGGAACAATAGAGACGAAGACTTTCTCCCACTAGTTCTCCACAAGATGAAATTACAGAATGGTGGTACTATTCGATTGATGTAAAGAGGTTTTGTTTATACCCAATGTGTACACATTTCAAAATTTAGTTCGTGTTGTTTTATAGAATTACCATTAAACTAGACTGCTTGTCAATGCTCTATTGTTAAATTATAATTGTTGATACTGTTTAGAAATATTATTATGCTACCAATTAATCTTCTGGTTGTTCTCCGAGGAAAACTCTTCTCAAGACCATGTTGCTGTTGTTGTTGTGTGGGTGGTATTATGTAAACACAGCAGATCGCGCCGTTGGTGGTGTTTATCAACGGTCAATGATTACACCATCATCAAAAGAGTACAAGATGTTGTTGTTTTTTGTGATGGTACAAACATAATCATCAATTCAGAAATATTATTCATCATACGAAGTAATGATTATCATCATATTCCATCACGGTATTGTTCATTTAAAAACAAACAAATTCGTCCAAACATTATCTCCATTAGAATCATATATCATTGTTGATGAGCACTCACCTATGTGGAAGAAGAGCATACCATGCCCAAAAACCGAGAGTAACTCCCCAGAATCCGGCAGAGGTTGCTCTTGGAGCCCAAACTTGCTTCAAATTCTTCAAAAATCCAAAGTAATGTTTTGGATACAATGATTTTCCGTTCAAAGCATACACTGGAGCACGTGATGTAGAAACATTTGTAGCTTTTCTAATTTCTGTTCCTTCTTCTTGGAAGATGGAGAGAGTCTTGGAATGATGAGCAGCATCATTCACGAGAATGTCCTTTGGCAAGTTTGGATTTCCCAATACGACCTTCATTTTTATTTTTTGTTTCTGGTGCGAAGCTGCTTGCAAAGACTTTGCAAATGAATTCGATGGACAAGCTCTCGTTATTGTTGTGGACTTGGTGTGTTGAGAGTTTTTGAGGAAGAACAAGGTCAGACTCTTATGATGAATCGATCGTTTCGTTTACCTTCCTCATTAACGAACGAACCGAAAAAAATGCAAAAAGTGCTGTTGGATGAGCCTTCTCATCTCAGCTCCGTTCGGAATGCTCTCGAAGGCCTTTCTCTCATTTTCCCGAATCAACTTCAATTAATTCAAACAACAACCTCTCATAATGATGATCAGACTGATCAACAACAACAAGACTCAACCATGGATACCATATTATTGAGAAAAAATCATGATAATACGAAATTTGTTTCTCTCATTTCTGGTGGAGGAAGCGGGCACTCTCCTTCTCACGAGTCTTTTGTTGCAAAAGGAATGCTGACCGCTGCTGTATGTGGAGCAGTCTTTACATCTCCTTCTACTTCTCAAATCTATAGAGCAATTCAAGCAGTGACAAGGACGAATAAGCAAAATGGAAAGGGTTGTTTGTTGATTGTGAAAAATTACACGGGTGATATTTTAAATTTCAAATTGGCAAGAGAAATGGCACTTCAAAATGATTATCATGTCGAGATGATCGTTGTTGGGGATGGTATGTGTTAGAGTTTAGTATTTGAACAATTTCCATTTGACAAATTGTCTAACACCACTCAGATGTCACACATCAGAGAGGAGTTGCAGGAACAGTGTTTGTGCATAAACTATGTGGAGCTATGGCAGATGATCGTTATACTCTGAATGATATTATGAATGTAATGAAATCATTTCAAATAATGTCTTCACCTTCTTTGGAGGAAATTAGTTTTGATAAGCCCTTCATTAGGAGTATTGGAGTAGGACTGAATAGTATTACTTTACCTGGCCATAGCGAGCCACTTTATGACTTGAAAGATACTGATGCTGTGTATGAGTTGGGTTTAGGTATTCATGGAGAAAAGGGAGTTTCAAGATTGGAGTATCCAAATGTAAAGCCAGCAACGGAGATTTCACAAATAATGCTTAAGCAATTAATTCCTCTTGATACAATGCTGTCAACCACTGTATCTCATGAAAAAAAGAAATGCGCCTTAATGATCAATAATTTGGGTAAGTAATGTCGTTCATTCACGTCGCTAAACAACCATGAACTTGTAAAGGTTCAACAACCCTGTTGGAGATTTATAATATTGTAAAAATTGTCGTCACAATGTTGCAACAATGTAACTTTGTACTGGAGAGAATTTATGTTGGAACATTTATGACAGCTCTTAATGTAAGCAGCTCGTACATAATTTCATTGTATTTTTAGAGAAAGTACATGACCTTATTTTGGCCCATGGTTTGAATATATTTAAAATTTACTATTATTTGAAATAGATGCATGGCATCTCTTTAACATTACTAAATTTAGGAGCAACCGGCAATGAAAAAATTTTACAATTTTTAGATTGGAAAACAGATTCCATATTTTGGCCAGATAGTTTTAAATTAATCTCTCTCGAAGATTCAATTGAAATGCGTCATGTATCCTATTTAACTGTAGACTCACAATGTGATGCATTTAAGGGTGAGACTTGTAATGTGTCCGAGAGTGAGCATGTTGAGACTTTTGGAAAATTATTGGAAATTATATGCAATCATATTGAGTCGAGATATCAATATTACAATAGCTTGGACAGGTGAGTATTTATGTAAAATCAACAGATTTACACAAAGTTACTATTCGAACAACATACTGTTCAATGTTCTACCATCTATGCTGCTTCTTGGCTTAAATATGACGAATATTCTTTGAATGGGAAATGAATTAACATGGTCTGTTTACATTAACGATCGATTATTAATCACTTGATTCCAGTGCCGTTGGAGATGGTGACTTTGGAGATTCCGCAAAACGAGCTGTCAAGCACATCAGAATAGATATTTTAACAAGGATCAAATCGATCGAAAGCATGCAAGAGTTATTTTATCGTATTGGTACCTCTATACAACAAGCTGGAGGTAGCAGTGGAGCCATAATTTCCATGTTTTTCTTAAAGTATGCTCGCTCATTACGAGAATCAATAGTTGGTGAGACCATGAATTTCAGAAAGAGAAATATTAAGGCCTTTCAAGAAGGAGTTCAGGTAGGTGATCATCTTTGTCAGATTGCATCATCATTATAACCCTTTTTGGTTATTGACTGCATGGTTGTTCTGGGTTTCAATCATCAATGCATAGGGCATGATGGAAATTGGTGATGCAAAAGTCGGTGATAAAACTCTTCTTGACACTCTCATTCCTATCAGCGACTTCCTGGAGAGAATAGACCTTACTACAGCTGAGAGTAGTATGGTCAAGTCTCATCTCTCACAAGCCATTTTAGATATCGCTCAAAAGGGAATGCTTTCAACCAAAGACATGTTGGCCAAGCGTGGGAGAGCAAGATATCTTGGAGAGAGAGTCATTGGCCACATAGACCCAGGTGCATTTTGCATGTTTGAGATTGTAGAGCTATGGGCCAAATGGTTTTCTGGTGAAACACATTGCAGAGAGTAACCAACACTTGTAAAACTACAATACAACACTACTGCTGTCATTGTGAAGACTCTTAATAATTGCAGGTATTACTGAAGTACTCTTTTCATGAGCTGTCAAGAGTTGGGAGGACTGATTTTTAGAGTCATTCACATTTTTCAACCAATTCGGCACAGATGTATTCGACTTCATGAGGAAGGATTTGAAAAGTTTTGAACTGGAAAGATCTTGTAATTGCTGATTAAGCACTTGATCAGAGTGGAATTGTTTGTCTTTTTTCTTCTTTTTTTCATCAATGAATGTGGATGACCATTGTGAAGGTGGAAGAAACCACATGTGGGAAAAATTGATGGCCTTTTGACGAAATTTTTCCTTTTCGTCTAGATCCTCTGTCACTGCCTTTTCTTGATCTGAATCTGAATCGTAGCCTTCTGGCGATGTGAGTCGTTTTTTGTAGTCAATGTAATCCGTGTCTTCAATGTATAACTCTTCAAAGTCTTCCAGCAGATCCGACGGAAAGTCGATAGTCTCTTTCATTTCCAACTCTAAGGGATGAATGGTTTGATACGACGGAATCATGTCATCTGTGACAAAATCTGCGTCACGACTGAACAAGTCACGGAGAGGATCATCCGATTCATCCTCGAAACTGGTGTCCGTTGGAGAAGTTCTCTTATCTTTGGCTGATGTGATTTTTTTGTCGGGCACCTTACTTGGATTCAATTTTGGCAACGACGGTATAGTACTAGTAGGTTGTTTTTCAGAGTTTGCTGTATGGATGGATGAATCTTTCATAAACTTTCTCTGTTTGGGTCGTTTCAAATCCGAAACGTTCTCATCTTGATGATGTTCTGTTGGAACAACTCCTCTCTGCTTGTCTTGAATGTTTGTGTCGTCATTTGAAAACCTTCGATCCCTCAGTATTGAAACAACACTGTCAAGATCCTCCTCTTTGAGCTGATCTCGTATAGAGCTCTCAATTTCCTTGTACATTAATTCATTTTTCTGAATTCGTTCTTGTTTGAGTTGGCTGATGGACTTGGGATTTTTCTTTTTTCTGAATGATTTTTTTAAAGATTTTGAACAACTTTCATCTTCATCTCCCTCCTTGTAAGAATTCAAGATTGAATGCTGCTGAATTTCCTCTTTTATGTTTCCCGTACGATCACCAACCATTACTTGATCCGAGTCTGTTCGAATAAAATTCCATCGTTGAGTTCCGATATTTCGATGTAAATATGAATCTTTCTTCTTTTTCCTCCTTTTTCGTTGTAGGTTTTCATGAGTGATATATCTCCGAATACTTGTTTGTGCTTGATTGTGTTTCACCATTGCTGGTGTCGGAATATCATCCATTGGGGATTTACCCTCATAAAAAAACGACATTTTTTTTTCAAGAAGTGTTGTTTCCGTTAAATTAATTGTAGTGAAACGTTATGTATGGGCGGGAAAAAATTAACAGTTTTCAAGAGGGTCTAATTACATGAGCAAACAAGTCAATACATTGGGTCAGGAATAAAAATTAGACCCTGTTGAAACATAATCGATCTACTATCAACAAAAAACAACGAGTTGAATTTCTCTTCATAGAGAGAGAGAGGAAGAGTGCGAGATATATTCAAGATTATCCTTAGTCATTGTTCATCCCCACTTGAAAAAATGTCCAGAAGTGGAAACGCCTCTGGAACCTACAACTACAAGGTTAAAATTCATAACTACAATGAAGAACAATGGGATCAAAAGTTCAGTGAGAAGTATCGTCCTCCGAGATTAATCGGAACGCAACAAGATACTTTTCAAACCATGTACCATATAGAACATTCATTAGAAAATTCCATAGTCGCTCTGACCACCCAATCACAACAACAACAACCACAACAACAGCAGCAGCTCAAGACACCCTCGGGCCTGCTTAATAGTAGTATCCATCACTCGTTGAAAAGTAGGACTCTTTTATCATCACCCACAGCAGGGCCTCCTAGCGATAGTAGCAACAACACTGATTTTCTCAAATCATCTTTTCCAGGTCATCAACCAGCTCTTGATTTCTACAATCATCCTGTCCGCAAAGGAGAAAAAACAGCGAATGAATACTACTTTGAAACAACCTCCCGAGCGACCTTTATACATCCCAAACAAATGCAAGAGAAGGGAGAAATTTTGACCTACATGCCTGCAGACGAGTTGGACAAATATCGAAAAACATGGACACAAAAACAAGCACGAGATATGAAAACAGAGTATCAACGTCAACATTGTAAATAAGTGTTGTGTTCACAATGTAAATCTGTCATACTACACTCGATTATATTCAAATAATACATGCTGGACATTACAATGAGTTTAAAAGTGTTGATGATCATGAGCTCAAAGTGAGTTTCTCACAATTCCATGTTGTAACTATAAATGTTGATGTGTGAATTCTTTCCTAATTAAATAAATCCTTTCAACATTTCAGATAATTCATTCTTCTCATTGGTCTTGTTGCTTTGTTTGGATCGAGTCGAAACATCGGGTACTTGCAACATTTCAATCTCACTCCAAGGATCATTTGTATAATAAGGATTTTCAATTTGGCTTAATCGTCTCAAAAGAATGGCATCCTCAGAAGCTTCCATCTCATGATGTCTCAATCTTTGCACAGTGGAGACTTTGGAAACAATTGGACTAACAATGGGAGAGGGTAAAGGTGTCGTTGTGACTTGTTTCTGATGCGAAGGTTTCACACGTTCACGTGACGAGGATTGCTTGTGAATGGGCGTTGATGGAGGTATGGATGGAGGTGATATCATCATTGACCTCACTGGCTTGCTTGACAAATCGCCTTGATTCACACTTGTTCGTTTTTTGCTTTGCCTTCTCAGATTTCTTCGTTTCTTAAATTTGCAGTCTCTTTTAAGGAAAATGACATGTCCATCTTTAGTCTTGTTGATCCAACTGGATCGATAGGCCTTATTCTTGTAACGTTTGGAAATTGGGCTTGAAAGAATAGTGGTGCAATTTTCATCAATGCCATGAACAAATTTTCGAAGTTTCCTCAATTCCAACCTTAATGTTTTTGAAAATTCTTCATCATGATTCTGAAATGGATCTTGCAATTCGTCTCCATGACTTGCTGTGTCAGAAATGACTTGTACATCATTAGGATGAATGTGCTCATCATTAGGATCATCACGAGGAGGAATGGAGACATTTTCATTGATGAATGATGTCTTTTTCTGATGGATGATTCCATGATCGTTTCCAATCCTAGATTCGAGTTCAACCAATGTTGATGTTTCAGCATTTTGTAATGATGGTGGTGGTGGTGGCATTGATGGATTCGTATCATTCATGTCATGTCGAGTGATTGTGGTCATTGGATACATTCCATCATCACCTTTGCTGTTCAGTGTTTCACAATTATGATGATGCATGGTTGAAATGGAAGAAAAGGGCATTGATTGTGCCATTGGAATTGGTTGTGAAAGAGAATGACTGACCTGTGGAGAAGGTTGTGACACCAAATGATGATGAATGGACTCTGGATGTGTTGGCCTACTACTACTTGTCGTGACACCACTTGTCAAATGCAATGATGCATAGGGATCATGATTCAAAGATGATACGAGTGCCACGTGACCATTGAAGGTTGGAGAGGATTGAGGAGCTGTTCCATGGTTGGTGGTAGTAGTCACCATGGTCTTGTTGTTCATCATCGTCGTCGAGTCCTGTCGCAACTGAGAATGTTGATGAGTCATTGAAGTATGAATATGGTCACCTTGGAATTCATGTGAAATGACACTTTGAGAAGATGGTGGTGGAAGAGAAAACGATTGGGCATGAATTCCTTCTTGTTGTTGCCGATCATGATGATTCAAATGTTGTTGATTACCAACACGAGCAGAAGGGGAGGGTTCTTGTGATGACGATTCGACTGGAATGGATTGAAAATTGAGAGGAACAGGATGATGAGGAGTTGTTCTCTGCTGATGGCTGTGCATGACGTTGAGTGAGTGAGGAGAGGATGTAAGATTGGGAGCATTGTTGTGTGTCACCACAAAATTTTCATAATTATTTGTGGTGGAAAGAGTTTTTGGTGTTTGAAGTGGAGAATTCAAACTTGTTTTATGATCAATCATTGGAGATTTTGAGGAATTAAGAATTGTGATTGCATTCGAAGAAGGAAATGGTGACATGGATCGATGTGGCTGTGGTTGTTGAATGGATGCATTTGGAGGTGTTGAGGTCTCAATCGTTGAAGGATGAGATGGTTGTTGAGTGGCGGTGGTGGAAATTGTTGGCTCTGTGACCAGGAAACTCGTCGTCGTCGTCGTGATATTATTATTCATTCTACTATTATTCATTGAGGAAAAGGATTTGGAAATGAGTGGTGACGGTGGTGGAGCCATGAGATGTTGTTGTTGAGAGAGGCGTTGATAATGACTAGGTTTTCTGAAAGAAATGTTTGAAATTTGTGATTGATTGATGTGGACACTAGGAGAGGATAGGTCATAATTGTTGTTGTCGAGATGATGATTCATTACTTGTGAATGATTCATAGAAGTAACAACATTTGTGGTAGCAGTGGCAGTGGCAGTAACAGAGGATAATTGATTAGGGTGAACCTTTGGTTGTGAAATAGAATGGTGGTGGTCCTCCATTGGATGGATTGCATTTGGTTGTGTACTACGAGTTGTCGTCAAGTGAAAAGTTCCTGAATCGGTAGTTGTCATTTGAGAACTCGAAGGTGGTGATGATCTCAAGATGGCATTGTGAGCCATGAGTTGAACATCACATGGTGTCTCTGAATATCGTAATGATTGTACCGTTGGTATGGTTGGAGTTTGCATGGTATGCAACGTTTGTTGATGTGTTTGAGTCATGTGACAATTATTACTAGTCGTACGACTAGTCACTTGTGGCTGACTAGAAGAGAAGGGTTGATAATTTTCCTCATAATTTCTTAATAAGGCATTTCGATGGAGCGTTTCACATAATTGAGGTGTCACACTCTTGTTGGCAGCTGAACGAGGCTGAGAATCCAATCTGGAAAATGTTTCGTGAAATGTAGACCGTAAAGTTTTGTGAACTTGAACATGAATCGCGTCATGATAATTGTTTGTCGTCGAATTCTTAATTGGTTTGATTGGTTTCAATCGAGACATGATCGAACTTTTAGAAACTGTACTATCGTAATCATTGGCAGGCTTTGAAATGGAGGTGCGTTGTGTCATGCTGGATTGATAAGGTTGCTGTTGTGTGGCCGATGATGATGCAACAGAAGATTGTTTTGATGGGATGAAATTATTACTAATTTTTGAGATTGGCACATTATCCGAGAATGGATAGCCATTGTTATTCTTATTCAATTGTTGTTGCGCATGACTGGACGTTGAATATTGACTACTTGCAAAATTAGGTGTCACATGTGATGATTGCGAAATTGATTGTGAAATTGGTTGTTGTGACGACACATAATATTCATTCCTCATGATTGGTTCATTGTTCAATACTACTCCTTGTTTTGTATCATGCTGATAATGATGATTCATCACGTTCGATATTTGTGCAGAAACACTAGATGAAATTTGTGATGGATTCGAATAATAATTTGAATATTCTTGTTGCACTGAAGAATTCCAAGCAAAAGGCACAACCGGTTCATGATTCATTGTTTGTTGAAAATTCAAAGATCCATTTGATGAATTCGAAGGGGCGGCCAATTGCATGGTGGGCGTTCGAAGAGTCGTCGAAACGTTTGACAATGACACTGATGGTTGTTGAGTGTGTGAATAATGTTGTTGTTGATATTCCTTCACCAAATATTGTTGATATTGTTGAGGTTGTTGAGTCGTCGATGCTCCACCATGGTGATAGTACTGTACAGAATATCCATGAGTCGAATGGACATGATTATTTGTGGCAATATGAGTGTAGTGGTGATGATGATCATGATAGGGTTGTTGAGTCATTGAATGAATGGACTCGGATGTAAAAGGATAGATCGTCATCAATGATGAAGGGTTAATATTAGGATTCGATGTTAATGTTAATGTTGGTGGTGGTGGTGGTGGTAGTGGAATGGAATGCGACGGAATCGAGTCATTTTGTCGTGGGCCACTTGTACAAGTGGTCGTTGTTTGATGGTGATGATGATGATGTGGTGGTTGTTGTTGTTGTGTGAGACCCAGCGCCATCGAAGGATTCATTTTTTTTGGCGGTCCTTCGAAATATTGGGAACCGAGTTCGTTGCTGTTACTTTTTGAGAGATTTCCGATCAGAGGAGAGCCTTCATCTGATAAAGAAGTATATCATTCTTCAGGAACAATTTGCATGACGCGTGTTGTTGTTTCTGCTCTTGTAAAAAATTATTAAAAAAAATTATTAAAAAAAATTATTAAAAATTGAATGATAAAATTATTAATGGAGTGTTGTGAAAAAAAATGTTACAACATTCTTCCTCCTCCTCGATCATTACCACCACTACTTTCTGCTCCTCCTCACGGAAATTCATCATGATGCAACACATGTTTCAAGGTGGTGGTGCTTCCACTCAAACAAGAAATATATTTCATCATCATCACCACCACTATCAAGGAAAGATTAGTCAATTTTATTTGCAACATTCCTGTAAGAGAAACTATTCCAAGAAATTTCTTCATCATTCGAACCCTAATAATGAAATCATGATGAATAGTCATTCCACCACTTCTCAATTCAACTCTTCGAACAACACTCGTCATATTTCAACCACAACATTGGCAACAATTTTGAATGAAACCAAAGGACAAGCTCATTCCTACAGTACAAGTTCTTCTTCCGATGACGGAGATAGACAAGCCATGATTGAAAAGGAAGAGAAATATATTTTAAATACAATATCGAATGTTCACTCTCATTTGGATCAAGGTGTGGATTTCACAAGGGCTGAAGAGAGAGATTTATGGGTTGAAAATTTGTTATCCTATTTAGAAAACATTGCAAAAAGTGTTGAAAAGATAACGTGGCTTGAGGGAACCAAATCATTTAGTGTCAGTGAAGAGGAAGCAACAGATTTTAATTCATTGTTTGATAATCCTTTTGAAACGAGAGAGGAAGAAGTTTCAACATCAACGAAAACAAGTCGATTAGAAAATTTAATTGTGAGAGTTTTGGATGTTTTACACGAATATGGAAAGGAAAGGGAGGTACAAAAAGTCGAGAGTTCTCTCTCCTTGTCCAGTATTGGATTAGGTATTTATTCAATTATGAAAAGATATGCTATGGAATTTGAAAGAGCAACACCGAAAGAAATTTCAAAATTTTTAGAAAAAGAATGCTTCTTTTCGTTGAATCAGAACGTGATGAATTCTCTACTTCGATACTTTGCAGACATCAAAGATAAAGTGAATACTGTCATTGTGTTGAAGGATATGCAACAACTGCAACTTGGTGCCAATGAGCATACGTACAATATTTTAATCAGGTACGCCATGTATGGTAATGACCAAAATCAAGTACTCAAATTAGTGAAACACATGAAACAACAAGGATTAGAATTGAATCAGGAAACTAAAGATTTGTTGAGGCAGCATAGATTAATGTAAATGCACCTGATCAGATTATTCCACTAAGATTACAAAACCTTTCTGGAGAGGTTGTATTTGTTCACATGACATCCTCACTATTAAAAACAGCATGCAGAGTCTTGAGGCAAATAATTTTTCTTGCCATGTTTATTTCTCTTGAAGCGGTTCCTCTTCTTCTTTTGGTTCAGAAACTCCTTCTTCCTCTTCCTCGTCTTCCTTGTAATGGTTAACTTTCTCAACTAGATTCGAATAAATTGTTTTGATTTCAGAGTCATTCACTCTCTCAATTGCATTTGCTACTTCTGCTGAGGTCAGCAAATTTTTGAGTGTGTAAAATGTTGCATCTAAAACGTCATAGCATCCATCAAAAGCTAAAACTCCCAACGCAATATATCTCTCACCTGAAGAAGACAGTAAATCTTCAATAAATGAAAAGTCAATCCATGGGTTGTCTGGAATGGTCTCTTGAAAGAAACTTCGATTTTGTTTGGCAAGTTTCAATAATTTCTTTTCTTCTTTGTCATTGGCAAGAGGTATGTGGGCACAAAGATAGACCATACTAAGGACAGCTGTGGGAAGTATGGTTGCATCAATGTGCATTTCTAACAGGGAAATTAGTTGCGATGATTTGATGGTATCTTGAACAATTTGAGAGGCGGACTTGTCACGAGAAAGTATAGCGCAAACCTCAATGAATAGGGAATAACACTCTGACTTTCTGTCTGCTTCGTTTTGTATTCTTGTCAAAATACCTCCTAGTACACTCGTCATGATTTCTCGACTCTTCTTCTTTGAAAACCATTCATTTGTTCTCTTCCCTGGAGTATCCGAAAGAACAATATTTCTTAATAAATATAGAAATTCATAGAGTGGCACATCAGTGTTGTCAACAACCGAATACAAGTCAATATTTTGCAAAACTAATAATTTCTTACTTCTGCTCGTGATATTGGTAAATACAGAAATAAGGAGAGGAAAATTCATGGTATAATTGGAAGCCACAGCAGCATTAAAGGCAAGCACCAAATTTTTGACTGCCTTTTCAGGTCCAGTACACAAATATGCCAAATATTCGTCATCCTCATATGTTACATTATATAATATGGGTACTAGAAATTCATTGATATATTCTACAGATTCAGCAGAGGGTTTTGGTAAATTTTCAAGCTTCTCTATCATGATTTCTTTCGGAAATCGTTTGTGAAGTTCCGATAAGAATTTGGCTTGTTGCATTCTTCCTTTAGCTCTTTTTAGCACAAGTGCAAGAATTTCTTCTTCCAATTTTTTACCACCCATTTCCTCTTGTTCTTTATAACTGGATTTCCTCTTATTGGTTGATATTCGTGATGAGGTTCTGATCGTTTCAGGTGGTTCCTTTCGTTTTTTGGTCTTTTTGCCTGTTGAGGTCATGTCTGATCCTGCATCAAAGACTTGACTACTACTATTAGAAGGCTTGGTCGGTGTGAGAGAAAGAGCCTGAACGAGAGGTGATGATGATTATTGATTACATTTAGATTAATGTACAGAGATTATACTTGTAAACTCTCTCAAATCCATCATCAATGTATTCAACAATGACTTACAATTGTTTGTTTGAGTCCGAGTGTTTCCAACAATTTCTGATTTCTATTGATTCTTTCCTGTCTCATTTTCTCATATTCGGCTTTTCGTCGTTCAGCATCTGAGTCGTCCTCTCCAGACTCATCTTCCTCTTCTTCCTCAAGGTCATCTTCATTCGCTTCTTCGTTCTCATCCCTATGACGATGATGATGATTATTTTTCATCGGCTTTTCCTCTGAAGGATCATTCATTTTTAATTTCAAAAAAACCAGACTTAACGAAAACGAGATTTAATTTGTTGTTTTTATCAAAATTTAATATGACGATAATAAATAGATCAGCAATGTTAACAAGTCAAATTCAAGAACACTCATTCAATTAGTGTTGTCAAGCTGGTTACTTTTTGACATGGCAATAATTTGTTCCAAATCATTCTCAAAATCTGTGATAATTTCCATGGGATCTGCAACTGTCAGAACATCAGAGACGGCACTGAGGATGAGTTTTCCATTGTAGGAAGAGACAGCAAATGCTAGACCAACACCAACAGGAGATGGAGCAAATGTCACAATTTCAGTGACAGGAATAGAGTTTGTGCTTAATTCTGTGCTCGAGCCAATCAAATTGGTAAAGACGCATGTAATCCATTTGGATAAAAAGGCAACCAAAAAGAGAATCATTTCTGAGGGTAAAATGTAGGTGAGCTTGGCAAAGTTGTAGGTGAAGAATGGCTCAGGAAGGCTCTTAGTTTTTTCAGTCAACCTTTTCACATATCGTAGTCTCTCAACAGGATCTCGTGTTGTCAAGTCCACAGGAACGAGCATGAATCCGAATTTGTTTGATAATTTTCCAAACTCATCATTGCTCATTCGAATATTGACCGGTATTGAGAATGTCACTCTCTTTGCTGCCTTTTTATCTGTTCTTCTCTCTGTAAATCTCATTAAGGCTCCAGAAAGTGAATTCAAAATAACATCATTTACAGTGGCATTGTTAAACGTTTTTCCAACATGTTTGATGTCAGACATATCAAACGGCTTGCACCATCCCAATCTCTTTTCTGTTGAAATGGCTGTTTTGAACACACTCTTATCAGGACCAGTGAGAATTAAGATTTTCATCCACTTGAGAAATACTAAAAACAACCCGAACAAAAACCATAAGAATTTGAAAAATCTCACAACCAAACCAACCAATGGCACTGTTTCCAACTTGCTGACAGCTTTGGCTAAGAATCGATCTTTGAGTGCAAAAATTTCGAGCTTGAAATGTTCTTCTCCTTGGTCACAAAATTGAGAAAGAAACATGAGCAAACTGGTACCATCTCCCATGGCATGATGCATTCTAAACATTAAAATGTAACCCAAAGCTGGACAGTTATCAATCACAACAAGTTCCCATAATGGTCTTGAAAAATCTAAAGGTTCCATAGAGATTTTGCCGAGATATTCTTGAAGGAGAGCTTTCTCTTCTTGTGCAGTATATTCATGCATGCCGCTCTTTGGTACCCTCAAATAACGAATATGTTTTTCAAGATCAATATTTTCATATTCAAAGAAGCTTTCATAGTCGTGATTGACAATGGATCGAAATCTTGGATATTTAGTAAGAACGCGTTTCCTTAATCTATTGAGAAGCTCCTCATGCGTGATTGGCTTGGCAAGTGTCACCAGACATGAACAAATGTTTGTGTTGGTTGGTCGTTCTGTAATGAGTGTCATTTTGGTAATATGTGAAAGATCCTTTTTGCCAATAGAGTTTCTTCTGATTTGAAGTTTGTCCATCACCTTTTTCGAGATGGAAGAAATGGCATTCCCTGAGGAAGATGGATCTTGTTTTTCAGTAGATGGCATTGGCTCAACTTTTTTCTCTTCAGCCACAATATGGTTGGTGGTACTGTTTTGTAGTGATTCCTTTCCAGATATGGAGGCGCCACCACTAGTAATTTCATGATGTTCTTCTTTTCCTTCATCCACATCTCGAGGACTCTCCAGAACACTATCACCCACAATTTGTTTCATTCTTTCAACAGTTTCTTGAGAATCATGTAAAATTGGTGAAGCTTGTACTCCATTCGTCATTAGGGGCATTTCTTTAGATGGTCTCTTATTTTCCTCAAGAACCTTTTGAGACAAGTGTGGTAGTTCTTCTGGTGAGGACTTAGAATCGTCATGACGATTTCTGTCTTCGTCGTCTTCTCCAACAATGATTTGAACCGGCGGCTCCATATTTGTATGTTCCTTATTTGGATCCACACTCTCTAAGAGTGAATTGTCCATTTCTAGATTAATAAATATTTTCGAATGATCAACAGATGGTTCTTGTTGTTGGTGATGCTCAATGTTGTTTTCATTCTCATGGAGGCCTTTCTCTTGTTGCAACAACCATTCGCCAGCCTCAGTGGTTCTACTACTTGTATTCATCTGATTGGCTTGTTGATTCGCAAGGTTGAACGGAGTATTCAAATCCTCTTCGCTTTCCTCCTTTGTTGGTGAAGTCACTTTGATAAATTCATAGAGTGTGAGGACTGGTGCATGCTTCCGATGATGATGGTGATGTTGTGGTTGCTGCTGTCCCCGAGGAGAGACTTGTTTTTGCTTCTTCTTCGTCATGATTTTTTTTAGTCTTTTTTTAATTTCCCGAAATGTTCTCTTCGAAAATTCTCCAGTAAGGTGAGAGGAGACAAAGTCTAATTCCGTCCGACCTACTCGGACAAGGTTGTTTGGACGATGCTTCATTCATTGCACGACATTAGCTTTGGGGGTCATTGTCAAAGAGTAACAATACAATTCAGTTCACGAGTCAATATGCCTTGGATATGTCACAGGAAAGGCAAGCTCCTCTAGCTTATTGATTGTACCAATATTTGAAACATTTGAAATTTGTTTTTGCTGCTCTTGTTGAATACTTGATAAATTCCTTCTTGTCATTCTGATTCTTTGTGAGTACGGCGCTTCTTTTAAATGCCTTCTTTGCCTTTTTTCTGTTGTAATCTCTTTCATATACTTTTCGCATTTGCTGTAACATGACATCGTAATAAACATGATTCAGTCGTTGTCTGAAAAATACCAACGGATCAATTCGTATTTTGATAAAATTGTCTCCAAAATCAGAAACCATGATATCTCTTAATAAAATTTCTGTAATGATGATTTTAAAATTGCAGTATTGTTGAATCACTTGAATACATGGGCCATTATCGCTTTTAGAGAAATTGAGTAGAATAAACTTCTCATTAAACGTGCGTCCCATCAATCGAGAAATAACTGGAATTGTGCTCATCAATTGAGATGCAATTGTGTTTGAGATGTTTGGAGAAGGCCTTCCTCCATATTGACTAAAAATAAACTCTTCCAGGTTTCTATTAAATTTTCTAAGCAGATGATAGGTGTGAGAGTCATCTTTGAGGATGCTGAAATATTGTAAAAAGCATTCATGGCAAGTTGATAAACAGTTTTCCAGCAAAAGCTCATCTTCATGCGAAAAAATACTTGATATTCTCTCATAAATACAGTGTAAGTTTCTTTTGTAATCATAGCAATACAAGCTCAACCTTCCATTCGTTGTAATTACATTCTTGGCAAAGTTTAACTGAGATTGAATGTCAGTTCGTTGTATGAATAGAAAATGAACACTTGTGAATAGCCTGTTCCAGCGTGACTGCAATTCGTACATGCCTAGCAATTGTTTGAGCTTGTGAGAAAGCAGTGAACGTGGGTCTCTATTTTCAGGATAAAAAGGTTCAGCAATTTTTTTACGAAATTTTTCAAGCAAATTGTTGTCGTTCCTCTCTTGTTGAAAATTATCCAAAATTATTATGACATTCCAATCATCATGATGCAAAGATGACATGTTCAACTGGGTTCTACTTTCATGAATCATGGAACAAATACCAACACTCATATTATTGACTTGAAAACAAAGGAAAGTGTACGGCCTTATAATATTGATACTAACACCTGGTCGGATTTTAAATGGTTTCAAAGGAAAGCGCGAATGAATTGTTTATCCAACCAATAATAAGTGATGGTCAAATGTTTTGAATGTATGAGAGGATGCTCCGAAGAGGACCAATCGATGATGATGATGACTTCAGTGCAACAGCAAGCGAAAGCTTTTGCACTATTTTTTTTAGGTATTTTTGAAGCAACATGTTCGGGGGACCAGCACCGTCGTTAGTACGAGTACTCTCAAGAGTGAGGAGATTCTGCCTTCGGATATACAAACACCTCGAGAAGCAGTACCAGTTGAACAAGCGGTAATTGAGGTGCCTCCTTCCACAGTGGACTCAACCAGAATTCCAATCGTCAGAAAAGCAAGAAAATCCTCTCCAAGAAAGTCACTCCCATCATCATCGTCGAGTCCCACACCTTCCCTCAGAACTGATAATACGAGGGTGATGGCTGACACAAAGCCTGAACCAGAATCCTTCTTTTCGAAATGGTGCTCGATCATGCAATTGCCATTCACTAGCGACCTGCTATGTCAACAATCTAAACCACCTAAGACGACCATTTATTCAACAAGTGTTCAATAATACATTTCAACATATATTTAAATACCTCGATGGTAAGACAAGCTCATATTGTATATTATCAAGATTTTCTGACAACAAAGGATTTGTTATGTAGTGATTTCAAGTTTTTTCAATCACAATGCGTTTGGGTTCATTACGACCAAAGTTACCTGTGAGATCAGGATTTTCCATACCAAACACCAAAAAAATTCCGCAATTTCCTTTTTTGACAGGTGACTCGGGCCAAATGAATCTTCTCTCCTGTTTTCCCTCAAAACCAAACTCTGAGAACTGTTTAACCACAACACAGTATTTAGAGGACCAACACAACTCCCATCATCACAAGGATTCAATTTTAACTCCCGATATCATCATTCATCATATCATTCCACATTTAAACCGAAATGATATCATTAAATTGGCGGGTGTTTGTTTTGCATGGAGAAACATCATCAAATCATCACAAATTGGTTTTGAATTCACTGCAACAGGTAACAAAATATCCAATGCAGGATGGTCTTTTTTTCTCTCAAAGCTCTCCAATATGGGAGATGTATTATCATTATTTACAAAGGCTTCTTTTAGTTATCTCAAAATTCAAAAGTCTCAATTTAAATCAATATTCGAATCACCACAAATAACTTCTTTGAAATTTCATCACACCAATTTCAATTCGACAACTCTTTCATCTATTCTGAGATCATCCATAACAGAATTAACTTTAGATTCTTTTAATCTTTCACGTAAAGATTTGAAAATAATTTCTAATATTGGTATTGATGACAATAGCATGAAAATGTTTTCTAATATTCATATTCCTCATAGTTTGGAATTATGGCTGACTGGTTTAACTGATCAAGGTATAAAAATTCATTCGAAAGGTAAATTAAGGATCCACAAGCTTATTCTGCGGAAATGTGAGCTTACTCGAGACGGTGTTGAGTCTTTATTTCAAATTAAAACATTGGAAGAATTGAATGTTTCTGAAGTTCAGCCAAGGAGTGAAGAGAAATGGATTACAGAATACGCACAAACATTACAGATCAAAATTACATTCTATCCTTATTCATTTAGGTCATACCAACCCTTCTTTTAACTATTTTTATGGTGATGAAAAATGGAACACATTTCAACATTTTTGTAATGGGAATTGAATGTCAACTTTTTATGTTTCAAAAGAGGTCCTTTGAATAGATGAGGACTCATCAAACCTGCAGCAGCAGCGAATAGCCAGGATTGCCCTCTCTGACAAAGTTATTGATAGCAATATTAAATAATAAATTGGTAATAAAGTAAATTCTTCGTATTACTGAAAATCAATGAAATGTGAGTAAATCAATTCTATTGATTGCCATGTCCATAATTTTGAAAGTTGGCCAACTAGTTAATGTATGAATGAGTTCCACAACTATATCTAAGAAAAAAGCGGAGGATGGCCAGCAGCAACAAAATGCAGCAACCCCCAACACACCATCGGATTCTTCTTGGGCTTCCAACAGTACGAGTAAACAGCAGCAACAACAAAAAACAGCAACTACATCAGCTTCTGCACAAAAACAATCTCAACAACCTCCGCAACAAGCAAAGCAACCAACGACACCATCAACACTCCCAACAACAAATGCAACAGAATCAAAACCTCAACAGCAGCAACAGGTTTCAGGCTCATCTCCAACGACAACAAATTCTCCATCTCTAAATCAAGATCAAGGTCGCCCATCATCGAGAGGTGTCACTTCATCTCAAACTCCTGCGAGTAATAAGCCCCCTACACCATCGAAAGATGAGCGATCAACCACACCTAATTCCATTGATCAAAAAGCAAGCGTGAGTCGACCAAGCTCTGGTAGGGAAGTTTCAAAGCCGTCCACTCCAAATACAAATACTCAAGACTATCAACAACAACAGCAACCACTTGCTCAAAACCAAGAGGATCCAAACTTGGCACAATATTCAAGGCCATTCTCGTCCCGGGGCCAATCCGCGAGAAGGGCACCTCCAAAAATTAAAACAAATGTTCGAACTATTGACACACAAGAAATGCCAACTGAAAAGACACTTGTAGAAACAAAAGCTGCTGAAGGCTTAATCACTGACGAAAATGAAGACAAGGAAGATGACCAAATCATTATTGAAAAGAACGTTGCTGTTAAATCCTCAACTCAAAGTAACACCAATACAGAACAAAAAGGAACTCTTGTCAACAAGCTAATGGAAAACGAAAGCGACATTGAAAAGAAGCGCAATGCTGGCAAGGTACCAAATGCAAAACCCTCAAATGAAGAGCCAGTGAAAGGAATTGTTCTTCAAACAGGAAAGAAAGAAAAGGATAAGGAAGTAATCACCACTGAACTTTCGACGTTAAGGGAACAAATCCAAACACTAATTTCAAAAGTTAACCCACTTGGTAAAACAATGGATTACATTCAAGAAGATTTAGATAGCATGCAACGAGAACATGATATGTGGAGAAAGGATGTGGAACTTCAGCGGCAACGACTGATCGAAGAGAGGTTGAAAACAGATCAGGAAGTGTCTTCAGTCCAAGCACAACTCAAAGAATTGGAACAAAATATCGTAGACAAACTGGAGAAAATTAATTCGTTGAGGAGTACCATTTTGCAAAAAGACAAACTTTTGGAAACTTTATTAAGGAATGTTGTGGCCTAAGATCAATTTAGGCTTGCTTATTATTCTAAAAAATATTCAAATAAATTATTTTTAATATGACATTACAAGTGACTCACAAATGAGTCAAGCTCACTTGATAATAAATTCCAAATAATAAATAAATAGAATTCACATCAACTTAATTTGTATGTCCTGCAATTCAGTGGTGCTTCCTTCCGCAGACAATTTTGAAAACTTGAGTAACTTGGCGATAAATTCCTTCGCTGTCTTGCCTTCTCCTTGCTCTTGGCGATACATTAATGCATAATATCCTCCACTGGCAATGGCATTCACATTTCGAAATAATGGATCACTTGATATCAACTTTGACAAAATATTCTTGTTACCTTTCGTTTCGACGTCCATTCCACAAACATAAACTTCATTGTTGGTCGACAAGGCACAAGTATGGTAGAAACCACAACAAATGTCTTTAAAGTGAACATCTACTTGCACTTTTGTGAAGGTCGATACGTTTACATTCGTTCCAAGGCTGAGCTCTCCACTATCATTATGTCCACATGCAACGATCGAACCAGATTGCGTCAACACTACGGTATGATGAATTCCGAGAGCAACTTTGAGACCTTTTTCATTATTTGGCAATGGTGCTTGAACAAATTGAAAGGACGTGGATTGAGAATGACCTAATTTTCCATAATCATTTTGCCCCGAGGTGAAAACCTGTCCATCCAAATTAATAATGGCTCCATGTGAATACGAAAAATCTGCATCCAAAATATGACTAGCAATTTTCTCAAATCGATAGACCGTTCCTGATTTTCCCATCTCCCCATTTGAATTGCCACCACAAGCATACAAAGTTCTATCTTTTGTAATAAATGCACATGTATTATATCGTGCAAAGAATTTTTCAATACTATACAAGTGTTCTCGTGGCACCAATGTCACGTCTGCCTCTGGTCCAAATCTTGATATAGAAGATGTATCTCCAACACTTAACTGTCCATGATTATTAAATCCACTTCCAAAAAAGGCCAATCGTTTTTGATTGGGTAATCCCAACTCATGGGTTCTTTCCTCAAACTCGACCATTAACATGGAATGATTCCAACCACAAGCAATTTGTTTAATTTCCATTCTAATCACTGATGTACTTGATTGTCTCTGAAGAATTTGTTTCTTGGCCATCTCTGTAATATCTCTCAAATGCGAACTCGAATTGTCTTGCGCAACACCGTGTTCACCTGTACCTGTATAGCCACAAGCAAATAATCGATTTTCATTTTGTTTGTAATCCCGAAAGAGAAAGAAGGCAAAATCACCTCCCGTGCAGACTTGAATCAATGAAAAATGTTTTGGTATTCGAGAATTTTGTTCAGCAGCAGTAAAAGAAGGATCATCTTGATGTTCCGAATATGAGGAGGTCAATGATCGATGATTCGAGGAGCCCATTAAATTAGCATCCTCAAAGGCTTTTAAAAAGGAAATTAATCGAGGTTGTTTGATCGTGCCCGTAGTGGAGGAGGTTGGTAGAATAATGTTATGTGTGTTGTTGCCACAACCGAAAACGACAACCGCAACCACAGGATTGGAAGAGAGAGACATTTTTTCTTCTTTTTTGAAATATCTTGTAACTCTCTCCAAGATTTATTCATTCAGAAATAGAAGAATAGTATATACTCCTCAATGTGATGGGAAAGCTTTGATGCACTTTGATCTGTTCGAAATCATGTGTTTATAAAGAACTATACTCGAACGATCGGGGAGGGGGATCGAGAGCGTAGGCAATCAGACTTTTGCCTTCCATTTTGGGCCTAACTATAAAAGTAGCAAACCAAAAAAATGTTTATTGCAGGGTGGTTTGACGAAGTTGCAGAGCTATATTCTTGTCAGTCGTAAACTTGCTCAACAGCAAATCATACAACATAACCACATCAACAGCAGCATTGTGAGGAGTTCCCGGAAGATCATTGCTAATCCGAGACGAATATTGTTTCTCCAAGGCCACTCTTCCGAGTAACATTTTCTCCATCGTCCTACAATAATGAAATTTAATTTTGGGTTGATGAGAGAGACTTGTTAACGCTTTTGTGAAAAATTGCTCATCCAAACTCCATGAATGAACTAAGAATATTATATCGGCTGCTTCTCCGTATGTCAAATAATTAACAACATCAGGAATCACATTCCGAAGAAAATCACTTTTGGCTAATATGGTCAGTTTGTCCTGATGCATTGTTGCAGCTTTTTGATGCCAATTTGCATTTGGTTCTGGTTGGACAAACATTGAATGTAATTGATGTGTTGACAGCGATAGAAAAGCAATTTGAACGATAGTATTGGTGTTGACATTGACTCCCGTTGTCTCCAAATCCATCAACACAATATGATATAATTTGTTTCCGATTTTCATGAGATTTTGTGTTGATGATATTATCCCTTGAGGTCTAGAATGTATCACCGAAATTTTATCTTTAAATACGGACCGTAATTCATTAGGCTTATGCTTAAGCTCCTCTATTGAATTATTAGTAGTAGCATTTTCTGATTGAGAATCTTTGTATTGATCTTCTTCACCATGTGACATTGTAACTTTTCGCAATTCAATATCTCTTTGCATTTGACGAAGAAATTCTTGACATTCCATATTCTTAACCTCTTCAGCAGCTGCTTTCTGATCATATTTGTGTTTGTTGATCAAATGGTTTTTAAAGCAGCCTTTTACAAGATAAGGCTTCAATTTCTTACAATTAGGTACAGGGCAACAAAGAAAGATCCGCTTTGGAGCACAAGTATCTAATCTCAAAGTGGATTTTCTGGCATAATTTGCAATTTGTTGATTAATTTTTTCTAATTCTTTTTCGAATCCTTTAAGTTGAGAGTTTGGGTTACAGTATGGCGAAAAATCTGGAATTTTTGTCACTTTTCCATTATAATGATCAGTTAATGGAATATCAGGAAGAGAAAATCCTCGAACATCATCAGGGGCATGAGGGATACAATATATGAAAAATGTTAACAAACCCATTTGACAGAACTGTTTTTCTGTTGCTCGAGGATACTTATGTCTTACAATAGAGAAAAATAGTTCATTAGAATTTGTGGTGATACAGCTTGATCGAAGATTTGGAAAATGTGAGATCAAAGTGATGAATCCATTGATAGTGTGTATGCAAATATTTTTTGTTTTTGAGGGGAACGGATTTAACTGCTCAAATCGTTGCTTAATGTTATGTAATTGCTCAACTTGACACTTATTATCATTATTGCAGTCATATAATTCTCGAATTAACGTCAAATAATTTGCTGCGGCTAATGATTGTGGAGTATTGATTGCTTTCAACTGTTCAATGACCGGTGAGCTTGTTAAATTTAAACAATATTGTAACGCCATGATATCACTAGGAGCTACTTCCTCTCTATCAAGCAATTCATACAAGTGTGGAAATTGTTGCATGAGATTGACTATTGTTGGCATTGATATTTTGTGTTAAGTAATTTGAGAGGTAAATAGGGCATTTCTTTGATTCTTAAAATTGTGAACATAATCATTGAGAAACACAAAATCCTTATGCGTAGCTTGAATTGCGTGTTGAACAGCCTGAGCATCAATTTCAGCATCAGCACAACCACAAACAACAGTTACAGATTTATCAATAATTTTCAATATTTCTTGAAATCGATCTATTACAAACTGTGCTGTTCATTGACTCGTTTTTAGGAAACCATCCGATAGGCATATTCCAAGAATTATCAATGGCATTAATAACAAAATATATCATCTCGTCTGTCAATGATTAAGGTTTCAATTTGGATAGATCTTGAAATGAGTTACATGGGAACACTACTCCAACAAATTCTGAATTTAGTGTGTCAATATGTTTCAAAACCTTCATGCCGTCAACAGAAATACATGCATTCTTACAGGAGGATTTTGAAACAATATCTTCAAGAGTTTCTTTGAAATACGGAATGATATCACGACTACCTTTTGGAATCCAATTTTTGACTGTAGCTAATTCAGGAATTATGAGATTGTAATGTAAATGGTTGAACCAATTACATGGTTGATGTTGATTTCGTGCTCCGGCCATTCTGACAAAAAATTGCTTTCCTGCATAATATTTAACAAGAATCCAAAAACGTTTTGCAATATCAGAATACTGGTGATGACGCGGATCTCTACTATAATTTCGTAATTGGTCGAATATAAATTGCATGAAAAATGTAAGGTTTTTTCATTTCTGGCAAACGAGGTTTACAAGTAGGTTCTGTTCTGAGATCTAATTTAACTTTCTTTTGTGGTGATTCCATCACATACTCAACATTCACTGACTCAAAATTCCAGGTTGAATCATAATATTCTTGGGCTTGTCGAAATAATGACACTAATTCAGATTCGGTCTCAGTTAACTCTTTTGCATTGAATATACAATCACCAAAAAGCAGCTCTGAATATTTATCGGATGGGAAGCCATTGCAGTTAAATTTTAATTCCTGTGATGATGGAGTTTGAGGTGTTTGAAAAGTCGAAGTTGGATGAACTGTGAATGAGGATTGTTGATGTTGCCTCTTATTTCGATGCTTTACAACACTGGGTCCGTTGTGGAACTGCATTTTTTTGCTAATTGCACTTTTTAAGTTAGGCCCAATATGGAAGGAGAATCTTTGATTGCGTTGCTGGTAGCTACGCTCTCGATCCCCCTCCCCGAACATGTTGTTGTGGTAACGGTGCATTTATCCATTCAAATAATTTGTTCGATTTGCGATTTTGCATTGACTCTTTTGTGCCAAAAAGAGAAAAAGTGACCCCAATCTTCTATTGACGCACAGATAATGTATGAGTTGTGGGTATGTTTATGGGGAGAAATGTTGCAACGCTCGTGGATTTTGAACGTGTTGGGATTTGTTCGATTTGCACTGACTCTTATTCAATGATGATGCTTTGATGTTTGAAGAGTTGGGAATTCTGAGTTGTTTTTAACGCCAACGATCATTCCATAGACCATGTTGATCAACAACAAAAAAAATGTTACCACAAACACCCATCTCAAATTTTGATGTTCATTATCATCATGCCAACCACCACAACTACTACAATTACACCAACTACACCAATAACAATCATTGTGACATGAGCTCAGTTCCCTACTCTCCAGTAAGTCCTTTTGACTCTCGTAAATATCCCCTATGCCAAGCACTAGGAAGAATATTCAACTACGAATCGGCCATCACACCCGAATATTTATTTCCCCTGTTCTTGGAAAAAGCTCATGATCTGGTACAAGGTTTATGCTATCAGGACTTTGGAAATAATTCCAGCAAACAACAGGCGGCGGCAACACTTTGCAAATATCAACGTGATGATTTTCAAGGGATAGATGAGAATATTTTTGAATCTGAGATCATCCCAAGTTTGTATGAATTGCTGGAGATCCATGCGTTTGATATCTTTTCACGTGGTGGCACTACATGTGCGGAATACAACAATTTTATGACTAGTACTGCCGGTGGTATGGACAGTAACGACATGGCATCGTCTATGACCATGATCTATAATATCCATCCTATGCCTGAAACGATCCAACAATATGTGAGCTCTGAACCAAGTGATGCCGATCTTCAGCATTACTCTTCGAGTGACGATGAAATAATTCTCTCTCCGCCCCGTCATGAAAGAGGCTCCATTGTGGTACCTTTTGATGTGAATGACATGGATGTACTCACCAGAATATTCTATCATATTATTCGAACAAGTAGAAAACTTTTTATCTATCTCAATATTCCAACAAAATCTGGAAAATCATCCAAGTTTCAAGATTTGGACTTTACAAACCTATCACTAACCTTAAACCATCATCCTGCCCTTAGAAAGGGAGCAGCTCTCTATCTAAAGAAACTCAAGGCAATTAGGTAAGTTTTTCCCTATAATATTCCATATTCTAATACAATCAATTGTAACAAAATTTTTAATAATTATTTGAAAAATATAATCTAATTCAATATATTGAATATAAATGCAATAATTTAATTATTTAAATATAAATATAATATTATATGTATATTATGTTATTTATTATATGTAAATATTCTATATAATTATAATGACATATTTCAAATGAAAAATAATTCATGTAATTAGGAATGAATGGGCCCATTTTAATCACAAAGATGCAAAAATCTCATCCGATCAAATGGATAAGGCCTTTGATTATACACAAAGAATATACAAGGAATATTTAACAGTGAGTCAAACAACGAAAAACAAGAAAGGGATTGAATATGCCCAAAAAAGAATTGTGTCGCTACTGAAACTTCAAAAAACCTACAAAGATTTGAAACAAAAGAAAAAATTAACCTCTAAAATTGTCAACATGTTTTATAGGAATGCAGAACAAGGAGATCTTCATTCCAATGCAAGCTCTTCACTTGTACAAGTCTTGAAACAAATAATTCAAAAGATTGAACAAAATCCCAGCTCCCCAGAGGCAAAAAGTATTATGAACACCTTTCTTCTCGATTACATTCCTCAATCTCCAAAATTATTTGAACAAATCAAAGAGCTACGAGCACACGTTCTTTCTCAACAACAAATCGAGTACGAAGAACTTGACAACAAATATCAACTCTTACTCGAAGAAACAAACACAGCTGTAAAGGGACTCAATGCATCCTTTCTGCTTGATCCTCGTTTCATTGACACCAAATCATTCTTTGAATCTGTGGTGATTGAATTGCAACAAGCAAAGGATCAAAGAAGTGTCACCTTCTTAAACGCATTCTGTTTATACTTGGTAAAGAAGGCTCTCAAGCAGTTAAGAGAAGAGAATGTTCAAATTTCAGACTCGGCAATCCAAGAGTTTTTAGAGAAAAGATCCATCCTGAATGATGAGCGAAGTTTTACAATGATTATGGAAGGGGAGATTAAACCACAATGCAAAAGATTTAGAAATTTTTGGATGGTATTGGCGAACGGAATGTATCTCTGCTGCAACAATAATTTACAAACAGCAATTTTGAACTTTGCATGGTGTCAATCTCATCTTTCAGATCCAACATTCCTTAATTATCCTCGCATGAAAGAACCCTTTGAAGAAATAATTCGTATTTTTATCGAGAAATGCACCTTTTGGTTATCCTTTGAAATTAATACAACACCCAATATGACCATTCATGCTGTGAGAGTTCTCATTCACTCATGCTTGGTGTGTTGTCAAAAATATTCAAATTTTAACATGTCAGAATCGTATTCAATGGTTGTAAATACTCTTTCTAGGGTTCTCAAGATGCAAGAAATTGTAAGTCAGCTCAATGATTGGGACCGTTCAGTTCTTGATGCTCTCTATTTTAGAAACAGTAGTCTTGACATGAGTCGTGTGCTCCAACAAGACATTAATGTTTCTTCTCTTGATAAGAAGTCAAGAATTTCCATTGCTGAAGAAGCAAGATTATGTTTCCAAGAAGCATGGGACCGTTTATTCGCATAATCGTGTAGTGCATCGCATAGATTGTATAGATTGTATTTATAAAATTTTTTCATAATTTGAAGCAATTTAATTTATTATTCAAAAAATTCAACACTAAAAAAAAATGAATGGTGTTTCAAACGTTGATCATGGAATGAATGACATGGGTTTGTCTTACCTTTCTTCCGTTCGTGATCCACATGAGAGAAGTACGAGCGTGGAATGTGTCGTGTTACGAATTAAAAGATGTAGGTCCAAATGAGATGCAATTTTTCAAAATTCAATCATCATTTGCAATTTTGATCAAAACACTGTTGTTGACGATGATGATCTTTAAAATTTTTGGCTTTCCATCATGTTGCTGCTGTGTGCACTGATTTTGATCAACAAAATAACTCAATCTTTTATTGAAAATGTAAAATTCGACTTAGTTCATGTTGATTCTCACTTTCTTCATCTTGCTGATATCACGTATGAAAAAACATCCAATGTGGCTACCACTGTCGAAACTCATGACTCAAGCAATAGTAGTAGCCATGGTACAATGCTCGGACAGAACTCGAGTTCTCACCTCTCCTTCTATCCTAAAGATGCCTTTGAGTTAACTGTGACGGACAGTACAATGGCTTTAATTGTTATTCTTTCTCCCACAATGAATCCAATGATTGTACAGTCTCAGCTTAAAGAACATACTCGAATTCGAATTACAAAATTTAAAGTATTAATTGATGAGAAAGTGAAAGGGAAGCAAAAACGAGCAACTTTGATTCACTCATTGCAAATTGTTTCACAAAATAATTTGGAATATTCTCTTGATGATTTTTCTGAAATTTTGGATGAAGAAAAAGGAAATATTCGTCCAATCATGTCTGAAAGAGAATATTACATGCCTTTACTTGATGATGATAATTTTGAATTTGAAATGTTTACAGGAACCGTTCCACAAATTGTAAGTTTTAATATATTTTCCAATATAAGTTTTAATGATACAATTCATTGTTGAAAAAACAATGTTGTCGGCCAACCACTGATACAGTCACTCGAAGATCCAACTCCTGATGAAACTTGTCAATTGGCAGAAATTATTGCAAGTTCTAAAAGAAATGCATTTTTCGCTAGAATTTACAAAAAATCAAAAATTCGATATTATGGAAAGACCTATGAAGAAAAGGCATGTCCAATGTTTTATACTCTCTTAATAACAGACAAATCAACACCAAAGGGAGTACCTGTTACTATATGGAATGATCTCGCTTTACATTCATATGCAGAACTCAATATTGGTGACGTTATTATTGTTGATGAGTATCGAGTGAAGCAATTTTATGACTCTGGAGTATTCACCACCAAGTTTAAGCATGAAATTTCAATCAATTCATCCAAAACACAACAACCCATTCAAAAAATAGATCCTAAACAGTTAGAAGCTGTCAAGGAATTTGCTCCCTTATCATTTCCAGTGACAACGATTCATGAAATTGTGGAGCTTTCCCTCTCTGACGCAATAGTTCATGTTCTAGGGGCAGTTGTGAATATTGGACCATACCTAAGAGAACGGTTGCATTCTCAATTTTCGCGGTATAAATATCTGACATTGGTAGATCCTAGCTCAGATCAAATGATGTCTGTAAAAGTATACACAAATTCAAGGAAAAATTTATTAGACTCGGTGCATGTGGGACAAGTGATTTTCATTAGTGATCTTTGTGTGAAACAAATATCTACCTCAATAGAAGACGACTCAAAGTTCACCTATTTGGAGAGCACGTTTGTGACTCATTTCTTTACAGAAGAATAACTGAATGGTGGAGGATTTTTCTACATTGTTGAAAACTCGGATACTATGAAAACAAAAGTAGATGAGATATTCTCATGGCGAAATAAGAAAAAGAAAAGATTCAGAAAATACATGGATTGTGCGCTCACTAGTTTTGATATCACACAAAATTCACTGTCACGAGAGTATCCACTACCAGAATACCAAGATTTGGAGTCTTTCAAAAATGCACATCCAAATGTAAAGTGGATTTATTACAAGGAATTATTCGAGATTCCATCCTCTCTAGTTTTCGAAGAGAATCAAATCGTGATTGTCAAGTGTTTAATTAATGATATCCAAATTGAACGTCAGCAAAAAAGAAAGCGATCACAGCACGAGCTGACACCAAGAAAGAGTCCATCATCGAAGGCCCTAATGAATGACACCATGATGAATAGTAGCTTTGAACAACACAACACAGAAACAAGCTCTGAATCTGGATATACTTTGTTACGTATGGAAACTGAAAGTGTGAACGGAGATCGAAGATTGGATTTAATCATTCCTGTTTGGAACATGGAATTCACTCATCCTTCCTACATCAAAGATCCCTCTTTTGTAAATGTTTTAGATGAACATTTAGAAGTCTTGCTGAAACTCCAGAGTAGTGACTCTCAATTTTCCACTCTCGACCAAGTGATTGATTATTATAGACAATCCATACAAGGTCAGTCATATATTTGTGTGGTCGAAATTCTTTGTGTCGGTCATGCAGAATGCAAATACTTTGTGAAACACATGTTTAGGGATGAACTTTGAAGTTAAAACATGACAGACAGTGCATGATGTGTGAGAATTTTTTCTTGTCACACTCATATTTTGACAATATTCTCCAATGAGTTCCTTCAAATAATCCAATGGTTATGAAATATTCCTACAATCATTCATTCATGACTCAATATGGTTTCTCGTAACTGTTGTAGCTTACTCCGGAAGCGAATGGGCCTTAACTTGTAAGAGGTCTTATCTTCCAAATTCTGCTCTTCACCACTCACTTGAACAGGCATTCGAATAAACACTGATCCTACCACGTGTTCACGATCCTCAGAGTAGCTATCATCAGGTGTAGAAATGTCAGGATTAATTTGACGCAATTTTTTCAACATTTCCATGTCATGAAGGCAACTATTAAGAATGACATGGTCAATCTTTTCATTTTCATCTTCGAATAAATTTGAAGAATCTACGTTCATGTGTGAAATGAAATATTGTGTACCGCCTTCCAAACATGTCATCAAGGGTGGTGCAGACTTGCTTGTCGACGAAGCTTTTTGTTGAGAGGATGACAAATCAAATGGAGCAGAAAAAACTTGAGAATTGCTGCTTGCAGATTCAAAGAGTGGCTCACTCCATTCTAACTTCTTGTGAGCTTTTTGTGACTTGTGGTACAAATCATTGTATGTGTGCACAAGCTCTTGAATTTCCTTTTCAACATTCTCCAGATCAAAAAATCTCTGTTCCATTCCAGAATCAGATGTATGGTCAGAATACAGAGTTGACCACTTGGATTGTTGATTCTTTCGATCATAATAATCAATTTTTCGTAGTTTATCCACCATCGTTTGTTTTCTTCGAACTTGTTCATTCTTTTCTAATTCATTTAAAATTGTGTTTTTAAATTTCTTTTTAAATGTTTGTACAGTTTGTTTTTGTAACAAGGTATTTGGTTCTGTTGAATTAGTTGTCCTCTCAATCATGGGACATGATGTGAAAAATCTTTTTTCCTTTTCTTGTTTTTTTCGTAATTCATGAATGGATTTCCAAGTTCTGATCAATAATTTAATTTTAATGGTGGCAAGCGAACGAGGATTCATACTCTCCATTGAATTATTTTTTGAATCCTCTTCTGCATTCAACATTTTATTCCATATCATCGGAATGGTGATTTGATGATAAATTTTATCTAAATATCGGGCAGTCGTTTCTTGAAAAAGATTTAACCATTGCAATCGCTCTTCCAGTGTGTTTGATTGCAAGCAACATGTTGTTTTGGATGATGATGTATTTCTCCATTCAGGACTATGAGTGAAATTCATGCGCACGAACGAAAAGGGAAAGGATTTAATTTGTTGGCATTCGGTCGAATTTTTTTGTAAGCACCAGAATGATTCTTGAAAATATCTTTTATTCAGGCATGGGTTGCAAGTTCTGATCAAATATGTACGATCCATGTCGAATGATTGTGAAAAACCAAAAAGAAATTGATTGTGAGCCACACGTTACAAAAAAATGAAATCATCAGCCTTGAGAAAATCAATTGCTTCTGCTGCCTCGAAAAGAATCTCAACAACTTCCTCATGCTTGAGCACAACACTCCATAATAATAATTGCGGAGGAGTGAACAAGCACTATTCGACTGCAAGAACAAGTCATCATCAACATGGAAAGAATTCTTCCGGATTTTTTTCATCCTCCTTGATGATGATTTCGAATTCTTCAAATGCTTCAAGAGTGATGACCGTAGCGAATGGCTTATCCTCCTCATCGTACCATACCAATCTTCAGGAATTCAAGAAACCTCTCTTTGATAAGATCCTCATTGCGAATAGAGGTGAAATTGCCTGTCGAGTCATTAAAACAGCTAAAAAGCTCGGTATTCAAACGGTCGCCGTGTACAGTGAAGCCGATGCCAATTCCATGCACGTAGCTATGGCTGATGAAGCCTACTTGTTGGGTCCTCCTGAATCAAGCCGATCCTATTTGTTGGGAGAGAAGATTATTGAGATTGCAAAGAAGAGTGGAGCTCAAGCCATTCATCCTGGCTATGGTTTCCTCTCTGAGAATGCCAATTTTGCAAGTCTTTGTGCAAAGAATGGAATTGTGTTTATTGGACCTCCTGAAGGTGCCATTATTGCGATGGGATCAAAGAGTGAGAGTAAGAAGATTATGGAGAAGGCAAATGTTCCTGTTGTTCCTGGCTATCATGGCGATGAACAGGGAGAAGAGAAATTGCTGTCGGAAGCAAAGAAGATTGGATTTCCAGTTTTAATTAAAGCCGTGATGGGAGGAGGTGGAAAGGGAATGAAATTGGCAAACAGTGAAAAGGATTTCAAAGAAGCCTTGTCTTCTGCAAAACGTGAATCGAAAGCATCCTTTGGTGATGATCGAGTATTGATTGAAAAGTATATCCAAACTCCTCGTCATATTGAAATTCAAGTGTTTGCGGATACTCTCGGAAATTGTGTGTACCTCTTTGAAAGAGATTGCTCTGTTCAGAGAAGACATCAAAAGATTATTGAAGAGGCACCTGCACCAGGATTGGAAGACGATGTCAGAAAGGCCATGGGTGAGAGTGCCGTAGATGCTGCTCGTGCTGTGGGATATGTCGGTGCAGGAACTGTTGAGTTTATTATGGACAATGACACTCAGAAATATTACTTTATGGAAATGAATACAAGACTTCAAGTGGAGCATCCTGTGACTGAAATGATTACAGGACAAGATTTAGTCGAATGGCAGATTGAAGTTGCATCAGGCAATCGATTGCCTTTACTTCAGAAAGATTTGAAGAGACGAGGTCACTCGTTTGAAGCTCGTATTTATGCTGAGAATCCAGAGAATAATTTCCTGCCTGGAACTGGTACATTGCGTTATTTGAATCCTCCTGAGGAAGTTGAGGGCGAAGTGAGAGTTGAAACTGGAGTTAGACAAGGAGATGAAGTTTCGATTTATTATGACCCAATGATTGCAAAACTTGTTGTTTGGGGCGAAAATAGAGAATTGGCACTCCGTAAATTGGTTTCATGCTTGAATAGATATCACATTTCTGGATTGACAACTAATATTGAATTTTTAAAGAGATTGGCTACCAATCAAAGATTTAGAAATGTTGAATTGGAGACTCACTTTATTCAAAAGTATTACAATGAATTGTTCCCAGAAAAGAAGATGGATGATTCCATCTTCTTATTGGCCACTCTCTCCTTAATTGTTAGAAACGATCGTCACACAGCTCGATCCAGCGATCCATTTGATCTTCTCAAAGGTATGAGATTTAATCATAATCATGACGAGACCTTTGAGTTCCACCATCCATACAATAAGGATCAAGTGGTTTCAGTTAATGTCGAGCATTTGTGGGATCCAATCTCAACCACAAAATTTGTCATGAAAATTGGAAACGCTACTCATGTTGTCAGTGGAACATACGATGCCACTACAAAGGAAATTGTTGCATTTGTTGACGACCGAAAGTTCCACAGCACCCTCGCATTCAGTAATGACCAAAAGACAATTTACATTTTCACAAGAGATGGCCAACGTTATGAAATTGTCCCAGTTTTGGCTGCATTTGAACAAAAGGGAGGTGCTCATATGGGATCATTAAAGAGTCCAATGCCTGGAAAAGTCACAGCCGTGATGGTCAAGGAAGGAGATAAGGTTGTCAAAGGAGACACAATTCTAGTCATGGAGGCCATGAAGATGGAACACAAGATTGTAGCACCAAAGGATGGTATCATTAAGAGTTTACCTTACGCCGTTGGAGATTTGGTTCAAGGCGAAGCTGTTTTGGCTGTTTTGGAGTAATTTCAAAGAGTTTCATAAACCACATATTTATTTGAGAAAACATTGAAATGTCCTTCACCAGTCTTTAGTTTTTCGGCAATGGTCATTGGTCAACCTCAACAAAGAAGACCTTCGTAATAGCAAAACTGTTTCCTAGATTGTGTTTCATCAACAAGTTGGGTCGTTTAGGTGCAAATCCAAATCGAATTAAAGTTGAATGAAGCAGCTGTGCAAATTAAATATAAATGGCACAACATATCCACTGCAACATAAGAACCAGTAAGGTATACCTGAGTGGGTGGGATGTTGGTGCGAATTTTTTGTACATTCTGTGAAAAACACACATACCTTAACGTATCATCAGTCTGAACATTAGGTTACCAACCTAGAATTATGTTGAGCTTGTATTATACTGAAAATAAATAGTACTTGTGTATCACTTAATGATTCATTTAGTATGCATACATCAGTCTCAAACAAGGCTCTCCAATGCATTAATGTGCACTGTTCACACTTGGTGCTACCTGTCATCATAATTTCTCTTGTATCCTCTGTCTCTTCGATCGTCACCACCCCTGTCATAGCCTCTTCGAAAACCACCACTACCTCCACCACCTCTTCCTCCTCTGAAACCACCTCTTCCTCCTCTACGAAATCCAGGTTCATGATATCGTTCCTCTGGTTTTTCTTCGACAACAGGCGGGAGTGGCTCTCTAGAATTGCCTAAGCCTCCCCCCAATCGTCTTGGTTTCCAATCTTTGACAGTTCTTCCACGCTCCACATCCACCATTACTCTCCATTGATCAATTTCCATTCCATCACCTCGATTATAGGCATCTCTCATGTCTTCATGATTTTCAAATTCAATAAAGGCATAACCTCGGGATTTACCAGTATTTATGTCTCTCACCACTCGCACTGTTTTAATTGGTCCAAATTTACTGAAAGCATTTCTGAGTGTTTCTTCCGTTGTTTCATAATTCATCTTGGCAATAAATAAAGTATTGAAAGGCTCTAAAGTTGCTTTTGGATCATTATTCGGATCCCAACTCTGCAAGGCTTTTCTCAATTCTTTTTCTGCCTTTTCCGCGTTTTCTCTTTTTATTCTTTCCTTTCGTTTTCTTCTTGATTCTGGCATTTCATATTTTGTGGTTCTAATCTTTTGTCCTTCGGCATCATATTGTACTTCTTCTTGTTCAAATTTTTCAACCAAATCGGCAATTCCGGAAAGATCAGAGTGTTTCGATCGTTTCCTTCTCCTCTCATCAAGAGCAGGAAGCTGCTCTAGTGGAGGTCCCGGAGCAAACAATGCCTGAATTTGCGGTGGTAATTTATTCGGCACATTGCGATACTTTTTCGAGGTACTGTGAGACATTTTTTTTGTTGTTGCAATCTTTGATTTTTGAACGTGTGGTTATGCAATAATAAACTAAAACATAAATCAAAGGTCATTAGAGGTAAAAGAATTAAAAAAAACTCTTCTCGTGGTGATGGGTTTGGAGATTGTTATTTACTCTCTCTCGTTGAAACAAGCACACATGATTCAGGTTAGAAGAGAATATTCAATAGTAATTGTTCAAAGTTTTCAATTTTAAAGCGTGCCATTTCAGAGGGAAGATTGTGGAGGAATTGTTTGACATTTTCGCTTGGAGGTTCTTTCGTGAGTATGGTCACCAATTGCTCATAATACTTGTACGAAGGAACAATGTCAAGTTGTAGCATAATTTTGTGAATTTCCAAAATAGCATCATATTCTCGAACCATGCCCAAGCCCTCGATTAAGGTTTCATGGGTAAAAATGTCTCCTCTCATTGGAAAGTTTAAATAGAGAGTGATGGCATCTTCCACACATAACAACCAAACATAGGTGTAAAGCATTTCATTATAGACTCTCAATTCTTTGGTATCTTTAAACTTGTTAAATACATTCTCTGCCTTCTCGAGCTCTCCAAGATATCCATACGCTCGTATGAATAAAGCGCAATTGGTGGAGGTTATCTTGTTCTCACTATCTGCATGTTGGACGATCTTTAGAGCCTCTTCCTTACTTTTAGTGTACATGAGACTTGTAATGGCGTGTCCTAAAATCTCTTCATTGGGCTTTATACCTTCCCGTACCATTGAATCATAAAATTTGGTTACGGCTTTGTGATCAGAGAGTTTGCTAAAATGTGAAATTAGTGGAAGATAGGTATTTTCAGATCGAGGTATTTTCTTTCGTGCCATTTCTTCGAATAGAACGAATGCAGGTTCAAAATCACCACTCTCCAAAAACATTTCTATCATTGTATCATAATATTGGGGTCTCTGTGGAGAGGATGAATTGTTTTTGACTTTTTCAAAGAGAGACAGCGCTTCTGGGATACATTTTGCATCAGCCAAAATTTGTAAAAGTGATAATTTAGTCGTGTCACTTTGTGGAGTTTTGCTTAGATTATGTTTGTACGCATAATATAATTTCCTGATCTTTGCTCGTGCAGGTGGGGAGATGGTAGCCAATCGTGAGATAAATGTAGACATAAAGTATGCATCTGGAACGATACGATCCTTGGACACCATTCTTTCAATGCTTTCAACGATGGAGTCAACAGTTTCGAATTTGCCGTCATTTTGTAATTCCAAAAACTGACACTTAACCAGGTATGTATAGGTTCTGGAATTCCTATCGACTTTGTAGAGATCGAACAAATTAAAATAATATTTCACTCTTTCCTTGACAAGGCTTAATGGAGCTCCATCTTTGCTCTCTGATATTTTAAGCATTCGTATCCAGCCATCCATCATGGAGTTAAGAACCTCGGTATTCACGTGTTGAATATCTTGAAAATACTTTTCTGCTTGCGACATGTTTCCTCTGAGGGCCATTGCATCAATCACAACACTGTGAGTATATGAGACACAATCCTTCTTCTTTTTCAGAGCATCTTCTACTTCTTTAAGCTCTGAAATACTTCTTTTGTGTGCAACTTGTAAGTTAGAGGGAATTGATTTCATGAGATTGGAAGCAGTTTTTGGATGAAGAGCTCCTTGAGTGGTACTTTTTGATTTCAAAGAACTTCCAGCTAATGCTAATAAATGAATCAATGTCTTTTTCATTTCATCATCGGGGTTTGTGATGAGTTGAAACAATTCCTTCACTTTTGGGGCGTTTCCTTTTTTTGCATAAAATTGCATTAAAATCAATAGAGAAGATGGTCCAAATTTTTGAATAATATTGTTCTGATTTAACACAGCAGTCAATCTTTCCTCAGAAATATCACTTTGATTGCATAGTATTAATAAATTGTTGTTCAGTTCTTGTTGATTTTTGGAAGCCAATAATTTTTCAATGATATTTACGGAACGAGCTCCTTCACCCTTGTTAGTATTGTCATGGGAATTTTCAATCTTTGATTTGTCATGTTGGTTGTCTAATGATGAAAGATTTGGGTATTCCGAAGAAGCCATTGTTGAAGAAAAAGCTCGAATTTGATGATCACCAAAAATCAAGTTAGAATGATCAAAGTGTCCCGATTTCCTTCTTATGACTATTTGTGCTATGTTTGTATGAGAAGGCTTCATACGAAACAACATCAGAACCATTCTCCGAGTGATTGTGTTGCAACATCCTCCTCCCATAAGAACCTTCCTTCCCATCATACTTTCTCTCACGAATTTTGATATTTTAAACTTTTGTTGAAAATTTTTTCTTGCGGCTCAATCAATTTGTTGGTGCTGCACCCTTGTGGGGTTCGGTATTTGCAATTTGCAAAATAATTTTAAATCATGACAATGTTTGCCCAAGCATGCTTCCAATAATATACTATTTAAATACAGAGCATAAAAAACAACATGTTGTACCATTTCGTGTCAGTTGAGTTAATTAATCTTTCAATATTTTCAAAAGAATTTTGAGAGCAGCAACTTGAGCCAAACTTTACAAAAAAATGCTCCAACAAACCCGTGTCAAGCTTTCTTCATCCTTGAGTCGTTGTGGTAGCAGTGCAATGGCTTCGGGCAGCAAGCTCTCTGTAGCCCTCTCATCATCAAGCACATGCTCTCATCAGAGATTTTATCATAGTATTACTAGCGCCGAGACCACACACAATGTCCTTCCAAACAATATTCAACGCGATTCTGAATTTAAACAGAACTATTCTCACAACCTGGCCGGTGTCAATGATTTGAAGAATTTGATTGAAAAGATAAAATTGGGAGGTGGTGAAAAGTACAGAAAGATGCATACGGACAGAAATAAGCTTTTGGTCCGAGATCGTATTAATCGAATGCTCGATGATGGATCTCCATTCCTTGAGTTCAGTCAATTGGCTGGTTACCAATTATATGGAAAGGATGAAGTACCAGCTGGTGGTATTATCACTGGTATTGGTAAAATTCATGATCAGTTATGTGTCATTGTTGCCAATGACGCCACCGTGAAAGGAGGTACCTACTATCCAATCACTGTCAAGAAACATTTAAGAGCACAAGAAATTGCTGAACAAAACAATTTGCCATGTATCTATGTGGCTGACAGCGGTGGAGCTAACTTGGAGCATCAAGCCGATGTGTTTCCAGATAAGATGCACTTTGGTAGAATTTTCTATAATCAAGCTCAAATGAGTGCTAAAGGTATTCCACAAATTGCTGTCGTTATGGGTAAATGTACTGCTGGTGGTGCCTACGTTCCTGCCATGGCTGATGAGAGTATTATTGTGAAAGGAAATGGTACTATTTATTTGGGTGGTCCACCATTGGTTAAGGCAGCCACTGGTGAAGAAGTGACTGACGAGGAATTGGGTGGTGCTGATGTTCACTGCAGACAAAGCGGTGTCACTGATTATTATGCCAATGATGAAACAGAAGCTATTTATTTAACAAGAAGAATTGTTGCAAATTTGAACATGAAGAAGAAGGACTTTTTGGGTCAAAACAATAGCAACAGAAATCAAATTCCTACTGAATTTGAGGAACCAAAATACAGTGCTGATGAGATTTTGGGTATTATTCCTCGTGATGGCAGAAAGAACTTTGATATCAGAGATATTATTGCACGTATCGTTGATGGAAGTAGATTTGATGAATTCAAGCAATTATATGGTACAACATTAGTGACTGGTTTTGCCAAAATTTATGGCAAACCAGTAGGTATTGTTGCCAACAATGGAATTTTATTCTCTTCTTCTGCTCAAAAGGGAGCTCACTTTATTGAATTGTGTTGCCAAAGAGGCATTCCTCTCCTCTTCCTTCAAAACATTACTGGTTTCATGGTTGGTAAACAGTACGAAAATGGTGGTATTGCTAAAGATGGAGCTAAAATGGTGATGGCTGTTGCCAATGCTAAAGTTCCAAAGATTACAGTTTTGATTGGTGGTAGTTTTGGTGCTGGTAATTATGGTATGTGTGGAAGAGCCTATAATCCAAGATTTTTGTACATGTGGCCCAATTCAAGAATTTCTGTCATGGGTGGTGAGCAAGCTGCCTCTGTTCTTTCTCAAGTAAGACAAGAAGGTTTGAAGAGAAGTGGAAAGGAGGTTCCAGAAAGTGAAATTGAGACATTTAAGAACAGTATTAGAGCCAAGTATGAGCATGAGGGTCATCCATACTATTCAAGTGCCAGATTGTGGGATGATGGTGTGATTGATCCACGTGACACAAGAAGAGTGATTGGTTTGAGTTTGAGCGCATGTGAAAATGTTCCAATCGAACAACCAACTCAATTTGGTGTTTTCAGAATGTAAATGGATGTTTTTCACTCACCAATTCTTTCCTCGATAATTTTTTACTAAAATTCATAATTGTTGAAGATTACTGAGCTTTCAAATATTCTTTCGTGTCCACGAATATTCTTAGAGTCATATGCCTGGCATTCGTTTTGGACTGAAACCACAAATTATTCTTATTGAAATCTCGGATGTTTTCTTCAATTCTCATGCCTCAAGATGATCGTGAGAAAACATTTGTTCCTTTCGATGAAATCGGATCATTCAAACACTGACACTTGTCAAAACAAAAAATTCATCATGCCCCCTCTCGATTTTATCCGAAAAGCAGTCGTCAAGAACAACAACAACAACTCACCACCATCATCATCATTGTTAGAATCTCCTACGAGTCGTCCCTCCTCTCCAACATCACCTCTCATCAAGATCAAACACAAATCCACACTCGCCATTCAATTTAAATATGAAAAACAATATACCTCTCTCCAACAACAATCCTCCATTTCGCATCATTCCACTCAATTAATATGTTTCCCAAGTGATACGTTGCAAAATTTTGTTCGAGAGAAAGTGTTGCCGCTACTCGGATTAGAAGCTTCGACGAGTCATCACATGGAAAATTCGGATCCATTGGCAGCCTTCAAAGAAAAGTATGCCATGTTTGTCGTGAGAGGAGGAGAGACGAATCAGTATTCAATGACGCAAATGGGAGCCCATTCTACTTCATGTTCGAGGGGTGACTGGATTTTTAATTATGGACTTTGTTTTAATGATTTGAAATTGAAAGGATCGGTAAGTATGATGTGAGTGTTGTGATCATTTTGGGCTTTTAAACGTGTTGTTCATTTATCATTGGTACAACATGTTCTCGTTTTTGATTTACTTTCACAGTGCACCATAGAGTGCGTTTTTCTCAAAAAGAAAACTCAAGTTCAATTCGATATTGATCAACAATTTGTAAAAACTGTTGAAATTCTCGAATTGAAAACTGTGAATGAAATTACACAAGAAATTGCAAATTCTTTCATGATAAAAAGAGAATTCATGGATGACTTTTCATTAAAAGATGAAAAAACAAATCAATGGCTAAAACCTTCTCTGACATTGAGAGAACAATCTCTTATTTTGGATGACAAGTGTAAATTGAGACTTGCTAAAAAGTATAATTTCACAATTGGTTTACTGTTGGAAAAGAAGATGGATTTGAAATTGAATACATTGACCTTATCACTTTCGTATAATGAGGTATGTTATTGGAGGGAATTGCCAAAGTTGATTTAAACACACGTGTGTGATGCGAATCGTTCATGTAATTTGAAATTTATGCAAAATATTTAAACGTTCAATTACATTTACAAATTGTTCATGTGAAACTTGTGTGAAAATTGTGCAAAATATTTAAAAATTCGTGGAATGTGAATCTCAAATATATGATCCAAATGAACCATGTGTCAGAGCAAAGAACGTGTCATGAATGGAAAACTATCTTACAATATTGAAGATCGACCCCAAAGAAATGATCTTTCAAAACTTGTTGCTCTCTCAATCATTGCAGAGAATAGAGACACGAAACCATATTTAGAATGTGATGATGTCTCAAAATTTGAACCTTTCGTTCCTCCCTACGTTTACAGTGAAATTCAATCCAACTCGAAAATCAAACCAAAGATGAAGAAAAAGTTTGTCACTCGATTGCAACGTCACAAACATCTCAATGCCATTGATGCTCAATGTGAATATGTGAATTTATGTTCTCAACATCCATTTTTCAGATTTAATTTGTATCACGTTCAATCCTCACAAGTTACAACAACAAATGAAAGCGAGAACGACTTGTGTCCTACCTCTATGAAGGAAAACATTCTTGGAATTGACGACCATAGTTTAAGTCTCATTCATCCCAAGGATAAGTGTGTTATATTCAGTACTTCGTTATCCAATATTGTGACCTTTTCAACAGCGAATGGAGAAATTTTGAATGTCGTCTTAAAACAACCAGAACCAATATTCGATTCGACTCTTGTCATTAAGAGTACGGAAGCCATTGAAATTGAAACTATACTCACGGGAGCCATTGATTATTTCACACGAAAAATCTTTCTGTCACAGCAAGCAGTTGCATCTCAACAAGATGATTCCGAAACCATTGGTGACTCTTCATCAAGCAAAAAATCCTCAACGTTCTCACTTCCAACACATATTCCAACCACAGACATTGATTTATTACTCTCTGACAAGAATATTGTGAGTCAGGCGCTCATAGGTCTCGAAGAGTATAACAAACAAATTTATTCAAAAACTGGACCCGTTCAACAAATATTGAAAGAAATGGAAGATTCTCAATCGCAGTGTAGACGAAGAGTCATTTCCAATTATATTCAAATGTTGGAACGTGAGGCTAAAAGGAATAACGAAGAGTTGAGTGAAATTTTCAAAAAACCAATGGAATATCTAGAGTTGGTTGAAAATGGCAAGTCACAACGACAATTACTGGAAGATTCCTATATCAAATTATTAGAAATTGAGACTGAACGAAAAATCAGAGAATTAGAAGTGAAATTATTAGAAAATGTTTCCAAGGGTATTCAACAATCCTTCTCTGTTCGATTTATGGGTGATTCTTCAGCCACTTCTTCTTTAACAGAATTGGGTCATTTGAAAAATCAAATTTATCCAAAACAAATTCTTGACACAAAGCGAGAAATGGAATTTGCATTCCGTGAATTGGATCTTTTAGAGAGTGTGGAACAAAAGCAAGCTTCTCTCTCGAATCTGAAACAATTATTTGAGACACAAATTCAAAACATGTTGAACTATGAAAAGTTTTTGAATGACAAATTTCAAAAGATGAGAGAAGTGATGTCCACGATGAGCAGCACTACGGGTCAACACGCAGGAGGAGTATTATTGTCCTCCTCTCCATCCTCCTCTTCAACTTCATCATCATTTCGATCGAAAAATGTGAACGAACGACAAACACAATCAAATTCATCCTCTCCAAGATCTGTCGGAATTAGCACTTGTTCGCAAGGAGGCCGAATTGCGGATGCAAAAAGTTCTACGAATGGAAGTGGATCAAGTATTGTGAGTGGTAGCAGCAACAACATCAAGGCAACATCATCACCCATTGTGACGCCATCTGTCTCAGTGAATGATTTGAAAAGCCGATTTAATTCACCAATGACCTCATCCTCACCTACCTCAACACCATCTGACCCTACATCGGTGTCCACAAGTGCAACACCAGCAGTAAGAACAAATAGAACATCGACTGTGTTGGAAGTTATTCGAAGTTTTGAAAAGAAGTAACCAAATTTCCACTATCGATTTGATTAAACAAATTAAATCATCATTCTCCCTTTTCTTTGTTGTGCAAGTTGCTTTGTGAGGTCCATCTTTTAATAGTAAGATCTGTGATAAAACAATTTCGATATAATGGATAGAATCCGATGATAGCTCAGCTGGTAGAGCATGGGACTGTAGCAAGCAAGCCATCCTGTGGTCGGCGGTTCGATTCCGTCTCATCGGATAAATTTTTCATTCAGTTATGTCTCAACAACACAATTTTTATTACTCCAAACATTTAAAGGATTAATATTGATGATTTCTATGAAATTTATTGATGACATTATAGATATTTATCGAAATTTGAATTAAATTTGGATATCGAGGAGCTATCCAGTTGTTCACTTCTTCGTTGGTACAATTTTGATTGATAAAAAAAGCTTCCTTCCGTTTGTGCACGAGCAGGTTTTGCTGTTAAGCTTCACAATTCCGAAACTTTTTCTTTCCATTGCGGAAGCAGCACACCAACGTTGATTCTGCGGTTGTTGTCAACACAGAAGAGTTGAATAATTTATTATATTCTTCTACAGTTAGTTAATACATCAATGAAGCGATTTACTTCCATCAGCAGGCAACCAGGAGGCTTGCTCATGGGCAGCAGCAATCCAAACGTAATTCCGAAGAGACCCTTCAAAACTGTACTCTGTGGGATCCATCAACCAATGATGACGATCCATTCTAATAGTAGAAGCAACAGCAATAGCCTCTCCTCATCAACTCATGTTTTACATTCCAAATTCAACAGCCACACTACCCTATTGAAAACACTTCATCCCGAATCATCAAACTTGTTGTTAAAGCAAACATTTTCAACAACCTTCCATGTTTCAAACAATGAAGGTAACAATGATGATAACGATTCACATCGCAATAAAACAAAGAAGCCCGGAAAATCAAAGCAAGAGGACAGACATTCCGAGAAGGAAGATAAAACCAGTGAAATTAATCGAAGATTTGATGATTATGAAGCTTCTTCTAAAAAGAAGAAGGACGACAAGACCTCAAAAAAACCACATGAAGAAGAAACAAAAGCACCATCGTCCGATTCATCAACCAACGAAGATGTCATTGATGATGATGCCGAGCATGAGAAGGAAATTGAAAAACTCTTTGAAAACGAAATGGAGCAAGAGAATAAGGAAGTGGTCCATCCAGAACAACATTCTTCTCATCAGACCAACAAGTCTCTACAACCTGTTAAGCCAGCGGAACAATCGATTGCAAGCTTTTTTGCCACTCCAACACCTCCGATGGTGGAGGTTGTTCCTCTCTATAAGAAACCTGCATTTCCAGGAACCATCATTCCCATATTCATTACAGACATGAAGTTCATTCAATCCATGTTGGAGAGTGGCTTCCACGAAAAGTTGGTGGGTCTCTTCTTGGTCAAAGATCCCGTAAAGAGAGATCAATTGCAGAATATTACATCCATTAAGGATATCGAACAAGTGGGTACATTGGCCAAAGTTACACGAGTGGTTCCAGCAAGAGGTGGAGCATCTGTTGTTTTTGCAGCCATACGAAGAATTAAAATTACTGGCTCTGTCCCAGAAGCAAAGCGAGTGTCAGCCAAAATTGAGGAACTTCCAACAAAGAAGGTCGACAAGAATGATCTCAGTGTAAAGGCACATGTAATGGAAATATTCCAACAAATCAAAGAATTTTTATCTCGCTTGGATCCCGTGCAAAGAGAGCAATTGAACATGATTCTGGAACAGTTGGATCATACAGACCCAGCCGAGTTGAGTGACATTGCTGCTATATTATCGTCACATGATCCTGACAAGTTGCAAGATGTTTTACAAACACAAGATATTCGAGAACGACTTGTCAAATCTTTAGAAATTCTTAAAGCTGAAGTGGAAACTAAAAAGATTCAAGAAAAAATTCAAAAAAATCTCGAAGAAAAACTCAATAAGCAACAACGTAAATTATATCTCACTGAACAATTGAAAATTATCAAACAAGAACTTGGTCTGGAGAAAGATGCTAAAGAAGAATTGTACAAAAAATTCAGCTCGCTCGCCAATGAAATCAAAAAGAAGGATGTACCAGAAATTATCAAAACAACACTTGATGACGAGTTGAACAAATTTTCAACGCTCGATCCTCACTCGAGTGAATACACCAATGTGAGGAATTATTTAGATTGGTTGACTTGCCTTCCATGGCAAACCTTTTCAAAGGAAAACTTTGATTTAGCAAGCGCAGCCAAAATTCTAGATCGAGACCATTATGGCTTGCAAAAGGTTAAAGAAAGAATTTTGGAATTTATTGCTGTCGGAAAGTTGAAGAACACCTTGAAAGGTAAAATTATTTGTCTTGTTGGACCTCCAGGTGTTGGTAAGGTAAGTGATGTGAAAAGAGCAAATTGTTTTTGAAAAGTCTTTTGAAATGTCATGAACTGAATGGAATGGTTTCGATTAATCATTTCCATTCACTAATCAACTTGGTCTATTCAAATGAACTGGTACAATTACAACATGATTAACGTTCCACCTCATATTCCTGAACTCCCAATTTGATGAACATAAATGTTAAGACAAGTATCGGCAAATCAATTGCTGCTGCTCTGAATAGAGAATTCCATAGATTTAGTGTTGGTGGCCTGTCTGACGTTAGCGAAATTAAGGGTCACAGAAGGACCTACATTGGATCCATTCCAGGTAAACTAATTAATATTATGAAGTTGGCGAAATCAAGCAATCCTGTCATCATGATTGATGAAATTGACAAACTGGGTAGAAGTCATCAAGGAGATCCAGCAAGTGCTTTGTTAGAAGTGCTCGATCCCGAGCAAAATCATTCATTTGTAGATCACTATTTAGATGTTCCCTATGATCTAAGCAATGTTTTATTTATTTGTACAGCAAATGTTCTGGACACCATACCAGGACCACTTCTAGACAGAATGGAAGTTCTTCGTTTGAGTGGTTATGTCTTGGATGAGAAACTTCACATTACCAGAAATTATTTACTTCCAAAGAAGGTTGAAGAGACTGGTCTCCTTTCCAAAAAGACAAAGAAACCTCTCTTGACTTTGGATGATTCTCTCATTGAGAAACTCATCAAGGAACATTGTAGAGAGGCAGGTGTAAGAAATTTAGAGAAACACATTGAAATGATTTGTCGAAAAGTTGCTCTTAAAATTGCAAAAGACACCACCCAAAAGAGACCAGCAATTTTCCATTTGAAAGAAACTGATTTGGAAGAATTTGTCGGAAAACCTGTCTTTACATCCGATAGATATTATTTAACAACTCCCATTGGTGTCACCATGGGTCTTGCCTGGACGAGCATGGGAGGATCAACCTTGTATATTGAAACGGTGGCAGATAAGATGTATAGTGAACCTGAGATTACCAATGCTCCATCTTCTACTGACAGCACAACGGCAATGACCGCATCAGTCACTCCGTCGCCGCAACCTCCTAATGGATCCTTGAAATGTACAGGTCAAATGGGTGATGTCATGAAAGAATCAACCGCTATTGCATATACCTACGCCAAGAATCATCTCTTCAACATTGATCCAAAGAACGATTTCTTTAGAAAGACACACATCCATATGCACATTCCAGAAGGAGCTACTCCAAAAGATGGTCCATCGGCTGGTGTGACCATGGTTACTTCATTATTATCACTTGCATTGAATAGACCAGTCAAGCATAATCTTGCCATGACTGGAGAGTTGACCATCACAGGAAAGGTTCTCACTATTGGAGGAGTGAAAGAAAAAGTCATTGCCGCAAAACGTTCTGGAGTTTCTGAAGTCATTATGCCTTCAGGAAATAGAAGAGATTGGGACGAATTGGATAAAACAATTACTGAAGGAGTGAAGGTGCATTTTGTAGATTATTACAGCGACGTTTTTAAGATTGCGTTCGAATATGATGAGGCTGAAAACCAGGCAGCCATCGAGAAGGATCGTAAGTCCGGAAACTTGATGGATCTCTCTTCTTAATTGCGATTCATTCTGAACTAAACACCAAAATGTGTTTGGCAGGAATAAGAAAATCAAACAATTTGTTGAATAATTATTTATTATTGCTGTTAAATATCCACTTTTTGAATGTTAATTTTCCTTCTGGTCCAAACAGTTCATAAATCCAATACCAAATAAATCCCATCATTTTCAGTTTGAACGGTCTCTTTTCCCAATCCTCAATCAATATTTCTTTGGAAACTTCTAATTCTCGCTTAAAGTCTTTTTCGAGTTCCTTGGCCAATTTAATGTCATAGTGTTGAATGCCAACTTCGAGATTGGTTTCGAGGCTCATTTTGTCGAGATTGTACGAACCCATGGATGTGAAAAAGCCGTCAATTGTCATGTATTTGGCATGGAGGGTCTTTCCGAAATATTCATAAACTCTAATACCATGTTTTAAATAATCTTCATAGATGTAGGTACTGATATATCTCATACCGGGAACGTCACTTCGTCCACATGTTAACAACCTCACGTCACATCCATTTTTCCTTGCAGTAATTAAGGCATCTCGTAACTTTTCAGGTGGATAAAAGTATGGCGTAGAAATGTAGCAATGACTCGTGGAATTCTTGATTACATTACAAATATTCTTATAAAGAGCGGTTTTGTGTTTCTTGGGATCTGAAAATAAAACTTGAGAAAATCTTCGTCCTTCGTCAATGGTGGAATTTGCCGTCACTGAAGATTTCATTGATTCTGTGGCTTGAGACGAAAATTCAATTGAACTATTCACTTCTTTTGGTACCGCTTCCTCAATGAAATCATGCAATGATTCTGGTTCAAATTCTCGATCGGCAGTACATATATCCTCCTTAGGAAAACGCAACGCTAATTCCTTTCCATATTTTGAATTTGATTGCTCCAAACTGAACAATAGAGAAAGTGTGAGGTATGATACGCAAGGTCCATCAACCATACAATGCAAGTCACGCATGTCTCCAATTCCAGACAAGAGCACATTAAAATCTGTCGTGTTGGATCTTCCCTTTTCAATGTATTCATCGAGTTCGTCAAGTAAATTTTCATCGGGAGGCACATCCAAAACTCCTCTGTCTCCTTCCTCTGCAGTTATTTCCCTCTCTAATTGTTCTTCAGTGTACATTTGTCTGTCGAACGGATTTGAATATCGATTTTCAATGTTCATTCCTCCAATGAGTCCAATTTTATCATCGATCACACACACTTTTTTGTGATTTCTAAGTGTTGGGGACCTGCTTGGATGTCTGAAAAAGAAATAAATAAGCTTTAAATCCCTTTCATTGAATTTTAAAACTTTTCCACCTGCATCTTTTAATTCTTGGATTAAATCTTCCTTCTCAAAATCAATATGATAGCTTCCGAAAGCATCCACAGTCAATATCACTTCAACTCCTCGATGTGCTGCTTCAATAAGCTTTACCAAAGTCTTATCTCCTGTTTGGTCTGTGGATATGGTGTAACAATCAATAAATACTCTCTTCTTTGCTCGGTCGATATGATTCCATAGCGATTTAAAGTAATCGGCTCCATGAAAATAAATTTCCTTCACTCGGTTATTCTCAGAAAATCCACCCAATGAAATGGATTGAGAAATAGACATGAACCAAGGCAATAATAAATCTCTTCCGCATTTCTTTGATAACTCTTCCAAATGAGGATAAAAAGCAGAAATGACTTCTTCGGTAGCTTTTGCAACTCCTCCATGCCTCCATATCCAACTTTTTGATTTAAACATAAACCGATGCCATACTCGTGAATAAAACAAATTCCGATAGTAGGAAGATGGTGATGATGATGAATAAAGAAGAGAGGAACAGCCTCGTGTGGTTGCTGCCGTTCCAGCTTTTAACATTTTTTTGATTGTTTTCATCCTTTTAGAGGAGGAGAAACTGAAGTGACTGAGGGAATTACTGAAATAATATTGAATCATTGTCCATGAAATCATCATGATCTTGTTTAAAAACAAACCTCAAAATCCGAGGAGGAGATGAGACTTAGGCTCTCCAATTTGAGTTTTTAAATTTCAAAAAATTGAGCTTGAGGGTCAATCTTTGATCCCTGAATCGCGTGTAAGGCTGATTTTGTTGTTGTGATAGTACTTTATAGATCCTTCTCTCCTCATGACGACCATTACCACCACTTTACGGAAACGACTCAATTATAGTAGCCAGCTTAATCATTTTGTATCTGCTGATGCTGCTTCGGAACATACATTCTCGCCCAATCATCATCCCACCAATAACACCACCATAACCACCACATCTGGTGCTTGTAGTACCATTCTGACCAATGCTTTGGATTTGAGAAATCCATCCAGCCAATCCTTCGAGTTTCATTCCATTCCTTTTGAAAAGTCAGCCCTCACGGAGAGTCATTTCCAAGCACCACAACAACATCGTTCCGAAAGGAAATTCATGAGTCCTGATTATGATTCTCATGATGTCCAACAAGCTCATACTACATCAATAGCATCATCTGCATGGAAATCTCAATTCCATTCTTCAAATGATGATGATCATCAGGAAGAGGAGGAAGAATATGAAAAAGAGGCTGATCAAGAGAGCGATACTTCGGACCTTGAAGAAAGGCTTAATTCTCTCGAGCGATTTTGTGTTGGATTTGAGCTTGAGGCAAAGATAGAAGATCATTTTCACGAAGCATTTGAGCAAATGAAAAACACAATCGATAAAGAAGCAGAAGCGAGTAGTTTGTGGTTAGAATCTGTACAAAGTAATGTAAATATCATTAAGAATCGACTCGGAGTGGTCATGAAAAAAGTTGACGTGCTCTCTCGGAATGTTGAAAAATACTTGGAACGACATTCCAATTCGTCTTCCTTATTACCAGAAGAGGGTTTTAGGTCACTTGAGGAAAAAGAAGAGGGTGTGAATTCGTGTCAACATGACGATTCAGTAGGTGTTATTATTGATAATTGATGTGATTTTGTTGTCAATCAAAACATCAGAGTTTAGTATAGTAGGTTGATCAAGTACACCTTCATCAACAGTAATAAATGCGTGCAGAGAGATTGTAAACAGTTCTGAAAATTGTTTGGCTTTCTTCAGAGGCTGTCAAACAAAATTCTCTCTACATTGTGTTTCGAAATCGGTGATTATTGTTGCTCATTCTCTCGTTGCCATTTACCAAAGATTGTATCAGCAACACTCAAATCAGACTCCAATTGCTTCTTAATGTCAAACTTTTCAATAATATCCTCAGCTCTCTTTTGTTCTTCTCTTCTCTTTGTGAACAAGTGTTGAAGGGAGAGACCAATTTTTCTCTCAGAGCCCGACGAGGAGAAAGCCATGGAGGATCTTGAAGAAGCTGCCAACATTGACGGTCTCTTGGTGGGAGGTGACATCATGATACCATTAGAGTCCAAGTGTTCAAGGCCATATGCCAAATCGAGTTCTTCTTCAGAAAGCTCTCCATCCGAGCTCATTTCTGTTCCGAAATATAAGGAGTTTGCATCGTCGGAGCATTCAGTGAATGTGTATTCAGTCTCAATATTTTCCTTGTCTTTTTGAAGTGCCTGCTTGTTCTTCTTTCTGAATAAGAGTCGTTTCAGACGATTCAAATTTGAAGATTCCGCACCTTCACCACCGGTTGCTGCTTGATCGTGAGAGGTCTTTTTTGAGAGCTTGTCCAAAAGCTTTTTGACTTTTGGATTGTCAAAGTTGAATTTCTTCTTCTTGCCTGCACTGGTGATGGCAGCTTTGCTGGCAGACTTGGGAGAAAATTTCGCAATCTTTTGTGGAAAGTATTGTGGAGTGGCAAAGCTGGCTCGGTTAGATTGCTTGGTAATGTTGGATGGAGATTTGGGTGACTTTCCGTTATTGGAATTGTGAGGAGAGAGTGGTGATCGAGTATCGTCTTTGGTGGGTGTGTATTTTGGCATGCCTTGGTTGATATTGTTGTGGTGAGTGTTTTTTTTTTGAGTAGTGACAGTTTTTTCGAAATTCTAACGGTTTTTGGTGGCGGGCAACAAAAAAGTCGTCAGCAATCAACATTTCACAGCTGTTTTGTGATTTTAAACACTTGTGTTTAGTGACTCTCAATTTTGATGAAAATTGGAATTGTTCATCCATGTTAAATTAGAGCTAGTAGTGGGTTTATTTAACGGATTTAAGAAGGAAGATTAATCATTAGAGGTTTCCATAGCTGATGAGGAAGGTTGTTGTTCTGTTGAGTTTTCCATGGAGGATCTGGGAATCTTCTCCACAAGTTGTTCACAAATTTTATGCCATCTTTGTGCTCTGTTTTGTTTAGATTTTTGTGACTCTTTCTTGCTCTTACGGAACAAGAAATCTTCAGTATCCTCCACAAAATAGAGCTTGAAAGTGGCTATACATATTTTACATTCTAGTCTGTTTCTAATGATGATGCTGTGTGGATCAACATTGGATCCTCTTTTCTTGTTTCTTTGAAGGAAGATCTTATTCTTTTGGGCCAATTCTGGTGGAGGAGAGGACAGCAAGAACTCTTGTACGTAGCAGAGAGCCTTTTCCTCAGCTTCTATTTTTTCTAGGTCAACTTCAGGAGGATCGATTTCATCAATTCTCGCTTTTTGACTTCTCTTACTGTATTCAAGCACATAACACACTTCATCGCCGACTAATTTTTGAGCATTCAAACGATACGAATTGTCAATGAACCTATTCACTCTTTGCATTTCGTACTTGAACAATTGGAGGAATTCGTAGCAAGCATCTCTATGGTCGGTCATCATGGCATACACATGTTTTTGGAATTCGACAAAAACTCTATCGAATGTCAGAACAGGATATGAGTCGTAATCGAGAAGTTTTCTACAATCATCATCGTAGGATTGAGAGGTTCCCAGACCGTTCAGGAATTTGATCATGACAACCAAGAATTGCGAATAAATATCGTCTGCAATCTTGTTAATGTCGGAATCAATTTCCATATGATCACCACCATTGGTCTTGGAGGCCATTTCTTCAATCACCTTCTCCTTCTCCTTTTCTTTCTTTTCATTGTTGAAGTTGCTCTTTTCGAGGAGAGTATCATGTTCTTTGAGAATTGTGGCTGTATCGACACTCTTTTGTCTCATTCTAGCTGTTCTCTTACTGGCCAGCTTTGCTCGGTAAAGCTTTTCATAAAGTGCGCAATAATAGCGGAAGAATATCATGAAGAATGAGTTACCGTAGAATACATTGTTTCGATACCTGTTTTCTTGCTTGCTAATCTGCTGCTCGACAATTGGTGGAAATTCTGCACCATCTCCCGATGGCTCGTCTGCTTGTTTGAATAAATCCGTAAAATAGCTGGTCGGTGTGGAGTTTGGCTGTTCTCCCTCAGGTACTTCCTTCAGGACGGCATCAAATCTCTCTGATTTGACATAATCACTCGATTGCAAGTCTAGGAATGGAATGAGAAAGTCTTTCCACAACATGTTAATATCTCTAACTTCTTCTGGAGTCAAATCATTTGTTAAGTTGATGAGCAAATAATAAATATCGTCATGAATTTGTCGATCTGGGAATTCGAATATCAATGGCCGACAGTATTCGTGTCTTTCTTTGACTTCTCTGAGTATCTCCTTGGGTTTGAGCTTCTTCTTTTCGTTTTGTTTGAAGATGTTGTATTGACTTTCCATGGCCTTTTGGAAATTCTTTTGGTAAATATCATTCCAGAATCTATTCAGTTCTTTTCTTGCCTTTTTCCATTCCTCATCTTTTTGTTTTAATCTTCTGTAGACAATAGGAATGGCCACAGCTGGATTTCTTCGAAGACCTTCGAGTACTTCGGGACCTCTCTCTGCATAGATTCTGTTGATACTCGCTCTGTGGATGTCCTTCATATCTTCATAGTTAAAGGTAAAATCTTCATTGTTTTTGATTTTCTCAGCATAGTAGGCCAAGAATTTGATTGTTGATTCATTTTGTTCAATGACAATATCAAGCTCGGTTCTATCATCTTCACATTGGAAAATAATTTCATCAAATTGACTCTTCTTTTGAATATCCCTGCTTTCTTCACTACCTGCAGGAACTGATACAAACTCATCATTCAATACCTGGTTGCACAATTCAGTTCTCTCGGAACATATTGGTTCGGGATACTTGTAGTGTGGCATTAAAATGATCACAAGAATTAACATTCAAAGATTCAAGAATGGCACATCATGAGAATTGGTTGTTGTTGTCGTATGAAAACAAGGAAGTAATAATAATTTAAGCATTCTCTTTCAAAGTACTAATTCAACTTACAGTCTTATTCAAAACTCTGTAACTTGGTCCGTAAACGGATGATTTGGTTTCGGCAGGAACAACCTTTTCTCTCTTAAGCAAGCTCTCATCTGTTTTTTGTTCACAAATCATGTCATATATAAAATCATGTCATATATAAAAACAAAGTTAGTAAGTATTACAATTCAAAATAAAAAAGTGAATTTACGTTTGAGAGAGAATGATGAAGTGTGCGTCATGTGTGTGAGTGTGCGTGTGTGGTGATTGGATGATCTGACCTATTGAATTTGTAGAAATTAATTTCTTCAACTTTTTGAATAAATCTGCATTCTTTCTGAGCGCTTCACTCTCACTGACCATGTCAAGCAAGGAGCTACGGTCAATAATGTCGGATGTGTACATGTTAATACACTTAAGAATTTGATTGTATTCATAATCACCCAATCTTTCTCGTAGTTGCACAAAAAAAGCGTGGAGGCTCTGTGTTAGTTTCATCAAAAGAAAAATTGCGTGTTATGTGTAGGTGTAAATTGTGTGAATCATTATGTAGATGTTTACCTTCATATTCAAAGTCCTCATGTTGCTTAGGTTTGGTTGTGGTTCTAGCGGTTCTTCGCTTCTTGTCATCTGAAATTGCGGTTGGAGCGGATACTGCTTGTTGTTGTGGCTGTTGACTCTGTATTAATTGCGTGTGTGGATGAATTTGGCAACAACATGAACAAAATAAAAATACAAACCTTCTTCACTTTTCTCGACTTCTTTGACTGATCTGGCATTGGAAGGAATTGAGCAAATTCACTCAACAGATCCTGGTGGTCCTTGAATAAGTCAGAAACTTGCTCATACACCTTTTTGATGGTCGTTTGTTCCTTCTGATAGTTATGCAAAATGTCCAAAAATGCTTTGTATGTGTGTGGACTGTCAGCAAATCTCTTCTTGATTTTGGTAACATATGAAATGGCTTGATCAAAATCAATGCTTCTGTCGTTGGTTGGTTTGGATGAAGCAGCAGCTGGTACGGGAGGTGGCGACGTCGATCTCTTTTTCTTTTTACCTTGTACAACACTCTGTGAAGCGTTGGAAGGTGTTGGCGATGTCTGCTGATTCTCTGCTGCATTCATGCTGCTTTGCTCATTATTTTCCAGGACAATCTTGTAGCCCGGTGGAAGGAAAGAATTAAATCCTAGAATGAGATGTGAATGATTCTTGAATAATTCTGATACTTTCTGAATAACACCTGGTGTATCAATTCTGTTATGTGTGTGATTGTTCACCATGCAATAATGCGTTGTTGTTCATCATTTAAATAAAATTGGTTGCAATAATATCATCATCCATAGTAAATGTAAAAACGTCATCAAAAGTTGTGTTCGTGTATATCAATGATGATGATGATGGTTTTGTCCAATGAGGTGTCATTGATTGTGGAATTGTTTTGATTTGTGTGCCAGTGCCGTCAAAGTCGTCATGATACACAAATTTGGAAAAGAGAATTATTATTATTTGCAATTTATCAAAAAATCAAGTATTCATTGGCACAATCAGAAGATAGGACTTGTCTACTTACACATGATTTTTGAACTCCTTCATAATCTCCAAGAATCTGGAATAAACATGAGGCTCGTTGGCATATGTTTTCTTGACCAGATCCAAATAAGCAAGGGCATCTTGTACTCTAAGCACAAATAGTTGAATTAACCTTTAAGCTTTGTCCGCCATCATGTACTTACGATGTTGAATTTTGTTGTTGCTGTTGTGGTTGTTGAGTGGGAGTAGTAGCAGCTGTCTTTGCTTGTTTTGTCTTGGGTTGCTCTCCTGCTGTTGTTTGAGCGTCAGCAGCAGTTGAGGAAGAAGCCGCGTTTTGTGTCTCGCGAACTCTTTTCATTTTTTAAAACTTGAAATTTTGCTTTGGGTGATGATGCAGAAGAAGAAGAGGACAAGAAGAACACTGAATGAGAGCAATCTTTTGGAATAGTGGTGCAAAAACGTTGGGAATGAAGGATTAATAATAATAATAATATTATTATTATTATTATTGGATGATGAGAAGATGAGAAGAATCAATTTTGGGGAAATCGTCGTTGCTGAAGGAATACAACACACGTCGACGGAGAACTCCAGTGATGACAACAGGATGAGGAAGAAGAACCAATATTTAAATGTCTGCCAAGGATTCAAAGGATAGGGTGATTGGACAACAAGAATGAGGAATTTTCTGATTGGACAGATTTTTGTAAACAAAATTAAAAACAAACAAATTTTGTTTACTTTTTCGAAACAAATGCTTTCTTCTTCATGGACTATATATTCCAATCCCTCAATTTTGTACTCTATCAATACCTTCCAAATATTTAATCACCAAACCATTATTAACGTGTTCTCTGAAGACATGGGTGTATGTCGTTGACTTTACGAGGGATTGTCACATACACTCATGTCTTCAGAGAACAATTTAATATATATAAGCAACGTCTCAGATGAACATAATTGAACGATGATGGGAATGGAAGTTGTTGTACAATTTCGCAGAGAGGTTTCCTCATTCACCTCATCATCATCACCAACATTGGAAACAACTCTTACAATTTTATTATTACTTCAAATTGATAAATTTCACTTCAATTTCAATCTCGCCAGTTTTCACTCCTTGTAATGTACAAATTTTAGTCACCCCATTTACAGGATCGTTTGTACCAAATAAATCACCTAGAGTGATGGAGAAGTGACCCATTGCATCATCTTCACTGACACGATCCCAATCCATACATTCAATATGAAGTACATCAGTTTTAATGTCACACACGCATGTAGTAATGGTTTCGTTCCAAACTGGATTTAAAGTTTTGAGCTTGGTACTGTAAAGTGATGATGATAATGACAAAGGTCATTACATTTCCGTTTTTTCATATTTCCATACATTTCAATATGGAGTGGAATTCAATCATGCACAATATCATCATCAATAATTCACCACACATATTTTTAATAGCAGATTCAAAGCAGTCATCCGATTTGATTATTCGTTGACATGCATTGAAGCGTTGATGACGGAGAAGTTACGTATGATTTTCGATCTGTATTAAACAATCCTTACCTTGTCTTGACAATTTGACCTGGATAGATATTGGAACGATCCTCCAGAGAAGGTCCACATCCAACAATTAAATAAGGATCACTAAAACCATTCACATCACACGATATGAGATTTCTTCCTTCTTTCACATGAATGGACAACATTCCAATAAATTCAACCATTCCCTTACTCAAGGAGGATGAAGATGATAACTTTTTCAATGACTTGTAGAGAGAGCTCTTTCTTGATGATGTTTTTAAGGCTCCTTCTGTTGTATTGCTTTCTTGCTGTTGTTCTGGAGAATGGATGGGTTTTAAACTTTCCCAATCCACAAGTAATGATGATGATGATGATGAGGAGGAGGATGGTAATGACGAGAATGATGAATTGTTTGTGGTAGTAGTTGAATTGATTGGAGTAGAACAAGCACCAGTGGCCATACTTGCGACATTCTCTCGATCGAATGCAAAGTATTTCAATACATATTTTGCTCGAATGTATTCCTCTCGATAGAGTGGATCTGTGTCTTCGGTTGGTTTTGGATAATTCTTGATTGGTTTAGCTTCATAGTATTCATTAATTTTAGTGTTTCCTCCAATGCGTTTCATTTGTTCAATCACTTCTGATGGTAAATGATCCAATGTGGTTGACCTCACTTGTGAAATGTGAGTTCCTAATTTTCTGTGCACTCCAGAACAATTAATACAAATTAAACATCCTAAATTAATACTGGCCCATCTAGGAACTGTTGGTTGTCACACAGCAGGAGTGCGTGTGTGTGCGTGCCAGTGATGGAACAAGACAATTTTTCAAACGAGTGATGATTCATTCGAGAATGAAAATTTTCAAAAGGTATTAATATCAATAGATATATATGATTGGAGTCATCATGGCGATCCATTTCAACAAATTCCGATGATGACGTTCACAGAATGCAACATTTCATCATCATGATCAGCCCAATGAATGATACATCATAAAACATTCATGATGACTCTTTCTCGACATATTTCGTAACATTTTGTTATGACATACCTTTGGCTCCGCAATCACAACATGAATCATTTCCTGGCAATGAATAGAGAGGTTCTGTTGGACCAGTCGAGCTCGGAGTGAGTGGTGAGTTTAATTGGGACATTTTTTGAAAATGACACGTTGATGGGAGAAAGCGTTTCTACGACAGGCCAGCGTTTAACGCGACAAAGAGCGAGTGACACTTGAGATCAATGTTTTTGAAATTAAATTTCTACTGGAATTGAATCTCTTTGTTTGGATCCATGGCCAATCACACCAATTTATTGGATCACGATAATAAGGTCAATGTTCATTATTGGGAACTAGTGAGTTGAATGTTGTTGTTATTGTTCAATAAAAAGGTCCTTTCGGCAACAACAACAACAACCACGTTCGAACAACACACGTGTAGCCCTTGTGACTGGAGCCAACAAAAAGGAATTGGCTTGGCATTTGTTCGTTTACTCCTCTCCAAATACAAGTGTCGAATGGTGATGGCTACTGCTAGAAATCCACAAGAGTCTCACGATTTAAAAACCTTACAAGATGAATACGGTTACGATCGTTTACCAATCCTTGCACTGGATGTTTCCGATGAGAAATCCATTCAGAGTCTTCCGTCCTCCATTCCTTCCTCGGTTAAGCATATTAATTTATTGATCAACAATGCAGGATATTTGGAAGCATCGGTTCGGAATTTGGAAGACCTTTCCATGGAATCCTTGTTGTACAGTTACAGAGTGAATTGCATTGGTCCCACATGTGTTGGAGAACCAATGGATCCTAAGAAACATCGAACACCAGAGATGGCTGCTAGTGATTTATTGGAAATTATTCATGAAGCAGATTTTTCAAAGAATGGAAAGTTTATTTCGTACGACAAGACTGAGATTGAGTGGTGAAAGAACTTTCTCTTGGTTGGAGCGAGATCTCTACACATAGATTGAATTTGCTTAAATCATTGTTTTAAATCATGTGATCGTGTGATAATCGTGTCAATTCCATGATTTGGTGATTCGAAGGTTGGATTCATTGAATTAATGAATTAATTGGTCAAATATTCAATTTTCACAATTTACATTTGTGTATGTAAATTGTGAAAATTGAATGAATTTAATGTGAGACAAAAATATAATATGGATCTTCTTGGCTAATCCTCAAAAACAGAAACTCCCCATGAACCGATAGGATCCACACTTCTCTTTCTCTTCTTGCCCAATTCGTTAGTAATTCTTTTCACATCCTCTTCAGAAAGTTCAAAATCAAAGAGTTGAATATTTTCCTTAATTCGTTCTGGTGTTGTACTTTTGGGGAGGACAACCACACCTCTCTGAAGGCCCCATCTCAATATAATCTGTGAGGCACTTCTTTTATAGTTCTGAGCTAATTCTTGAATGATAGGATCTTCCAAGACAGCACCTCTTCCTAATGGACAATAGGCCACAATTTGAATTTCACCAAAGAGAGCGGATTTCATAGTTTCGATGAGTCTCGTATTGGGGAAGTAGGGATTCACTTCAATTTGATTCACAGCTGGTTTGATGGAAATGCCAGGTTCTGAGAGGAGTGCTGCAACATCACTCACACTGAAATTTGAGACACCAATGGATCGAACTTTGCCATCTTTCACTAATTGCTCCATTTCACGCCACGTGTCACGGAGTGGAACGAAATCGAGTTTCACAACTTGAGTCTTTTCATCTTTTGGAACAATAGACGAATAGTCCTTCAATTCATTTCCAGCATATTGGAAAGCTAAAGGCCAGTGAATTAAATATTGATCCAAATAAGTGCTGTGAATTCGTGCACATTTAAATGGTCACCATCATGATAGGTAGCAAATGAAATAACAACAAGTATAAATCATGGATACAGATGCACCATAATATCACCACGTTGAATGCATGAACAAAACTCAAATATGAAACATCACGCACGTACATTCTCAATTCAGAAAGAGTCTTTTTAAGAGCAGGTCGAACATGTTCAGGTCGTCGATGTGTATTCCACAATTTCGAAGTGATCCACAAATCTTCTCTCTTCACCACGCCTCGATCAAAGACATCCTGAAGGCCTTCTCCAATTTCTTTTTCATTGCCATACAGCTCGGCACAATCAATATGCCTATAGCCACATTCTATGGCTGCAATCACGGCTTGTTTTACTTTTTGTGGTTCGGCTCTCCATGTCCCGAGGCCAATCCTTTTAAGATGTATGTGTGAGATGTTTCATAAATACAATCATCATGTGTTTGATTAGGCCAAATATATAAAGTGAAAAGGATTATTCAAGATCAATTAAAGATGGACAATAAATTTGAATTACATTTTCAAATTGAGAATCACACGCCAAAAGTACATAAATTATAATAAGAATAATAATGTTAATACAATCACGACAAAAAATTCACACATGTAATCGCGAACAACACATACAAAGGAATTTTAGTTCCGTCATTGAGAGCGAGAGTGGAATGACTATCGAATTTGGGAGAGGACATTTTTTTGTAACACAATTCCAAAAAATTCGACCCAAGAAGTCCACCAAGCTGTCACAACGGGCTGACACATGTGCCACATTTCCGAATCCAGAGCATCTTCGAACCACAGGTCACAATTGTCATCTTGTTAAGGCTTAGCTTGATTTCTCTTCATGGCCACTCCTCGACACGAGGTAATTTCTCGATGCCGACCATACCAATGAAATTCTGGTTCGCTCGTTTGAGGTCTAAACCAAGCACATTTTTCTCCATTATTGTAATGATAGACAATGAATGGTTTGATGGAAGCCCTTCCATGACCCAAATTACCAAACGTACTGTGCTTACTCACAACAAATCCTTGACTATGAGAGAAGAGCCACGCATCAATAAGGGCACCTACAATACTTTCGCTGTCTCTTGTGAAGGTTAATTTTTGCTCTTCGTAATGAAGAATTTTCTCTGCTCCAAATTCAATCTTTGCATGCTCGACCACAGTAATGTTGTCAGAAATAACCATAATTTTAAAATCTTTGTTTGGAAATTGTTGAGAATGCTTGGAGAGTAATTCTTGCCGACATGCTTGCCAGAAATATTGTTCATGCTTTTCTCGAAACCAGTCCATTTGCTTTTCATTCTCATTTCGTCGTATTTGAATGCCGTACATGATGGTGTTTCCTTGTTTTCTATTTTCCAATTGATGTGGAGAAATGTAAATGTCATGTTCTTCCAAATACTTGTCAATTTTTTGTTGAATTGATGGCAAAGGATGGAACAGAAATCTTGAAAGTGGTCCAAACATGTCAGCGTCACGAAACATTAAATGTAAAAGAGCAGAATGATAAGGATTAAATTGATAGAGGAGAGGTAAAAAGTATTGATTGCTAGTAATCTCAATAATTGGTCCCATTCTGTCAAATTCTTCAGTAATATTCAAACACTTCAATAATTCAAACATGTAATCGGATTCTCTTGCTCTGTGTGTTAATTCTAAATTTCCATAATAATTTTTCAGAGAATCATCAAAAAGTGTCGGTATCTTTAAGTTTGGATAATTTCGTGCACACTCATTCAGATTTTGGTCCGTCAAAAAGTCTTCGTACCACCAATTATATCTGGCGTGTGGTTTTTGAAACAAATTTTTCGCATGAATATTGCAATAGTAATGGCCATACCAATTAATGAAGAATAATCGGCCCGAGAGAAGTGACAACATGAAACTTGACGTCAGTCCAATCAACACATTGGCCAAACCACTACTCTGCCAAGGCCGAAATACCAAAATTCCAACCTTCTTTTTTGATGATGACGAGGATGAATCAATAACGGAGGGCTGCAAACAAAATTCCCTCGAATGCTTCTCATGAAAATCCACATAGTCCTCGAATAAATCATTTAAATTCCAAGTTGTTAAATATCGACCAAAATAATAGGGTAATTGATGCTCTTTCCGATACTCTTCAATGACTCTCCTTGCACTGCTGACATCATCCCTCTTTAATAAATCACTTCTTCCTTGATCCGATATCGATGGTGGTTTCACCAATAAGAGAGGAACAAAAACTGAGAAGAGAAAACTACATCCTCCCACAACAAGCAAAAATCGGATAAGATGAGAAAGATGCATTTTTTTACTTGTTGCGAGCACGATCCTAGGAGAGGATACGAGCTGTTCCTGTATTCCCTTTCTGTCGCTTTTTCATACTTGAACTCCCAAAAGTGTTTCCATCTATTCTTTTGGTTTCGTGTTGGATGCATACTGTTGTATCCATTTTCGAGCAGTTTGGTCATGACGCTGACGATCTTCCTTGTACTCTTTTGCAATTTTTGGTTCTAAAGGATCATCTGGATTGGGTTCTTTTCATGTTCAATCGATGAAGTGTGATACATACAGGAAAAGGTTTACTTCATTTTGTGATCTCGTTAATAAAACTTACCATTCAACAAACTCACAATACTTAACAAAACTTTTGAAATGGTAAGAGATGGATTCCATGCATCTTTGAGAGTGTCCACACAAATATTACCCTTCTTTGAAATGTTGCAGTGATAAATCTTGGTGATGAATTTAATGGTGGGAGCTTACAACAGAATACGACCAAACCACTTTCCTTAACGAATTTGTTCAAAAAAGAATCTTTACGACTTACCTTTAAAAGGGTAATCATCAGGAAACACAATGGAGAGTTCAAATCTACCTCCTTCATAGACTGTTCCAGTAGGACCTTCAATGAAAGCCTTCCACTTTTTAAGGTTCTTTTCAGACTCGGGATGTGCCGAGCAGAAGGGAGGAATATCCGAATTGAACAAGACTAATTCCTTCTGGATTCTCTTGACCAGGAAATCTTGCGATGCGTTTGAATGACCCCTCATATTGTCCTGTCGATAATTGTGGCGTTTGGATGCCTCGGTTATTTTTTATTATTGTAGTTGAGTAAGGAGGTTAATCGTTTATTCTCAAAACCATCCACACTAGCCTCTCACGGTTCATGGCTTCGTGCTTACGTTTTCCCTTTTTCAAACGCTTACCTTTTCAGTTATGTGTGAATACATCAACTGAAGGGTCTAGTAACTCTAGCTCTCATTTTACATGATGCGAACAAAAAGGAATTCATTCTTTTTCTTTCCCAAACTCAATGTACAGAATCGACCCGAACTCCTTGTTGGAAATCAAAACGAAATTGACTTTTGGCTGGTGCTTCTCATCTTTCATCATCGAACCCAGAAGAGCAAAAAATGCGTCCAATTCCTCCTCCACCACAAGGCCTCAACAAGACCAACAACAACAGCACAAATGTGAATCAATCAAGACCACCACCTGTACCAGCCACGTTAGGAAATCGGTTAAAGAGTAATAATGTGGGTACAACAGGGTCTGTCGTCGGATCAACAACGAACACGACCACCACCACAAATAATCCATCTTCATCACAACAGCCACAACAACGACAAGGCGATCACTTTACGGATCATGAGAAGGAAATTTTGAAAAAAGCTTCAAAGGCATGGTCGACCTATCAACGACCAACGTTTCAAGGAATTGGTGAGGAAGGAAGATCAGATATTCAGAATACCATCTCGGGTTTTAGGGCTTATGAATTCTTGTTAAGACAAGAAGAAGGTAATTTTCATTTTGCAATTTCATACTAACATCATTTCGCAATCATGTTTCATTATTTGTTTTTAATATCATGACAAATGCACAAATAGCCAAGAGATGGATTGAGGATATGCTTGATGAGCAAATTTTCTTTGAAGATTTAGATGATGAACAGATCTCCGAAGATTTGAAACAAGGCTACAATTATTCCAAATCATCATCCAATTTGGAAAAAGCTGAAGCGAGAAATATTGATTTCTTTGATCAGCTACGAGACGGTACAATTTTGTGTAGATTGGCCGAAGTCTTCAGTGATAAGGGCACTATGAAAAATTTTCACAAAAATATCAAAATGAACAGTCCTTTGGCATTCATGATGGCTACCGATAACATTAATAATTTCCAAGATTGCTGTGACAAAATTAACTTTCCGAGATTCTATCAATTTTCCATTCCAGGTATGTACCAAGAACACTTAATTTAATGCCAATATTCCATTTCAACGTTTCAGATCTGTGGGAAAGAAAAAACATCACCAAAGTCGTACATTGCATTCACGCACTAGCTCACTTTTTGTGGCGTTCCGGAAAGATAGATGCATCGAAAAGAATTCAAGACCTATCCAAGTCTGGAATTCAATTTTCAAGAGCCAAACTTGATAAAGTGGAACAAGAATTCAAGAGATTGGAACAAAAGAATGTTGACATCAAATTGAATTTCAATTTTTCACAACCAGGAGACGAAGAGCAAAATCATATCAAAAAACCACAAAAACCAGTCGTTGTAAATAACAAGGCATCGAACCTTCTTGACCGATTTAACAAGTTAAAGGTGGGAGCCAAACTGGATATAAAACCCGTGAGCCAAGAACTTGTATCTATTGATGGTGACATTCAAATGATAGATCCTGAACAATGTATCGTACGAGGAAGAGGATCACAGACAGCCATTGTTGCCAAGCTGAATACATTTGAAATCATTGCACGCGATCAACATGGTAATGATCTACAAATTGGAGGAGATCATTTCACTGTTACATTGAGAAGAATTAAAGAAAAGGACGATGATCCCGATGCAACCGTAGAAGGAACAGTTACTGATCTAGGAAATGGTATCTATAAGGTTGATTATATACCTGAAATCATTGGAAAGTACGACCTTGACATCAGACTTGACGGAAAGGATCGCCTAACACACCCAACTATTAGACCAATACGTGTTGTTCCTGGAGAAGCATATGGCAAGAATTGTGAAGTTGTTGACGAATATGAGCAAATGCAAGGACCTTTTGTAGAGGGTCAAAAGATCAAAATCAAGATTTATGCACGTGATCAATTTGGAAATTATTGCAACAGAGGAGGTGACAAATTTTACCCTGTTTTTTCTTTCACATCAGAGAACGGAGAGAATATCGCTAATGTCAAGAATAGAGTCACCATAAACGACTTGCAAAATGGTGAATATGAGGTTGAAGTTTATTTTCCACTACCTGGAACTTATCATTTATCAATGACAGTGAATCAAACCTCAGACTTGATTCCATACCTTGATCCATTCGTGTTTGAAGTTCATAAGCGCAATGACCCTGGATTGGCAATCAAGTATGAACAATTTTATCCATATAGTAGTGTCATTCAATATTCCTTGACTGCATTCGATCCTGTACTTGCGAATGACATTAACTTAGATAATCCTCCAAAGATTGACACTAGATGGGTTTCAGTTGTAAGCAATAGCCCAATTCCAGAAATCACGGATTTTACAGCAACAGAAATGGAAAATAATATTAGGTATCAATTTAATGAATGGATGAAGAAAGCTCGAGGAGTTATTCTCGATAAATTGAAGAATGATGACTCGGAAATTGATGTTTCTGAATTTGACGAAGGGGCATCCAACAACTTTTACTGGAATTTAGTGGAGAAGTACTTGAGCAATGAAGAAAAATGCAACAACTACAAGGACGTACTCAACGACAGAATCAAAGGAAGTAATAATGTTGATTTTGTAAATTATGTAACTATTACAGAAGATCCTCAAGATTGGACTCAATATGAACTCTTTTTACAGCAACAACTTGAAGAAGAAGAAAGAAAACGAAGACTATTACAAGAAGAAGAAGAAAGAAAAAGAAAGGAATTGGAAATGCTTGAAGAAGAGCGCAAAAAGAATGTACCTCCTCCACTCAATCCAAATCAATTCTCAGTTCGCCCAAGACGTATGGCTCTCAACTTCTGGGTGATCATATCAAAAATGTTGTATGAGGCCACCCAAACGACAAAACCATTCCAACTTGACAAGACTCAAAAAATTTTAGGCTATGAAACGAATGAGTTGAGTTTTACTCGATACATTGCAGAAGATATTTTCTTGACAACCCAAAGATATCACGTTCAGACCTATGGAGACTTGTTATTGTCGGTTGCACAGCGATATATTCTCGAATTAATTCAAGAAATTAAGATTACCTTTCCCGACCTTAAATATCGTGTCATTGAAACCGAATGCAATAATATTGGAAAGAATGCATTTTCACGCTTTGCTCAATCACACAAGATTTTCACCTATTTCTGCAGTGAACTTTCTCCATCTCCCTTTGATGAAGTGGATTTGAATGACTTAAAAAAGAGAATTGATCATTTGGTTCTCTCTTTCAAGAGGCAATTGCTCAAACTCATTCTCGAGTCGAACCTGGAAACAGTTAATCTCTTGAAGAATAAGATGAGAATGTCTGACAAGGATGTCAGCAACCTCCAATCCATGACAACTTTCTTCAAGAGCACACTGAATGATGTATTTGATGCTTTCAGAACGAGCTTTGGATACACAATGAGCTCAAAGCCAAGAAAAATCATGGTTCAGGAATTGTACTATGTCAAGAACAGAACCATTGATATTGCTTTCGATAAGAGTGACCTTTCAGCCAACAAGCAAGAGGTTTCTCTCTCTTACTCTGTGCAAATTCCAATTAACAAATTGTTTGATTCATATTCATTTTCGAATGAAGGTTTAGCCACATCCAGAGATAGACGTAGAGATGGCCTCATTAATCCTTATAAGACTGTCTATCTCAAAGGAGGAAGAGTCATCCTAGAAATGATGCGATCAGGATCCTTCCCACCCTACAAACTCCAAGACAAGAAGCAACGTCAAGCTATTGCCGTGGAAAATGCAAAAATCATGCTCAAAGCTCTTGCTGTAAACCATGTGAAAAGATTCACCCGAGAAGAGTTAGAATTGCTCAAGAAGAGAGGAGAACCTTTGAAAGTTCCTTTCACCTCTGTCAGTCTTTTAACTCCATCTTTTGTGCAGAACAGAGAGGACCGTCAAGTCATGGAACACCAAGGAGCCATTTATTATGTGTTGCAAAATAATCTTCTTCCATCTGTTCTTGTAGATTTGTATGATAGACTTCCTCCAATTGATATGCCTATTGTTTTCCATGAGCCATGTCTTCTTAACTTTGGTGTGAATGTGATTATCAAGACTTTTAAGTGCGGAGTTGGTATTCAAAGATCTGTGAATTGTCGACAATTTGGAATTAGACAATTCGAAAAGAAGGTTCAGCGTTTCATGATTGCTCTAGGAGAGTACAAGAATGCAATTCGAGGATCAATCATGGAATACATTACAGGAATATTCAATAATTCCAGGGACGGAACTATGTACGTTCAAGCTCTTGTGAACAAGCTCATTCGAATCAACAATGTGTACACAGTCATGCGAGACAAGCATGCAGCTGCTATCAGAGAGTTGACGCCTCTCGAGTTTGACTTGCAAAAGAAACAAAAAGAGCTCGAAAAGAGAATTAACGAGAAATGGTTGCCAAAGTTTGATGACATTACTTCTGTTGAGTTTACCTATTTGAAGGACATCATGTTCTTGGTGAATGACATGGACTCGATGATTGACAAGATTCATGACATCGATCAGAAATGGGAACAATGTTATGATGAACTTATTGAGCTCGAACAACATTTCCTCAAGAGCTTATTTTCAAGCGTTTCAATGGTCAGAACATCTCAACCACAAATCCCACCCATTCCTCACTGGCAAGAATACTATGAATTTTGTAATCTAGAGAGAGACATGTATGAACTCTTTGGATCGCTTAAGAATCTCTATCATGCAAAACAACATGAAAAGTTTAATCAAGGTATTATGGAATCGGACGAGGTGAAAGTAGGAGATCCATATGCCATTCCTGTTCGTGTCGTCCTATTGTCATTTATTATTGGAGAACAAATTCATTACAATTGTAAGAGTGGAAAAGATCGAACTGGTGCTCTTATGGATGAATGCGAGGAATTTGCAGAGCTTCGAGAACATTTGTCGTATTATCCAAAACCTTTCACAAAGGATGCCAAGCTTGGAGAATACAGACAAAAAATTAGAACCAACATCAGCATGAATGGAGGAACACTGGAGATTTGCAAACATAATATTGGTTTCAGAGCAGCAAAGCTTGATAAAACTCTTGCCAGTAAATTCTGGACCAAGAAGATTCTCGATGAGAAGGAGCGTGTGATTGGAGAAGTCCCATACTTTAAGGCATTCAAAGGACTCGGCTATTTGGATGATGAAACCTATGCCAGCAAAGACGAGGATTGGTACAAGTATGAAAATGCATACCTAAAGACGTTGTAAGGTTAAAATTTGGTGGGATGATTGTAATATTTGGTGACGGACACAATTTGTTGTGTATTCTAAGGCTGTCAAGTTTGAACACTGAATAGTAAGTGGCAGGCACAATGTGCTCATTCAACCATTACTGCACACTGTGTGATGGATGGAACGTAATCCATCACATTCATCAACATAGGATGTTTGAAAGTCAAGTTTGATGATTTTTGCCACAACAACGTATTGATGATTAAAATTGAATTCAAAAGGAATCATTTCTCCTCCAATCGACTGCTCGACTTGGTTGAAAAGGAGTTGTTGTATTTGATCACTGAATACAAGTTTTGTCCAATGTCGATATCCTCTTATGAACCAACCACGATTAGTTTCTAATTTGGTTGTTTGGAAACCGTTCGTTCGTTCGTGGTTGATGTTGCGCTCTCCTTCAAAAGTCCGACTTGTGAGTAATGGACCGATTAGTCCCCAAAAAAAGCGGTCAACAAATTTTTCTTTCTTTGTTTTTTCACTCCATCCAAAGAAAGTGCTCCACTGCCACGCTGGTTCTCTTCCTGTGTTGAGTACTCTCCTTCTCCCTAACGCGTTGCACTAAATCAAAACTCGAGCCTTGGTGTTTCTAATTAAGAAGAGGTCGACATCACAACACTTATTATCGTTATTACCATCATTATCACCACTACCATTACCATCGAATCTCCTGCTCTGGTTACGCGACCATTGTCGGTTATTGGTAGTCATCATCACCTGAATCATCCGTTGACCTTTTGGGAGTCTTTGTTGATACCAAAATCATCAAACTCAAAGCGAGCTTGAAGAAGAGTGTAGTACAAAATATTGAGTCCACACACACCATATCCGTATTCAATATTTTGGGTTCTATATCGATTATTTTCATCATCATCATCAATTAAAACCACAAAACTAAAATTCATCATCAAAATCAACACCAAACAAAATGAGAGCCACCAGTGCAACTGCTTCTACCAAATCGGATGCCAGTAATAATAATCTTGAGCCAGCCGTTCAGAGAATTCCGCAAGAACGTAAACCCATCCCCAAAGAGTTGTTGAATCGTGAGGACTTTTATTGGGTCAATTATGAAGAGCCTCATCTCCGAAGAAAGTATGAAATTTTGCAAAAGTATCCACAAATTGAAAAATTATTTGGAGTGGACTACAATACCAAATATCAAGTGATTGCCTTTGTGTTGATTCACTTGTTCATTTGTTATTTAGTGAAGGATCAACCATGGTATATTTTTGTTCCTACAGCTTGGTTGATTGGTGGAGCGTTCATTCAATCGCTCACGGTTGCTATTCATGAAATTACTCACGGGTAAGTTTAATAGTGCACTATTTGATCACTCACCTTGAGTGTATTGTACAATGAAATCACACCATGATGATCCAATTGTTGTTGATATGATGATGATTGTCCGAATATTCGCTCATTATGCGATGATGATGATTGCCCGAATATTCGCTCACATCTATCACCTATTGGTTTATTTTTTGATGATCTTTTTCACAACCAACCACTCGAACGAACTCGTGTTTGAATATTCAAAAATCGCCGAATGTCATCTTGTTGAATATTCATCCGTATGATTCGACCTATTTCACACCCGCTCACACAGAATGTGCTTTGACAAACTCGAACACAATTACTATTTTGCCATGTTTGCTAATCTACCAATGGGAATTCCTTCAGCAATGACATTTAAGAGATATCACAGTGATCACCATTGGTATTTGGGTGTTCCTTTGTATGATGTGGATATTACCACTCGCTTGGAAGGAAAATATGTCAGATCCAAATTCCTTAAACTCATTCACATGATTTTCATTGGACTTGTGTATGGTGTGAAACCCTTGTTGGTAGCTCCACGTTCACCAAATACATGGGAATTGTTGAATATGGCAGTTTCATTCAGTTTTGATGGCTTGTTGGTCTATTTTTGGGGTTATAGAGCTTTGATTTTTTGCGTGTTGTCAAGCTTGCTTGGTTTGGGTTTGCATCCATTGAGTGGTCACTTTTTATCCGAACATTGGTTGACTGAACCAGGTCAAGAAACTTACAGTTATTATGGACCTGCAAATTGGTTCATGTTCAATGTGGGTTATCACAATGAACATCATGATTTTCCAAGAATTCCATGCTCCAAGTAAGTATTTGAGTATCTTTTAGTTTTGAATTTAATTTCTGACACTCGTGTTTTGTCACGATTGCAATGCCTCAAACATGAATAACAATCGATAGACTTCCATTGCTGAGAAAAATTGCACCAGAATTTTATGATACACTAGGATATTATGAATCTTGGTCTGCAGTCGTTTATAACTATATCATGACTGATGGTTACAATCCTTTCGTGCGTCAAGTCAGAACGATTGATGTTCACAAAAAGGCAAGAAAAGAATGGTTCAACCGTGGTTTTACTGAACATGCTTGCTCTAACGAGGCTGACCAACAATAAGAAAGATCTAACCATGATGACACTTCTGATGATTCTAAGATTTGCTCAGACGTGTTTCCAAACGTTTTGTACTTGCATTTCACTCAATTTCTCATTTCAAATATAGAAACACAATTATTTTTTACCATTCTTCGTCATAGGATGTGTGATGAGATGTATCTAGACCGAAATCATCATCCTCATAACCTCGATCATTGTCGTCGTCAAAATTGATGGGCTCCTCTTGAATGTACGAGTTGTCAAAATTTTGATCTTCCAAAGATCCGCCAAATTCATCGTAGGAAGAGTGTTGGTGAGGTTCCTCAAATGTTTCTTCTTCCACTATGGTGGAGTTTTGAGTTTGGGCAAGTGCTTGGCTCGAATTGAGATTCAATGCATTTTCAGAGGAGGTTTTGTTATCAAGTTCAGAACCCATCGCTTGAGATGGTGGTGCACCATGTTCAGATTTGTCATCAGTAATAATTGTGACACCTCCGAGAGAGGGTTCTTTTGCCTTGTGAAGAGTTGCTGCTTGTTCTTCTCTCAATTTTTTGAAACGCCTTCTTGCCAGAAATCCTCGAGCCAATCGCTGCATTTGTGTCGCTGCCTCATCATAAATTGAATCCGTACTCTCTCTCTGATCCTCTTCATCAAAAGAATAGTTTCCTCCCACATCAAAGTTTTCCTCCTGTTCCACGGCAAGCTGCCCCACTTGACGTTGAGGAGGAGAGAGAACATCTTCAATTTTTTCCTCTACTGCAGCACTATTCTGGTTTGGAATTCCAATTGGTGGATATGGATAGGGCACAGTTTCTATCATTGATACACCACCTATATGTTGATGCTGGGCTTGTTGCTCTTTCAATGTGGAAATTTCATCGAGCAGAACTGTATTCGCCTTTCTCAAGTCCTTCATCTTGGATTGGAATTGTGAAATTTCCTTATCTTTTTCTTCACATTGATTCCTTAAATTCATTAATTCAAGGCTTCTGGAATCTGCGAGTTCGTGTTTTTCTTTCAGTTGTGCTTTCAAGAATTGAATCTCTCGTTCCTTTTCAGCAACCTGTTGCTCAAAACTGACCACACTCGATCGTAGAATTTGTGAGGACTGAGATTGCAACTCACGTTCTTTGCAAATATTCTCCTTTTCTCTGTGTAAAAGATCAATTTGGCGTTTCTGTTCTTCGAGTTGACTTTCAAAGTTCTTTTTCAACTCTTCCAGTTTGTTTTTAAGATCTGAATTTTCTTTCTTGACAGTATTGCTTTGAAATTGGATTTCATCACTTATTCGTTGCAATTCACTATTGGAAACTTTCAACTCTGAATTGGTTTGGTTGGAATCATCCAACTTTTGTTGCAATTCTTTCAATTTTAATGTCAACTCTTCGATTTGATGCTCCCGCATCGAGAGCTCAGAGCTTATTCCATGATTATCTTGTAACTGTCTATTTTCTTCAGCTAAATGTGAATTTTGCTCCTTATAGTAATCTTGAACTTGTTTCATTTTCACAATCAATTCTCGAAGTTTTAGATTTTGCTTATTCATTTTTTCATTCTCTTCTTCTAGATCTTGCATGGCTACTCGTTCTTGTTCTAAATCTTCCACAACTTTTTGTAGTCTTCTTGATTCCGTATAGTAGGCTTTTAATTCTGTTTCTAATTCTCTCACTCTTGTATAGCGAGAGTCAAGCTTGATTCTTTGGAATTCTGTGTCTTTCTCGCTTAGAGCCTTTTCTAATTCTCGAATTCTGGATTTGAGATTTTTCACCAGCTTTTTTAAATGAATTATTCAGAACAGAAAACATTTGAGCCGGATTGTCAGAACATGTCAGCAAGGGGTTCACATTTTCAATAGGTTGACGTAAATGAATGCAGAACAAACTTACATTAACTTCTTTGAATAAATTTTCATATCTTGTTCCTTTTGTTTCGACAAGCGCATGTGCACGTAAAAGCTCTTCCACTTGTTTTTGCTTTCGAATGCTGTCAGCTTCTGATTTTTGGGCGAGAGTTTTCAAATTTTGATTTTCCTTTCGAAGTAGAGCCATTTCTTGTCGAAGCTCTTGCAAATCCATGTACATGCCTTCTGGATCTTTGTAGAAATTGGAAGGTATTGTTCGCTTTTTCATGTGTTTGTTTACATTGGACAGGTAGTTTTGAACTACTTGTTTCTTGGACAATCCGTTTTTGTCCAGCACGCTGTTGGTGCTTCTTGAAGATGCAATTGGAAAGTTCTTTGGGTGTGGAATACTTGACAACTTGTATTGCTGTTTCGCTTTCACTGAGCCTGCACTGGATGGTCTAGTACCTGCTGAGGAAGGTCGTGCGCTTCTAAAGAATTGTTACAATTATTACGAGTAGTGTATGATACAAATATATTAGTAGAAAGTGTCAATAGATGATTTTGCCAACATGTTAACAAAACATTACAAACCTTGGTCTTTCGATTTCTCCGTATTGAGCTTTTTGAATTTCAAACAAATCATCAGCAGAGTCATTTCTTGTAAGGTTTTGATGATGTCCAAACATTATTTGGTTTTTGTTCGATCGATCACTGCGTGTGGAATGAACCTCGAAAGGATCTCGTTCGAAAACTTTTCGATCTTCGAATTTAAAATTTTCTTTTTGATTTTCCTTATTAGAAGATGCGGAAGTAGTTTCTAGACAACCCTCGGAATGATGTTTGAAGAAGAGTGATGAATGAGGGCTCCCCCGCACCGACGTGCTGATGTTATTGTTGTTCGCCGTCTTGTTGTTGATGCTGGAATTTATTTTCGAGGATTGAAGTGCTGTTTCATCCTTAGAAGTTCCACCCGTGCTATTATGAAGACTTGTATTCAAAAATCCATGTTGATGTTTTTGTGATTCGGATGGTTGTTGTGGTTGTTGTACAAGATTCAAAGATTGTTGTATTTCATCCTCTTCCTCCTCGATCAAGGAATCATAGGGATTTCCAATCAATGCTGAAGATCCACCTTCCAACTCTTCTTCCGAGTCTTCCTCATAATTATTGTTGCTGTACCTTGATTGAAGAAACATAATGATGGTTGTGTTTTGATTAAAACGAATTTCGAGCGTTTGGGTGTTTCTTCACACCACGGACTTCTGTTTGAAATAATTTTTTAAAAATTGAGGAAAGGTGGGATTTGTAAATTTTTGGCGGGATTGAACCATTCAGGGAAAAAGACAAGTCAGATAAGAAAACCCAAATGATGAACGCTCGAAAAGATAGGCATATTCTTCTTGGCCAACAACATTGGTCATTGTATGTGGTGGACCGTCATTAAGATTCCACTCTTGAATCTTCCAGTTCACTAAATCAGATCATGATGCATGTTTTACAATTTTAAGAAAGAACATAATCTCTCACAATCGCCCATTGCAAGTGCCATAGATGGATCGTTTCGATCTGAATTCTCTGATGGTGGTAGGAATGTATCATGTCATCTCCATTTCTACATAACTGGTAGGAGGCATATTCCACGAATCGATTTTATACCATAACTTTAAAGTACCTGAGAACACTCCAAAAAACCAACAGCCATTCCATGTCATGGATTTCGTTTATGTGGCATTTTTTATTTTTTCCAAGAATGGAAAGTAATGAAAACGATTTGATTTTTCTGGTCATGGAAAAAGTGATGATGGTGAATTGAGATGAGAGAATATTGGCAGCGGCACCCTTTCATGCTGAAGTAAGAAACGCGCTTGTTTAAAAATGGTAGTACGTCTATTTTGAAACTACCAAATTAATTCATTCCTTGTTACTAATCATTGCGCTAGTTGTTTGAAAAGGGTGTCATGAAACATTAGATCCATCCAAAATAATCCAATATCTGATTAGTATTGATAAGAATCAATTTTGACAAGTTAGTTATTAACTTGTTGTCGCATGAGATAAAACACGCTCTTGCCAATTTCCGAAAAGACTCTCAAAAAATCATCACACATGTCCTCAGCAGCAGCAGCATTCAGCAATCCCCTAAGCAACAGTAGTAACGATTCAGTGCTTTCTGGTGTCGATGGTCAAATACCTTCAGAAACGTCGACGACCACTCCTTCTAATGTCCTTTCAAATTCTTCTGAAGATGACATTCACAAACCTCACTGTGTTGTTCCTCCTTCAATATCAAGAGGAGGAGGGGCTGTCATAAAAGCAGTAGTAGGAGGAATCCATGTTCATGAATCATCATCATCACAACAACCAATGAAACGATTGATTTGTGTCCTCACAAGTATTTCCACATTCGTCATGATCATTTTCATCCTTGCGGGTCTACTCGTGTTACCTCTTCTCTATTTTGTGAACTTTTTGAAACATCCCGAAAGGAGTGAAACCGTAATCATGACTCCGTACATTCCCGACTCTCCTTCATATCCTCCAAATTTCACAGCTCCATATCTTCATGCCAATATTAACATTACGACACCATTGAATGCTCGATTTATATTGTTCTCTTTCACAGCAAATGCCTCTGTTCAAGCAGCTGTCATTCGAAAACAACAAGCATTGGAAACTTTTTCGGATCTTGCAGCCAAAGCAGCCCTTTCATTGAATACCATGTCCAGCTTTATATTTGACAAACCATTGGATCGATCTATTTTTGTGATCACACCCAACACGTTTGGAACTCGATTCTTTTCACTTCGACTGCAAAATAATTCAGGAATGTACGATGACGAGAGTTCAGAGTTCAATATTGCAACAAATACAACCATTCCAAGAAATACATCAACCATTTACATGATTTGGAGAAATACAGACAATTCCTTAAATCCGATTGAACTCAAATTTTGGTATTGGTTAGAATATGATAACCATGCACATCTTAAAGCATTTACAGTTGGTGTTGTTCTCATTGCTGTTGCAGTAATTCTCATTTCGGTGGTCATCCTGAACAGCAAGATAACGTCACTTGTCATTTATCATCTCATTCGAGCAATAAGACCAAGTGGAAGAAAACAGTTTTTCAAGGATTTTAAAAAACAACTCAAGACGACTTCAAAGAGTGAATTCGAGGAACAGAATGTGCTTTGGACAAAAGGAGCTGACATCACTTTTCAAAATTTGACATTCAAGTCGTTCTCTGGAAAAACAATTTTACATCCAATCCATGGAATTTTACAAGCAGGAAGATTTACAGCAATTATGGGACCTTCAGGCTCTGGAAAATCAACCTTTGTCAACTCATTATGTAAGAGAGCAAATAATGGAAAACAAAGTGGAAAAATTTTAATTGACAACAGAGAAATTACGGAAGAGACAAGCAAAATTATTGGATTTGTCACTCAAGAGGATATAATGGCACCACATATGACTGTCAGGGAGGCTTTGGAATTCAGTATTAGTTACCGAAAGAATCGAAATAGTGACAAGAAGAAAAGAATAAGTGCAGTGATAGAAAGATTGGGTTTATCCAAAGTTCAAAATTCCTTCACAAAAGTATGCAGTGGAGGAGAGAAGAGAAGAACATCGATTGGTATTGAATTGTGTGCAGATACTCCTGTTCTCATTTTGGATGAGCCAACCAGGTAAGTCACAATTTTTTTTCGAACATTTGACATTTTACATTTGAAACATTTTTCACACAATTCCAATCTTAGTGGACTCGATTCAGAAAGTGCCCTCTCACTCTGCCAAACATTAAGAGAACTCTCTGAAACGTGCAACTTGAATATTATTTGTGTCATCCATCAACCATCTTTTGAAATTTTAAAACAATTTCATGACATTATGCTTTTCAATGAAGGACAACTTCTCTTTCACGCTCCAGTTTCTACGGTTGTGAATGTTCTACGTGATAAAATTCCAGCCGATGAAATTCGAAACAATCCAGCCGATGAAATTTTACGAACGTTGATTGCACCTCAAGGTGAATTACTCGTAGAAGAAATCATCATTCGAAAAACACAGGAAAATGCACAATGTCATTTCACAAGTGGTAGTCCAAATCATTTCTACACGACTGAGTCAGCTGAGGACATGTTCCAACAACACTCGAATTCCACACGAGCTGTTCATGACGACGATAGCAACCCCAACAATAATAACAACAACAACCAAAACATTCACAACCCCAATAGGAACAATAATCACCATTCGGACGTTGCTGTCATTCCCATCCACAAGAGCATCAACAAATCCAAACGCCACAATATTTCTGAACAAGCCTATCGAACAGCTCCCTTTTATATTCAATTTATTATTTGCTTTGTGAGAAGCTTTAAACAATTTTACAGAGATTGGACCACCATCCTTATTGAGAATGGTATTTGTCTAGCCATTGGAGTTTTAATTGGCCAAATTTTCAAAGGTCTTTCATTTGCAGGAGCAGTTCCTGAAAGCTTATACATGCAATGTCCAATTTCTTTGCGTGGAAATGCCATGGTTCCACAATCCGATTTAATTTCACCTTACTCTACGTTTTTTAATATTGCCATTTCTCTGGTTTCTATTATGAGAGGATTACTTGTTTTTGGAAATGATATGAATAATTTTAAGAGAGAGTGTTATTCTGGTCTCAATTGTTGGATGAATTACTTGGCTAAGGATTTAGTTTCCATGATGGTCATGCTTGTTCTCTCTCTATCCTTCACTGCGGGATTACAAGTGGCATCTCCTCATACCCACTTTGGTATTTTGTGGATGGTCATTTATGGAACCATGTTGGCAAGCTTTCCTATTGGTTATATCATTTCATACTTTTTCACACCACACACGGCTCAGTTAGCTGCTTCCCTTGTTGTCATGATATTTTTTGCCATGAGTGGAAATCAACCATCGATTCCAGAAATGGAAAGTTATGTATTTCCATTCACTTATATTCATGTCATTTCGTATTTGAAATATGCCAAGGGCTTAATTTTCATGTTGGAACTTGAAACAAGAAGAGGAACACAGACACTGGATGAAGTGTTAAAAATATATGGATTTGAAATTGAAGCCTTAATTTATTATGTCTATGCACTAGTATTTTGGGTTATTGTATGGAGATTTATTTCTATTTATTGCTTATGGGCCTGGAAACCAAGAAGCTTATTCAGTAAGATTGTCTATTGTGTCAAGTTGATGATGGGTATAATTTATGGTCCGATCAGCAATGCATGTTCCAAGGTAAAGATCACCTTGAAAAGAATGTCCAACAAGAGGAATGATGAAAAGAATGTGCAATAAATAGGGTGCATTTGAATTCTTAAGTCTCTTTAATCGATTTGATTGCTTCTATAAAATTAATAATTAATATACATTAATATATAATTCAATATTCATTAAAATATAATATATCATTTCCTATTACGTGCAATTCCACTAACTTGGTAAAGATTGCGATTCGGTGATCATTCTGAACACATCATTCTCAATTTTGTTGTCCAGCAATATCAAGATGTAAAAATTGTGAAATGCATCTGGTTCAAGATAATGATTCCTCCACAGTGGAAAGGTCGTTTGGATCCAAATCGATTATTCCGGGCGTTCAAATCAGTTAAGTTTAGAAGCTACTACTCGATAAAATCTGCACAAATTGCCTCATCAAATTCAATCAAGAAACGCGGAAGACAAGGATAGGAGTGGGTAATGGAACAACAGTCTCCATTCCAACACCAAAAATCTCAATGCATTTTAATGAGAAGAAAAACAATGAACTTTGGTGTCAACATTAGTTGGAGAAAGTGAAATGGGGGGAAGCAAAACAAAACAACAACCGCTTACAAACGCCACTTTTCATTTATTTAAATGATTTTCAGTCGGACGGATCATGTAAGATACGAGTTTCTGATCGTTGTGATCTTTGGGGTGCTATTTCTTGTGGTTGCAATTTGGAACATTAGGTTTCTGTTGTACACAAATGATGACAAAAAACACGATTACTGGGTGGGATTGAATCTACACTATTCCCGAGAACAAATTCAATAATATTATTTAATGAATTTATTACAACCCGAACCTCATCACGAGAAAATATTCTCCAACAAAATTATGACATGCTTCACTCAAGAACATGGCTTGACTTGTGGATTAACAAATCAATTGTTCGAATTAGCAACATGTCTTGCAATCAGTACAAAATTGGGATCAAAACAATTCATATTACCTAGTATTGGGTCCGATGGAAATTGGGGATTATGTTATTGCTCAAAATCTCAACGATATTCCACCTTTTTTGATTTGGAGAGAATGAAAAAGTTAGCAAAACAAAGATTTGGACTCACAATTTACGAATATAAAGAGAGTCAAACTCTTTTACAAGATGTTTCTGAGGAGCTTTTTCGGCTACAAGATAATACTCTCTATTTAAAACCTCTTTAAAAAAAGAAGTCAGAGCACATTCAAACGTTGAGAATAATCCACCCCAAAATCCAAAATTACCTCCATGGATGAAAGAAAATTAATGAATTTAAACTCGTGAATCCAATGTGTTAATGTGTGAATTTTCTTGTTGTTTTGGCTTTTCAAATTTAGTGTATCAATGATTGCAAATTCAATCCGATGATGATGTTGTTTTGAGCGAACGGATGAAAGTGATACCTGTTCAATTTTTTAATTCACAAAATTATTTTGATTGAATAAATAGTCGAAGATTGTCATCTCCCGCAGCAATAATTTACCTTCATATATAAGACTTTATATTCAAAATCCTTCGGTTCGGAGATTTCTACGGTTTCAAATTTAGTACACGCTTTAACTAGTGTACCAGTAGGTAAATTAGAGATATTAAAATAAACGGAAATAATAGAATGTCCGCCCGTCTAGCTCAGTCGGTAGAGCGCAAGACTCTTAATCTTGTGGTCGTGGGTTCGAGCCCCACGGTGGGCGAATGAAATTTATTTTGATAAATAATCCGCCTCGCATATTGTAAAAGGTTGTGCTTTAGTGTTTCGAGACGAAAGCCTCTCTAACTTCTTTTTTTGATGCACTTCTTGTGTTCGCTTCAGATTATCTGTTGTTCTGTTTGCGTCATCTACTGATCTAATAATAACAATCTTAACTATTTCTACGATGTTAATATAATATGACGACTTTATATCTTGGTTCAATGAGAATATATCATCACATAATGCCGGACAAAATAAGGAATTGCTGCCACTGTTATTTCTTGAATGGTAGTGACCATACGTTTCTTCTTCATGGACACACCAGAAATGCAACACCAAACGAATCTCATCGTTTCCACTACAACATAACCTGTATACGTTACTGGGGTTCTTATGTTGTAGTGTGAGAGCATGTCCATTTTAAGTATTCCTTTTTTGTCTGACGCTGCTGAAATTATTTATGGCATGTCGACAAAAAAGAAAAATTATTTAATAAGACCATAGAGTGTTAAATATTGGATTTGCTTGGGGACGATGGAAGAGTGCAAATTTCGAACAAGATATGCTCTATTTGACCTTTTCTAACTTGTTCTATCCATCAGTGGCTGTGAAGCGGGTGATTGATGATTGGACTTGGAAAACGAAACATTTTGACTCGGCTGGTCCACTTGTTGTGATCCACAATCAAATACCTACAATTGGGAGAGAGAAATTCCTGTCTTTTCACGATATATTAAGGAAACATAGTATCCTTTTTTAGTTTGTGTAAGGCTTGATTTGATTTTGCGATATTCATCTGTATCAGGTAATTGTTTTTTAATGTCGTCTGCAATTTTTGATTTGTTAACCTTAAAGAAATCTTTGTGCTCTCGCATTGCTTCCTCAATAGCTTTAAAAACCATATCTTTGACTTCATCTGTGAAATAATTTGGTAAACCTTGTGGTTTACTTGGCTGTGAATTGAGACGATCATTCATTTCTTGAACTGATTCAAGTGTTTCTCCCTTCCTCTTTTTATCCAATCCGTTTTGTGACAAATATAAGCCTTTTTCTCTTAGACTGTAATTTTCAGAAATTTCCCGAAGATCAGTATGGTGTTGTTTTGCTCCTTTAACTCGCTCTTCTTGCTTGACATTGTTGAATTCATCTGTTGTCATTATTACATAATCTTGAGATTGCAATTCCGAAATGAATTGATGATGCAAATCTTTTTCTTTAATGAAATTCCATAATTTAGTGACGACATCATGCTTGCCTTTATCAATATAATTTTTGACATCATGATCACCCGATGTAATTTTCCACAATTTCTGAATAGGCCATCCTTCAATAATATTAATCGAGTATTTGCTGTCTTTGATAGAGTAATTATGATGATTTTCAGTCAATTGATTTTGATCGTTGAAGTTTTGTTGAACAAAAGTGATTGGAGTGTTGTTGGGTGTTTGTTGTGTTGTTGGTTGTTGGTTGCACAGTGAGTGATTTCGTGCAAAAGTGCTTTCGGAAAACCATTTCTGATGTTCAAAGCAATATCGTGAAAGTGAGCCTGTACATCCTGGCTCGGCACATTTGTGGGCATGGGTGTTGAAATGTCGATGATTAGAATTGTTGTTGCACCGTCTCTGTACTGTTGTCATCACAATATTTTTTATTGAATCTTTTGCAGGAAGATTCGATGGCCACTTGTGAAAGTCAATTCATTTCACACATTGTCACCATACGAATGCTTCTTGGAAGACCTGTATGTTCCTTGACAGATATCACGAAATCAGTACATCTTGACGCCTACCCAGCACAGTTCAAACATACAGGTGAATTCAAAGGAAGAATTCCATACAAATTTCCACACCCCTATCAAGGGTCGTTGTACACAATGGAAAAATGTAGATTCTCACTTCAAGGGTTGCATAGCAAGGCTTGAATTATATTATTATTTAGTAGTTCACTACAACATAATCGTGTTCATAGATGGAAATAATGAGAAATGATGAGATCTATTAATTTTCCTGCCAATTTTTTTCTCATGACCTGTCACTTCCAATGTTTTTTGGGGTTGTTGAAGGCACCATCTGGGTTTGAATGAGATGACAAAATTGGTGATTCGGATGCTCAGGTAACTCCTTGAACCCCTAATGTCACCAAATCATACTCAAAAAAACAAACACACACTCTCCTATTGTAGTTTTAGGGATTCCAAGAAGAGATGCCAGAAACAATTACTCTTGGAAGCACCACTGGTAAGTAGCATGTGTTTTGAAAGGTTTTTTGAGTGTTTATTCGTTCATGATATTATATGACATCGACACTCGTTCCTCTGAATGATGTTATTAACATTCATTGTCCAACCAACAACAACATACCCTCTGACAACCACCAGCTGCCAAACAGGTAGTGGGATTCAACGTCAGTTTGTTGAAAGGAGGCACCATCACACAAGCCATTGGTACGTTTCTTCTTGGAGATATTGCTGACAAGTTTTTGTTGTTAAATGATGTTTCATTCTTTCATCTTTGTAATGTTCGTATTCCCAACGCATATCCTATACTCCTCCACATACACGTGAATACCCAAATGTATTACCATTTGCATACATGTACACAATGCTCAACTCACAGCTGGTGGTGTTATCACTTCTCTTGTGATTGCCTCGACTGTAGCCACCATTATTTTGGTTTCTGTTGGTGTTGGTTATTCACCACCAGAACCAAAGAATGATATGGCCACCACTTTCAAACGTGTTCCTGTAACCGTAGATGTCTTGTTGAATGATGTTGATCCTCGTGGTGGTAATTTAACATTGACCAGTATTGTTATGAATCCTAGTAATGGTGTTGCCAAGATTATTTCCAAATCCAAGATTATGTATCAGTCGATTGGAGCTTTCACTGGTAATGATTCCTTTTCTTATGAAGTCTCCAACTCGTTCATGACTGCCAATGCCACTGTTACTATTCAAGTATTGAATCGTCCTCCTGAAGCCATTCCAATTGTGAAGACTGTTCCAAAGAATGCCAACCGTTACCTCATTGACATCACCTCATACATTGGAGACGATGGGGAGCATATCTCTGATGACGACGATGATGTCATCTATGTGGAAAGCTTTTACGGTAATCACATTGTTGGTGGTAATGACACTAACTTGGGTGTGGTTGAGAAAGAAACTTGGACTGGTTTTTATTACACACCAAAGAAGGATTTCAATGGTGTTGAACAATTCAACTATGTTATTTCAGATGGTAATGATACTGCTACAAGTACAATTACCATCTCCATTCAAAACAATCCTCCATCTTGTTCAGACGATACCTTCCATGTTCCAAAGTATCGTGGTGCTTTCTTGAACATTTTAAAGAATGATCGAGATATCAATGGTGATGAGGTCTTTATCAGTAGAGCTCTTGGTGCTGGATATGGATCTGTTAGTTTGAGAAATAACAGCAAACTTGTGTATTACTATACCAGTGGTGAACTCACGACCAAGTATGGTGATTCTTTCGAGTACACTATTAGTGACTCACAATTAGAAAGCTCTTGTGTGGTCTTTATTCAAGTGTACAACAGTCCTCCAGATGTTTTCACAAGAACCGTTACTGTTGGTAAATCCAGTACTGACAACTTGATTCCAATTCAATACTTTGATCCTGACAGAAAGGATTTGATTACTTTGAAGAAGATTGCTCCTGCTCTCAATACATTGAGTCCAGCTGCTTCTGTCCAATTGGCCAAGTCTCACGAAACTTTGTTCTTTGAATGTTGTGATTTCATCAATGTTGAGACCAATAACTTTACCATTCTTTTCACACCTACTCCTAATACTGTTTACACAACCACTTTGGATATTACCATGACTGATGGTGAAGCAGAAGGAACTGGTAAGCTCACAATCTATGTTGTGAACAATCCTCCAACTCCTGTGGATGATGTTGCCTCCTGTGGAAAGAATCTTGAAACCTTAATCAACGTCATTGAGAATGATTTCGATGTTGATAAGGGTGACACTGCTCTTCTCAATTTAACAAACAATGGATGGATTGCAGCAACTGAAAAGGGAGGTTCTATTTCCATCTTCAATGATACTCACGTCCGTTATGTTGCTCCAAAAGATTTGGTTGGCACTACGGATGTTGCCTATTATCGTGTCACTGATCAAAGTTTGGATGGAAATGGTAAACCAGATCCAAGTGGGTTTGCCACTGGCAGGATTAACATTTCTCTCATTAACAATCCTCCAACTCCAGTGGATGATGCGATTACTATTCCAAAGGGTATTCTTTCAGTTTTGAATGTTTTAGCCAATGATGTCGATCCAAACGATGGCCCAAACTCTGTGAAGAAGATCAAGTCTGTCAGTTCTTCTGAGCAAAAGAACATTTCTTCAACTATTATGGTGAACCATTTCAATAATGATACTGATGGTGTTTCCTATACTGCTGTCAATGAAGAATACACTGATAGCTTCTTGTATGATGTGACTGATAAGGATGGAATGGACTCTACCTATAAGGCCAAGGTCACTTTGACTGTTGTCAATACTGCTCCAGTTGCTAATAACGACAACTTTAACACCAAGTGGAATCGATCTGTGGATTGTGATGTTAAGGCCAACGATTACGATCAAAACGGAGATTTACCAAGAGCTACTGTGAGCATTGTTGCTCAACCTACTCATGGTTCTGCTGTTGTTGTGGGTGTTAAGGTTCGATACACTCCAAACAATGGATATGTTGGTTCTGATTCATTCACTTACAAGTTGAACGATTTGAGCTCTCTCAATGCTGAATCCAATGTTGCCACTGTCACTATTCAAGTCACCAATACTGCTCCAGTGACTCAACCAGATAATGTTTCTACTCACTGGAGAAATCCTATTGGTGTTTTGGTTTCACCATTGATGAATGACAATGATCCAGAAGGAGATGCCATGGTTGTCTCTAGTGTGTCTGCTTCTGCTAGTGTCGGTACTGCTACTCTCGTTGACTCACAAACTGTCAAATTCGTTCCAAGCACTACTGCTCCAATTACTCTCGGTACCAAGCAATTCACTTACACTGCCAGTGATTACAATTTACAAAGTTCAGGCACTGTTAACGTAGAGATCACAAACACCAAACCAGTTGGTCAAGATGACACTTATTCCATGCACTGGGCTGCAGATGATACTGCATTGATAGTCTTGAAGAATGACGTGGATGCAGATGGTGATTCACTTTCTATTGGATCTGTTGATACCACTACTTACGTCACAAAGGGTACTGTTTCAATCTCTGGTTCATCTATTCTTTACACACCAATCAAGAATGGTATCACTGATAAGTTTGCTTACTATCCAAATGATGGAGCTGAAAATTCTACCACTCCTGCTGTTGTCACTATCACTTTCACTAACAATGAAAAACCAACTGCTCACAATGCTTCTCTCACGATTCATTGGAGAAGTTTGGCCAATCAAGGAGGCAAACAATTATTTGATGTTCTCACCAAGACTGTTGATGCAGATGGAGATGCCATTTCATTGTCTGTCACAACCTCTTCATCATGTGCTAAAGTCAATAATGCTAGAAAGGACAATGTTCAAGTGTCTGTCGCTACTGGATCCATTGGTAAAACCAGTTGTTCTTATACAGTGAGTGACGGCTTGGATCAAGCAACTGCCACTGTGTCAGTCACCACCACTAACAATGCTCCAATTTGTTCTGACATTATCACTTCATTCAATCCAGCTAACTTTGACATTGGTCAACAATACAGCATTGCTAGCTATGTCTCTGATGCGGATGTTAATGATATTACATTCCTTGCTCCAACTGGTCTTTCTGGAGCCACTGGTGGTGATCAATTCTATGTTAATGGCACGAATCTTGTTTTCAAGCCAACCAAGACTGTTGGTGTGAGAACACTCAGTTATCAGGTCACTGATGGTGTTGGTACTTCTGCATCATGCATGTTTAAGGTTTCTGTGAACTCTATTTCACCATCTGACTACACCAAGAGATATGACGTTCACTGGAATGCAACTAATGCTGTCTTCAACATTTTGGATACTTTCCCAACATCAAACATTGTTTCGATCAATAATGGAACCATGACTGGAACTGCCTCCATTTCTGGAAACACTACCTTGTACACTCCAAGGAGAGCTGTTGGATTTGACACGTTCACTGTTTCTATTTCAGATGATGTCTCCACTTATAATGTCACTGTTGAGGTCACTGTTTTCAACAATGCTCCTTCAGCAACTGTTCCACAAGCAACCACAACATGGAGCTCCACCACTGGAGTCACCATTGACTTGTTAGCAAACTATGCTGATCCTGACTACACTGACTCGAGAGAATCATTGGGTACTGTCACATCACTCACCACTAGTACTTCTGGACGTGTCACCTTAGAAAGTTCTAGATATGCTAAATACCTTCCACAAGGTACATTCACTGGGTATGATCAATTCCAGGCAGTTATTACTGATGGTCTTGCATCTGTTACCGTTACTGCAACTGTTTTGGTCACCAATACACCACCAACTACTGTTCCAAAGTCTGTCACCATCAAATGGTCTCAACATAGAGCTGGTTATGCAATCAACGTTTTGGACGTGAATGGAGCCACTGATAGTGATGCTGAAAACAATCCATTAACTGCCACTGTGACTGGAGGAGTTTCTCCATCAAGTGCTGGTACTGTTCAACTCACTACCTCTCCAAATGCAACTGTTAAAGCTGGTGCTAGTGTCTTTTTAGGAACTTTCTCCTTCTCTTACTCTGTATCTGATAGAATTGCTTCAACTCCAGGAAGTGTTTCTGTCACTGTGACCAATACTTTGCCATCACCAACTCCATATAGTATTGACTTGCATTGGAGATCCAATAACGTTGCTCTTGATCCTGTCATTCGTTATGCTCTAACTCGTCAAGATGTGGATGGTGATAGTTTAACCATTACAGCTGCTTCTGCACAAAAGGGTACTGCCTCTGCAAATACTAACACAATTACTTATAGTGCTCCAGCTTCTCTTGGATTGGATGTTGTCTCTTACACACTCAGTGATGGAGCTCAAACTGTATCCAACGCTCAAACTATTGTCAATGTCAATGTTGTGAATACGAATCCAAATGCTGCTTCTTTGACAACTTCTGGTAAATGGTCTGCACCAATCACCAAAGATGTCAATGGTGCTTGTACCGACAGTGATTCCTTGGATAGTAGCTTTGTTAAATTCAATGGTGTTGTTTCAAATGCAGTCGGAGGAACTACTTCTGTTGTAGGTAATGTTGTGTCATTCACATCAACTCTTGCTGTTTCTTCCTATTCATTGTCTGGAAATGTTTACTCTGCAACTGGTAGCTACAAGTACACTTGTACGGATGGTTTGGGTACTTCACAAGGAACTGTGACTGTAACTGTCACCAACAATGCTCCCACTGGTACTGGTGCTTCTGTTACTGTTGCAAGAAATTATCAAACCACCACTTATGATTTCACATGGGCTCAAATGGGTAATTTCTCTGATCCTGATGGTGATACCATTTCAGTGATTAAGGTTGCCACTACCTCTGATGTCACAGTTACCACAACTGCAACTGGTATTCGTTTGACTACTTCTCCAACTGTTTTGGGAGCTAAGGCCATTACCTTCAAATTATTCGATGGTCTCCACGAAAGTAACAACACATTGACATTTACTGTCACTTTCACCAATGCTGCTCCAACTTGCTCTGCTGCTACCTTTAATGTCAACAAGGGAACTTCCACAGATGTATTACCAACTTTGAGAACTCTCATTGCTGATGCCAACAACGATGCTCTCAGTGTTTCTTTGACTGGAACATTACCATCTTCATTGGGTTCATTTAGTGGTACGGTTTTCACAAGCTCCAAGTCGAACAGTGGTTCTTCATCTGCTGTGAGCTATAGTGTCTCAGATACACAAATTACTACTACCTGTGGAATGAACATTACTGTATCGAATAGAGCACCTACCGCTCAAGACACTAGCTTCTCCTTCACCTCCGTCAGCAACAATTATGTCCATACAGCCACTTACAATTTGGCTTCCGATCCAGATGGAGATGTCTTGTCTTATTCGATGGACTCAGATAATTGTCGATCTATTGCTACATCAGTGACTGTTTCTCCTGCTGGACTTATCACTTTTAAAAGAAAGAGATCAGTCATTGTTGGTTCTTGCAATCTTGTCATTAGAGCTACTGATAACGATGCATCAAGCCCACTCTCTGCCACTGCCACTGTTCAAATTTTATTGCAAGCTACTTCTCCAGTCGCCAAAGACGATAGATTCTCCATCAATCAAGGACAAACTATTAGAATTTTTGTTTCTCAAATGTTTGCCAACGACAATGACGAATTTGGACAAACAAGCGGCCTCTCTTTTGTGAATACATCTTGCCCAGACGCTTCTTACTGTCATAAGACTCCACGAGTTGTTAATTTTAATGGACAAGTTGCCGTTGAACTCGACAGTGATCCAAAAACATGCCAAGCTGACAAATTCAGATACAATGCTGTCACATCATTCGGAACTCAAGTGTCTGCCAACGTTTTTGTTGAGTTTAAGAATTGTTACTGTCAATCCAAAATTGATTTCGTCTTCTTGTTGGACTCTTCTGGCTCGATTGGAGAGCCCAACTTTAACTCAATGAGAGATTTCAGTAAGAGAATCACTGGTAGATTTAAGCTTGGGCCAGATGCTGTACAAGTTGGAATTGCAAGATTCCACAGTGTTGGAGTTTCGACTTTGGGTCTATCTTCAGATGGTGCTTTGATTAATAGTACTTTGACAACTATGACTTACGACGCTGGTGCTACTGCAACCATTCCTGGTTTGAGAGTTGCCCTCAATATTGCAGCTGCTGGTCGTCCTGATGCTGATAAGGTTATTTATATTTTGACAGACGGTATGGCAAATGAACCTTGCAACTGTGAGGGATGTGTGACGGAATGGTAAGTGTTTTTTTTAATGATTTCTTACTGTGTTTTATTGAACATTACTTAATTTGGTAATTAATCCTTTCTTTCATCCTTTAATAATTTTTAAATAATTTAGGGGAACAAAACCAAGCGTTTACAGGTACAGCGTTCAGCAACAAATTATCGACAATCAATCTCTCACTAACTCCCAAAAACAAGAAGCTTATCAAAACATGTGCAAGTATCAATATTCAGACAACAATTATTTATTCTCTGGTAAGACATGCTCATTCTGTAGTTGGACATACGATTCCTATTGCTTGCCATGTGCTGACGCAGTTCCAATTGCTCAAAAGATTAATTCTTGGAAGCGTAATGCTCAAGGAGTAGTTCCTAATGATCGAGATAACCCATTCAATGGAAATAATAGAGTTTCTTGGAAGATTGTTGCAATGGCTGTTGGTAATGCCATGTCTGACAAGATTGGTGCTAGACAAATTCAAGGAATGAACTATGATCCATCTCGTGCCATGACTGTCTCTTGGGATGATTTGCAATCAGTCATGTCTGAAATTGTCGATCAGTCATGCAACACCAATGATGTCCGAATCGCTCAATAAATAAGTTCAACCGATCCTTCAAACCCATATTGTTAGTGTCAATCCACCTTCTATCAGTGAAGTCCTTCCAACTCTCAACATCTCTCCCACAAAGACAAGAAATCCGTTCTAATCAGTTAAGTTTGGGATATCAATTTCAATAACCATAGTCTCTCTTCCTCCCATTTCACTTCCTCCAACTAATGTTGACACAAAGTGCATTGTTTTCCTGAAACGAATTGGCTATTATCTTCTCTTCCCGACTGTATGATGATTTTTGGATTCGAAATCGAATCTCGGAGAAGATTTATTTCGTCTTCAAAGATTGAAGAAGATGCTCCAATTGAGAACAAGTTTCTTGTACTTTGAGTGTCTCATTTTCGTTCTGAGAGAGCTTTTCGTCGAGTTGTTGCTTCATATCGGATGGCAAGTTGGGATGCATTTGTTTCAGATATTTGGCCTTGACAGTACCGAGTTGTTGTACCTTCTTTTGCCACTTGTCAATTTCCTTTTCTAATTGGAATTCTTCTGGTAGTACAAGTTGAGTCATGATGGTACCTTGTGGTGTTGTGACAGCAGTGGTGGTGAGCACGAGGCGATGCAAGTGTTGTTTGGATTGTTCTTCAGAGATGAATTGCACAGTGTTGAATTTGCAGAGGGTTTTAACTAGCACGGATTCGTGATCATCCATGGAAAATTCAAGTGCTGATCCATGTTTGAAAATGTAAGCAACGAGTTCCGTTTTGGAGGGCAGTTGAAGATTTTGTTTCATGGATCTGAGCTGTTGAACAATTTGGAAGAGCTTGTCCAATTTGTCCTCAATCATGCTCTTTCTATTTTCTGAACCGATTAGACTCTGTAAATTTTGTTTTGTGAAAGGTATTGGATAGGGACATTCAAGAATACTCTTGGAAGGAATATAGCTCTCGTGTTGAGATGAAAAATGGAGTGCATTGTTAGTACCATTCAAAGGACAGCAATGGAAGAGCTCTTCTGTAATAAAAGGCATATAGGGGTGCAATAATTTAAGGATGTTAACGAGGCAATAATTGAGAGTGTGAAGTGTGTTCTCAATAAGAGGTGTCACAGTAGAGGAAGAACTGTACAAAATGGGTTTGATCATTTCCAAGTAATAATCACAAAAGTGGTAAAGGAAAAATTGGTAGATTGAATTGCAAGCATCACTGAATAAAAAATTATCGATCGATTTTCGCATGGTCTCGATCGTGTCTCCAAGTTTTAACAAAATCCATTGATTCTGTATGACTTGTGTTGACTGTGAGTCCAATGACTCAAAGGATTTGAGCAATGTTTCGAGCAAGTCAACATCGTCGCCATAGGTTGTATAGTTGAATCGTTCAAAGTGTGAAAAGCAAAATTTTGCAGATTGCCAAATTTTGTTGCACAAGTGCCTATTTGCTTGAGCACGCATAATGTCTAGATTAATTTGTCTGCCTTGTTGTGTGTACTGGATGAGAGTAAATCGAAGAGCATCTGTACCACATTGTGGGATGCCGTTGGGAAACTCTTGTTGTACACCCTGTAGGGCTTTCTTCATTTCTTGCTTGGTGATATTGGTATTTTTCTCGATACCTCTTCTCAAATCATCTAGTGAGGTTCCATGAATCATGTCAATGGGGTCAATCACATTTCCAAGACTCTTTGACATTTTTCTGCCTTGTCTATCTCTGACCATGGAATGCAAATAAATTTCATGAAAAGGTTTTTCTTTGGAATCAGAGAGGTATGAACACAACATGACCATTCTTGCTACCCAGAAAAATAAAATATCACTTCCTGTCTCCATGACTGAGCTGGGAAAGCGGTACTTCAAATCGTTCTGAACTCGTTCGTTCCGACTTGGCCATCCAAATGCTGCCAAAGGATACAGACCAGAGGAGAACCAAGTGTCAAGAACATCTTCATCTTGTTCCAAAGTGCAATTGGCATTGGGTAAATATCGGTGAAGGATTTCAGTGGCTTCCTTTTCGTCATGAGCGACAATCCACACATTTTCAACCAAGGATGTGTCTTTCGTGGAGCTTTCAAAAATAAAAGAGCTATTGTTTTTGAGATTTTTCAAGGAGATTGCTTCAAGAATGTCTCTCATATTTGGCGAGACAATTTTAAAAGCAGGAATTCTATGACCCCACCACAATTGTCTTGAAATACACCAATCATGAATATTTAGCAACCAATTATTCCAAGTTTGCTTGTGATAGGATGGATGAATTAAAATTTCATCATTATTAACGAGATCTAAAGCTCTCTTGGCCAATGTGTCACATTTCACAAACCATTGATTCAAAAGCATTGGTTCAAGAATGTCTTTTGATCTGGAGCATATTGGTAGCTCCATTTCGTGATCTTCCTCGGAGACGAATAAATCCAATTCTTTCAATTTCTCAACTAGCAATTGTCGTACTACAAATCTATTTTTTCCAACAAATTCTTTTGGAACTTGATCATTTAAAGTTCCATCCTTATTTAAAATTGTAATAAATTCCAAATTGTGTCGTTTTCCACAATCAAAGTCGTCAAAGGAATGAGCTGGAGTAATTTTTACGGCGCCTGTTCCAACCTCCATGTTCACCAATTTTTCGTCACATATGATGGGAATCGTTCTCTCTGGAATGAATGGATGTAAAATGAAATGGTTGTGGAATTTTGTAAATCTCTCATCTTGTGGATGAATGGAAACAGCGGTATCTCCTAACATGGTTTCCAATCGTGTTGTGCTCACTTGAATGTATCCAATAATATCCTTACTTCCAACATTGGAAACTACAGGATATTTAAACGTATGCATTACTCCAAAGTCAAAAGATTTTTCTTCACAACTTGGAACCATCACTTTTGTCTTTTTTTTTAACGACAAATATTCTACCTCAATATCTGAAATGGCTGTATTGAGCTGGGGACACCAGTTCACTAATTTTGCGTCTCTATAAATTAATCCATCACGAGCCAATCTCACAAAACATTCCAAAACAGCATTTGAAAATTGTGTGTCCATTGTGAACACTTTTCGGCTCCAATCCGTCATTGAGCCCATTGCTTTCATTTGTTGATCAATTCTGTTTCCATATTCCTCTTTCCATTGCCATACTCGTTTCAAAAATTCCTCTCTTCCCAAATCGTGTCTAGTCTTTCCTTCCTCCTTTGCAATTTTCTTCTCTACAGCAACTTGTGTTGAAATTCCTGCATGATCCACACCAGGCACCCAAAGCACATTAAAGCCATTCATCTTTTTGTATCGACATAACGAATCTTGAATGGATGCTGTCAAAGCATGACCTATATGCAAACTACCAGTAACATTCGGAGGTGGCAATAAGATGGTATAACACGGAGATGATTGTTGAGAGTAGTCTTGTCCTTTGAAGAGACCCTTTTCTTCCCACCATTGATACCAATCTTTTTCTACATTTTGTGGTTCATAACTAGGAGCTAGTATTGTATTCAATTTGCTACCGCTGTTATTATGGTTCGGAATTGTATTGCTAGAATTCTCATCCTCTACGGAGGGCGGCTCTCCTCGTGGTGATGATGATTTTACAAGTTCCTGTTTGTAATGAAATGATGCTGCTTGTTGAGTGTGCTGAATGAACCATTCCGTTTGGTAAAATCTTTTCATCGTCAAAGGATGATGCGAATGCTGAAAAAGAAGGCTTCCGAGCTTCTTTGGTGCAGCACGATGGTAGGACAGAGAAATCATTTTTGTTTTGGATTTCAATTTTTTCCAAAAAAACCGCCAAAAGACACCGTTAATTTTTTATGAAAAAAATGCCTCACAAGATCTTCATCTTTGAAAAATAATAATGCATTAAAGCTCAAAAACAGAACTGAAAACACACCCGATGTAAAAGAGGATTCCACTCCAAAAGGTGAGAAAAAAAGAAAGAAAACCACAGAAAAGGATGATTATTCCACTCCAAAGAATAAGAAATCCAAAAAAGCATGTAAGTATGACAGTACTGTACTCGTATACGTTGTACATAATTCTTTTTAGAAAAAGACATTAGAAGAGGCTCTTGTGCGAAGATATTGAAAGGCATGAAAAAGGTGAATATCAAGAGGTTCTAGATTCTAAAATTGAACAAATGGTTCTTCCTGATCAGTGGATGGGCTCAATAACTGTTCCACGTGATCGCAAGGTGGACTTTTTCAAATACATGATAACAACTTTGGGAATTTCGTTGTCTCCAGCTACAACTTATGATGAAATTGAAGAAACTTCTATTTTTAAGAATTGTAAGGACATTTCGAAAGCTCTCTCGAATGAAAACCAATGTTTCTCCGATGAAGATGATACTTTGAGGAAATTGGCCAAAGAGTTGAATGTTCCATATCAGAGGTGTAGGATGTTGATCTTAATTTCCCGAGCATTGCATCCAAAACAATTCGTTCCTGACAAACCAGGAAAATATGAACATCATGATTTACCAAAGATGGTTTTGATGACAAGAATTATTCATTCCTGCACCCTTAACACTTGATTCGAGATAAATTAGAATCATGGCATAATGGTATTATGACATTTGGTATAACATGCGACAAAAAGAACGCAAATGTGTATGCAATGTGTAGCGATATCGAAGATAAGAGAGACGGTTTTGAGACCAGCTATAACTTGAAATTTATTGGAAGTTTCAATCACTACAAGTTGAACGACCGAGCAGGTTCATTTGACTGCACTGTAATGAAAAATATTCATCAAAAATTACTCGACGCATAATTTGGAGAAACAATCAAGAAGGATCGATATTTCAGAGCTTGAGTATACATTCACTCCTAAAGAACATAAGACACCACATGATGGAAAGAAAGTGAGCAGCGGCGAGTTGACACAGCCTGTCCGACGAAAAGACTTTTCTTTGCAAGTCTATTGGAAAACATGCCAAACCGAGGAATGGAACAAAACATCGACAATAATGAAAAAGATGAGAACATTATACCTGGTTTGTGGACCAGACAATAGTTTATTCAGTGTTGCAGGTATTGATTTATCTTCAACAATTCGTTTTGGAATGTCAGTGGAGGAAGTGCAAGGCATGATTTGTGACGTTTTATGCCAAATAGTGATATTAGAATCGAAGAACATGATTCATAACGATGTGAAACCTCAAAACATTGTTAAGTATGACAATCATTACTATTTGATCGATTTTGAAATTTCTGAAACCTATGATGAACGTATTGAAACGGATACGCGTTATGAATGCAAACGTGGTGATAAAGAGTTGACCTGTAAATCCTATTCTAAAGGCTATCATGCACCAGAAAGAGAAAAAGAGAACAAAATCTCTCCAAAAAGTGATGTCTATTCTTTGGGACTTGTTGTTTTAGAATGCTTAAAGTTGAACAAAGTTGATTGTCGCAACAAATCAAAGATTGAAGAATGTTTGAAACGACAAGAATAATTCTCTCGAACATTGTTGAAAGAATTTATTGGTTCATCGTTAAAAGAAAATTCCATCAAAAAGACCTCTCCCAAAGAATTATTTCGGCTTTTTTCAACTGAAAAAAGAAAAGAAACATTGCGCTATTTTAAAGATAAAGAGGTTGTGCTGAGAGAACATTTCCCACAACAAGAGGAGGTGACATCGGACGAAGATATTCTAGAATTCATCAGTTGTTCATCTCAATATATTGCTTGATAGAGATCAAATCTTTTGAACACAATTATAGTTCAAGCAGTTTGTGAGTTGAGAAAAAGGCCTTTCAATACAAAAACAGCAATCACAACTTTCACCGCCAAAAAAATTAAATATTGTTTATTGGCCCTTCGGTGCCTCAATACTTGTCATAAAACAACATTGGACTTCATTTTCGTTTAGATACTACTTCTGAATGTCGAATGTTTTTAACAGGATATATCAAATATTAACAGATTACATGCTTGTGTTGAGCAACTGTTAACATGGGTTGAGTCCATGATTCAAACAGAAGGCAAAAATAAAGCAGTGTTTGGTCTGTTAATGCATATGGTTTTCGTTGGTTTGTAAGGTTGAGTCGTCAATTATTGTAAAAAGGTCATGAATAGGTATATATAGTGTTGATGGATATGATATGTTAATAATGATATGTTAATAATGATATCGATTACCAGCATTGTCTTCAAAGTTCTAAGTCACAACAATTAATAATGTTGAAGGGCGGAGAGCAGTCTTGGATCCAATATAAGGTGAGATGCTTCTTTCTTGTTCTTACATTCATTACACGTTTCTTATCGAATTGTTGATAGCACTGATCATCATAATACAAATATAGTATCTTGCCTTTTTGTCCATGATTAGTATGATCGTGAAGTTTTTTCTTTTGCTTTGTTTTTCTTTTTGGCTTGGCTTTGTCGGTGGATGATTGTTTTTTAGCTTGTGTGGTCCTTCTTGTTTTGCGAGGTTTGTTCTTTGGCTTGTATTCTTTTTCTTGTTTTGATGGAGTTGGTTGATTCAATGTTGATAATGTATTCTCATCTTTCTCAACTGGTGGATCGTTAGTTTTCTCAACTGATGGATTTTCTCTAAAGGTGATTGCGTCACATAGATGATGTTGTAAAGATTGTAACAAGTGATGCGAATGATCTAATGGCTTCCGTGCCTTTTCTTCGCAATTTCTGTTCTCTTCATTTCGTATATATTCATTAAGTTTGGCGTTTAATTGTTTGAGGGTAGCTGAAATGTAATTCGCTTGTTGTTCAATTCTTTCCAAACGTCTTTCCAGGCTGTGGAGCATGCAAGAGTCAAGGGCTCCACCGCCAAAAAAATGCAGCATCAAGAGTCTTCTCCGAAACTTGGAGGATCAACCTCTTCTGAAATGTCGGTATCAACTCAACACAATCATTTGGCTTCTTTATATCCCGAAGAACCAGAATGGTTGAAAACAAGACAATTTCTGACTCATGATTTTCTGAAGAAACATTCCGAGGTTGTACAACATCAACATCACAATTCCACTAACTTCTCTAACAACACATTAGACAATTTACCATCCAAAGTTCAAGAATTTGTCATCATTGAGGAATTATTTAATTGTTTGATGGGTTTTGAAGGAAAATATATCAAATGTGTATCGGAACATGATCATGACCAATTAATGACTGAAAATGGGTCTCTCTTGATAGACAAAACCATTGAATCATTCAAATATTCTCTGAATTGTGTTATAGATTCCTCTTTAATGGATTTGGTGAATAGAATACTACCTTTGTGCGAAAAGCATGCGAGAGTTTGCAATTTTTTAGACAAACGAGCTAGTTACGAAAACGGAGTTGTATGCCAAGCTTTTTGCTCTGCGTTGCGATCTCTTGAGAAAGAATACATGATGTTCATCAATCAATTAGACTTGTTATTCAAACAAGATCAAGTCAATATTCAAAAATTGTATTATCATTTGCAAACAGGAGCGTGGAAAACCATGGACATTCTTGACAGACTGATTGAGGAAATTACAAAAGAAAATGCTAAAGGAGGTTCCCTTATTAACATCATTCAACGAGTTTCAAAAACTATTAGTACCGATGAAAAAACTCAAAAACTTTTTAATTTTATTTTAAACAAGTCATGTGCTCCATATTTTGAAATGATAGAAAGCTGGATATTTAAGGGAGAAATTGAGGATGTGTTTGGAGAATTTTTTATTGAGGAGAACAAACAAATTGTGAAGGAACAACTTGCTAGAGATTTTAATTCAAGTTATTTGGAGTCAAAATACAGCATAACGAGGGAGGTTCCATTCTTCCTCTCCAAGATTAGCGACAAAGTTCTGGCATGTGGAAGATATTTGAGCTTGTTGAGCGAATGTGGACAAAAGTTTGAAAAGAAGATTGTGGACAAGATTAATTTTGCCGATGGAAAAGCCCTATCTATTATCGAAGAGGCCTATGCAAGCTCATCTAAACAAATTATTGAATATTTCTTTGGAAAGGTCAAGTTACTGGATCGCCTCCATTCTCTAAAACACTATTTCCTGTTCGATCATGGCGATTTCTTTGTTCATTTTATGGATACAGCAGAGCAAGAGAATGAGCTTGCCAAAAAGAGCACAGAAGTTTCCCTCTCCAAACTTCAATCCTCCATTGATTTCGCTGCACGGACATGCTCCATTCCAAATGATGAATACAGGGACGCTCTCTCTTGCAGTTTGAAGCCGCTGAATTTAGCAAGCTTTTTGAGCATTATCAAGCAACTCTCTTCTTCGAATCGCTTAGACACAGCACTGTTGGAGCAGCAACAATTGCAAGAATCAGCAGCCATTGAAGGATATGAAGCCTTTTGTCTCGAGTACAATGTCGAGTGGCCAATGACACTTTTCATTAACCGAAAGAATTTGACCAAATATCAAATTCTTTTTAGACATCTATTTTGCTTCAAGTACACAGAGAGGTGTCTCTGCAATACATGGATCAATCACAAATTCTCTAAGGAACTGAATTTGGGAAAATCTTTTGCCTCATTCTATGCATTGAGACACAAAATGATACACTTCATTCAACATTTCCTGTCGTATGCTCTCATCGAAGTTGTGGAAAAGAATTATGTAGAAATGGAACGCAAAATTAGGCAAGCCACAACACTCGATGAGGTGTTGAAAAGCCATGAACAATTTCTCGACTCCTCACTCAATGGCTGCCTTGTCTCGTCCAGTGACGCCTTCAAATGTCTCAACAAACTTCTCACTTGCTGCAATCTCTTTTCCAAGTACATGAACCAATTCTCTTCAGCAATATCAAACAACGTGGCGGAGGGCCTTTCAGAACAAGCAGCACTAACAGATGGTCAAACATTTGAGCATAGACGAGAACGACTTGCTCAATCCTCTGAAATTGCAAGAAATACTGCCCATGATGACAGTTACAATCGAAGTATTGCCAAATTTACTCAAACCTTTGAGAGTACTCTGAATCAACTCAAAAGTCATACTTCACATATTTTTACCTTGTCTATGAGCTTTGAAAAGGAAGATGCAGTTGTCACGAGTAGTAGTGGTAGTGTATTCTATTGAGAGTTGCTTGCAAAGAATTAGAAACATGATTGTGCACAACAGAGAAAAGATTGCACAATCACTTTCATAAAAGAAATTTACAAAAATAATTTACAGTTTTCAAAGTCATACAAAAAATGATGCAAAACGACAAGTCCAACAACAGCAATCATGAGTTCTCATTAAATCATGATGATCCGTTCAATGATGAGGACCAAATGGAACGACCTCTCTCTCCTGAAACGTTGTATCGGGAACAGTTTGAGAAAATGTTTGACACCTACAAATCCATGCAACAAGACAAAGAAACAATCAATTTTGAGGAAGTTCGGGAATTGCTTCAACTCTCAAATTTATCCATTCCTGTTGCAGCGATTAAAGAAGAATATGATCGGAGGATTGGCATTGAAAATAAGGCAACAAGGGAACAATTTGTATCCATCATGAGGGAATTAATTTCAACCGTCTCAATACAATCTTCTCCGACTGTAACAAAAGCCTCCTCCTCCACCACACCTAGGTCTAATATCGATTTCCAAGAACGATGTATGATGGAGGTTAAAAAAGAAAAGTACTTGCAAGAACATAACCAATACATCCGAGATCACCCTCTGTTGCACCAAATTCTCTTTGACTTTTTAAATACCACCCTTATTTATCAACCCGAAGATGTATTTTCCTTCGCTAGGGAATATTTCTCAAAATTGGCCAAGGTCGAAACGAAATCAAATCACGCAAAGAAAGTGTTGGTATTTTCTGGAGCTGTGGTGTCAGCCAACAATTTTGCTCTTAAACTTCAAGCAACATTCCCACATGACGTTGAACGGGCAGTTGGCTACACAACGAGGAAGCCACGGATCGATGAAATTGAGGGAATTCATCACTTCTTTGTTCCCTCACATGATGAAATGAAACAACTGATGAAAGAGAATTATTTCTACGAAATTGTACAAATAGGCAATGATTACTATGGAAATGCTAAAAGTGAAATTGATTCCATTTTAGAAAAAGATAAGGTTTGCATTGTATTTGCAAACCTTAAAGGAGTTCAACAATTGAAAATGATTCTCAGCGAGAATCAAATCAACTCGTGTTTCTTTTACATCAAACCCATTTCCATGAGTTCCTTTGAGAATGCTCTCAGCAAAATTCCAACCGATGATGAAAACCTAGATTTTGCTAAAAATCGAGTGCTAATGATTGAGGACGAGCTCAGACAAGATCTTTCCTCAGTCTACAATGTAGTTTATGAAATGAATGATGAATTAATGTCAGATGCAGAAATTCCTCTAGAATATGAAATGCCAGACGACTTGTACAAGTTGATTTTCAGCTTTATTTCTTCGAATAAATAAATGGAATTGACATTATTCAATGTAGATGATTTGTGAAAGGGATTGACTCATATCTCTTTGGAATCTTAGGATGACAGAATTGACGATTTCACAACATCGTGGTTACCGAAACTTGAGATCTCTTATTGCGTGAGATTCTTTATTATACACTTTCGTTGGTTGTTGCGGCTGGTTGAGTAGATTCTGATGAAGAAGTATTCTCAGAAATAAAACTTCGCACGTTGCTTCTACAAATAGGGCACTTGTCGATCCTACTAAAGCATTCATGACAAACACACTTGTGCTTGCAAGGTAACAGGATGACTTCTCTTGGCTCGGAAAAGCAAACAATGCACTCTTCGACTTCATTTTCATCATTCTCATCCGCTCCATACACTTCTTCCAACTCAAATAATTCAGATTCAGTTTGGGCAAAAATCTTGACAACATTTCCTCGGTAATAAACACCTTCTTCTGCATTTTCATATCTGTTAAAATTACAAATGACATATAAACAATAAAGTTCTCTGTCATAATCGGTCTCTAGATTTTCATCGTCATATCTTTTAAGGTAGTCTTGAGCCTGTAGAGTAGGTTTGATCACAATAACGAGTGGAAGTTTCGAATCAGATGAAATTCTTTCATCTTCGTCAGCCAAGAGATCCTGAGTGAGTTGATTTCCAATTCTCTCTTCTTCTGTGTTATTAATTTCAGGATTATTTTGTTCTTGTTGTTGCTGTTGATCAGTGTTGTTTTCGTGAGAGTCTGTGTTATTTGCAGTAGGGGGTTGTCTCACTACCACGGATGTGAAATAATTGTCAGAAACATTGGATTCAAACATGTCATCGGTAGGCATCTCAAATGCTTGTCCCAGACCTTTGTCTATAAATACAAGATCACTTTTTTCTACATATTCATCGTAGGTGAGTAAGCGATTCATATCAATTTGAGAAAGAGGTGTCGTCAGCTCTTCTGAATTGGATGTAATATCCTCGAATTGATGTTCCTCAACATCAAGTAATCCTCTTGCCATGATATGCTCCTCGTCTTCATGTTGATGCTGCTCCTCTAGAGATGTTCCTTCATGTAATGAATCATTCTTGTCTGTGCTTTGATTTTTCACAAGTTTCTCAAAATTATCCTTGAAAGGTTGTAAAATTTTCTTCTTGAAAGACAATTCTGAAACTCCCCAGAAAAGCTGAACGCTCGATTTTACAAGACAATCCAACTGAAATTTAACACCGTGAAGTTTCTTTCCATTTTCCTCTTTATAAAAACATGCAAAGGTATTTTTCTTCATGTGTGCTGTTCCATTCACTCTCTTCACGGTATGCACTGGAGAAGAAATGGATCCACTAAATAATGCTTGAACGTAGGAACGAATATTGCCTTCTCCCCACATGTTTTCAATGTTCTCAAAATTAGCAATCTATTTTGAATTGTGAAATATCCGTGGATTGATTGTGTGTTGTTTTCATAAGAGTGATACAAAGATGAATGCGTTCAAATTTCATAAGAATGGGCATCGCGATCATTTGTAAAAGTTTCATAATAAATTGATTTTCCAATGATCATGTAATGTTCATGATGAAAACGCAGTCGTGGTGATGATGATTATTTTGATTATTATCATTTCCGATCATCATCTTTCTTCAAACTTACATTCACAATATTAAATGCTCCTGATCGAATCACATACAATAGGTAAGAATTGGAGAGAGTAGTTTCGAGTAACCTATAAATCCAATACAACAAAAACATGTAAACAATCATAATAAATAAATTATACATCTCCGGGCTAAATGCATTGGGATAAATAACGTCCGAGGTTGATGAAAATGTAAACCAGAATTCATGTTGATTGGATGTTGTGCTGTCCAATGTTGTTGTTATTGTTGTTGATGATGATGAGAGAATATCTGGAGAGCCTCCACCACCACCACTCCTTCCCAAAGAACTCAACAAATTCTCGTTTTTCATTTTTAAATTAGAATGATATTTCCATTTCATCAATCTTTAGGTGATGAGCATGATGTGTAATTCTTCTTCAGAAAAAAAATATTCTGAAGTCTCGTTCAAATCTCTGCCTTTGCAAAATTTTGCAGGACTGTATTTTTTGCAAAGCCTTCTTCACTTTTGATCTTCATAGAAATCACTCGTGCAAGAGAGAGAATAATTCAGAGAGTTGGAGTGGTTAGATTCATGGGATACAACGGAATACATTGAATTCTTCCGAGCCAGATATATTATTTAAAGTTGATTTTAATTTATTTCATCATCGACATACGAACCATCACAGAAATGGAGAGCAGTGTTGTTTCTACAGCCTTTCCTACACAAAAAGATTTGGAAAATACTGAAAAGATTATTCAAATTTTAAGAAAAGAAAATAGATTTCCATCCGAAGAAGAGAATAGAAAGAGATTTGAAGTTCTTGCCAAATTGGACGGAATTATTAAAGACTGGGTTAAAAAAGTGTGTCTCAAACAGGTACGTACCATGAATAATGCACGTCATGTTGATGTATCCCATTATTATCACCATACAGGGATTATCAGAGGATTTAGTTTACGAAGCAGGTTCAAAATTGGTCACGTTTGGTTCGTTCCGTCTTGGTGTGCACGGTCCTGGTGCTGATATTGATACGTAAGTTCCTGAACATTTAATAATACTTATTGCTGATCATCGTACATGATTGACCATACATTGCAACAGATTATGTATTGTTCCGAATATGATAGAAAAACATCATTGCTTTACAGATTTGTATGATATTTTAAAGGAAAGACCAGAAATTACAGAGTTAAAGGTATGTTCACATTTGATTCCCTTTGCATGCATATTCAACAATTTTTGAACAATTGTGTTTGAATGACCATTCCATAAAACGAATAATAATAATTTTACAATATTCTGGACATGATAGGCTGTTCCAGAGGCCTATGTGCCATTGATTACCATGTCTTTTGATGGAGTAGAAATTGACTTGTTGTTTGCTAGACTTTCAAGAAACAATATTCCTCCAGATTTGAATATCCTGGACGAGAGTAACCTTAAAGATGTCGACGATGAAACTCAACGTAGTCTGAACGGTCCACGTGTCGCCGATGAAATTTTAAATCTAGTTCCCAACAAGGAAAGTTTCATTACCACTCTGAGATGTATAAAATTATGGGCTTCCAGGCGAGCTGTGTACGGAAACATTGTGGGTTATCTAGGAGGTGTTGCATATGCCATTTTAGTCGCTAAAATTTGTCAAATGTATCCTAATGCTGCTCCTTCAACGCTACTCTCTAAATTTTTCTTTATTTATGGCCAATGGCCTTGGGGAAAAGTTCCCGTATTATTGAAACCTATTGAAGAAGGCAGTTATGGTTTTAAGGTTTGGAATCCAAAGGTAAATCCAAGAGATAAACAACACTTAATGCCAATTATCACACCTGCCTACCCTTGTATGAATTCGACATTTAACGTTTCTAAATCAACTTTTAAAGATATGATTAGTGAATTTGAACGAAGTGCTGAAATTGCGCAGAGAGCTGAAAATGGTTTGGAAAGTTGGGAAGCACTCTTTGAAGAGACAGATTTCTTTGTGAGGTATAATCATTACATTCAAATTGAAATTAATACATCCAATGAGGTTGATCACCTTAAATGGACTGGTTTCATTCAGTCTAAAATCAGATTTTTTATTCAAAAACTTGAAACTGTACCCTCTCTGACCGTTCACATCTATCCTGATTACTTCCATAACCACCAACCAGCGAATAATTTATTCTCGTCACATTTCTTAATTGGATTGGAATATAAAAAGCCAAAGCCAGGAGAAGCAGTGGTCGATCTCTCACCTCAATTGCAAGAATTTGAGAAAATGTTGTTGGAATGGCCGGACAAAAAGGATACCATGGAGAAACCAATCATTAAACCCATCAAGAGAAGTCAAGTTCCAGATTTTGTGCTTCCAAAGGAGAAGAAAAAGTTATTCCTCAAAAGAAATAAGGCACAGAAGAGAAAAGCTGAGGAAGAATCAGCAACACCCAAACCGAGTGAACGTTCTCCTGAAGGGTCTACTGCCTCCACCACTGCAACAGCAACACCAGCAACCGCTGACTCCACTCAAGCGGCAGATGCAAACTCTGACAGCACCACTGATGCTGCTACCATTTCTACGGCAACGACTGAGCCGTCAGCTAAAAAGGCAAAGGCAGAACAAAAAAAGGAGCATCAAGTTGAAGTTTTATTGGACACAGAAGACGATGACTTGTTGGCATTGTATGAAAGTAACAGAAAATAAAGTTTAATGTTTTATGTGTGTCTATTCAATTTTGTATCGACATTATCATTATTTAGTTGGTGGCAAAGATCTTTGATTTTTAGTCGTTCGTGTCGTCAAGGGTGTTGTTCAATGACTGCTCCATATTGCTCGTCTCTGATTTAGATTTGGCACCAAAGAACAAATCCCTAAGGCTAAAGCCTGCTTTCTTATGGTTCGAAGCGACGTGATGTTGAGGAGCGTTTTTCGTACCTCTCACTGTGGCATACTTCAAGGATTGACTCTCTAACTCAATGTCCAATTCATGAGTTGAACCAGGTGACGAGAAATATTCATCCTCATCGGTTTTCTTCTTAATGAGGGAACCTCCTCCCCTCAAAGGGCGTCTTACTTTGGATGAAGACGACGACGTTGTTGCTTCATTTTCCGATGACAACGTAAATGAAGAGAGTGCCGTTGCACCCACTTGTGCATTTTTCAACACCTCATTTTCGTATCGAAGTGCTGTGATAATGTCGTTGAGCTTGGAGCGTTCTTCCACAAATGCATCTGCGTCTTTCTTGCTTCTTTGACTTTGCTCGAGTAATTGATTAGTGAGCTCATTAATTCTTTCATCCTTCATTTTGATCTTCTTTTCTGACAAATTAATGTGATGCTTTAACTCTTCATTCTCAGAGTACAATTCCTGGAATGAGGCTGTAATGGATGCAACATTACTCTCCAAAAATTCAATCTTTTTCGTGTATTTTCGAATAATGTTATGGCTCGATAGGGTATTGTACTTATCAGATACATCATCTAACAACATTTCCAACTCGATAACCTTCTGTACTCGATTAGACAAATCACCCAAGAGAGCATCTCGTTCGTTGGAAATTTTTTTCACCTCTGCTTCCAATAACCTAATTTTTTCTAATGCCTCCAGCAACTGTTTCTGATCTGCAGAATTGTCTATTATCATGTCATTCGGAATGGCATTTATATTGGTCGGGAATTCAAAATATTCTTCTTCAGGACTGTTTTGTTCAGTTTGTGTCTCAATGGTGACCAATTGAGGTGTTGGAGAAGAGTTCTCATCGACAGTCTCGCCAATCTTATTTTGTGCTTCGGTCTCTTCAATCTCTTGCTCTGATTCTTCATCATCTTCTTCTACTTCCTCGTCTGATTCACTTGCATCCTCTAAATCGTTCTTGATACTCTTAAGATCTTTTTGAACCTTTTTCAAGATGTTGGCAGAATTACTTTTTTTCATGGAAATATCTTGCGATGTCGAACTTGCTTTTTTCGCTTGCTTTCGCACTCTTTTATACTTCTTTTCTAAAAATTGCATGACATGCTCTAACGAAGGATCTTCCTGTTTTGCTTGTAGAGTTAACAATTGAATCTTGGTTTCGTTTAACTGTTTCATATAATTTTCTCTCTGTTGCTTGGTTGAGTTGAGATCTGACTCCATTTCTTTCAACTGATACTCCTTGTTATTTCTTTCTTCCTTAATAACATTTTGAAGCTCTTGACATTCATTTGTTTTTAACTGAATGAGTTTTTGCAAATCGTTCTTAGCGCTCTCAAGCTCTACCATATACTCAGCCTTTTGTTTTAATTGCTGCTTCATGCTTGTCAAAGATTCCTCTAGGGCATTATTTTCTTCCTTTCCTTGATTAATTTCGTCCTTAAGTTGGGAATTTTCATCGACGAGTTTATTCCTTTCATTCTTCTCCTCAGCAAGCTCTCTTTCCAAAATTAAACATTTTTCTGGAATCAAGATTAGATAGACACAAAATTAATGCAAAATAATAATATTGAAAAACATGCAAAATAAATTCCCTTCATGAAATCATGATGGAATTCACGACTTACCTCTATATCGAGAAATTGTTGGAAGAATTTCATTCAATTTAGCCTCCAATTCTTGTCTCTTCATTTCAGAATCGGAAGTTGTGGAAGAATTGCTTTCCGTATCAACCATAGGTATTGGAGTAGTTGATTTGATACCTCCTTTCTTGTAAATTTTTAACTCTTCTTCCAATCCTGTTATGTAATTCTTGAGATCTTTAATTTCTTCCTTAGCCTTGTCAAGTAACTTTTGTAACTCTTTTGCCGACAGTTCTCGGTTGACTTTTGGTTTGTTCTTGATGTTTTTTGCTCTTTTGAGGTAAGTCTTGGAAAGAAAGACTGTGCACAAATACTTACCTGAATCCAAAACGAAGCGTTGACAGCGTCTCATCTTCATTATACGCACTGAGTGAGCAGTTAATAATTAAGGTTGTTCGTGAGTTACCTCCCAAGCTATCTTGGAGGAGTCTGGTGAGCTTGGAGTCTCGATAGGGCACATATTTTGACTGTCAAGTTGTGTTAAGAGTCACCAAAGGATAGCTGACATGATAACTTACAACACCATCGGTCAATGCATTAATGACCATTCCAAGGGTGGAAAGAGACTTGTTGATGTTTTTTGCTTCTTCTAACGTTTGACCTGATGCACCTGTCTTTTTCACTTTTTCACTTCCTGCCAAATCGACCAAAAATAATTTACCACTTTTCGAGTCCAAATTAACCAAATGCTTTTGTCCTATTGTTAAGATGAAAATACTGTGAGAACGAGAACTTTCATCATTCATTCCTAAAGCAAGATTTGAGCGCAATCTTTTTGACACGCATAGCACACTTACTAGTTGAAGACACTACTCGATTTCCTGCTCCTAACTTTAGTAGAGAAAATACTTCTTCAATACTTGTCACATACTCCTCCGTAGCTCCCTTAATGTACACACCGCGTCCACTCTCTTTGTCCTCCTTAATTTTTAAATTTTGTTGAGTTGCTGATGTTGTTTGGTTGTTCATGAATATGATGAAGAAATGAAATCATTACGTACGATCCAACAAATCTCGAATTTTCTCTAGATAAATTTCAATATATGACACTTGAATTGTAAATTCAATGTCCGGATCAGAATTTTCAACTTTTTCAAAAATGTTTTCCACTATTCTCGGTATCAAACCTTTCAGATTTGTATCTGTGCAGTATCCCTTCAATTCTTCGTTGGGACCCATCATTGTGTAACTCTTTCCTAATAAATTTAGGGAGTTGCGAAGAGATATTGGAGGAAACATTGTTGTGATGGTTTAGCATTTGTTGTGTTAGCACACGGGTTCATGTTATGTGTCTACATACCTGATCCGGTTTGGCCATACACAAAAATCGTGCCCTAATGAGTGCAATACATATTCTTTAATAATTCATCCATAACTAAGGCCGAATACTTACATTGTAGCCTTTGAAAATATCTAATATTATTAACAGACGTATTGTCTCTTATGTCATCCGTAAGAGTCTTCGTTCAAAGCCTTACCTTCCACGATGGGTCGTCCCACAACATTAAATATATCTATTTGCTTGGAACTGCTGTTAAATATATGATCAAAGGTAAATTCATGCTTTCCGAGCTTGTTCTGTTGTAATGTATTACATTATTGATGATGATCCTCCAACATGTTCTCACTCCTTCCACTTACCACTAATTTACAAGTATCATGATTAATCTCAACAACCTCCCTAGCATCTATTTGCTTCTCAAGTGCATTCATCGGCCTGAACCGGCACACCACCTGAATATTACTGTGTGTGGTGGTTTGTCCTTCATCCGACATTTTTTCAACGACTATTTGAGCTGTTGATCGAAGGAGGCCTCTTATCGCTCACTCTCTCTCTCTCTCCGCAATAGAGTATATCAGATATACTGGAAAGACTGTTCATGTGTCAGATCCTCCCGGACACCACCAACAACATGCATCCAAACAACAACTCTCAATACTATTAGAAACATTTCTCACGAATAAGGAATATTTGTTATTCTTCCTAGCAGGAAGTCTTTGGAGATGTGCTAAAAGAGAGACAAAAGACTTTCTCATTACCCAAGCGAATCACAGCTCACTCCATCCAAAAAACCAGTTGCGTACGCATAAGACCACTGTGTGTTGACGAATAAAATGTTCATGAACCAATAATAATAATGACAATCAACACAAATCTGTGTCAGCCGTGTGTGTCTGGTTTAGATAAATAAGGGAAAAGTTGGTTTTTAGGAACGAAACTCGAACTTGGGAGTTTTACCAAACATTCTCATGATTGTCTTGCAGGATCTTCTAGGATTATCGAATCATCGATATACATCCATCAAAGATACCATTTTACAAACACAGTTTCTATAAGGCTGGTGTTTTTGAGCCCAAAAGACATGCCCTTAAAGCTCCAGTCACAGAGGGTATATTCGCAACTCTTCCTCGTTCATGTAAATAAGCCAACAGTGCAAATAACATGGCTTCCTTTGCATTGCTATTCAATGCTTGTCGTTCAAGTTGTTCATGTGAAAGAATGTGAATGGTACGTCCAAATTCTTGAGAGAGCATTTCATAAAGTCGTTTCATGAGGTAGGGATTGTGTTGTCCTCCTCCTGATACGACCACTTCAAGGTCATAAATCATGTGAGTAAGATTCAACTTGGACACAACGAGAGAATAGGCACGAGTGATACTGTAGGCAGTGAGATCAGTGAAGGTTGTAACGAGTGAATTGGAGAAGAATTCCTCTTCTGAAACACTTGATTCATGAATCATGTTGCCATAATGATGTTGGTTGATGTCATTACTTTGCTGATCATGATGCATCTGTTTCCAATGAGCGGTTGTCTTTTCAATCCATTGTTGGACTTGTTCTTTTCCGAATAATTCTCTGCCTATTGATTAATGTATTCATGAATATTAAGATTCATAAACAGAGTCATGAAATATCATATAAATATCATCATATTATGCAAGAATATGTATATATTATTGAAAGAATAGGTTGTGTGGAAAATTCAAATAATCAAGATAAATCTCAAAGTATTGGACATACTAATATTTTGGACATACCTGTTGTTTTTGGATATGGCATTTCAAAGTAGGGTCTATAGAACTCACAAAGACTCTCAAACAATGATTCATTTCGAACTCCTGCACTTGCCATTTTACCATCGACATCCATTTGAAGTTGCCCGTTGGTCACCAATCGCACACAATCATCAATGAGAGCATTTCCTGGTCCAGTGTCAAATGAAACCACAAGAGAAGATGCATCTTTGTCATTGATAGTAAGGGGAGGTACAAAGGTCACATTTCCAATACCACCAATATTCTATGATATTTATGAATAAGATGATGTGATCGTCAATGTCGATGCATACCATCCAAATAAACAGGATCATATATTCAGGGTCAAGTGAAAACGAATGAAAGGATGAAAAAGTAACAAACACAGTGATGATAAATAATAATTTATAAAGTAAACATACACACAATGATGATGGATAGAAAAAGAGAACTATCTTTCACTTACCTGAATGGCTCTCCATTTTGTGGAATGTCTCAACAAGAGAAAATCAAAAATTGAAGTGAGAGGAGCACCTTCACCTCCCAATGCAACGTCATTCGTTCTAAAATTACTAATCACTGGTATTCCCAATCGAGCTATACGTGATGGATCTCCCAATTGAAGTGTGGATTTGATGAGAGGAGAGGAAACCTCACGCTGAAAGGTCATTTCTGAGTGTGTGGTGGCAGCATGTGTGGTAGATTTGACTTGTGAAGCAGCAAGTTGCTGATTACTCTCCACTTGATGATAAATAGTTTGGCCATGAGATCCAACGACTTGTATGGTTTTGGGATCAATCGTATTTTCGAGTAATACGTTTTCAATGGCACTTTTAAAAGCATCTCCAATCAAGACATTCATTTCACAAAAGTCTTTAGAACTCAAATGTTGAGAGGTCATTAAATCAAAGATGCGTTGTCGTAGATGTGGTTCCCAAGGAACGGATCCAAAGGCCATTAATTTCATACGAGGAATGGGCATGATGTGTTCCGATATTTGAGTGGTGTTTTCATGTTCATCATCATCGCTCACTTGACAAATTGCAACATCAATAGAGTCGACTGAAGTTCCTGAATTGACTCCAATGACTAACATTTCTTGTCGGGTGCAATGTGTTTGAATTCACTAAAATTCACGTGTTTTGATATGAAAAAGGACAAGCTCGTTTTGGCAATTTTTTTTACTTTTTAATTTTACATTCTAATCAAATAAGAACACTATTTACATTCTCAATCCAATTTAACAGCTCTTCCTTGCACATAATTCAACACAGACGTAGACACGCTTGAATAATAAGTAGATAATTGCTGATGTGAGGAGAGTCCAATAAGTTTGGATAATTTCTGCAACACTGGATCCGAAGGTGAGAGTTGACACATGTTCAGCAAGAACTCTTTCACTTCGTTGGCCTCTTGTGGTGGCAATTCTTGGTTCTCATCGCTAAATAGTTTTGCAAAATGATTGTTAAAGGCTTCGTATTTTGTGTTTTGAGTCTTGTGCTCTAATTCATACATCCATTCATCGCTGGTCACTTCACTCTTTCTTATGCATTGATACACGGACTCAATATTGTTTTTGGTGGGATTCATGATTCGATCCACAGGCCTAAAAACAAATGCGTCTTGGGTTTGTTTGAAGGTATTCTTGTCAACAATGAGGGAAACACTGGCCATTACTCCCATCACTGTCAAGTTTTTGGCACGAGAAACAATCTCTCCTACTTGTGCAAAATACCTCACCTGTGACAACAATGAATAATGACATCAACACTTCAAGTCACTATCAAAACATACCTGCTTATTTCCAACATTGCCTAAAACACAGGCTCCACTTGCGATACCCATGCATACCTCTAGAGGTGCACTTGCTTCCTTTGAGAGGTAATCATTCAATGAATCAAGCACAACTTTCAATTTCAAACATGTCTCTAGGGCTGTCACACAGGGCGTCTTGTCATGAAAAACAATGACATATTCGTCATAGCTTCTTATTTGCAAGTCCGCTCTGCATGTTTTACAAATGGTAGAAACTGAGACCAAACATTTGGAAATGATACTATTCAGCGATTCAAACGAATAGTTTTTCTCATTCAAATTTGGAATCACAATATGAACAAGCGAAACCAAATCCTTTGGTGCAAGGCCCAATTTAAACAAATCCTTCGAAGGTTTCATGTTGTATGCAGTTCCTAAACTGGATTCTATTTTGTGAGAGCTTGAAGCCATGCTTGATTGCTGCTCTTCTCCTTTTTCGTGTGTTGAACGTTTTTCTTTCCTTGTTTCTGAAACAACCTCTTGATCGACCTGAATGCCCTGCGCCTGTATTTTAGCATTCTCCAGTTGATTGAGAACGGAATCTGGTAAAAAAGCTTTAAATTCGCTTAGCCACTTGACAGTCTCATTGAGACTTGAATAGATGCTTTTTGCTTCACTAAAAAGAGCGTTCCGTTCTTTGATGTTGGACAAATCCAACACTTCAATCTTTCTGAAATCTTCCTGGAGGTTGATGAATGGGTTTGTCACAATCCAACCAATGGTGATGCTAATGAGGACGCCGAGAGAAGCAACTCCAAGAGTAACGCCAAGAATGACATAACTCGATGTTATAATTCCCTTCTTAATTTCATTTTCCTCAAAAACGAGAGTCATTCTCCATTTAAGGTTGGCCAAAATATAAGGAGTAGATGAGATCAAATACTTGGTTCCATTGCTCTCGATGTTGAGTACGATTGGATCGAAAGAGTCACCAACATTGCTCAAGAATATGGACATGACACTTCCAGCATCTCGAGTTGTGACATCAGTGGCCTTAATTCTCTTGTCATCAATTCCTGGAATGTTCAAGCTGCTTCCAATAACAAAGTTATTTCCAAACTCTGAAATAATGACATAACCTCTTTCAAGAACCTTAACCGTTTTCAAAAATTGAGCAATATACACAAGAGAAACATTGACTTTTGCAATTCCAACACGTGTTTTGTTACCCTGAGCCAATTCAGTTCGATTGTACACCGGGGTGGACCAAAAGGTACTTTGTGGACCACCTCCAATGACTTTATAAACATTTCCAAATCCTCCTTCTTCTGAAAAATCGCGGAAAATACGTAACGACTCTTGATAGTAATCGGTTTTGTTTACATAATAGGTCACATTCAAGCTGACTTTGTTGTAGTCCGGAATTCCAGTTTCATTACTAGCTCTGTAAATGACAAGATTGATATCTTCTTGTAATTTGACACCCCAAGACAGTGAATTGTCAGAGTTCATGCTATAAGCATAAAGAATGTTATTTCCCTTCTCTCCCAAACATAAATTTGTGTTGGTGACACCAAATAATTTGACCTTAGTGAAGAGATAGGGACCAATGCTTGGATCTAGGTCAATCTTAAAGTTATGGTAATCGGCAACCATTTGCTTAGACACCAACTTTGCTGGCAAGAGTTGACTGTTCATAAAGGAAGCTATCTTTTCGTTCATATTGGAAATGATGACATTCACTTGTTCCATTGAGGTTTGCTCATTCACGACAAAAGCAGCCACCCAGATGGAGATGGCAGTCATAATCACCAACAAAGTAATTGAAAAAATCAAGAACAATCTCACGCTCAATAACGCTCTCAATACAAATGGACGTTGCTTCTTTGGTTGGTCTGAAAGTTCTTCATAGGAAGCTCCTTCGATGGAGAAAATTTCATGTTTCGAGAGAGTATCACTCTCTTTGTGAGTGAGTTGTTCTTCTCCAAGTACAGGTTGCACTTTGGTCATTGGCGATTGTAACTGCTTTTTAGAGTGTTGTGCGATGGTGTTGGTGGCGTTTTGTTTGATTTTTGGAGAGATGATTAAGGACAGACAAAAACGTCTAGGATTGAAATTCAACGACGGTAAAATCTTTGAAAATGGTTTGAAATGATGAAAATCGACAATCTTCTTTGGCTATGAACCTCTGCAAGATGACCCAGACAATTATGATCGCTCTCAAGAGGCATCAACGGTTGAGAGATGACAAACACATCCATTGAGATGACAAGAGTTGTCAACAAATGTAATTACAATTTTCGTTTGGTTGTAGAGATAATGCATTCTTATGTTTTGGCTGATCGTTTTGTAGATTTCTCAGCAAAATGGTAAAACATCTTAAAAACAACATGACCACACTGTGGATTCTTCGCGAGTCCTTTCATGTCCAATCAATACTGTATTCAACACAAACTTCAACAGCATAACATTTTGGAACTGAAAATTAAGGACATGATGCAGCAAAACTTACATTTTGGAACATTTTGAAAATTAAGGACATGATGATCCATTAGCTTTAGCAACTTTTTCCAATCATTATCGTGACACGAATGTGTCTAAGATTGTAACTCATCATCACTCGAAAAATTACCTCAACAGTAAAAAAGTGTAGTAGTGTCTAATATGTCCCAGCCAAACCAAGCACCCACCCGTCCCTCCCAACAGCGATGTGTTTCCTCCTTTCCTTTCGTTTTCCATTATTGACCCTAACTTTTTTTATACCTATTCATTTACTCCTCCTGCTTCACATCATTGTGAAGTTGTTTAGAGTCATCTCTAAATCCAACCTTGACTGACTTTGCCTGGAGCAAGCAGATCCCAGTAGCGGATTTGTTACGACCAATGTGTCTGGTGGTCTTGGTTCTCGACACTAAGTTATCCTTTCATATACTTAAGAGTCACCTATTTAAAATCCAATTGAAAGAGTTTTCTTTCTTCTGGTAATTTTTCCTCGGGATCAGGACAAATAGTCGGTTTCTCCAGGAATCAGTTGGGTAAAAGCCAACCTCTGATCCAGCATCCTAAGGTCCTGCTTTATTCTTGACCTTGATCTTCCGGTAAGCTCTTGTTACTCCTGTTCTTGTTCTATTTCAGTTGTCTTTCACTCACCTTTGTCCATGACAAATTTCTATAATAAGGGTTGCCTCTCCTCATGGATTCTTGTTTTCCCATGAGTAGAGTTTACACTCACTTCGTTTCCTTTATTTCACATTCAACTCTCAACCCTTATTCACCTCTGCACCATTCTGTACCTTTATAAATAAAGGGATTTGTGCTGTCAGAAGGTAATTTCGATGGGTACTCACACCATCTAGCGAGCACAAACCAATTCGTCTAAAAATTACCTTGTGTTGCATAAATTGTTACACCAAAAAAATGAGCAAAGCCTCCACAATAACACCAACCTTTCCACTCCTTCACCTGTGCCCAAACAACCTAGTTTCTTCTCGAGGATTCTCCTCCATTAACCTCAAAAGCAAAATGGGAAGAAATAGAGATTGTGGAAGACCTGTTACAGACTTTTGGCATACAACCACCCACACCCATCATCATAAAGGATAAAGACATGGACAGAAAAGTAAACAAAATTATCGAATCGATTGAATCAGCCAAAAAGAAATCGAGGCAGACGACTCATTAAGCCCAATAATAGGCTGTCGATCCAAAAAGTATTGGATGACAAGGGTTCTCTAATTCATAAAGACATTCACCAGTATTCCTTACGTGGACATCAGCTGATCTCTGCACAAATTCAAATCCCATTTGTGGAGGCAGTTTTGTGGATCGAGATTCTGGGTATGCTGTTGATTCTTGTTGAACTTAAGTATGAAATGAGAGATGATAATCGTTTGTAGATTTCTGGGCAAAAGGAAAAACATTTTAACAACAACACTTTGTCTTCAAGGCCTTTCATGTCCTTTATTCCAATTTGCCACTCTCAGCAGAAAACCATTTTTTCCCCTTCCTGTTAATTTGTGGTGAAAACACTCAAATGTTATTGGTGATTAATCTTCGGTCCATCAATTTATATATCGAAGTCGGAACTGACCATCAGCCAATAAATTCCAGCACGAAAAATAAATATTTTTTTTATTTTGTAAAAAAAATGACGAGCCGACTCTGCCGGAAAACCTTTGTGAATGTTGAGAGGAAAATAATGATGATGAGCAAGAAATTTTCATCCATCATGATGTTAAATTCATTGGCGAGGAAAAATATCTGTGAAAATCATGGACGTTCATTTCATCAATCTACCCGATTTTTTGAAAAGATTGAATTTACACCGGAAGAGTTACAAGTTTTGAAAGAGTTGAGACAAAGTATGGATGCACTTGCTTCAGCAGAACCAAACAACAAACGTACAATTAAAAAAAACGCTGTAGGAGAGTTTATTCCCGATCCTGAGTTTGATTACAGCAACCTTTCTCCAGATGAATTCTTGGAGGCATTGAGAAATAGAAAACCCAGAGAGAATGAAGATGAACTACAAGGAAGAGATGTTGAAAAGGAAAGAAGAGTTTTTGAGCTAGTAGAAGAGTTGTTGAACAATCCAGATCTTGACCCTACTCAGGACCAAATTGAAGAGCATAAAAGAAAAGCCACCCAGTCACTCTTAGAAATGGATGACCATGACAGCCTATCAAGTAGCCAATTACCAATAATTTCTTATGATGAATTGAATAAGAAATTTTATAGAAGAATTTATCTTGAAGAAACAACAACCAAGGAAAGAAAAAACGAGTTCAGGATAAGAATTGGCCAAGAACAATTGTTAAGAACTACTACCAACAAGATTGTTACAGTTCCAACTCAAGAAATTGGAACTATTGTTGCAGGTGAATGGGAATTACAAACCGAATATGTAAGACCTGCCACTCTTCCAATCACAGAGTTGGTTTGCAGAATTGAAGATGTCAAACGTGAGACAAACTTTGAAGTCAGCTTTAACATGAAAAATACCATTCATGGATTTTTTGACGGGGAATTTGTTTGTTTAAGACAAGGAATGACAGACGATAATATTAAACAAGCAATTAAGGAACACTGGGATCCTCTGGTGGATTGGTTTAACAAGGAATTTGATACAAAACTTGTAGTTCTCGATGAAAATAGTAGCTTTGCTGCTGATGCGACACAAGAGGATGCTCGTAGAAAATTTATTGAACGCTACACGACTGCTGAAGGTATACGATTATATAACAAGACATTGAGTGTGAAATATTTATTCGATAGAATGTCACCAGCAGCATTGGTGATTTTGAATGCAATGGTTGAGGTGACAGGTTCTGTGGTTATTGCCTCCGCTCTCTACTCTGGCAACATCAATGCCAAACAAGCTGCTCTTGCCACCCAATTACCAGTGCGAGAACAAACCAATGTTTTTGGCTTGGTCATGGGAGAACATGACTTGCAATTTGCTGAACAGAACTGCAAGCTTTCTGCTCTAGAACTTCTTTTGAACATGCATCCACAATCGAGAGACATTTCTGATTCCTACAGTAGAATACTATAGTAAATGTTGGTTTAATTTATTGTCTGTGTGAGTGTCTCTTTGTTGCTATGACAGAGTTGCTGTTCAGCAATTATTAAATTTTGACAGGGACTATAATATTCTTCAAAGAAAACACCAAATGTCCTTCATATGACATACAAAATTCCACATGTAAGAGACAGTACATTCTGAAGAAAATCTTCATTTGAAAATCTTTGAATCCCACTTGTCTCATAGTATTCATGTTCGAAAAGGCAACCCGCCCAACAAATACAATTCAAGCAAAAAAAAATCAACCACTCAATACTACCCTCATAAGCTTTTATACAACAACAGAAAAATGGTCAAACTAAGATGCAAGGTCGGGATTGTGGGAGACAGTACCGTTGGAAAGACCTCTCTCATCAAAATGTTCAAAGAACGAACCTTCCCAAATCAATATTTAATGACAATTGGATCGGATCTGTATACAAAAACAATTGATGTTCCAGTTGTTACGAATGATCAACAACAAGCAGAAATATCCAAAGATCATCAAGTGGAATTGTATTTGTTTGATATTAGTGGATCGTCCATTTATGAGAGTTGTTATAATGAATATGTAGGTGTCATCGATTCGTTGTTGAACACTTTCCCAATTATATATTAATTTTAAATGCCCATTCTTTTTTCATCCTTTCTTCTGCTTTTCAAATAATTGTTATGTATGGAACGCCGAATCAATGCATACTAATCATTCAAGATCGATGGAATCAACGCATTCATTATAGTGTATGATATTACAAATCCCGAGACATTTGGAAATTTAAGCAAATGGTACCGTCTTTGCAAGAGTGTCCGAACGAGCAACACAAGCATGAAAAAACACGACAAATCTCTCATTGGTGTACTTGTAGGAAACAAGGTTGACATGCATACGTTGGAAAAAGTGACCCAAACACAAGGAGAAGAGTTTGCCAAAGAATGCAACCTCGATTTTTTCCTTACCTCCGCCAATACAGATGATGGAAATGTGGAACAACCATTCCTTCATATCGCAGACACTTTTTACAAATCTTACTTGGAAAGGATTGAGGAAATTAAATACGTTTGTGAAAATAAAAGAAGCAAATAAGGTTGGATTCAAATTCAAATGGGCACACTACAATTACCTCTAGAAAATTTAACCAGTTTATTCCAAGAAAAACGGATCCCCTGAGCGTTCAATCATTACTCTCCCAACCTTCTATCAAAACTCGTATATCCTCGATACTTGGAGTCACCTTTGCCTCGAGAAGAAAAGGTTGAAGGATACACCCTGATCGTCCATACAGACGATACTCATCTCAACGGGCTGGACAAGTATCGATCACCAAGTGCTAAATGTGCGACCAGTTTAGGCATTTTTTTTCACTACAACTTATATTTTTTTTTGTTTCCGAAGGTGAATAATAAATTTTTGGGTTCAATTTTTTTGGAAGACGAGCACTCAAAAAAATGTGGAAATTATTCAAACAACACAAATCTCTCGCTGTTTTGGGGGTGTTGTCTGTGTTCGGATTTGTGTATTCAATCAAAGTTTTGAAAGACGACTCTCAAACAAAATGGAGAAGACATGAAGGAATATTCAAAGACAGAGACAGATTGAACTTGAGAAGAATTGCAAACAATTTGCCTCCTCTTTCCGATGACGATTTCAAGGACCCTAAAATGAAAGAAGAGTGGTTAGAATATAAAAAGAGAAATAATATTCAATATTAGAGGTCTTCAGTCATTAACCGATTGTGTTCGAATATCATGATATTCACTAATGAGGACAATATATATTCTCAATTTTTGGATTATGTAAATTCTCTCTCTGCAAGTAACAATAATATTAACGGAACATGGAATAATATTTTCAAATACATACAACACAGGAACAACCTTTTTTGTTCAACATTGAAACCATCAATCGCAACAGTTTACCGCTCTGCAGAGCCGTGGTGAAAATCTTTGGAGGGTGGTAGAAAATACGCCTTGCTCTGTAGAATGAACTTTTATTTGGAAAGGGTATAAATGTACATTCCTGCTTCGGAGTCAACAGAGACATCAATAGATTTGCATTGATTAGCATCAAAGGCTAGTAATAATTCTTGAGACTGTTCTTCCTCCGTTTCAGGCTCTAATGAGAAATCATATTGACTAAATACAATCCATTTACATGTTGGTTTTAACACTCGGAGCACTTGTTGTTGAACAATTTTCACATTTTGTATACCCTTATCGAGTTGTCCTTCGAAATAGGCAGTTTCATCTTCCTCCATGTATAACGAGTCAAGAACTGCCTTATCAATCACCAGATCACAGGAATTTTCTTGCAATGATTCCATATTTTTAATATCTAGTACCTCAAATTGGATGGAATTGTTTTCGCCAAGCACTTCTCTTGAATATTGTCTCATCATGTCACAGACCAGTTCTGAAATATCTGTGCATACAATGTTTGTAAAACCCATTCTATAAATCTCTAAGGGAAGTCTTGAAATTCCATTACCCAAGATTAAAATTTGTGAATCCTTACGAAGCGTTTCCAGAAGAGGTTGTAAATGAGGTTTCACCACGCTGAATGGTCCATACCAATCTCTATTGAGGTACTTGTCATTTTCAATGAAATCTGAAATCTTCAATTGTTGGTTCGATTTTTTCTGTTCTAAATATTCTGTATAAAGTTTCGAATATAGATTTTCCCAGAATTGGGGAGAATGCAATTCAATTTGTTCGTCTCCATTGTTTGTCATCTTTTTCAAATTTTCCATGTAAGAGACAACACTTTCTTTAGCGTCCTCCAATATCAGTGCTTTCTCTTCCAATGTTGTTGATTTGGAATTATATCTCGCAATATAATCTTTGAATATTTCTCTCATCATGTTGTTGGTTTCCTTGCGTTGAGAAGGAGGATAACAAGTCTGGTGAAATTTATAAATCATTCTGTAGAGTGGAAACCAAATAGGAATTGTTTTGTTACTCTCTCCGAATAATTTCACAGAATAACATCTTCGGAGAGGTTGTTGTTGTGTGAGAGTAGACTTCAAGTTGAGGTACTTTAGCATTTTTTTGTTGATGATTTTATATTCACAATTTTCAACTATAATTGGAATAATATTTTAATGAAAAATCATTAGCAACTTTAGTACTGTACAGCACATTAATGTGCACCAATTTTCTTTTGGAATTCCTTAATTTCATTATCATAGTCCACCCATTCAGGAATAATTCTCTTTGCACTCGCCAATTTGTGTTCCTTTGTCATTGGATTATTACAGAGATCAATGGTTTTAGCTTTTGGCTTACTTTCGTCAGAACACCAAGTCTCACACCACAACCACTCTTGAGGAAGTGAACGAATAGGCACATTGTGCTGGGCATAGTTTGGAAGATCTTGATCCAAATTGGATAAACTGTTTGGATCTCGAGCGAGATTATCATAGACCATTCTGAATTGATCTCCATGATAGTTTCTTCTGAATAAATCAATATCCACAACATAAAGTGCAGAAATGTGATAGGGCCTGCCTCCAAGATGATTGGACCAATATCCAGTCTTCCAGAATCGATATCCTTCCATCTCTTTTCTCGAGTCACAGAATGGTGTATAAGCCAATGCTTTTCCTTGCATATCAAGGTCAAAGAACAATTCAGACATATCCGTTCGACAGACTTGATCGGCATCCACGAAAATAATTTTGTGAACTTCTTGCAGAGGGAACAGAACATCGAGGAAGAGAACCTTATAGGCCCAAATCAAACGTTGCTTGGTTTGTTGCTTGTGTAGCCAATGAGGCCATTGATAACTAATCAGACCATATTCAAAGTTGTACGCTTTTGCATACTCTGGTAAGAATTGTTTAAAGGATGGTGACAAGAATTGTTTCAGGAACCAGAACTTGACTTTGACTCCACTTCTCTTCAAATGTTTTCGCACCGAGAGAATCATAATTTTGAGTAATCTCTCATACATAATTCCAGACGCCAATGAAAAGATGTGAATGGTCTTATTTTCGTCTCCTCCAGAGGAAGAAGATTTCGTGAGCCATGAGGACCAACTCGATTCGTCCTTATTCATCGATTCTTGGGCCAACAAATCTTCGTGTTCCATTCCTTCATTTCGTTTCACGACGACTCTCTCAAATGGAGCATCAAAGGAGTGAACAGAAATATGGAAATTTTCAGTATCAGCGGGTCCATATCCATCCGAGGTTTGAAGTTCTTCCTGATAATAAAAGTCTACTTGTTTTGTGTATTGAATGGAATAGATGCGAGAGTGTCTTCCTTGTGGTAACTTGACATGATAAATGTTTGGTGTGGAGGCTCGCAATTGGAAGTATCCAAAGTTTGCCATCACCAAAGTTGTATCATCCACATTCTCAGCATTTCTTCCATGTTTGTGAACAAGTTGCAATTGTAGTCCTCGAACAGGTCGTCCATTATCATCAATACAGGTTCCAGACGCAACAAAGTATTCGAGTTGGAAGCGAGCATAGCACTTGCTTGAGACACATTCATCTAGTTTCAAATTGTCCAAATCTTCTTTTGCGTAGGTGCTATCCACTAACCACGACTCTGGGACATCCATCCACAATGTAAAAATACGTCCCTTCACATCACTATGTTTGGCAACAAATTCAGCAACACTTGAATTGCCACTCAAGACGAACGTGTAGTAACTTTGAAGTGGAAGACTTGAAGTTTCTAGATCTGGATTTAAATGAATCACAATTTCAATATGATCACCAAATTTTTCCTTTAGGAACTTGATCATTGGAGTGAATTTTTGAGCTTGTTTGGAAAGTGGATTCAGAATTGCAATCAGCTTGAGATCTCCACTATTATTTGTCTTTAAGGTAGTCACATCACTTGCTTGAATATAATTCATATCCTGTCGATGGTATCGATTAAACACTTTGAATGCAGAAGAAACGCCGAAAAAGATGTCACTAATAAAATCACTAGTAACCAGAGCAGGATCTATGCTGGCATAATTGTTTTCTTCTAATATTTTCTTCATGGATGGATTTGCGCTTTCATAGGCGCCTAGAATTTCAAAATCTTTGGTGGTAAACTCTCCAGAGAGCGCAATAGTTCTTCCATTCATGGAAATGACTCCAATTTCATCACTAGAGAAATATTTAGCACAGAATTGCTTGTGTGTTAATTTTGTGTTTTGTGTCTCATAGGAAGGTGTGTATACGCTGTGGAACTTGTTGTGAGTGTGCAATAATTTCTTGTCTGCATTCAAGAGACCAATTCTTGTTTCTTTGTTATTTTTCAAAAATTCAATGGCAGCACGGATTATTGATGCGGAGTCACGTGACTCTGAGAGACAAATGAGGTTTGTTTGCTTAACAGATCCTTCACCTTCAGGATTTTGGAGCATGTCAATCTCTTCCAACTCATCCAGTGATACCAAATTATATTTCTGTCTTTGGAAGATTTCAGTGTTGAATTTGTCGAATCCCTTGTAGTGATCAATGATTTTTTCGAGCAAACTCTTGTCTGTATCCACAATAGTATTCTCACGGATAAGATTTTTAACACTCTCGTATTGATCTCTGACGCCCTTAAGGACAAGTTGATCGCCTGTCATGTCTGGCTCATCCGATTGAATTACAGCTCCGTTCACAAAGATAATTGGAGATTCTTTAACATTGAAGCCCATGTCTGTGAAAAGCTTATATCTATTGAGTAAATCCGATTGTTTTGAAAGTTTTACAGATCCAAAGTATCTCTTCTGAAGATCATCCACAAATTGCTTATCAAAAGAATCTCTGTCCATAAATTCTCTTAAAATTGGGAAGATGGCTCTATTTTCCTTTGTCATTCTCTCTAATAATGAGATGGCATGCAAAGAAAGATCATCAATGACACCAGATTGAGGTGTTGTTGAGGAACCCACCAAATCAACATCAACAAAAGATGTAGTTACTTTAGGAATAAATAGAGCACCAATTCGAATAGGATATCCTCTATTCATAATGTTACCTAAAATATAGAGTAGTTGCTGGACACTCTTTTGAGTGCTGGCAGGATCAATAATGAAGACTGCATTGAACAAATTTCTCTTGACAAATCTCATTTGGCCATACATGGTAGTGTAGAGCATGGTATGGAGCTCTCTTGGAAAGTTGTGATAACCCTCACCTTCAATATTATTGAACCAATGAATTTCCTTCTCCAAGTTCTTGGAGAGTTTGAATCGAAGATCTCTATTTGGGGAGCCAGAATTATAAAAAAGAGCATTAATAGAGTTCTTGCTTTGGAAGAAATTGGAGGAGAGCAACTTGACAAATTTTGTTTCTTTGGCAATGGCTTCGAACAAAGAAAAGACAGATAATTTTGATAGGTCCAACTCTAGTCCATTCAAGAACATGGCATTTCTTCGTATCACCTCTTGAGGATTGTTTGGATTTCTCGTCTTGAAGGCATTCTCATATCGCGAGAGTTGAGATTGTACCTTTTCTTTGAATTCATCTTCAAATGCCGTGTTCTTTAACTCTTTCAGATAACTAGGAAAATTTTGAGCAATATTTTGTAATAGATCCAGTTTGGCATCAAACGAAGATTCTGCCATAATTTTTGTTAAAGCCTGCAATCCAAAATATTTCATTTCCCATACTTTGAGTTTTTCTGATTTTGAGTCCTTTTGTTGGAGATGCAGCTTGAGTGTGTCCAAATCATGAGAAAGATGTGAATAATTTTTCTTCAGTTTGTTAAAATTAACACCTCTAAAGAAGGTATCATTTCCACTGACAAAGTCGTCATCAGCAGTTTGCTTATACTCCATATTTTTGATTTGTAATTCGACGCCATATCCCCTAATAGATAGTAATTGACTATGTGAATGGTCATCTTCTTTCATGTACGTTTCCTTCACTGTCTCCTCTTGATCAATTTTTGTTCCATCATTTGTTAATCGAACCAATCTCAAGACAAAAGGGCTCTGATTGGAAGAAATATACTTTTGCACAGCCATACATCCATCTTTTGTCAAAATGTCAGCAAATAGAAAATTAATTTTCTTTTGGCCTATGGTGTTGAATGTATGATCTAGATATTCAATGCTCTCTTCAGACTTCTCTATTGGATAATTCAAGTCAGTAGTGGAAATGTTAATGTTCTTTGTGTATTGAACTTTAACTCTTGGAGAATAGTGTCTCGTATCAAGAGCAAAATCGAGAAGTGACGCTTCTCCATTTGAAACATTCAATTGCCTTGCCAAATCCAGCACAAAACTTTTGACATGAGCATGACGATTCACACTCTCACATGGAATTGAATTTAAAAACGAAATTCTCTTTTCTGGAAATTTATCGGCAAAAAACTCACTAGAATATGTAGAATTACGTCAGCATTTCATTAATAGATCCAATCCAACCCAATGTACATTGAAATCGTCATCATCACCACCACGATATTATAGTCAATATTGAAAAAAAAGAAAGAACTTACAAAGCCTCTAATAATAATGGAGTCTCCTTCCATGTAGCTTTCACTTCAATATCTAATTTACTTTGTAGTGTTGCTGATCCCGAAGTGGACAAAATTTCATTTGCCAATACTTTTCCATCATCATTAACACTCATCATCGTCATTAGAACCAAAACGGATACCACCATCACAGCCATACTGATCCGAGCAATGGTGAATAAATTAATGTGATGGTCATGATGAAGAGGACGCAGTACTACATGACTGTGTGGAGTCATTTTTTCGGATCTGCACCAACCACCATCAACACGCTTGAATTCCGAGCACACGCACACTCGTGTGGTTTCCTTTGGTCGATCCATCATGGAGATGCTCCTTTTGTGTTGTTGACCATTGAGTTTATTTTAGTTCACGATTACTATTGAGAATATGTAAAATGATACAATAGTAGCATCATGGCCGCCAAAATTTTACAACACTCGGAACAATTTTGAAAAAAGAGAAAAAATCATTATCAACGTCTTATAAACCCTCATACAATTTTTCGATTAACAACCAAACAAATGAAGCTCAAGAAATTCATGTTGAGGTATTATCCTCCTGGAATTATATTAGAGTATGAACGATCCAACGGAAGGGAAGGAACAAAGACTATTGATTTATTGGGATTGAATGAGAGGTAAGCGTTTGCGTCGGAAGTTGCAGAGGCTATTTATGATGTTGTATGTCCGTATTTTCCATCTGAACAATTTGTCTTTATGGTCTGAAAAACATGTTTGATTACGTTTTCTTATGAATATTAATCAGATCCGACATTAACTCTGTCGCAGAAGATATTGTTGCAAGAGAACCCTTAATTCCGAGCAGCAAAACTGAACAAGTACGACAATTAGTGGACAGTAAGTATTTCAAGTTTGCGCTTCATTTACTTGAATCATGTTTTGATCATGTTTTTCTAATCTTCATTTGTGACAATAGAATTGGTTCAAAAGATATCCTCATACAAGTGCAGAAAATTCAAAGAAGAGAAATCTCTTCAGGCACACATGCTTCCACTAACAAATTGTGCCTTCAACAAGTCCGGAGATAAATTTATTACTGGAAGCTATGACAGAACGTGCAAAGTCTGGGACACTCAAACAGGAGAGGAATTGAAAACACTTGAAGGACACAAGAACGTTGTGTACGCAATTGCCTTTAACAATCCATTTGGAGACAAGATTGTTACTGGATCTTTTGACAAAACATGCAAATTATGGGATGAAGAGAGTGGAGAATGTCTCTACACAATGAAAGGCCATGAATCTGAAATTGTTTGTGTTTCCTTCAATCCTGACAGCAGCTTAATTGCTACTGGATCGATTGATACAACCGCAAAAGTTTGGGATGTGGAGACTGGCAAAGAAATCTATTCACTTTCAGGACACAACAAGGAAATTATTAGTATGAGCTTTAACAATGCAGGAAATTTTATTGTGACTGGCTCTTTTGACAACACGGTTCGTGTTTGGGACGTAAGAAGCGCTGAGTGTGTGTTCAATTTTCACGGTCATGAATGTGAGGTTTCTGCCACCCAATTTAACTTTACAGGAGACACAGTGGCATCGAGTTCTATCGACAAGACAAGCAAGTTGTGGAGCCTTCATACTGGAACATGCGTTCGAACACTCACAGGACACAATGACGAAGTCATTGACATTGCTTTCAATCCGACAGGAAGTAAGGTTGCAACGGCTTCCCAAGACTGTTCTGCAAGAATTTATGACACCTTTACTGGCGAGTGTTTGGCTACCATGTACGGCCATCACGCAGAAATTTCAAAGGTATCGTTCAACCCTCAAGGAAACATGATTATCACAGCATCCAATGATAAAACATGCCGGCTGTGGGATGTAAAGACAGGAAATTGTTTGCAGGTTTTGAGAGGTCACAAGGACGAAGTTTTCAGTTGTGCTTTTAATTACGAAGGAGACACAATTATTACAGGATCAAAAGATAACACATGCAAAATTTACAGAGCCACCGATGAGGAATTAAAATAATTATTGCTGTTGCTGTTCATTCTTGTCTTCCGAGTCTTTTTCTTGCTCGCTCATCAATATCGAAATGAGTTGAGATTTTTCTTCATAAAATTGCTCGTCCTCTTTTTCCCTTTCAGGCTGGAATTCCTTTAAATAGTTAATCAGTTTTTCTCTATTTAGACGAATAATGTCCTTCACTTGTGCAGATTTATGAGGATTTGCAATGAAAACCTTAAACACATGGAAAGCCTCAAATTGAATATTCTTTCTCTTGTCGAGTAGTAGGTTCATCATTAATTTCAGATTGTTTTTGTCATTGATGTATCTGCTCATGACATTAAAATTCGATCTGTCAAGTATTATTTCACCAAGGGTCTACGGGTGGTGGCATTAACTCTCACTGTTTTGGAAATTTACTTACTTTGAGTGATTGCCTCTTTGTGACATAGTTCTTTGAGTTCAATAGATTGTTATACTCTCCAAAGAATTTTTCAAAATTGTTTTCCAGGAACTCTGCCACTATGGCTTTGTGCCTTGAGGTCAACAATTCCTTGAAGGTTACAAATGCATCACTCTGCATCTCAAAGTTGCTGTTGTCCACATAAATGAAAAGCTTGTACACATCGTCACAGCTGAGCATCTTTCTTGTTAAAATTTCATGTTTAAAACATTCCCGTAGCATGCTTCCGCATAAAAGAGAGACTTCACTCTTCTCATAGCTGATATAATAATTAGGCGACGTTATTAATTGCAAATTATTGTCAATTAATGTAACCATTTTCGAATTTCACACATCTCATAACACATACCCATGAAGTAATATTGTCAAGATTTGGGAATGTTCACAAATATAATCAACAGTGGTATATCGTCCATTCATTTGAAGCTTAACTAAAAAGTTGAATATGATCATTCCATCTTTTCTGGACTATATAGGTTATTCACCAGTCATGTCCATGCAATCATCAAAATATTTGTTTATCGACAATAGTTAATAAATAGGAGTATTGTGTTTAGTTGGAACACAACAATATGGAGAGACTTACTTCAAAATCCAAATGTTCCAAGTATTGTACAAGTAACAACAGAAAATCTGTATCGTAGGCCTCTTTTGCAATATCATTAATATCCGATTTTTTCGGCTCTTCCTTCTCTACTGCTGCTGTATTTCCAAGAAGTAATTGTTTAATTCCGGAAAGAAGTTTTCCACAATCTTCTGCTGCCTAATAATCATACATTAGATGTATATGGAATTCCGTAAGTCAATGAATTACGTCGTCATCATCATCATTGTTATGGTTAATTGTATGTAATATCAGAATAATGATCATCATTGGTGATAATATCATCACCATCGTTCGGACAAAAAAGCCACCATATAATCATATGGAGTATTGTTCAACAATTTGTAATAAGAAGAAATAATTATTGTCATGTGGATGGATATATTTTTGATCATTATCATCATCAGCATAGAAATATTTACTTTTTGCTGCTTTGAATCTTTTTGTGTTGTTAATTCAGGATCCCTTGCGATCACCTTTAAACACTCGACAGCATCTCTGACCAATTCCTTGGGAGCCTTCTTTCCTGTTAGGAGGCCAAGTCCTTTCATAATAATTGACATTTTTTCTTCTTGTGTTGTTCTTGCTTCTCACAAGATGGTTTCCATGAAGAGAAGATTGTCCTTGCTTTGGACAGTTGTTGAATGCAAAGAGTTTGGGCACAACACTGTTGTTTTTTAAAGTGTATTATTATAATTTGTTGAATCTATCCTCTCGGGAGGAATCCCAAGTCGTCATTTAATAGCGAGCCAGATGATGCTTCGCATGGATGATCATCAAGAAAAGGAATCTTGGTTGGATGAATGTGCTCAAAAGCGAAATGACTGGTCATTGCCAAAAAAGAAAAAGACATTGACTTTAAAATTTTTGGAATGGCATTACCCAATTACAGGACATTCATAGTCGTCACACAAGAGTAAAAGTTTCATGAGATACCTCATCGCGTTTGGATCTGTTACCTTTGCTTGTTCACAGTCGATGATTGTTGTTTCTGAAGTTGTTGCTGTTTTTTCGATTGAGTATGTCCACTATGGATATCGCCAAACATTTTCGAGCATCGGATGGAGGCATCCTCGATGGCTTTCCGTTTCGCCTCTAGAATTGCTTTTCCTCTTGAATCACTCTTGGCAGTTCCATATCCGAGTTGTTCGTGCGAATTGTACGAATCATAGACGAGTTTTGCAATGACACTCACACCCGCAGTGAAAACAATCATGGAGGCTTGCTCCGATTTAATTTCTTCTTCATCTACAAAATCGACATTGATGTCTTTGATGACCAATTCCAAATTGTAGCGTTCAAAGTGTCGGTACATGTCTGATTCGCTTTTCAGATTTTGTTGATGCTGTTGACGATGGGATGAAATATCATCATCATCACGGAACGAAGAATTTTCCAAACATGATGATGATGATGTCAAGGAATTGATGATGGTTGAGTTAGCAGGCATACGATGGTATCAGAAGGAAGAGGAATTTGAAAGTTTTTTCTTGTTAAGCTTACCTTCTCGAAAGGAGTTTGAAGATCGTCTGATGATCCTCCCATAAAATTACTTTCCATTTTTTTATGGAATTAGCAAGTTTATTAATAGAGATTACCAGTCCGTCATCATAAACTGGTTTAATTTTTTTTGAGTGCTGTTCTCAAAAGTGACCATTCATGACAACACACACTCAAGCGACATCAGACGCCCCTAATCTATTGTTATGAAATGAGAGAGAGCCACATAATGGAACAACGAGAGGAATGTTTTCAACCTTTTTATTCGTCAATAATGATTATTCAACCCATTCACACACGGAGGTTTGGGACAACTTTCATGACGAAGGAAAATTGATGCTTCAAGAATTGAACTAAAAGGCTTCCTTTCATAGACAAAAAATTGAAAAGCCGGACCAAAAAATTCCCCTAGCTTGGAAAAATTAGTTTTCAAAACAAGAACACACCAGTTTCTCTCCTCACAACAGAGAATATTCCCACTTTTCACCCTTCAAAAAAAAACTCCATCTCCTCCACATTATTTTTCAATGACCGAAGGTGGTGTTTCGGTTGCTCCGAATCAGCAACAACAACAACAAACGCAGACCGAAGAGAGCTCCTTCTCTTGGGATGAAATCAAACATCTTTTGCAAGACTCGGATGTGTTCCAATTGAGCAGCAGAAAGGCCTGGACCCAAGTCCTCATGACCATTGGCTTACTCACTTTGGGTATTGTTGCTGCTGCGCAATTTCCGTGGTACTTGTTGCCTGTGAGTTGGATTTTCATTGGTTTGTCTGCTACAGGATTGATGGGTGTCGCCTATGCTTGCAGTGAGAATAGATTCTTCAATCACCGCACCATGCCTGTGTGGGTCAATGATCTAGTTGGTGTTATTTGTATGTTGCCATTGCTGTATCCTTTTGAGACTTTCAAGTCCATGTACAGCAGAAAGACTGAGCAAGATGCATCCTCCAATGGACCAAACTCTACTAACGAAGAAGATGAAGGCTTTTTCATGAAGACTTTGGTTTTCATGTTGAAGAGTCCATTGTGGTTCTTGTCTTCAATTATTGAGTGGTTCAGAGCCAACATTTATTTTGAAAGTAAGAGAAGTATTGTCATCAATGCTGTCGTTCTCTACGCTTTCGCTGCTGCATTCTTCAGTCTTATGCTTTACTTTGTTGGATTGTGGGGCTTGATTAAATTCTATGTGGCTCCTCTCATTGCCTATCACTTGATTAACTCAACCTTCATGAAGGTCAACGATGCCGATGCCAAGAAGAACAGAATTACTCACTTCCCATCCATCATTGAGTTCTTGACCAATTATGCCAACCATTCCTACAGAATCAAACTCAAGTGGAATAAGAAGAATAAGAATGGAGGAGATATTACTCAAAGCTTGAAAGAGAAATTGACAAACCTTGTTCCAAATTACAATTGGAATAAGGCCAAGAATGCTCTCCGTGAGAAGTTTGGTAAGAATTTGGAAAAGATTGGAGGCACTAGTTTCTTCTCTGCTCTCTCCTCTACTTTTGAGAATGAAGTTGATTTGAGAAATATTGACTGGTTCATTACCATCTATTTGATTGGATCTCTTGTTGGTTCAATTTATGGAGTTTTGACTGCAGCTTGGAATTGGAAGACCTATCTCCTTTCTTTCATTGGATACTATGTTGCTGGAATTGGTATCACCGCTGGTTACCACAGAATTTTCGCTCACAGAAGCTGCTCTGCTAACTGGCCAACTCGAGTCTTCTTCATGCTTTTAGGTACATCTGCATTCCAAGGTAGCGTTGTGAATTGGAGCGCAGACCACAGAAGACACCATCAATATGTTGACACCGATAGAGATCCTTACAACATTAAGAACTCCTTCTTCTATGCTCACATGGGTTGGTTGTTGTGGAAGAGAGAAGTTGACACTACCAATGCTAAGGATTTATTGGCCGATCCTGTGATCAAATTCCATCATGATAATTATCCAGTTTTGGCTTTACTTTTAGGTTATATTATTCCAATGTGTATTGCAGGTTTCGGATGGAGTGATTGGTATGGCGGCTTTTTCATTGCTGGAGTATTATCCAAGACTTTCCTTCAACATTGCACATTCTTTATTAACAGTTTAGCTCACACTTGGGGAACATCGACATTCAATGATGACCACACCGCCAAAGACTCATATCTTGTCAGCTTATTCACATTCGGTGAAGGCTATCACAACTTCCACCACACTTTTGCCTATGATTATAGAAATGGTGTTCATTGGTATCACTATGATCCTGGAAAGTGGATCATTTATACATTATCTTTGATTGGATGGACTTATGATCTCAAACGTTGTGATCCATTTCACTACGAGAAGGGAAGAATTATCATGGAACAGAAAAATCTTGACGATGAAAAGAAGCTTTACAATTGGGGTACTCCAATCGATCAATTACCAACCAAGACTTGGGAAGATTTTGAAAAGGACAAGAAGGAAAAGTCCTTGGTCATTATTGACAATGTCGTTCATGATGTGACTAATTTCATGCATGAACATCCAGGTGGCGAAGCTATCTTGAAGAGCTATCTTGGTCGTGATGTCACCTCTGCCTTCAATGGAGATGTCTACAAACATACCAATGTTGCCAAGAACATTCTTGCTCAAATCAGAATTTACAAACTTCCACCCAAACAAAAGCAACAATAAATTCTACGTGTGCACATTGATGATTGCGTCGCAAATTTTTAGAAGCTTTTTTGTGTTAGTTATTGGCCTTGTGTACAATAATGGACGAGTTCATCATTTCATTGAACCTTCTTGTTGAAGAGAGAGAGGACTCGTTATGACATTTATAATGTATTGCGCAATCATGTTCGACAGGATTGACAACCGTTACAACAAAAAGCCTTCAGTTGTGTTGGCGCCATTCTGGGACGCTGCCGAAACCTCTCCAAGACAAAATAATAATTTTTAAAAAATTTTTTTAGCAGTGCTCTTAAACATGCCACCAAAGAAGCAAGCAGAAGGCTCAGACGATGAGAAGCCAAAGAAGGTGCCAACAGCCTATGCTCTCTATTGTCAAGGTAGGTGATCATCCGTGCAGGTGAGATTTTGGAGTGTTGATTTTTGGAATTCGATCATTAATTTTTATGATGAATCTAATTCTGGGATCTTTCTGGGTGGTCCCACAAATTTAAATTTGTGTTGTGTTGGGTTATGATTATTTCCTTGCTTCATTTAACTCTCACTGTGCCGAATATAACTATTATCACCACTACTGCTACGATTACTACTCCCATTCCAACCTCCCATACCCACACATATTATCATCATCATGTGTATATGTACCCAATCCATTATTGAATTCAATACATCAATATAATGTTCGAATGATTATTCCCTACCTTTTCATCATCATCATTCTATTGTATATAACCAATCATTTGAACAATATAATTCCTGTGGTCTTGGTGGTGGTGGAACTTGTTGTACAAAGATAACATGGAGAGAGTAAAGAAGGAAAACGAAGGTAAAAAGCAAAGTGAAATTAAAAAGATTTTGTCCTCTGAATGGAAGGAAGCTGATGAACAAACCAAAGAAAAGTACAACACCTTGCACAAGAAGGCTAAGGCTGAAGCCAATGGAGAAGAATTTGATAGCAGTGCGAACAAGAGAAAGAGAGCACCAAAAGGAGAGTCTTCAAAGAAAGCTAAAAAGGACGATGATGATGACGAAGAAACACCCAAACCACAAAAAACTCCAACAGCTTATGCCCTTTTCTGTGCTGAAAAGAGTGATGAAGTGAAAAAGAGTGATTCCGGCTTGAAGGCTTCAGAAGTCAAGAAAAAATTGTCTGAAATGTGGAAGGGTATGTCCAAGGAAGAGAAAAAGCCTTATGAAGAACAATCTAAGAAGTTAAAACCTGCAACACCTAAGAAGGCATCTAAGAAGAAGGAAGAAGAGGAGGACGAAGAAGGCAGTGAAGAAGATGACGAATAAATTGTGAGTCAAGTGTACATTTCGTTGAATCCTGTAGTAATATATTGCTCTCAAAAATCTATTTCCCGAAATCAAGTGAATATCTTTTGTTCTTGGAATTCCTTTTTTCATGCATGTAAATTGACTCTTTATTTGAATTGACCTACCGACCGACACATTGGGCACGATTGATTTCCACTTGTCGAGAACCAACGATACAGACATGCTCCATGGAATTTGTTGTGACACACCTTACATTCAATTTTTGGCAATTGGTGATCTCTTCCTGATACCACCGAGTAGCAAATAGGGCATGGCTCCACTCCAGAGAAGTACTTTTCCAAGTTGTCTTTCCACAACATGAGCACGTCTGAGACGCCATTGCTTGTGACTTGACTGAAGAGCATGGTCGTCATTTTCAAAATCCACTTTCTGTACTTGCTCTCATTCACAGCAGAGTGTTCGTCCGATTCAATTTGAAGCGCTTTGAGAGGATACAAATCTGGAATCTTAATGGTGAGTTTTAACACGACTTCATCTTGTTCATACTTGGCAATAATTTGATTACCCATCGAGATTTTCGCTCCCAATGTTTTTGAGAGAGCATCTGATTTCTTAATTTTAGCAATTTCTTCTCTCACAATGGCAGGACTATAAACTTCCAAAAATCTCTTTTGAATCCAATCAATAGCAATTGTGTCATTACAATCATTAAACCATGTTCGAACAAAGAGAGGTAATACCTTTGAAAATTTGTACATTAAATCGTCACAAAACTCTCTAAATTCCAATGAGAACATGACATCCTCACCACTATATAAGAAACATGTTAATAAACTCAATACTGGAGCATACATTTGATTCTCTTTGAGTTTGTTAAATAGATCAGAGTCTCCTTGTTGTGAAAGAATTGAATTTTCTGTCAATGATAAAATATAGTACCATGAGAGAAGATATGGCAATTCATTGTTATTATCATTGCTGTACTCAGAGTAGAGATGAGCAAATTGTGTCAAATGTTTGTTACGAACTGCACTTTCTTTCAAAATGGAATTGAAATGTTCAGAAATGTGATGCTTCATACGTTCCATAAAGTCAATAATTCGATCAACATCAGTGTGATAATCGGTGAGTAACAATAAATCCACAGAAACAATTTTTGCGTTTGTGACGTGACTGAATTCAATAATATCAATAATTTCAGAAATGGCTGATGAATCTAGTTTGATTTCTGAATAGTTTTGAGCAAGTTGAAGAGGTTTCAAATATTTGGAAGTTCTAGTAATGAGTCTTTCCATGACAATTGGGTACTGCATGGATAGAGTTTTTGATTGACTGTTTAAAGCCAAGAATGTGTCAATGAGTTGTCGTACAATTTTGATAGTCTTCTTTTTACGAGCTACAGATGCGGCCAAATGAACAATTTTGTCTAAAAGTTCAAAATTGTTTTCCAAATTCAAAGTAATTTGCTTCAAGTTGCTCAATATAAACTCCTCAACGAATGAATGATCTCCAATTGAAGAAGTATTGTTTGTTGTGGTATATGCATTGATCAAAAGATTTGAAACAATAATGCTGATTTGAGTTGGATTTTGCTGTTTGATCATTTCATAAAATTCTTTTGCAAAGTCAATAATCGAATCCATCGTAATTTCTTCATCGGTTTGATCAACGCTATCGCTACTCCTTTTCAATCGACAGTACATGATGGACAATGCAGTTTGAACCTTAAATAAATTAAGATGATCATATTCACTTTGATCTTTTAGTTGATCCAAAGTACTGCTAATGCTAATGCAACCAAGAAGCCATTCAGTCACTTTCTCCAAGTCAATATTGAGATTGGTGAGGTCAGTATCGTTGTCAAAGAGAGAGTCAGTAATTTCATAAAAAGTGCTCGATTTGTTTTTGTCTTCAATTACTTGATTGACATTCTCTAATGAATCAAAGAGCAACTTGTTGCAATCCAATTGAGAGACGCTTGAAGAGTTCATCGAGACATAAATTTTCAAGAGTTCCAGTTCGTGTCTCTGTGCCAAGTAATTGCAAAACTCGATATTCAAACCGTCCTTCTTTCTGATATTGGAGAGAAAGTCATTGATCAAGTTTTTGGTGTAATCATTGAACAAGAATTCAAAATAGTAGGAATGGAGAACTTGTTGGAGCAGCCATTCCCATTTGTTCTCTCTAGTGTTGACATCATTCTTGTGAACAGTGTCAACATAATCCAAGGCAACACAAATCAATCGGCTGTACATGAATACAGACTTTTCAAGCTCATTCAAATTGGTATCTTTGGTGTTATTCCAAATAACTTCATTTCCAATAACTATAGGTTTAAGATTAGAGGAACATTTACCTCGAATGAAAGACCACACTTCATCCTTGTTGTGATTCAAAAGAATAGCATCACCGTAGTTTTTAGTGCCAGAAATTTCAATGAGTTTCAAGAATTGCTCTAACAATATATCGTTGGTTAAGGTTGGATTCATTGTGAGAGTCTCTTTGAGGTAAGCTGAAATCTTGTCGAAAAGTTCATTCTTCATTTCCTCGGTGACAACGCTCTTGAATTCTTCTTCCTTGTGTTCTTCATCTTCCTCAAATTCATCACCAATTTCATCAATATGCTCTTGCTTTGGAGAGAGAAGTTGAGAAAGTACATCGTAATGGGAAGTTTTAAATAATGACAACAAGACATTGATATCGACACTGAATTCTCCTGGAGTGGCCATAATAAATTCAACAGCTCTCTCCTCAATATCTTGATGCTGGTCAATAATGGAAGTTAATAGAGCACGGAGTTCTCTCTTGGAAGTGAAACGTTTGTGACCAATTAAATGTTCAATGCTATCCAAGTCTTTTCTAGCGAGAAGAGATTTTTCCAAAACCAAACTTGTTTGGTTAAAGTTGCTGTCTTCAGAATACAAAGATCGAAGGAATGGAAAAAGTGAGATAGAGCTAGACATGACATCCTGCTCAAGGTTCTTCTCCAATTTGCTAAATTGTTCTGGAAATTGTGTGAAATATAAGCCCAACAATTGTTGAACATGCTCGTTTTGTTGATTGGTTTGCCAGAGTGTTTCCAAATTTTCTTCAAACAAAGTGTTAGATAAAACCGAGTGGTTGGAGAAGGCGATTGCACAAGCAACTCCAATCTGACCTGTTTTCATGGACTTTTGGAACAAGGTGTTTGCAAGATTCAAAATAGGATCAGTGTTGTCCGCTTTAGAGCATCTAGAAATGAAAATTTCAATAGAAACCAAATCAATCTTATCCAAGTTGGCCAAACAATATTCGGTAGTTCGAGTCCAAAATTGGGACATGTAATCTGCAAGTTCGGCTTTTGATTGCAACTTGCCAATGGCAGTTGTGAGATACTTTCCGAAATTAACAGTGCATGAATTTGTCAAATAATGTGTGCAAGTTTTCACGAGCGCATTTCTTGTCAAATTCAATACTTCATCTTTTTGGTCTTCCTTTGCGTACTTGTCTGGTTGAAGTGTGATATAAATAATGCAGTCACAAAGAGTATCAATAATTGCATCTTTGTCTGCTTTGTTCGTTTGCTTGGTCGATGAGGAAACCTTTTCGAATCCAACCCAAATATTTTCAAATAGATCCGAAACAAATTTGACAGACTTTTCCGCACCATATACCTCGGTATTGAGCATGGAGACAAAAGGCAAAACAATCGAATAGTTCATCGCAGGATTTGGTGGATCTCTCAAGAAGGAGAAAAATCTAGGGAAGGTTTGTTTCCAAATATTCACATGTGTCCAGCATTCAGGCGCAAACTTTTGTAAAAATAAAATTAGTGAATCAAGAGTGGTTCGTTCTAATGGCTGCTGATTGAAACATCCAATAAATATGGGAGCAATAAATGGAACAATATTTTCCATCACTTCTGTGTCATCTTTTGACAACAAGTCATTCTTTAACAAGGTAATAGAAAGTCTGCTCATGGCTTCCCTAATATTGTTATAGGATTTGATTCCTAAGAATTTCCAAAAGTTCTTGGAACGGAAAATTTTAGAATATGACTCATTGAGTGTCAAAGTCTGTTGTCCACTTTCATCTTTTTTTGGTTGCATTGAAAGATCAATCATCTTGTTAAGCATGAGAATTGAGCTTGTGATAAATCGAGAATACCTTTCTTCTCCTTCTTCTTTGGTAATGCTTTGTTGTTCTGTTTCACTTAAACTCAATGACTCAACAGTCTGATTAAAATTTTCAAACAAGACATTCATAATTTCAGCGTCACAATATAAAATAGCCGCATCTCGTTTATCGGGAGCAAAGGCTTGATGGAAAGCATTGACAGCAGCTTTGGAAACATCCTTGTCATCAATTCCGACCATTTCCATCAACCAATATGGCATTAATTTCTTGATATAATGTCCCAATTGTTTACCAACTTTTTGAACAACCAATTTCCAGAAGACAAATAAATTTAATCGAACTTTTCTGTCAAGATCGAGAACGGCAATACGTTTAAACACCTCTTCCATATGTGGAAGTATTTGTTTGCAGATTGAGATTTGCTCTTCTTCTTCTTTCTCCGAAATGTATTGTGTGAGTGATTGCAAAGCCTTGCTTCGGGTGGTTGGATCTCTCTTGTTCAAATGTTTCAAATAGGATTGAACGGTCGAATCGAGAGTAGAGTCCGATGAGGCTGATCCTACTGATGAAGATCCAACACCAGCTTTTCTATTGAATGCTTCCATCAGAGAGCTTCCAAAGCCCAAATTACCACCACCCGATGATGATGATGATGATGAAACAATCGAAGCGGCTTGGCTTGATGTGATGGCTCCCTTCTGACTCTTTGGCTTTCGTTGTCCTTCGTTTTTACCCATTTTTTTTTTAGAATTTTTTTTTGAAACCTTCCACTCTTTCAATTTCAGGCATGAATCAACACTTAGTGGAGATTGGAAAGACGAATCGAGCCGAATGCATTCGTTTTCGATATGAACCATACTGAATGGAGGAGACACAAAGTGCTCATGTCAACACTGAAAGTGTTTCTCTTAATAATGGTATGATATTCAATTGGTTTCAATTGAAACCATCATTCATGTTTAATCAAACTGTCAAATACTTGTCAACCAAGTATTCCACAAGAGGAGTTGAACCAGATTCTCGATAAATTAAGCAAAGATTATAGGCAGCTTCACGTTTTAAGTCTGCATCTGGATCAATATTGCCCGCATCGGACATCTCGAGAACTTTCTTATAGTAGGGAGTTGCAAGGTGATACAACCGAAGTTGATGGTAGGCACGAGCAATGTTGAAATGAGCTTCTTGCGAACCCTCTGTCAAATCAAAATATCTATAGAGGAAAGTGAATGCTTGCATGACATGTAAATGTCTATTTGCAGTTCTTCGATTCATAACCAAATTTAAATAATTTAAACCAAGACACAGGTTGATGATAGGTTCGTTTGGCATGAATCTGTATGCTCGAAAATATTCCGCTATTGCAAGCTTGTAGCTACCGCTCATTGCACAATTGTGACCAACAAGAAGCATCAGTGGTACTGATTGAGGATGCTTGTCTAACAACCTAACCATAAACCAATGATTGGCCAAAATATTTCCAACTCTTGTAGTGATTTTGTTGAACAAGTTCAATAGTGGAATGCTGTATGGCTTGTCAGAAATGATGGGGCGAATGGCGTTATAGGCTCGTTTGTAATAGCCGCTATTGTATGAAACTGCCACATATAGATATCTCAAGTTTTGGATTTTTCTATGTCTTTCTTCTGTTGTCTTGAAATTAAATCGTTTTTTTGTTTTGCCTGCAAGAAGGACTGCTAATATTCGTAAACAGTCTTCATAATGTTGACAGTAGGATAATGTTTTGCTTAATGTCACAATCAAAGTATATAAATTGTGATCCCCAATGGCGTTGAGAGCCTCAGTCCAAGTCCACCCATCTTCTTTGGTCTCGTGTAGATTCCTTTTCCTTCTTCTTCTCTTGAGGCCAATATTATATTTAAGCACAATTTTCTTTTTCTTGAATTTTGTTTTTTGTTCTGTCTGTGGCTCCTCTTTGTCGAGGTCCAAGATACTCAAAACAACTGGAAGGGCAGTTTTTATGAATTCCTCATGCTGTCCTGTGGTGTGTAAAATCCATGCTTTTTTGACCATAATTCTAATATCTTGTACCTTTTCTTTTCTATTTTGTTCTTGGACTGGAGGCATGTCGTCATCTTTAACATCGTCTGATAAATTCATGTCGTCATCGCTGGTCTCAAGCTCGGGGTTGTAATCAGGATCTTTTTCCTGCTCTTCATCTAATTCGCTGTCCTCATTTGCAGTTTCATTTTCGCTCTCGTTTGCACTGTCCTCAAATTCTTGGTTTGGTTCACTGATGAGATGCAATTGTTTTTTTAGAGATGCCAAATCCTTTTTGGCTAAGGTATTTCCAGATGCCTCCAGAACTTCAATTGCCTTTTCAACTTCTCCAATGTCTTTATAAACTTCACTTAACAGTATTCTTGCTTCCACATTGTCAGGCAATTCATCGAGTACCATTTCTCCATACTTGATTGCTTCTTCATAGCATTTAAGGCTTTTAAGACATTCAGCTATTCTGAGCCAAATGGATGGCTTGTTGTAGTTTTCGCTAGTCATGAGTAAACTGTATACATATTGCGCCTTTTGATACTCATTGACAACATAGTATGTTTCTGCAATGTTAAAGAATAAATCTCCAAAATCTGAGACGTTGCACTTTAGAATATCGTTGAATATATATTCTACTTTGTCAAGTTTTCCCAAGTACGTTTGACAGATTGCATATTTGGAAGAAATGTCAGGTGGTAAAATTTCAATTGGACAATTTTGAAGAAGGCTTATTTTCTCAATAAGAGTTACGGCTTTGTTAAACCAACCCTCACTCATGTACAACTCTGCCAACATATTTATCAGAGTGAGGTCTGCATGCTGTTCATTTTGTGAGATTGTTTTTTCCAACAGTTCAATGGCGTTGAAAATATACTTCAATTCATAGTAAACTTTAGCAAGTGAAATTACTACTGGTATGTCTCCTGGAAACTGTTTGAGGAGGGATTTGTATCCACTGATGGCCCTAGTTGGTTGATTCATCTTCATGTAGAGCTCACATTGTTTGATTCGAGCATTATAGTTTTTAGGATCTAATAAAATAATTCTTTTGAGGCAATAAGCAGCCAGTTGGAATTTGTTATGTGAGATTGATAACTCTGTGAGTCTCTTCCAAAATTCTAGATTAGTTGGAAGTAATAAACCAGCAATAAGGTAAAATTCAATGGCCTTGTCCATAATTCCAAGCTCTTCATATATAAGGCCAAGAGTGTGGTATGGATCGGCAATGTTTGGGCAAATTCTAATTACTTCTAACAGGATTTGAACGGCTTTTGTAAAATCTCTATAGATGAATTGTAAGTTCGCTTCTCCCATCATTTCTTTGACCTCTTTCGGGATCATGTCATCCTTGGACTTTCTAGTTTTTTTAGGATTTAGCCCTCCTTTTTCTTTTCGTTTTTTTCTTTTAAGCATACCTTTTAGAATGTCATCCAAAAATTCATAGTCCTCTTCACCGTCATCTGCTCCATAAATTTCGTCAAAATCCTCTCCAACCATACTGCTGGCTGACTCGCTACTTCCCGCAACGCTCCCGAGTTGGGATGATACACTTCTACTGTCTTCATCTTCGTCGTCACTTTCAAAATGTTGTTGATGTAATAGAGAACTTGTTGCTTTTTTTAACAACTCTGTGCTTTGATTTGCCTCGGGTTCTCTGAAGATGTCACAAATTTGCATGGCTGTTTGCACCTGTGTAGGTACTTGTGTTGCTTCAGTGGAGGCCTGAGAAGGAAATGCTTCTTCAATAAATTTTCCAATATCTAGATTTTTAAGTTGATCCTCATTCTGTGGCATGTCATTCTTATGTTGTTCAAGCACTTTATCAATATATTGGTGAATGTGTGTACTTGAAGAGAGATCATTGGTATCGTGCTCATCTTGCATATAGAAGGGGGCTGCATGTTTTGACGATTGTTGAGCATTATCAAGAGCTTGAGAAATGTTGGTATCGAATAAAGGCTCTTCATGCCTATTGTTACTACTAATGGGTGTTATATTGGAAAATAAATCGGATAAGTCCCCTCCAATAAGAGACAATAACGAGGAGGAATTATTTGAAGAGCTTGATGCAGCTGTTGTTTGATCACTAGTTGTTGATTCTTTGTTTGTGGTGGTGTTGAGGTTAGCACTATTTTCAGAGGTGACGGTAGTTGTTGTCTCATTCCTAATGTTATTATTTACAAAATCTGTAATTTTTAATTGTGAAGATGCCTTCTTTTGAGAATCGGAGGATGTTTTCTTCTTAGATGGAGGCATTTTGCTTTCTGTTGTTTAATATTAATTTTAAAATATATTTAATAATGATCAATATTTCGTGCTTTAAATTATTCGTCGTCGTCGTATTCAAACAATAATAATTTTTTAAAAATTCAATCCAATATCGATGAATGAATAATAAATCTGATTATCGGCAAGGAGAGTACTCGAGAGTGATCAATCGGTTCTTAGAGTCTTCTTTTCATTTATTTTTTTGAGTGTTGGTGAAACTCTCGAACACGCTTTCAGTCTTCTCTTTCGTGGAGACGAGCCTTTCACTCTCTTCAAAAAACGGAGCGAGCTTTTTTGCAATTTCATCATGCCTCTTGGAAAATAAATCCGAATTCTTCTCAACACATACACTGAATTGGTCAAAGATTTCATTGACCTGTGTTTCGGAAAGGGATTTGTATTGGAGTAAAAGTTCAAAATCTTTTTCGCAAGGACTGTTTTTCACGAGGATGCATAGATCGCAATCTTCATCGGCATCCACTTTCCGATCGGGAATCCATGAGAGTTGAATGAGTCGTTTTGGAGGAGAAGATGTTGGGGAGCTCGGTGGAGAGGAAGGATGTTTCATTGTGTCTTTTTTTGAATGTTGTTGATTGAATCCACTCTGACTTTTCATCAGAATTCATTGAACAGAAATTCTCTCAACGATCACCCTGACACTTGAAGAAAAGAGCCATTAAAGATGGGAATGTTCAAATTCTCGATATGAACCTCTCCAAAAGTGTTGAATTCTGAAAAGTTTCATTGCTTCTTCTTTTCAACCTTCAAATAAAAATGTTACCATCATCAAAGCCTTCCATGCTGTCGAATAATGAGAGAAATTTCATTCTCTCGACACTCATGATTGAAAAGAAGGAGAATAAATTATCGGATGGAGGAGACTCGTATCGTAAGAGTGGATCGAGCACAACAAAATCATCATCATCACTCAATACAACTATTTTACGAGTGGATGGACGTGATTTATATGATTACCGAAGTATTGAATTCATGTTACCGAATTCTACGAATGACCACATTTCAAGTCTTGACTCTGTTCAATCGGGACAAGTTCAAGTCTCTATCGGAAATACCATTGCGTTGGGAGTTGTTTCATGTTCCGTGATGGAGCCCTACCTTGATAGACCCAACGAAGGATTTTTAACATTTCATGTGGATTTTAGTACTGTTGGTGCTCGACCTGTTGGTTCCAAACAAACTTCACAACAACGAGAATTATGCATTGAAATTGGAAGAGTCATTGATCGTTCACTTCGCGGATCGCGAGCAATTGATACGGAGGCTTTATGTATTATTGCTGGAAGAAAAGTTTGGAGCTTACGTGTGGATATTCACATTCTGCAAGATGATGGAAATGTTTTTGATTGTTGTCATTTAGCAGCAATTGCATCTTTATTGCATTTCAGAAGACCAGAAGTAACGATTGAAGGTGACCGAATCATTGTTCACACAGTTCAAGATCGACAACCAGTCCCACTAAGTGTTCATCACATTCCTATTTGCACTTCTTTTGCATTCTTTTATCATGAACATTGCACATTATTTGTTGTGGATCCAGGTAAAAAGGAAGAGATGATTGCAGAAGGATTCATGACTATTGCCTTAAATGCTCATAAGGAATTGTGTGCCATTCAGAAAGGAGGTGGATTGGCACTGACAAAAGATCAAATTTTAGAGTGTGCTCAAATTGCATCGGTCAAATCGAAAGAAATTACTGAGATACTGAAACGCTTTTTACAGAATGAGGAAAGTAAGCGAATTCAACAAGGAAAATCATACTATGTGAAATATGAGGAAGAACCAATCGACAACAGTAGTCAGGATGAAAACGACGAAGCTATTAGTGCCATTTCTGATATATCTGAACCTTTCTCTGATATGGAAGATGACGAAGAAGAAAACGAAGAATAAAGTGTGTTGCTACATTTACAATTCGTTGCCTTCAAGATTGACGCTGTTTTGAAAAAAAAATTCATGTAGAATGATCGTCGTTGTGACCTGTCTCAATTCAAGAGAAGGACAAACCAAAATTGTGGTGCTTCAAATTTGCGAGCTTTTCTGTGGTGAACCATGACAAGGTTCGAATTCGAAGCAGATTTGATTGAACACACTTGAAAATCCAATCATTTCGGACAAATAGAAATTGGTGAAACAGTCACAAACAAAACTCAATCTCCATCTCATCAAATAACAATTGTACCACTTTGAAACCAAATGTACAAATCACTTCTCTCGAAAGCATCCTCTCCAATCTTGTTGCAACAACAACGCTCAGTTGCCAAGTTATTTCTGACACAAGCTTCCAATGTGTTCATTCAATCATCTACTTTTTCCTCAAATGGTGGAGTTCAAAAACGTTCATTCTCCACACAAAATTCTGTCAATAGCAAACCAGATCAAATCAAGTCGAATCAACAACAACAACAGTACCAACAGTCTCAATTCAACCACCACCACCACTACCACCACCACTCCTGGATGCACTTGTTGGATTCTTCCAAACTCTTTCATCGGAGAAGAGGAAGACGACTCCTTCGTGTGATTCTCTTTGGCACTCTCTTGTTTTACATCTTGTACAAGTATCTTTTGAATTCGGGGGATCATCATTGAAGACTTTTCAAATAAATTCATAGAATCTAATCATTTATTAATTCAAATTTAATTATAATATAACCAATGAATAATTCGAATTGTAACAATTGAATGAGCGATGTGAATGGAATGAAATGTCTGGTTCAATAATTGTTTGAATTTGTTGAATGAAAAAAAAATTTTTTTGGAGAATAAAGATTCAACAAATTTGTGTCGCCAGCAGCAAGTGAATCCATCACAACAACAACAAGAACTTCACAACAAGAAGAAGAACAACACAGTATCATCTCTGTATCCGATCTGATATTCAATTTCTCAAGCAACAATGAAAAGAAGTTCAAAACAATTCCGTTCAACAACAACAACAACAACGAGTAATGGTCGAAATGGCAACACTACAAGCACCACCAACAAAAGAACAAGTAACTCATCGGGCCAATCATCAAAACCACATTTAAAATCCAAATTGGAAAATATTCTCGCCAGTCGAAAGAAGAGAAAAACCATTCAAGAAGATGATGATGAAATTCATTCCGACGTGGAAGAAGATTTTGAAGTCTCTCCTGAACAATTATTAAAACATAAGGATGATGAGGAAGAGGAACATCGAATTCGAGATGCGAGTGAAGTAGCACCACAACAAGAGGATGAAGAGGAATTGACTGCTGCTGAAAAGAGAGTTTTGAATGCAAAACAATTTTTGGAAAATTTAAAAGTTTATGAAGAAGATAAAGAAGAAGAAGAAGAATTTAAGAGAATGATGGATGGAGAGGATCCCATTGCTCAAGCTTTGAAACGAGAGGCTGTAAGTAGAGTTTGTGAATGCTAATGTGTGTGTATCATTCAAAATAATTATTGGAACCAATGGTTGTTATATTTAAATAATACTAATAATATATATATACCAATGATTGGATTGAAATTGACATTTCACATACATGTACACCTATTCAATCTATGAATTTCATCTAGTTAAAAGCAAAAAAACAAATTCCTTCCATGTATCATGAATATTTAGAAGAGATTGATTTTACAGAACCTTCTCGAGTTACATTTCTGAAAGGTCACAAAAAAACTCCAACTTGTATTGTGTTAAATAATAGTGGCAGTAGCAGCTCTAATTCACCACTTCGAGCATTTACAGGAGCTAAGGATGGATGCATTATACATTGGGATTTAACAACTCAAAAGAAAATTTCAATTACAAAAAAGGCACATGATAATTGTGAAATTTTGTGTTGTGCTTTAAGCTTTGATGGAAGTATTCTAGCAACTGGTGGAAGAGATAACAAGATTAGATTATGGGATACAAGAACTATGAAACCTATTGATGTTTTTGAAGGACATTTTAAACCTGTCACTTGTCTTGCATTTCAAATGGGACATCAAGCCAATGTGAATGCATCTTCTAATAACTCTTCATATGCTTTTCAATTATACAGTGGATCTCTGGACAGAACCATTAAAGTATGGGATGCAAGAGATTTAACATTTATTGACACATTATATGGTCATGAAAGTGAAGTTCAAGGAATTGACACCATGATCACTCCACATGCAGTGAGTTGTGGTAGTGATGCATCTCTTCGATATTGGAAAGTTGAAGATGAAACTCAATTAATTTTTAAAAACTCTGCAAGCAAATATTCAGTCGATTGTGTGAAAATGTTGAGGGAAAATACATATGTGAGTGGTTCACAAGATGGATCAGTTTCCATGTGGATTAAAACAAAGAAGAAACCAATTGTTCACTTTGAAAATGCTCATGGTGGAGAATGGATTAGCTCTGTAGGTGCATTGCGATTTTCTGACGTTGTTGCTACAGGTTCCTGTGATGGATATCTCAAATTATGGAGATGTGATCCCAATGCCAAGATTTTACAATTGAAGAATAACATTCCATTGCAAGGATTTGTGAATGGAATTGATTTTTCATCCAATGGTCAATTTTTAACAGCATGTATAGGTCAAGAACATCGTTTAGGAAGATGGTTTAAAAAGAAGGAATCGACAACAACGTCTTCAAACCATGCATTGACGACAGTGAAGAATGGAATTGCTCTTGTGAAATTGTTGAGTGATGAAATGTTGATGCAAGACAAGCACGAAGGAAATGGAGAATCCAAAAGACGAAATGGCTCTATTTTCAACAATGAAGATGTGTTGGCTCATGATGACGAGGAAGAAGAGGATCATGATGGAGAGGATCACTTTTTTCTCTAGTTACTACATCAGTACAGGTGATTCAAAAAGTAAAAGTGACCTATGTTAAACTGAACACACATGATTGTGAATATTTTCAAAATGTTTCAATTCACACACACACTCCCATCTATTCCACACATTAAAAAATTTCATCATCAAAAAAAATTCTTGAACTTGCTTCCGATTCTTTTCATTAATATTTATTATTCATCATCATCATGAAACAACACACACAACAGCTGTTCCTTCTTGTGATTGGTCTTTCTTCAATATTTATTCTCTCCATTATTGGAATTTTAATCAATCTCAAAGAAGTTTCCATTTATCAACTTTCGAATACTTCTCCATGGATTATTCATACCGATATTTCTGTCAATCATTTCATATCGATGGCACTTTGTATAAGACAATCAAAAATAGGAGCAATCAAAAGTGTCGTGACAACTTCGAGTCATTTACAACTTTTAAACGGAGACCTCGGAGAAGAATTAACTTTTTTGAAAAAGTTACCGGACTCGACCTTTGAAAAGCAAACGTGTCACATTTCCGATCTATGGAAATTGTATTTTAATAAGAGGAGAGAATATAGACCGAGTCGATCGAATGGTTTTTTAAATCATACTCTATTAATGAAAGGCATTGAATCGACTTCCAATGATGTGGACATGTTGTTGTTTTCCACACGAGATGCACTCTTTACCAAACGTAATTTATTACAAGATTTTGTGGAGAATGTCTTGAAAAATACAAGTGGTATTTATAATGTGAATATGACCTTTCTCGAATCGACAGAAATGGTCCTTGAAGAGAGTGTGAATATTTTTGAAAATCAAACAAATTCTGAATCAATTTCCATGTTGATTTTGGGACCATTGACAACCTTGTCACGAACATTGAATGAAATGACTAAAACTCCTGATTTATTTCAAAAAGTGAAGAAAATTGTCATTTATGGAGGAACTATAAATTCAACATTGGGTGAATATAATTTGGGAGTTGATTCAGTGGCGAGAAGAAATGTTTTTGACATGTCTCGAAATTATTTGAGAGGTAAAATTTATCTCTTTCCTAAAGATGCAGTTGAAAAGACACCTCTCACAGATCCACAATTATTGAGATTTTCAATTCTCTTTAAAGATGCATGTGAAAGAAAACTATTGAACAAGATTAAGGAAGATCCCAAGTTTGAAAAACCATTCTTGTATGAAGTGATTCATTGGTGGTTGCATACATTTAATGAAACAAGATCTCAACTCACTAATGAGTATTTACCTGAAGAGATGATCTTTAATAATGAAGTGGTGGTGTCTTCAGTGTTGTGGATGGATGATCAAGTCATTAGTTTTAATGAGAGACACATCGAATTTGATGAGACGATTCCTGGATTGTTTAAAATACTTGAACAACCCTCTCGAAAATCCTACTCTGTGAAAATGATTCAAAGGGTGGATTGGTACAAGTATTTTGGTTTATTGGTCCATCGATGTGCCTTTTTCTGAGCCATCTGATCAGGTATGAAGAGTAGTGTGACTATCCTAGCTGTTTGTGTTTCGATCGGAGGAACGACCATTCAAGCAAGCTCAGAACCAACCAACATAGTTTGAGTTGCATTGCGAATTTAGGACTTTGTGAAAACTACCAAGCCAAGCCAACATGAACGATCTGTGTTTGACAATGATCAATAATGTAACAATACATAATTTAATGAAACCTAGAGTTAAAGTTTGAACTTTTTTGAAGTGGGTTCCTCACCTGCCTCAACTTCTTCAAATTCGTCGTCATCTCCGCCTACACTACTTGTAACATTGTTCGTAGATCCACTTAAGGAAAAGCTTGAATTTGCCATGCCAGACATTGGTGCAGAAGTACTAGTAGGTGGTAGTGGCTGTGAGATTGGCTCAATGGTACCAAACGATGATGAGGAGGATGACAGAGGAAAACTATTTCCTGTTGTTGCGGCGGAGGATACTGGATTGTTTGCTGATGATGAAAGATTCAATGATTGTGAAGGAGCAAATTGAGAAATTGGATTTGAAGGAGGAGGCATGAGAGAACTGTCATTGCTTGAAGTACTTATTCTGATGGAAGATGGCTCAATGACTCCAAGAGATTTCTTTTGTTTAGTTGGGATTACTTCTGAGCTAATATCTAAATCGTCATCATTTGATGCAAGTTGATTTGCAATGGCACCACTTTTCAATGATTTTGTTGCAAGTACTTCAGCACTGTCATCTCTAGTAATTATGGAAATAAATGGTTTTTTGGTGGTGTGACTCTTTTTTGGTGTTGACAAAATGGTGGTGAGTCGGCTCACATTGACCGGATTTGTTGTACTTTGAGTCACGTTTCTTTGTACAGCCAAAGATACTCTTTGTTTTTCAATTTGTAAATACGGATTGACGACCGTGGTTGCAGTTTCGTCTTGTGTGATATCCTCCAACTCTCCTTCCTCTTCTTCGCCTTGATTTGGCATGGCTTGTTCGTCTTCTGGCTTCTTTCTTCTTTGTCCACTGAGTAGTGCAGCTGGTTTCTTGTCCAGATGCAATAAAACATCGTTTTTCTGCACGATGGTCTTCTTCTTAGTTTTTATCAGTGCAGTTTGGTCGTGAGGAATAAGAGTATGGTCAATAATATTTTGAAGTTCTTTTTGTTGTTGTTCGAGATAATCATGCATTTGAATAAGCTCAGCTTCGTGCAAACGAGTGAGTGACTCTTCGATATGTCTTCTTTGTCTTGTTTTTTCAAGTTGTATTTTATATTGGTCTCTTGTTCTCTTATTCATAATTGGTGTAAATCTAAATGTATGTTTTGGAGGAAGTGATGGTAAAAATTTGGGTTTTTGTTGCTCAATAAGTTGAATTTGTCTTTCGTGTTCTTCTTCCTCTTCCTCGTCAAACATGATTGTCTTGCCTTTGTTTTTATAGAGTAAATGAAAATGTGTTTGTGGGCATGACATGAGACTTGATGATGTGGGTTTTGGAATGTCAGGAATATCTAAAGAGGATACAAGTTCCATTTCAAAATTGGAATGACAAATATTCGAAAGAATGTCGAAATATCATTGGTGAGGTGGATTCAAAAAATCATTACGAAGATATTTCAAGTTTGATAGTTACTACTTGTACTACTTACCAAATTCAAAGGTAGCCAAATCAACTGTATCATCTTGCGATTTATCCTGTAAAACATTCATAAAAGAAAGTAAATCATTCACTCCGATATTCATACGGTGCTTAAGAGCCCTCTCTACATCAAAAACATTCACTTCCGTTCTTCCGCAATGGGTACTGTATTCAACACTTGTAACAGCAATATTTTGAATCAAGCTTTGCAAAAGATCAATCAAAAAATCACTAGCACTACTCTTGATGGCGTGAAAGCCATGATATCTACATGCATCAGCAATGACACGTTGTAAGACTTCTCTTGCAAAGTGATCATGATGTTGATGATACGAGGATGATGATACCGATGATGATGATGATGTATTACCCACACCACCACCAGCACCCCCATTACTTGTATTCCTTCCGGAGGGCATATGTCCTCTTCCATTTTGAATTCTTTGCGTCATGGTCATCATGGGAGTAGCAAAGCCCGATGATGATGTCCCGTTATAGGAGGACAGGGTTGAAGCAAGGTGTTGTTGTGGGATCATTTTTTTTGTTATTTTTTTTTTCAAATCAAATTGGTCTTTATTGTTTTTGCTTCTCATCTACAACTCCACTAATTACACATTTTCGATTGAAAGATGAAAATTGTTTCCTTTGTTTTATGCCTTGTCAAGAGGCTTGGATTCCTGTGTGGAAGGAGTGATCATTCACACTCCTATTAGGCCTTCTAAATTACTACTCGTTGAATGGAATAATTTGAATTCAAACTGTGATTGAAGGATCCATTTGCCAAATGTTGTTTGATCCAAAAAAAGGAAGAAAAAAATTGTTGTAAAATATTAAAAAAAAACACTCCAAAAAAAAATGCAAACAAACGACCTTATGAATGGTTTTTTGCCAGTTCCCTCAGTTGATACAACCGCTCCTTCTTCTCCTCAGATAGTCACATCAACCGATGCTGAAGAATCCATTCCTACTCATGAAACCAAATGGACTCAATTGTTGGATACAATATTTGAAGATGCAAAGTCCATGACTTCCGATCAGCGCAAACGTAGCATTTATCCATTTTTCATTCAGTTTTGCTCGGGTGTTGATGTAGATCGCTTCAGTGAAAAATATTTAAACACTAATTCTCATGTTACTACCTCTTCTACAAAACGAGATGCATCATCGATTGTGGAAGAAGCTGTTGGCGAAGACAACTCATCTTCCGATGTTGGAGCCTCTCCAGCCAAAAAAAAACGAAAAAAAAAGACCGACAAGCCAAAGGATGATAAAAAGTTGAAAGAGTGGTCTGAAAAGATTAGACAGATCGCTGATGAGAGTTTGCCATCATTAACCGATTTACAAGATATTGAAAAGAATTTCTCAGAAGGAAAGCAAAAACACATCTCTATTAATTATAGATTTATCACAGAGAAGAAAGAGAATCATTCAGAACAAGTGAGACATACTTACAGAAACTTTTTTGATAGATATCCTAAATTATTTTACTTTTTCTCGTATTGGACGTTGAACGGAAAATTTAAGATTATTAAGAGTGTCTTTGATGAGTCACCAGAACTTTACAAGAAATGTGTCACAGACGTTCCAGACGCATACAAAAAGATTTGGATCACCCAATAAAAGTTTATTGGTTCATCATCGTGCAGTGATTCACATGTCGTAGTTGTGTGACACAAACTGTACAATTCAAGTGACGAGAGCCTTTCGAAACCATTATCTGTCATAATACGGTTCTTTGAAATGCTGGGCTCGAGAAGACTCTGATCTGCTCGACACAAAGTGCTCTCACTACTGCAAGAAATTCAGAGCATCACTACCACCAATTGAGTAGTCTTGTGGATTGAGAACCCCACCACCGAATACTCTTGATTGTTGCTGCTGTTCTCGAGACATCAATACCGAGTCTTGACCAAATAGTGTGGAACGATGAGAGGTCGACGTTGTGGCCATGGTGTTATTGAGACTTGTTCCTCCATTTAAGGAATGCAATAATTGAGTGGCAGAATCTCTCTCAGGAAGTCCCGTAAATCGATCATCCATTAAAAGCATACAATATTGTTTCACATTTTCAATATATTGTTCGTCGTGTTGAGCTGCTTCATAATAATAATCCGCAAGGAACAATAAAATTCCAGCCTCATCAGCCGAACTTAATTGTTGATGAAGTTGTGACGAGAGTTGTTGATCTTCGTCTCCAGAGACACTATTCGGTGAATGACCTAAACATTTCAAATACAATTCAACAGCTCGATCATTTTGATCCAATCTTCGATAGATGTTTGCCATTTTCAATAGAGTGCTTAATTGTTCTCCTCGATTATCAAAAGCACGCTGATAGCATTTGAGAGCGTCATCGTACTGTTCCAAAGATTCATAGCAATTGGCAAGAGCAGCCCACATTCTTCCATCGTACGGCCTCAAGCTACACGACTTGCTATAATAATAGAGAGCATAATCAGACATGTCAAGCATTTCATACGTTTGTCCCAATCCATACCAAGCTCTATAGTCTGTGGATTGAATCTCAACAGCACTTCTATAGGCATTCACTGCTGCTTTGGTGTTTTTCATTTCGATGTATTCGTGGCCCATCAGCGTCCATGCTGACAAATATTTAGGATCCAATGAGAGAGCTCTCTTAAAGTACAGGACCGCCTTCTCATGCTCTCCTCGCAAGCTATAATAATTTCCAATGACACAACATGTCTCAACTCGATACTTGTCAATTGAGTGAAGTTGATGAGCCAATTTGCTTAAACCTGCTTTCTCTTCTCTCACGTACAAAATATTCGAGTAGGTATCTAGACACTCTAATCGATAGGGGTCATTCTTCTTAATGTGTTCGAAAAATTCTTGTGCCTGTTGGAAATCTTGTTGGTGATAACTGAGCATGGCGAGCTGAGAAAATAAATAATTTGAATAAGGGAACTGAGTGGAGAGTTCTTGAATGAGATTATAAGTTTGATTTTCATTGCTCGTTGTCTCTTCATAATCGAGTTGAGTGAAACTTCCTTGATTGGAAAGCGTCTCTAATTGTAGCCGAGATTTGAATATCTTCATCATCCAGTGTTGTTTTGTGCTGCTTTTAAATTTTTTAAAAGTTGCTGGAAGTAGACCTGCTTGATTGTTTTGATCATTTTGAGTAGTGTCTTGCATTAAATCTATCAAAATGTAAACCATTTCAATCCAACTGCCCCACATTAATGGCTCATAATTTACACTTTTGATAAAGCAATCCAAAGCCTTAATTTTCATCTCCATTTCTTTGAGTACAATTCCGAAAATGTAATACAAATACGAGTCCATTTGGTCTAGATTGTGTAAAACTTTCAAATCTGCCAGGAGTGTCCGTAAATATTTGTTTTGGGTTTGATTGTGATGTTTTTGTTGGGTGCGCTGTTGGTGAATCATTTGATGATGAGCGTTGGCGGAGGCGCCAACACCACCAGCCGTAGACGTAGAAGAATTATTTAAACTATATTCCAATACTTCTTGTTCTTTCATTTGTTCACCCGATAAATATAAAGAGTAATACTCTAGAAAGAGACACTTTTTGCAGAATGATGATAATCCTTTTGAATTTTTAGATAATTCATTTGTGAAAGGCTTTGTTTGTTTTTGTAAAATAAAAGCACACCGAGCGTATTCTTTAGATTCAAATAATGTTTTAGCAAAAACAAAATGATCATATAATATTTGTTCATTTGGTTGAATCGTATTAGTTGTGATTGTTTTTGCATTTTGTACCGTTGGCAAATTCAAAGTCTCTATCGGAAGTGATATCAGTTGCTCTCCTAGCCATTTAGATGTATGGAGCAACCCTCTCTCCGAAGTTTCTATAATCACTCTCCTAATATCCTCTCGTATCATACTCGTGATATTGTTGTTATTCGTGTTTGAAGATGATGATGAGGAGGAGATAGCTCTCGATAATTCCATCATGATGTTCCCTCAAGATTTGGGTTCACAAATTTTTTTGGAATTGGCGGGCAAGGATCGATCATCCAACCATCAAATGTTCGTCATCATCATCATCCTCTTCTTGTTCTTTTTGGATCATTACGACTCTCTTGATTCACTCATTGTGATTGACGATGGTGTGGATGATAGAATTGGTCCATAATAACAGGCTGTTGTTACCCGAGCACTCGAAATTCTGCAGTATTTTTCACTGACTTTACAAGTAAATGAGTTGGTGTTTGAAAACTGATAATTTTAAAGTTAGTCGAAAAGTCAGCGGATTTTTGAATTTAATCCCTACTAAGTTTACTCTGCTCTGTTCCAAATCTGCAGTCCACTTAAATCGATATCTGATTTTATTTAAATAAGCATTGAAATATTTCATCGAATTCAGTAAGAAAAATTTATTGATGAATCAGTTGAAAAATAAGGGACTGATTTGAAGTGAAATCAGTTTCTGAATAAGGGACTGATTTGAAGTAAAGTCAGTACCTAAATTAGACTCTGGGTTGAATTGAAATCAGTATCCAAATCTGACTCTGGGTTGAATAAAAATCAGTTGAAAAATAAGACTCTGGGTTGAATTAAAATCAGTCTCCAAATCATACTATGGTATTGAAATTAGTCTACGGATAAGACACTCATTGGAATGAAAATCACCAATATCGTATTTCATAGTAATCCATGGAAGGCTTGAGTAATCCACTTCTAATTCAGTGTAATTATAATTTCTCGCTATCAATCATCGTATCATCTTTTCAAATAAGCTGATCATCAATGATTCAATGCTTACCTTGACGATGACCATGACACCTTGTGTTCAATTGGGTCAAGTAATACCAACTTACCTTGATTCATGAATTGTTCTGAATGTAGTGAAGGGTAGGAATGTTCGATTGTAACAATTAATGAGTCTTTGAAAAAATTTTCATACTCATCACAAACTTGGTATTGTTTAAATCAAGAACAAGTCATTCCTATGAACTTGTTTAAATTTACCACAAACTTGGAAACATGGTATGGCGTTTTTTGGCATTTTGTCCAATATTTTGACTTGATTCGAGTCTAAACTTTTAACGTGATACAAGCCATCCTTTTTACTGGTCACGAGACCATGACCAAATTCTTGAGCATGAAAATAATCACCCTTTTCAAATTGAAAATGAAAAGTTCTTACTCGTTTCATGGAAATGACTTGATGTAATGAAAAGTTCTCCAGTGCTTTGTGGTCCATGTTATTCTTTCCTCCTTGAACAGAGCTAGTGATGGATCCAACTAGATCTTCGAGCATAAAGTACTCGTACACCATAGTGGTCCAAGATAGAAAATAGAACTGTTTACATGATGAATAATATATAAAAATAATTACGTGATGGATAATATGTGAAAAGGAGCTATATCATTTAGCCGACTTACAGAGGAAAATGAACGACAGTATGTGAAGCCAGTGTTAAAATAATAATGTTAAAATCTGTCTCGATGGCTTGTAATATTTCAAAAATTTCCTTTTTCATACTGTATAGAACTTCAAGGCTTCTCACTACTGGATGTATGATGGTGCGTATAAAAGTAGAAAGTCTATTGAGAATGTGATAATGATTGTCTGATATTTCATCCTGAAAAACCTCAATACAATATGAAAATATTATATAATATTCAATTGCTTTGAAATAACTCAATTCATCCAATCCACGGACTCTTCGATGATAGAACGAAGGTGTTTTGATTTCATATAGCTTGTCTATCGTTCTTTTAGTAGTTTATCAAGTAAAAGTTCTTAACTTACTGTTAATAGTATCAATATTGTACTTGTTTTTGATAAAGTTCAACAATTTTGCACAAAGGCCTTCAAGTAAATTATGTAACAAATCACAAGCAATCTGTGTGGTCCATGTAAAGTATGGTAGTCTCACCAGTATGGACAAGCCTTTAACACCATCAAATTGTTGAATCTCTCCCTTTAGCATTAATTTGTAATTTGCAACAATTTCAGACCAAACCCGTTCCTGTTCATTTCCACCCGAGCTGTAAATGGTTCGGTCTTGAATCTTTCTACCATTCTTTTTACACCATCGACAACTTGAAGTTCCAGCATGATTGGTCATGCACAATAAATCGTAACATGCATCAAGATCTACTAGAAAGGTGAACAATCTTGCCTTGAGACGATATATCACACCTTGTTCTGTTTTACATTCCTTTCCCTGATTCAATATCAATAATTCAGAAATAAATCGATCAAGCAGAGTATTGAATGGAATGGGTTTGTTGCTATATGCAAGCAGCATGGTGAGTGGAAATGAATATCTATATTGCAATGGCAGTTCAGTAATCCACGCTACAAGAGGAAGCACACTCTTTCTGCTGCTTTTGCTAACAGAACCTGAATCACCTCCACCAATGAGGGTAATACACACGGCATCCGGTTCTTTCCAGCCTCTCACAACTCGTTCATATTCAATCGAGTCTATACAGTCATTAATTTCATCGATACTTGGTTGAACAGTGCAATGAGCTTTAAAATTTCTCAATCCAATCAAGTCCACCATTTCTGAAGTGCAAGTTTCAATAGATTTACTCCAGAAAAAACTATTAGAACAATCCATTCCACATTTGGAACAGTAATGATTAGAAGCTTCACATACTTGATCACAGCAATGATATACTTTTTGATATTGCTTGGATACATTAATAATCTTTTTGAGTAAGGTATTGACATTGAAAGGCAACTTACAAGTATCTGGAAGAAGTGCATTCAAGATTCTGAAAATTTCATTCATCATTACTTTGCTAGCCTTAAATTTGACATATAATTGTAGCATATCAAATATTAATTCTCCCAAAGTCTTACTGGAATGAGTGGATATTGGAGTACGTGAGTTGGGAATTTGATTCATAATCATGACCAGTGCTTGTTTTTGAAACACTTCAAAAAACTCTACAAAGCTCTCATTGCTTTCTAAATCATTCACCATGGTGTGAAGAAATCCATGCGAGTTGTTGTTTCCTTCTCCCCCTTCTCCGTCGTTCAAGGTTGGAGGTGGTGGTGGTGGTCTGTCATGATTACCAAGCATTGAAGAATTTGAAACGCTTGATGGTGGAGGCTGAGTATTGTGTAATATATTATTGGTCGCGAGAGGGTGGTGATGATGATGTGAAGAAGAAGGAGCAACAGCTTCCGATGATGATACATTGCCATGTTGTTGTGGAATGGTCATTCTGCCAACTCTAATACTCGAGTATTCCATGTTGGAGTTCAAAATAGCTCGCTCAAGAGCACGAGCAGAAACCATATTCTTGTGGCATATTCTTTTGCAAGTTCTTTTCTCTTACCACTTTACAACACATGTCTCAACAATCAGGTGAACAAGGCTCTTCTTCTCACGAGAAGAAACGGTTGAAATCATCTTCAGTTGACCTTATTAAAAGTAAGAAGAAGAAACATACCCCAAAGGAAGTGGAAGTCCTTAAAGCTGAACACTATAATTCTGTAAAGCAAGTTCTTCAGCTATTGAAATCCAAGAACAGTCAAACTGCAAGATGAGTCCGGTCAATTACCACCTCCATTGGAAATCAAAAAGGCTTTAAAAACAAAGCAACAATTGATTGACTGTCTCACTAATTACCCACAACATGAGACCATCATGACGGTGTTGCAACAGATCCTAAATAACCTCCAGCTGAAAGTGTTTATTGAGAATCATGTTCTTTCTACCACTGAAAAAGTGACATGTAATCCTTCTCACGTTCGTTCGGTTTGTTTAGGAAGTAGAAAAGAGTCCCAGCTCATTCATGTTGCCAATGCCACCACCAATCCGGCGTTGAATGCACAAAAGTCAGACTGCTTAATTGTTACCATTACAAAAGTCTTACCAGAAGCCATGAAACTGGTCACATCTCTTCCCGACGAGTTTCATGTAAACTCGTTGCATGAATGGAGTATGGACTGTATGGTGTGGGATAAGAGTGAACCATTAATCACATCTCAAAACTTTGTCAATGCAAACACCAACCAATTAGTATTACCTTCTGTTGAAAATGATTTGTTCAAGCAGAATAATTCTGCAGCCTGCTATATGGATGTGTTGAATTCTTCTACTGTGATTCAAAAGGATCCCTTGTCCATGATCTTTGCCTCTCAAAAAGATATGGTCGTGCCTGCATTCTCCACTCAAAAAGATCTGTCTGAAGTGGTATTGCCTCAATCCATGCAATCTCAACCACCAATGCAAATTCAACCGTCAGTACAACTGTCAGTGCAATCTCAACCCTTGGCTTCTTCATCATTTCAGAAAGACCCGACCAACACTACAATACTCTCTTCTCAAACTGATGTTTTGACTCCAGTCTTCTCCTCTTCAGTGGGTTCACATTCCACCATTCCAACGATCCATGAATTTGAAGAATTGAAAAAGAAGTATGAAAGAATTGTCGACATTAATCATGATCTCCAATTCAATATGAAAAGGATTCAACGAGAATTGGAACAAGAGAAGGAAGAACGAATCAAGTTGCAATCCAAGGTTGATCAGCATCCCGAGAGAATGAATACCGTTCGTGATAACTTGTGTAAGATGTATGTTGATCTTGGAAATATTATAACCTCCATGTCTAACACAACAACCATTATAATTGGGGACGAGAAGAAGGAAGTGGCCTCAGACGAATTTGTTAATTTTTGTAAGAGGAACCAATTTGGCAAGTGTGTGTAGATTACCTTTGTCAAGTGTTCAATTTGAGCATTGACAAATTGAAAACAAACGCCAAACTCCAGCATGCGGTTGCTTCCTTCATATACCAGCACACGGAAATCAAGGAAACCACTCGCCAGTGGAGCAACTTTTTCAATACTCACAAATAATGGCCGAACTTGATTGCTTTGTAATAAAATAAATAAACAAAAACATTTTCTCCCTTAAAATTCGTCTTGATTTTTCGGAATCAGTATGAAAATGTGGAATTTACTGATTTTGCGACTGGCTTTTTTTCTGACTGAATTCGAATGCAAGTTTGCTCACTAATTTCATTAAAAATACGAAATTTCGAGTGCTCGGATACTCCGGAGTTGTCCGTGTTCAACACCATGTTGAAACTCCTTTGTGCACAAAATATCTCTCCTTCTCAGAAAAACTTTGAGTTTTCAAAAAAAAAACAATGAAATTCCTTCCTTTGCTGTTCTTGTTGCTGGCACAATGGCTTCTCGTTGTGCATTCAACAACGGAATCGGGGTTATTCATCCTTGGTTCTGGTGTTGCTGCTGCTGTTGCTGCTGCTCCTCCTCCTCAACGTATCACTTCTCTCCCTGGTTTAATGGTCCCATTTCCTTTTCTCAATATTCGGGTTACGTTCCAGTGAGTATCAATTCCACCTATGAAACGAGATTTTTGTTTTATTGGTTTGTTGAGTCGCAAAGTGCTCGTCCCAGTGAGGATCCAGTGATTTTGTGGTTGAATGGTGGACCAGGTAGGTTGTGGTAGTTGTACTTGTTGTTTATTGAATGGGTTCGATGAATTGTGTTTTAAAAATTGAATTGGCAATGATGAATATTTTGTCATTGCAAAAACATGTTTGACACTTTCCATATTTGTTGTTGAATGCAATGTGGAAAATGTTTCAACAAACAAAATTTGACGAACAAACTCAATCTCTTCAGGTTGTAGCAGTTTGGATGGAATGGTCACAGAACATGGTCCATTTCTTCTCAACAATGATGGAAAAACTTTGAGAGCAAATGATTATTCTTGGAATAAGAGAGCAAATATCATTTATTTAGAATCTCCCTTTGAAGTCGGATATAGTTTTACAACCAATAATAATGATCATGTTTGGAATGATGTGAAATCAGCAAATGATGTGTTACAATTTTTAGCAATTTTCTTCTCTGAAATGTTTCCACAATATGTGAAAAATCCATTTTATATTGCTGCAGAATCTTATGGAGGACATTAGTAAGTAATAAGATCTGAGAATCATCATCTTCAATATTGAACTAATGATGACGATGGTGGTGGTTCAAACGAATGAATGAATACTCGTGTGAAACGTTGAAATGTTTTTATGAATCATTTTATCAATTTCCATTACATTCAAATTTCATTTCAATTTGCAATTTTCAATAATAATGGTTTCCTTGGTGATCAACCAATATTATTTCCATCATCCAATATTATTTCACAGTGGGCCAACCACTGCTGTAGCAGTTTTACATGCCAATCAAAGAAATCAATTTCCATTCAAATTCAATTTGAAAGGTTTCATTGTCGCTAATGGTATCATGGATGATCGAGAAGACACCAATTCCATTCCTCTCTTCATGTATCAACATTCTCTCATTTCCAAATCATCCTACGACGATGGTTTATCAAAATGCAAAGGTGATTTTTACAAGAATCAAAATTTACCAGAATGTGCCAATGTCATTTCTCAATACTACACGTCCATTGTGGGTGTCAATCCCTATGATATTTATGCAAACTGTGTGGGAGATGTTGGACCATTTGTTGACGAGAAAAGTGATGAATTTTCACAGAAAGAAGAATCTTTTTTGGAAACTTTGAAACGTAATGGATGGATGAAAGCTCTCACTCAAAGACCATCCTTTAAGAACAGCAATGTCATCATTCATCCATTGTTTGCACTGAGTACAACTCGTGTGGGAAGTGGTGCTCCTTGTCTTGCTTACAAGCCACAAGAAAATTGGTTTAATTTGAATGAAGTGAAACAAGCACTTCATGCCTCTCCATTAATTCCACAAGATCATCGTTGGCAAATGTGTAATGATGTGGTGAATGGTAATTACAATCGAACGTATGATAGTATGATTCCATTCTATCAGGAATTGTTATCGAATGGCATTCGAGGGTTGTTTTACTCGGGTGATTGTGATTTGGCTGTGAATTCTCTTGGATCTCAGAATGGAATTTATGCATTGATGAAGGTGATGAATGGACAAATTGTAAAACCCTATCAATCTTGGATGATGGATAAACAGGTGGCTGGTTTTTATCAAATTTGGAGTGCTGGATCCACCACCATGACATTTAAGACCATTAAGGGAGCAGGACAGTAAGTAATTGTATTCTTCTTTGACAAGGTTAATGATGGTGACATACTTTAATTTATTAGCATGGTACCAATGACTCGACCAAAACAAGCTCAAACAGTCTTGTATGATTTTATTTTCAACAATTAATATTTATGGTTGCCTTTTGACAACCACAACATTACATCAATAAATATTTATATTCTAATTCACATCTATTCATTACTTGATGCCATCAATTTATTATATATATTGATAATGATAGAAAAGATACTGTTTCTTTGGTAGGTTTAAAAAGTTAACAAATCACATCTGAAAAGATGAGTTTATTTCGTCCTACCTATACCTTATTCGAAGCATCGCCAAAGTTCTTATCCATCACATCAGGGGTACAGCAAAATTGTTCATAACATGACTTTGTGCAAATAAGGTGACATGGCTGAGCTAAATCTTCTTGATTACTGCTCTCTCTTGAAATTGAATTTCCAGTGAATTCAGGTTGAATGGTCGAGGAGTGAATGTCATACGTGTGGAAAATGTTTTGAATTTGACGAGCAATTTTCATGAAACCTTTGCTATTTTGTGATGTCAAAACATGCACACTTGCAATCGATTTCTTTCCAACAAATTGCCAAATATGCAACTCATGACACGAGATAACTCCTTCAATTTTCATGATTTTTTCTTTTAGATCTGTAATATTTACATTCGCTGGAACGGATTGCAAGAGGGTTCTGCTTGTCGATTTGAGCAATGGAATGGCAGTGAATAGAATAATACAACTCATAATTAAGCTAAGAGCAGGGTCAACATAGAGTACCCATTTCGTGGTGTGATTTCCTTGTTCGTCTGGCTTGTCGAAAATCATCAAGAGTCCAGCAGAAACCATCACTGCAATGGAGCCTAGGAAGTCACCTAATATGTGCAAAAATACACCAAAGATGTTTTCAGAACGATGGTGTTTTTTAGAGGATTTAGATTTTTCTTGGTGAGGTGAAGATGCATGAACGTCCTGTAATTCATGGTCGTGAGAATGATCATGGTCGTGACTGTGATCGTGTTTGTGTGAATGTTCTTCTTCGTCATGAGAATGGTGTTCTTCGTCGTGGCTGCCATGGGAATGGCCGTGATGGTGACCGTGGTCATGGTCGTGGTCATGACCAGGGTGAGGATGGTGACCGCAGAACATGACAAGTCCAATCTGTTTTGCAGTATTGTCAATATTATTCAACGTGCATTCCATGTGAATATTATGTGTATACGTGTTCAAACATTATGTTATTATTGAAAAAAGATTAAAATCAATCCTTCTGCATAACAAAAACTTACCAAATTCACCAATAAACCAGCTCCACCCACACACAATACCAATAAAGGATTTTCAATTCTTTCTGGAATGAAAAATCGTTGAATACTCTCCATAATGACATACAAGACAACACTCACTAAGAAGACTGCATTAATAAGTCCTCCCAAAGTTTCCGCACGTCCAAATCCATAAGTCATTTTCTTGGTTGCACTCTTCTTTGCCAACCAAATACATGCTGCTCCCACAACCAGAGAAATGCCATCGCTCAACATGTGAAAGGCATCAGCCAATAAGGTCAAAGATTCCGCAATAATACCAACTTGAATTTCTCCCAAAAACATTAAAAAGACCATTGTAATCATGATCACTAATTTTACAAAATCAGGCTCTTTCCACAAAGGTCTGGATTTTGATAAATAGATTTTACGAAGTGTTTCATCGTCGAGTTTTAGAATGGGCACTTCAATGCTAGAGGATGAACTTTCTTGTTCTTCTTGTTCAAGACTTGGTCGTGCGGTTGTGTTGTTGTTGTCGTTGTTTCCGGTATTTATCAGCTGATGAGTTTGGTCTATAATATCCTCTTCCTCATCATCGCTATGATGATGCGAATGATGGTTATCCACTCCTGACTCTCCATGATGATGTGAGTGTTTATGATGATGATGTTTTCTTGTTTGTGCACTATTACTACTACTACTACTAGAAGAACTCATTAAAACCTTCTTGTCCTCTTCTCCAACAAAAGACGACGAGAGAGAAGGACTTGAAGAGGAGAGTACTAACAAACCTCTTCCTCCTCCGTTCTTGTTCAACAACTCGAGTGATTGTTGTTGTTGCTGAGAAGGAGGCGGATGATGATGAGAAGAAAAATCATCACCGATAATTCGTTCTCGAGACATTTTTTCTTGTTTTTTGGTCCTCTCTTTGGAAGACGACGAAGACGACGAATGAGAAAGTCAAACGCAAACGTGCAACATGAAAGGTCGAACAAATGGAAAATAAATGGTTATTTACCAATATTGAATTCTGTTCGTTCGTTCGAAGTGGATGCACATGAGGATGCAATAATAATAAAGAGCCAAATTTTAACCTTTTATGAACCATTGGTGGTGATGAATTTTGAATGGTGAGAATGTGATTCTGCAAAGACTGTACATGCATTTCCGAACAATATCATGCTGGGTGTTGTTTTCATCATTTACATGTGGATTGGCTCATTAATAATGAATAAATCCAAATGAAAAAAGGTCACACGGACTGAAATATTAATAGTATCAATTTAATTCAGATTGATAGTATCAATTAAATCTGTGTTGTTGTTATTATACTATATATATCTATATATACTATTTCAAAATTTACAAAACTTAGTACAAGAATTGATGGAAAATATATTCCTCTGCTTGTTGTTTCCATTTCATGAAATATTCACGCACATTCAAATATTCACATCACCATTTACAAATCATAGAGTGAAATCATTCCATAATTGTCAGTTGTCAAAAATTGAGAAGTTTGTGGAATATAGGTTCCATGAGTCACAGTTGGACCTGGATTTGTAGTATTCGCAAAAGATGATGCTGCAGCATGAAGAACTTCAAATGAAGATGCTGTGACTTGATACAAGGAAAATTTTGGCATTCCGAGTGATATCAACAATCTCTTATTGGGCTCATAATGGAAATCTCCAACTACACTCAAACACTTGTCCACAATGTTCAATAAAGATCTTCCAGTTCTAATGTCATGTACTTGAATTTGTCCATCTCCATATCCTAAACAAACAGTAAAATCATCCAAATAGGTGTGAGTGAATAATTCAATTTTTCCAGTATCATAAACAAATGCTGGTTTCGAGGTGTTACCTGTTCTTACATCAAATACATGTAGGACACCTTGATCGGTAGTGGCACTCGCAACGTTGGAATCCGAAGGGTGAAATCTCACACTCGAGACAACATCTTGACACAAATAGACTGAATTTTCTGATTTCATTTGATTGCTCTGAATGTCATCGACAAGCTTGCTAATATCTGTGACAAATACTTTTTCATCAAATCCGCCACTAATGACTAGAGATTGATTGACAGGATTAATTGCAAATTGTCGAATAGTGTCTTGATGGAATTTGGGAAAAGTGTCAATTTCTTGAATTTCATCCAATTCTGGATTGAGAACAACAATACCCAATTCTGCATTCATGGCCACTACAATACGTCTCGGATCTTTTGGTAACCATTCAATATATCTCACATGTTCTTCAATATTTTGTAATTTGAGAGGGAGAGGTTGTTTGGTCGATGGATCAATTCTACCAAAAAGTAGACAATTTTTTGGAAGCACGGCTTGTTGTGGATTGATGACATTCGGTGTTTGATTCTCCGTTCCGCACAGAAACAAGGTTGGCAATGAGGTGGATGATGTATTCAAAAGAGTTTGAGCATTGGTTGCTGGTTTTGAAAGACCCTCTAAAATGCCTATATTTGGTGAGAGGATAGGTTTCACATCGAGTTGTGCCGTTTGAAGAAGATGAGGAATTTTTGGTGTTTCGTAATTTAATAATGTGTAGCCCCCAAAATCATCGCCTCCAATTTGTGATGCAGCAGATCCAGGTTGAGTGGTGTTCATATTTCCTTGATGATGCATACTGTGATGATCAATGCTTTGTTGTGATTGCTGATGAACTCCCATGCTGGCTGTTGATGGGTCCATTTTTTTATTATGTTGTTGCTGATGGCTGACAGAAAGCAGTCTGATGCGGGTTGACTGCAGTATCGATGCGTAAAAGAACACATTTCATCTTGGCTTTTTACCACGTTTTTAATCTTCTAGAGACAACTCACTTGAGATGAATATTTAAATTTTTCTTTATTATAGAGGTAAAAACAATTGCTTGGCAGCAACAACAGATTTTAACGGTTAGCCTTGGAGACTCTTTCGACTTCATCCTTCTTCTTGACAGCATAGGAGTTTGGTGAGAGCTTAGCACAGTTGATGATTTCATCAGCCAAACATTCAGCCAAAGACTTGATGGTTCTGAAAGAAGCCTCTCTTGCTCCTTGAGTGATCAAGTAGATAGCAACATTGACTCTTCTCAATGGAGAAACGTCGACAGCTTGTCTTCTGACAACACCAGCAGTACCAATTCTGGTGGAGTCTTCACGTGGACCACCGTTTTGAACAGCATCAACCAAGACTTGGATTGGGTTTTCCTTGGTCATGATGTGGATCAATTCAAAGGCATGCTTAACCACTCTGACGGCCAACAATTTCTTACCATTGTTTCTGCCGTGCATCATCATTGAGTTGACAAGTCTCTCAACAACTGGGCAGTGTTGCTTTCTGAATCTCTTGACATTGTATCTACCAGCACTGTGTGGCAAGTATTGAGCATGATCTGGTGTACAAGCAATGTAATCCTTCAATGAAAGATCCTTAACTTCAATGTTGCTGAAGGACCACTTTCCGAAAAGTTTAACTTCTGGTTTGACGACGCTCATTATGAGAGGAAACGATTGTGGCGACGAAGTTGCTGTATTTTTTTCAACGAATTTTTCCAAAAATCATGGTCAACTTGAGTTTTGGATTTTACAATGAAAATTTTTTCTCTCGAATTTTTGCAACGTGGCGGTGAGCTACCGCAAACCATGAAATGCAGGGTTTTCAAGACAACAACACCCAACTATCCCGCTGCTTTTTCAAACAAACAATTGTGGAGATTCCTTCCGAAAGAATTCCTTCGAGCTTGACGAATGAAAGCAATGAGAGTGAATTCAAGCTGAACCAAAAAAATGAAAAACCTTGCCATACCTGACAATGGAGGATGTATTGAATCCTTCTCTTCGCAATATCATCACGAGTCCCGATGTTTGAATTTGATGAATAGAGATCCATGCTTGGTGTGGTTCTCTCACAATTTGGCTCCTTGTATGTTTTTGAATTTTCGGAATAATAGCGTTTGGAAATTTTACGCTTTCATATTTTCTGTTATTATCAACTTGTGGGATCATGATGATGTTCATTCTCTGCCTGTATTTCATTGAACAATTTTTTTAATAATGATTATATTCTTGCCTTTCTCATACTCACATTGCAATCACACCAGTACCACAACATTTCATTATAAAATTACAAAAATTGTCACAGGTACAAAGAGTTGGAATTTTCATCCATGGAGAAAATAACCAAAACCCAAAACATATACAAATTCATGTTTCCAGTGATGGAGTTTCATATACAAAGGTAGTAGACGCAGAAATTGAACAGCGTGCAGGAGATTATTTATACGACATTTGTGGACTCAATACTGTTGTTGAGAGAGTGAACATTTTCGACTCAAACGAAAAAACACAACCTGTAGAGGCACAATTTGTGAAATTTGAATTTGTACGTATTCGTGACATGATGTTTATGAGACGGTTTTCACAAGAACCATTTTTCTAAATTTTTAATAATTGCATTTATGAAACACTGTGATTGTCACATGATTCATATTCATGATTTATGTATTTTAATACTTTATAATCAAATAATTATTACTTTACATGACTTGGATAGACTGAAAATTATGGAGGAAGTGGAGTTTACGTTGCAAAAGCATATGTGTTTGGAATAAATTAATCCTCCTCAATTTCTTCTTGAATATCTTCATCTTCACCTGTTCGAGTGGAATGATTATCTTCTGGTGGCATGACTTCATTGAAATCAACTCCAACATGTTTACAAATGGTCTTGATCATTTCTTCATCAAGGAAATAATTTAGAGTGATATCTTTTTGTTTCATTTCCAAAATTAATTTGTAGGCAGTGTTAGGATCATTCAATGTTTGTAAATGATACTCGATGAGTATTGCAAAAACATCTCCAACTCGTATAGCTTCATCGATTTCAATCACACTTTCTTCTTCCAAATTGTTTACATTATTAATCAGCTCTCTGCATATCGAAACAAATTGGACTTCATTCGTTTTCAAATTCATGAGAGATTTAGCCAAAATGAATTTTTCGATATAAAAAATTTTTTGATTGAGCTGTTTCAACCTCATATCATAATTTGGGTTGCTCTTCTTATTCTGCTTAATTTCTTTGGTTAAATACTTGACTGATTCACGAAGAGCGTCCAGCGCCTTTTCATAATCTCTGTATTCATCAATTTCCACCTGAGAACAGGTTTCAAAGAAGCTTGAAAGGAATTTCCATGCTTTAGCCTTTGTGTAGAACGAAATAATAGATTTGATAATCTCAGGCTCGTTGTGCCAATCCAAGCTTTGCAAATAGTTGGCTGCCAATATGTACAGTTGTTTTTGCCTACTCAGTACTGCAAAGAGCATAATCTTTTCAGTGTCTCCTGACTTGATGAGAACCTTCATGGCTTTCAACTTGTCACCAGCTTGGACATACTTCTTGGTTGCAATGGCATAACTTCCTTGTATGGATGCCACTTTTGCAATCTTCCTCAGCAGAAGAATCTTTTCATTGGTTTCCTCATTTTCAGGTGAGGTTCCTGCGTTGGCCCCACTTTCGTTATTACTGAGAGAAGTGAGACTCGTACTGCTGTTATTGTGTGACGAGGCCGATGAGGTTGGAATTTCCTCTGAAGGAGGAGACATTTGATCTGCCATTTCTTCTGTTAATTTGACATTCTTCTTGATACATAACTCTAAAGCTAACTCGTATTCTTTGGCACGAATGTACATTTGCACAGCTCTTTCAAATTGTGAATGTTCAATAAAGAACTGTCCACATTTCATGAACACCTCTGGGTCGTCGCTATCTGATTTGTCATTGAAAATATTATCAGCAATTGTGGAAAGAGTATCAAATAATTGATGTTTAAAGCACAAATCGATGGCACGAGACAAGTTTCCACCTTTTTGGTACAACAATACTGCCTTATCTGTTTGACCTGTGGATTCAAAGTAGTGGGCAACGTCAATCATGAGTTTTTCATTCGATGATTGCAGAGAAAGATTCAATGCTTCGTTGTCATTGCCTAACAATTTAGCGACTCTCACCGCTTCGTTGAAACATCCTGCAAATTTGTAATATTTGATGGCATGATCCAACAACTTCTTATTTTCTTTTTCATTCTCTAACTGTTTTGCAAAGTAGTAAGCAGCAGCTTTATCTTGAGACTTTTTCACAATCTCAGCTGCCATCTTTAAATTCCCGATGAAACAATACATTCTCACTTGGGAAAGGAAATCATTGGATTGAATGTAGTATTTGAGAGCCTCTTCATAGTCTGTGTTGCCCTCACAATATTGAGCCCACCATCTATTCAATTCCTTGTCATCAGGTCGAGAGAGAATATAATTCTGCAGACTTGTCAAGTCACCTGCATTGTAATACATTCGAGGTACTTCATACTTGTGAGTGTTCGAAAGTTCATAGAACTTTTCAGCCGATTTTAAATCGCCAATTTCTTGTTCCAAATATCTTGCATATTTGTAGTAAGTTGTTTTTAAATGGATTCTATCTTTGGTTTTGGCAATTTCGAGTGCCTTCTCCCACTGCCCAATGGATTGATACATTTCATTGAGAAGGTCATTTCTCTCACATTCGGCATAAAGTTTTTCAGCTTCATCGATCATGCCTAACTGAATGGCCAATGTTGCTATCCATGCCAGTGGTTCATTAGGCTCACTATCTTTGACCTTTCTGAGAGCTTTTGCTGCTAATGCATTTTTCATGTTGCCCAAACAAATTTCTGAGATTTCCATTTTGCGAGTTTTAACACACATTTTGGCCATGTTGTACCAAATGGAAGATTTAGACTCAATTTGTTTGACGGATTTGTAAGCTTCTTCCATAGATCCAATATTGAGATAGAAACTAAAGTTTAAGAGAGCTCTCTTGGTTTTCGATGATAATTGATCTTCATCAATTCCTTCAAAGTCTTTCATGGCTCTCTTTTCAAAAATATCTCCGTTCGAGCCCGAGGCATCATTCTTCACAAAGAAAAGATTGGGAACACATTGTCCTACGAGTGATTGTGCATTCCTATCAATCTTAAAATAATCCTGAAAGAGTGTGCCGTGATCTTGTGTGGCAAAAAGGGTGCAAACATATACCTCATTGTCAGAATTCTTCAACTCAACAGAAAGCAAGTTTGGTTCACTCAAATCCCAAAATACAGAGGTAGGAGTACCACCTTTAAACTTGGTTTCAAAATCAAAGCTCTGTAATTTGTCATGCTCAAAATCATAGACATAGAGCTTGGTGCTAGGAGACAATAAATCAATCTCACCTTCCGTCTTGATCTTTCCTAACAGAGCAAGCATGGTTCCATTGCAGTTGCATTTCACCGACGAAATGTAGGTTTTTTCAGATTGATCATTCTCATTGTTGTCAAACACTTTCTTGGAAACTGAAACTGGTTTAGCCTCTCGTCCGAGTACGTGCCACATTCTTACGTGATTGGTATTGGTAGCAACGGTGATGAAATCTCCTTGAACATCAATTGAGGTTGGAATACCTTCTTCTTCAGAGAGTTGCAATGTTTGCTTCTTGACACCTTTAAAACTGTAAATCTCAATTCTTGGGTTCGAATTTGCAGAACCATTGGTCGGTACAAAAATACTTTCTGTGTGCAATCCAACACAAATCGACGGAATTTCAAAGGTTTCTGACTTTTTCACGAGCTCCTTGCTTTTGTGTTCGAATAGTTCAATCACTGAATTATTTGAAACGACCAAGTGAGTCTCTGAATGATCAAAATTTCTAATATTAATTCCTGTTTTGATGGTTAAAGGAGGTATCTTTTCTTCGTTATTTAAACATCGACCAATAATCACAGAAGTCAACGAGTTTTGAATGGCGACTGTGTTGTTCTTCATTCTCTTTTGGAAGCTATTTTCTTGCAAAATTTCAATGTCATTATTCTCTCCGCAAGAATAGCATAGAACTCTCTCTCCAAATCCCCATTGAACCATTCTCACTGGTTGTTTGCTTGGAACTTGATATTCACCGTACTTTTCCCATTGATCTCTTGCTTTTTGATTTCCCGTGAAAGTCCAAAACACTAAGCGACCTAAACTGGTGCCTCCTACAATGGCTCGTTTTTGAGGATTGAATGAAAATGAGATTATGATTTCACCATCATTATTTGGAGTGAGTAGGAGAGTTGTATTTTCGTCGGTTTCCAAATTCCAAACTCTAATCATGTTTTCATTACTGGTAATGGTGGCAATGGCTCCAGATCCGACCCATAGAGTTTTAATGGTGGTACCAGAACCATTGGAAATGCTAATTTTTGTTCTCATGACTTGTTTCATTCCAATTTCATTTGGTTTGGTGATGGAAGCATTTATCTTGTAAACCACAAGCAAGGCAGAGTCAGTGAGAAGGACAAGATGAGACTTTTCTCTGTGAAACAGTAGTGAACAAATTTGAGATCCATTAAATTGAATTCCAGTGTCGTGAAGAGTGTCAACACGAACTCCATTTGCAGATTTGTGAGTGGTTTCATTAAGGTCGTCAGCCACTCCAACCACAACTTTTGATCCTTGACCAGCTGTGACGGGCAAAAAGAAAATCCACGACAATTCCGTTGTTGGATCTCTATTTGTTTTGAACACTATTTGATCTGCTGACTCAATACATGAGCCAGGATTTTCATAATTCACCACATGCTTTAATTTTCCTCCTTCATACTTCCAAACTCCGATAGTTCCATCCTATTGAATTTAAAAAAAGTCACAACCAAACGAGATGCAAATCAATGATTAATCTAAAGATAACATGTTACCATTAGAACACTTACTTGATGTGTCGATATTAATCGTTCACCATCGGGTGTCCATTTCAAAGCACATATTTTTCCATGTTCCTCAATTTCTACCTCTTTCTGATTGTGATCCTTATCGTTATAGATCAAGAGGGCTCCATCTTTCCAGCCCGTGCAAAGAATAAATTTGGAGGGATGCCATGCAAGTGCTGTACAATTTGAAGAACGAGACAAGTTGACTCGTTCCATCTTTTCTCCGTGATCATCATACACTGAAACAACTCCATTGACCTTAGAAATTGCAAGCAATGGATACTTTCTATGCCATTGTTGACAAATTGGAGCATGAAATTTGTTGTTGGATGAACCCTGTAAAGAAAAGTTTTCATAAATTACTGAATGATTGAGAAAGGAGGAGCCCGAAACCAATCCCACGTTGTATGCGGATGAGGCTGAGGATAATCCATTGTTGTTTGATGATGAGCTCATTTTTTCATGAATGATGATGATGATGGTGGAATAAATGTAGTTGCAACAAGGCGGGGAAAAAATATTCTTGAAACAGTGTTTGACACATCACATGTGGTGGTTCAAAATAAACTCCAAGTGTTGGTTCATCATTTATCATATAATAGATAGAGAGCTACTCACATATTCTCGCATTATTTTCTGCGTTTCTCATAGAACAATAAATAAGGTCTGGCCTCTGCGAGAACTTGTTTCTCACTCATGGCCTTCTTTACATGTGAATCACTAATGTAAAACCAGTCTCCTCTCTTAAATTGTTGTCCACCATCGATAACGAGTTGTTTAACATAGGCTACATAGTGACCATCATGCATGGTACCGCTATGCTCAACAATGGCATACAAATCGTAAACAGTTTGCTTATTCTCTTCATCTTGTCGATGTGACGGATGAATGTATGGTGCCATATCAATAGTTGTTGGGAAAATTATTTGAGCATTATCTTTCATAAAGGAGTGAGCTCCTGTACTCATGAGATAATCATCGAGAATGGATCTCTTCTTTTTTCGAATCATTTGATGCATGGACACAAATCTCTTGAGATGAATCGTGAGAACTTGAGGCAATTGAGCGATGGAGAATTGTTTGCAGGCATTTCTGAGGGTGTATTTTGGCTTGTTGCTTGGAGTATTGTCAGCGGTGGTTGTTGTTGTGGAAGAGTTTGAACTTTCAGAAATCGAACTAGCAGTGGTAGTATTAGTGGTTCCAGCACTGGTGGCGGCATCAGTAGACACATTGCTGACACTCTTTTCACTACGCTCAGTGTTTTCATCGATCAAGTGTGAACAATTTTCGCATCTGTATGCATCCTCTCCCTCCAGCAAATCATGGGTCACAAATCCCCAAAGACAATGAGACAAGTGCACACCGTTCATTTCTTGAGGTATTGTGTTCAATACTTCTTCTGGATTTAGCATCATTGAGTTCCTAGTAGTACCACTGCTGCTTGATTCATCGCCATTCTTAACCATAGCATGCTGCTCGAAGGTCTTCTTTTCTCTTTCAAATAATTCTTTAAAGTGCATGTACAAGTTTTCTTTTGTCTTGGGGATTGGAATGCTCAAATCGTGTGCCGTTTCTTTGATGGTGCTCACATGTCCACAGTGTTGACAAAAAACAGAACTGTTCAACATTATCTTGAAACAGTCATCAATGACTGTTGGAGGTGGTTGGATACTAGAAGATATTGTGGTAGATGTATTCTCGGGCAGATTGCCATTATTAGCAGTTGTATTCTTTTTCTTAAAGTCGTCAATATACTCATCTCGCACATGTGAACACAAAAATCTCAGCAATTCAGTGGCATCATGTTGTCCATATCCTCTAAATAACGGAAATTTATCACAAACAACCTCAAATAATTTGCTAGGATTATATGGTACATATAATTCACTTTTTTGTTGTTGTGGAATCTTGTAAATTGAGTTATAAAACAATGTCAATGCAAATGACAGAGACTTTGCGTCGGTAAATGTTACTTTCTTAGGTAAATTCAGTGTAGGATAAACAGCACTAAGATTCAAATAAAAAGATGCTAACAGGTGCGTGTGAGCCAATGCTTGCATAGTACTGTTGAAAAAGCAAGTATTGCCTAAATTATATAATCCTCTCATGGTACTCAAATACTGGTTATTTTGAAGATTCCATTTGGCATCTGTATCTGGTGATTGATTAGTGGCAGATTTAGCAGCAATGCTCTGTGATAAAATTTGCAATGCTTGTATCATTTGATAATCTCGAGGAGGTGTAGTTTCTAATTCCATCTTCAACGATTTAGTATAAATAGATTCTGCTCCAAAACTGGTTTCAACTTGACTCTTGACGTATTTCAAAACATTGACAAATCGATTGATGTGTTCATCATTGGGTTGTTTCAAATGAAATACGCTCTTAGTTCGTGTAAATCCAATATCAGTGTTGCTTGGACATGATAAACAAATGCATTTCAGTGTTGAAATATTAATAATTATACCACCTCCATGAGGAGTATTCTTTTTCTGAAAGGCATGCTTTGGACAGTAGAACAGGCCATTAAAACAATTCAAAAACAAATCATCGTTTTCAATTGCCGATTGTAATTGTTTGCATGTACTACATTTTGGAGCATGATGACATTCCGCACCATCACTTCCCGAATTACTGCTCTTGAAAGAAGCGAAAGTCTTCTTGATACGATTCGGATCTACAGCCTGACTATAATCCTCACAACAATGTTTGCAAAGTCTCATCAAGAGCGGCTCCGCTCCCGCACTTCCAGATGGAGTGTTGGAATGATTCTGCTGAGTACTCGAAGAGGCCGATGGCTTGTTGTTCGGGTGGTTGTTGTTGTTGTTCGGGACAATGGAATGAGTTTGTTTCGTTTTTTGGGTCTTTTTGTTGGCCATTTTTTTTTCAAGAAAAAAAATGCTGCAGAGATCGACAGCTTTCGGTTTTCCGAGAGAGCTTTCTTCTTCTTCCTTTCGTCATTATCATGGCCGGCATCATTATCACGGATATTCTCATGCCTTGAAAATTTTGGGCATTGTGGTAGTGTTGTTGTTGGGTTTGTTAGCCAATCCATATAGTTTTGTTTTCGGAACGAAGCACCGATCAAATACTTCATCATCGGCTTGGTATGATGAATATATTAGTATCACAAAATCACTCGATTCAAAATATTTAATTTATCATTTTTCAATGAACCAATTTCATCATCGTCAGGATGACGAACCAATTCATATATCATTCTCTCAATCTAATTTATATCCCTATATTTTAGACAAGTATGATTTGGAGCATCTACAAGTCACAATGACAAGAGGTAGATATCACTATCGGGATTGGGGGTTACTGAAAAAAAAGAATTCACCCGATCGTGATAGTGAAAATAATAACAGCGAGTCACAATTCATTTCAATGCCACCAAGCGGATTGACTGTAAAAGCTCAATTTAACAATTCCAACCAAACCACTATTAGCAATATCAAACACAAATGGGATTACCTTGTCAATGAATTGAGTGGTCTCTTTTGTGCTAGTATTAATTTTTTAACATTTGACACTCGAAGAGTTTACGACAGTGGAATTGTCAACTTTATGAATCATCATCTTGAGAACAGTGATCATTCTACAACAACGACTATCTATGGAACACTGAGTGAAGAGACTGTGTGTACAGAAAATTTGACACCTTTCAAATCTATTTTGCCATATAGAGGAAATAGAGGTATTAGTGCTCTATTAATTCCTAAATTATTATTCGATAGTGATTATGTTAGCCTGGTGTTGGATATTACAAGAAAGGGCATATTCATGAATGTGTTTCGAGTGATCAAATACAATGAAGGAAACGAATATGAAAACTACAAGTTCATTACCTTTAAAAAGAACAAATTACACATACCTTATGGAAATAGTTATATTTTTGTAAACAGTGCCGACAACGAGTTGCAAGATGCAAAGACTGTTGCCACAACGAATTCTATGGCTGATCGTTCAATTTCTACAAGCACCGCTACTGCTACTACTAACTATTTATTGAAACAGATTCTGAATGCAATGAATGACACTAAGAGTGAACATGCACATCCTCTTAATCTCAATGTTTATGATGTCAGAAATATTAAGAGTGGTTTTGAACAAGTTGTTCCCTCTCGTGTTCACATTATGAGATATCAGCTTGACAACAAACTCATTACAAACATTGAAATATTCAATACAAGTGGCTCTGCTTTGGACAAGGAAAATTATTGTCTCTACGATGTCATACCATGGTACTTTAAAACCTTTATACATACTTTGGAGATTAATGGGCAGTCGATTGATCAAGCTCATAAGCGTCACATGATTAAGAACATGAGAATTTTACCACAAAAAGATAGAGTCAATCCATTGGTTATGAATTTATGTTTTAATTTGACATCATTCATTAGTGATAAGAATAGCGGTGCTAAGAACGGCTTGTCAACCTCTATACAGGTATCCATTAAGTTTGAAAAGACCTATTTGAAATATACTGAACATGCCCCTGATGCGAATCGAGGATTTGACTTGTCGAGTGCTATTGTGATTCACTCCAATTCTGACAATCCCAAGGATGTCTATTTCTACTACAGCGATAGCCTTCTCATCAATCTTCCCACACCTGATTTCAGCATGCCCTACAATGTCATTACACTGACGAGTACTGTGATCGTTTTGTTCTATGGAAGCATGTTCAATTTGATGATTCGAAGATTCAATGCAAAGTATGAAGAAGAACACAGCAAATCATTACTGGATCGATTGTTGGGAACTATCTTCAGGAAGAGAAACACCAGCAATTAATCTCTGAAACATCTGATCCGAATTGAAGCAATTGTTCACTTTACAGTAAAGAGACAACAATTCTTACTGGCTGACTATGGTGACAAAAATTTTGTTTACTACAAATATATTAAGTTTTAACTCGAAGAAATCATGATGGTTGTCATGATAAGGGTTCCTTAATTCTTTCTTAGATTTTCCAAACGTTGTTGTAAATCGTCATCTTCAGCTGTTGTTACTGCATTTTCCTCCTCGAGAATTTTTGAATTTGGTGTCTTTCCCATTTTTCCACTCATATCCAAACCAATTTCGTCCAACACTTGATTGACCAATTCTTCTTCTTCACCTTCTGCTTCATCGTCTTCCATCACATCGTCAACCATATCGTTCATCATTTCGTCTTTCATGTCCATCATTTCATTTTGTTTCATAAATTCTTGCATAATCTTTTGCATTTCAGGTAAATTCAATTGTTTGTTCATTCTAGTCATTGTTTTTGTCATTCCTTTCATGGCTTGAGTCATTTCATTGGTCGAGTTAAGTGTCGTTAATTTGAGAGAAATAGCTTGTAATTGAGCTTGCATTTTGTGCATTTTAGTCACATGTTTTCGGGTACGGACAAGATCTTTGGCCATAATTTTAACTGTGTCCATTTGATTTTGTCTGGCCATTCTTCGCATATCATTGATGAGCTTCTTTTCCTGGTTTTGTAATTTCACTCGTTCTCTTTCCATTTGTCGAATGGTTCGTTCAATGTTACGTTTATATTCACGGAGCAATTCCTTTGGTGTTTTCTTTTTTCCGAATATTGCTTCTAACATTTTTGCGGTTATTCTTGCACGGTTTAAATTTAGAGAGTGTTATTGTTGTTGTGATCTGATGATCCTGGTAATTTTACGCGTAAATGACTTTGATAACGCAAATATCAATATTGGAGAAGAGTTGCTTATTAGCAAATCAATCGATTGTTGGAGTGATGATGATGATGATCCTGATTGGGTATTCTTGCGAGAGTTTTCGTCGTGAATCAAAAGAGAGGGATGATGATGAGATCGAATTTTTTTTAATAAAAAAACCAACAAAAAACACTGAGTCCTTTCTTGTCGGTTGGATGTTCCAATTCAAAGTTAGAAGGGAAAATGTGAGAAATTGAGTTTCCTTCACGGTCAGAGAGGATGAGCATCATCACACCAAGGACCGTGATGCGAACTGCAAGTAGCTGTTGATCATCCTGGATTTACAACGAGGATGATGATGTTGGTGGTGAAAGATGTTGAGTCAATTCCTTAATGATAAATTCAATGATTGGATTCGACATCAACGTGCGATCAAGAGGGTGATTGTCCTTATTATCGGCAGCTTGGTAATAATATCCATCTTCTTCGATACAATAAATAAATTTCAAATCTTCTACGAATTGTTCTAAAATAGAAGAGTTATTGCTCAGCATGACGTGTGAGTCATTATCCACATTCAATTTCATAGAATTTTTGGCATTCAGTTTCAATAATCGATAGATTGATTGAATGTAATATCTGTTGTTAAGAAGAAATGATGTGAAATCATCATTATGGCCCTTCATCATATCACTACTGCAGCTCGTTGGTGTATGTATGTAATAATTTAAAAGGATATTCAATAGTGATTGATTGATAGAATGATTGACACTTGTGTCTGTGCCATGACTGTTAAATTTGTCAATGCAAATATAGATTAATTGAAATAATATTGCGCTAATGGATTGCAAGGTTATGGCTGTAGAATTGTCAATATATTCACGTGCAATCCTATGATTAATAAAATTCACAATTGATATAGATTTGGTGTAAATATTATTGAAATAGTATTTGTGAAGAATTGAAAATAGTTTGGACATGTTGCTCACGGTGGGAGAGCTTTGGGACATGCTCGTCACATTAAGATTCATATTTCTCACCAATTCACATAGAATAGTATAAATGTAATAGTACATGACACATTGTTCTGATATATCAAATTCCGTTAAATTCACAATGTATCTGTTGACAATATCGTTGAACATTTCGAACAGAGAATCAAAATTCGTTTTAAAAACTTTCTTATTCATGCTATATAGAGAGTGTAGAATAATAATTGGATGATTAAAACGCTGTTTGACATGTTCCATGACAGAGTCAAAGTTTTTCATGTGATGTGTGGTAATGCATAGAATCACATCACTCAAGCATTGCAAAATATATTTGCGAGGATACTTGACAGCGGCAACACTGCTATTAGAAGTTGGTAAAAGTTGCTTTGCGTTGCCAACGATTTTGTTGCTACCGTTGACCTCAGTCATGTCCTTTTTTGGATTGACATTGGTCTGATCACCTTTGTCTCCAACACTCAAAATAAACATTTCATGAAAATAATGTAAAATGCATTTCACTTCATCTGGATACAATTCAATATCTTCACGTTGTAGACTCTTTAAAAGGAATGGATAATAGCATGCATTGAATAGAGCTGAATTCAATGTAATGAATTTGATATAATTTGGAAAAGAAATATTGTTAAATTCATACAAATCGTCATGACGGCGTGATGATGTTGATTCCTGATCGACATCTGAGTTGCTGTTCATAGTGTTGGTGTTATTCCTGGTAGATGCACCCTTAGAGGCAATATAATAGCTTGGCATATAAATGTACAATAGTTTGATATAATATTTCAATACAAATTTGTTAGAGATGTATCTTGGAATTTTTCGTTTCGCTAAAATATGTAACATGTTATAGAAATGATTTGAGTATTCGGCTTTGCATTGATTTTGGTATTGATCACTAATATACGTAATAATCTGTAGAATCTGGAATGCAGAATTTTTTTCATAATTTTGTTTGATGTGATCCTCATCTTCCAATGTACTTCCATATATTGAGAATAATTGAGGTAAAATAAAGATGGCGAATTCTTGTTTGTACTTGACCAATAACTTCAAGTCTCTCACTCCATTCAATCTTTCCTGTTCATTGAAACTTGTTAATTGATTCATCAACAGTTTTTCATCAATTTTAGATTCAAGATCTAAATTGGGGTTAGCACTCCATTCGAGTGGTTGTTGAGTGGTTTCACCACTCAAAGAAGGCTGATGACTATTATTCACAAAAGCAGGAATATATTCTCCATAGTCATCCACTTCATCATCAATTAAATCATAGAAATAACTCAGCTCATTCACAAGAGGATTATTGCCAAATTGATCCAACTTTAATTCATCAATGACATCCTGAGCTGACAAATATTCACCAATAATTGTATTTTGAGAAATTGAGTGGAACGATGGTGTCGTGTTGCCGTTGTTGTTGCTGTGGTGATTGATAGCAGAAGTTGTTGCAGAGTTGGTGGATGCACTGAGCGAGTGGTGATGAAGTGTTGTTGCTGTTGTAGTACCAGTCGATGGAGTAGCACCGAGAGAGGTCGTGGATGAGGGTAAGGATCTTGCAATGATGGAGGTGTGGTTTGGGTGATCCGATGTACGGGTATTACTACTGGTTGAAGAAGATAATGATGATGAATTCAACCCGCCCAATGATGCCGAGCTCTTCAGTTGTGAAGAAGAATTTCGGTGATGCTCACTAACGGTAAAATTGTTAGTGGTGTTGCGATTGCTGATCTGGGGAAGAGGCTTCACTTTCGGCTGTGGCAAGGAGGGCAGTGGTGGTTGCTGAGATTGATTTGGCATTTTTTGATGAAGTTCGAAAAAAATGACTCAACAACAAACCATCAAAGAACTCATAAACCACTTAGAACAACAACAACAACAAATCAAAGAACTGCAAGATGCTATTAAGACGCTCAGACAAACAGTACAGCAATTAATTGAAGTTACAAAACCAACTCAACCAAAACCTGAACAATCAACAATTAAAATTTCTCAAGCTCAAAATGAAGCGCAAAAAATTCACCTTCAACCAAAACCTGAACCAACCCAACAACCAAAACAGGAAACTAAACATTTAGAAACTCCTCAACTCAAAATTGAACAAACTGGTCAACCCAAAAACAAAACTAATTCAATCTCAATCTACTCGGACAGCAATATCTCATCCTCATTTTGTTAAATTTATTCTAAAAAGATTTGAATCAGTTATTCAACACTGGTACATCCCAGACAGCAAGACCAACACTCTCAATTTAGTCATTCAAAATGCCGAAACTCAACAACAAATACTAAAGAAACTTAATTCACCAGCCATGACAGAAAAAACACAAACAAAATATTTCGCCTCACCAATGATTTTTACATCATCTCCAACAACATTAATAGCCAAAGAAAAATCAATTTCGAATATCCAAACTCTCATTAAGTACTCAATCAATCAAAAGAAATGTAGAATTGAACAAATGGGAAAAAATTCAATCCACAAGAAACCTTGTACAAACTTAAAATTAACTTTGATTCCAAGAATCCCAACACTGAATTGATTGAACAAGGATTTGAAATTATCAAAAGAAAGCAAGAAACACATATAGCAAATTGTATACTCCCTGAATCAACAAGTGAACTCGCAATTACCAAAGCTATTAAAACACTATGCAAGAACACAACCATCAAATTCGAAAAAGAGAGACTCAGTATTAAGAAAAAGGTAAAAGATACCTACTCATACCTAATTGTTGAATACAAGCTTAATGACATCAATGAATTGAATAGACTAACCTCAACAAGATTTATTTGCTCCACTGAAACCAATTTCAAGACAATTCAAGCCAAAGTCAACAGCATGAACGTGCGTTTAATAGTTTTACCAGCACCAATGGTGCTAACAATAAACTAATTAGATTTTTTGATGAAGTTGTTGCTTTTCATAATAACAAATTGGCAAACGGATACAAAGGGTGTGACCATGAGTTGGTGGTGGTGTGTATTAAATTCTGTGAACATAAATTTATGACAACAATAAATGATATGAAATGTCTAAATGTATGTGATTAAAAATGATACATTGTTATCCCAACATTTTCAAACACAGTTTTCAATATATATACTATTTCATTACTTCTTAGGATAAGGTCTATTGAAGCCATAGACAGGTGTTACGAATGGATTGAAATAAATTGATTCCAATGGTGGGCCCTCCTTCAATAGGACCTGTTCCATATTGTGAATCTTTTCTTCTCCCTTCAAACGTTCATAAATAAATGATCCCTCCTCTTTCAGGTCTTGTGGAATTGATTCATAAAATTGTTTCAGGACTTCATAGCTAGCTCTAGCCTCTTTCAAATTCTTGAGCAAGAACATATATGCAATGGCGTCCTTATTCACAGTACCATCATCCAAAAGTTGTTGCATGTTTTCAACTTGTCCTAATTTTGCAAATGTTTGCAATAATACAGTTCCAAATGATTGAGGATTCTGTAATTGTTTGTCAAGAGAATGCTTCAAACCAACACGTTGACTCACATCCTTAGAATATGCTTTAGCCATCAAGTTAAAATCAGTGGTTGTGGGTTTTTCAATAGAGAGAAAAACTTTTTCAATTTCACTCACGTCCGATTCTTTAGAGTCTCTCAACAATTTTACCATTTTCAGAGTCTGGCTCGACAAGGCCTCAATTCTCTCTGGTGAAATCTTTGCGAGCGCTTCTGAAATTAGTTTCACTTTTCCTTTAATAAATTGTTCTCCAGTTACAGCGTCTGTATGAACTATCTTTTCACCACAATAATATTCTTCTTCACGTGAATTGGCACCGGTTCCTTGTGGTTGCATGAGAGATTGAAGAGAAGTAAGATCTGCCTTTGAATCACCAAATAAAAAGCTATCAAAAGCTTGGCTGTCCAATCCGGAACCAGAGGATGATGACGTTGGCTGTTGTTGTTGGGCCTCAGTGTTCTGTAATTCTTCGAAAATGTGTCTCATAATTTTACTACCAGCACTGGGTTGTTGTTGTTGTTGTTGTTTGGCTGCTCTTTGGAAGCGTCTTCCTTGTGGTTGTTGCGAAGGAATGACTCCTTCATCAATAGTTTTGGTGAGAGATTTGAAAATATCATCGGATCTAGTTTCTTCTGAAGGAACGTCAAAAATTGAGCCTATACGAAAGTTGAGAGAAACATGGAAAGACAAGGCTTGTTGTTGTTGGTGAGCCGTTCTCAAAAGAAGAGAGAACCGAGAGACATGGGAAAGACGATTCATTTTTGTTTTTCTTTTTCAATTTAAAATTTTTTTGTTCTCTGTTTTTTAATGGTACTCGATCGTGCCCAAAGCAAAGTTCGAAATACTGTACTAAATCATTCAGCAATTTTCAAAGACGAATTGAATATCGATGCAATTCTTCCCATAAAAATTATTAAATTAATAATATATTTTCCAAAAGTTTACTGAACTCCAATCACAAAAATTGTGTTGAGACATGCAGCAGTATATCCAATCATTGTATAGGCTGCCAATATCACAGGTATCTCCACATCATAGCGCGAGTGCAAGAGCTCTTTCATTGTCTTATCCTTAGTTTCTTCTTTTGAAAGATAAAACCTCTTGAGTAATTGAAAAACAATTATTCTGGTAATTTCCTTATTCAATAAGAGCCAAACAATCCCAACAGCACTGGTCCATGCAATCCTAAACCAATCCTGAAGGTTCAATTCGAGAAGCCGCACTTGTGGATACAATAAATGGTGTGTTGGAGAGGAGGCGTACTGCATGAGAGAAGGTGGAGTTGAAAACAATACTTGCAAGAATCCCTGTTCGTTGTGATCTTGTAAAGAATGGTCCATACCATGCAACAAACGTGCACACACATATGTTGGTCTTTTCAACGCAATGACCGTCCAAATACCAAGAAGTGCTCCACAAAATGCACCAAACACTCGAGCTGTGTCTCCATAGGATGATCTCCACGGATTGCCTTTCAATCATAATTTGTGTGAACTAAAAATAATATGAAAACGAACCCTTACCTTTTCTCAATGATGTACTATAAAAGATGATTACTCCCACTGTAAATGTAACAATAAAAAGAGGCGTTATGAATGCTCTATTACTTGTAATGAATGATCCAGGGCTGGTGACATCACCGCTCATATCCAAGTCCATCAAGAAATAAGGCTCCAAGTAAACATAAACATATTTGTTACAAATGAATAGCACAAATAATCCAATGATCAAACCTCCATAGATATCCGTAAGCGAGTGAACTCCCAAGTATAATCTACTCATGCAACATAATACAACCCATGCAATCATGGCGACAATGAATACATATTTTAAATATGGTGCATTTTCAAATGAATAATATTTGAGGAAATAGCCAAAGAAAGAAATAGCAAGTGCAGTACTACCACTGGCATGAGTGGAGGGAAATCCAAATTCATTCTCATAACAAAATTCTGCAAGAAATGCAAGTCACACCGCAAAAACCACAACATTATTATAGAGCATGAATGGCGACAAGATGTCATATCATTATTATTATACAAGATACCGCACCACACGTAATAGTCGTAAATTCAATCGATTTGTTCATAATATTATATGTCTAAAAGGAACATACCCAATCTTGACTCTAATTCAGGCCTAGGTAATTCAAATAAATCCTTAAGATATTGACCTATTCCGAATGAAAGTGCCCATGCAATCATTACACGAATACTTAAATGTTGATCAATATGCCAAAATATAAATGGAAGAAATGAAGCAAACATTCCTTCATTACCCAATTCACTGCTCAATAAAAACAAGTAATACCAAAATTTGGAATATTTGAATGTTGGTTTTGATCCTACATGATGTTGAGATTCTTCGGAAAAGGAAGAGGAAGATGTGAGTGGGGATGTGTTCTTTTTCTTGTTGTTATTAGTATTCGAAGAAGGAGGAGGAGGAAGAGGATTCACTTGTACCACACCAAAGAATTCTTGAAAGGCTCGCACAGTTTTTGTCTCGGACATGATTCTTCTATGGAGATAGGCTTTGAATTGATGGAACAAAGAAGAAGTAGAAGCGCCTGATGATGACGGTTCCGTAATTATAAAAGTTGAATCATTGTTAATATCAGAATTGGAGCAGGATGGTCTAATGATCTTCTTCTTGTTGTTCTGCTTGTTCTTGGAGTTTGTACTCAAATTATTATTATTGAAGGACTTTTCCGACTCTTTGTTATTGTTACTCATGCTGGCCCAATCACACTGTGGCTCATTCCGAGTCTTTGAAGATAACGATGATGAGGGAAAGGAGGAGGCTGTTGTGTTCGAAGAAGGCATTCACGGCAACACGGCCAAAGATCACTTGTGAAATTTTTTTATTTTTCCAAATTTTAGGAAAAAAACGCTGTCATTTCAGTCTGAACAATAGTATGCGATAAAGAAGATGATGAACAGTTTCATGAGGATGGCAAACCAATCCACAAAGGTTCATCCAACTAAGAAGAGGTTTGAATTGCATTTTGATTGTAGTTGGATGAACCTTTGGGTTTGTCCTGAGTGTCTTTTCTCTCCAAAGAGTTGTTTGGTTTTACTTTCAAAATCATCACTTGTGACAAATAGAAGTTGTATTACTTCTGAGAATCAGAAGGTACAAGCGAACATTTGTTACATGGTTCTACAACTACGGGTAGTCACATGAGGTTCCTCTTCTTCTTGATTCTCTTCTTCTTCTTCATCCTCACTCGAAGCACGACCTCCCAACTCTTCTAGTAATTGGAAAATTTCTTGCGCTCGTCTTCTTCTCCTCTGCTGTTGTTGTTGAGTGTTGTTTGTGGTCGAGGTACCTCCTGTGGCATTGTTTTCCTCCTCATCTTCATCCGATTGTGACGCCAATAATTGCATCAAATTAAATACCATACTTGCAGGTAAAATCAAACTCGAGTGTCCTTCTCTTGTTTTTCTTTCATTTTCACTGATGAGACGTGAGACACGATCATGCTTGGAACGTTCTTCTTGACGAGTGGAAGAAGAACTACTACTAGTGCTCATGGCATGGTGATGTTCTTCATCGTCTGCCATGGTGGGACTTTCCAGAGAAACCTTATTGGCATCTCGGTAGGCCATATTCTTCTCATAGCAACTGGTTTCAGGATTATCATCAAAATAGTCCAATACTCCCAACTCGAATAGCTTGATGTTGTGTTCGATACCACTCGTTGCCAATACTCCTGGATAGATTGGATGAGGAGCCAAACAATTCACAACATGATCATCTCCCTTAATGACATTAATGATACATCCTGTTTTTTTGTCCCACACAAACACATTTCCACAATCACTGCCTGACAGGATATATTCTGAACATTCACCAAAGAAATTCACTTCTTTGACAGTTCTAACATTGCAGTGACCTATATAGGACATTTTGGCATCAGCAGCAATGGTACTGCTAGTGACACTCTTATCAAATAAATAGATATGATCACCGCTGTAGGTCGCAACAATTTCATCGCCATACTTATTGAATCGAACACCAGTGACGTGGAGAGGTATGGGATGTGGTCGACGAGTGGACTCATCGCTCGGTAATAATCCAGAAGGACAATACTTTTGAACTGTTGATGCATCAATCACTTGATCTCTTCTGCTATTCGAAGAGGAGGAGCTCACGATTTTTCTACGATCGAATAATCTTACAAACGGATCGTCACAACCCAAAATAATTTCGTTGCAATTTCGTGGATTCATGTCAATACTATTAATATCGATGGATGTTGCCGAGGAGCCACTGAATCTTACAAGACGACTACCACCTCCAGTGCCACCACTTTGTAAATGCAACAAATTGACATGCTCATGATTTGGTTGTCTCAAATCAAATAATTTGACATAACCATCTTGAGAAATGCTGATGAACACGTTTGGTGAAGAATTCTCAATACAAACTCTATGAACCATTCCTGTATGCTCCTTGATGGTTCTTATATGTTTACCTTGTTCATAGATACAAATCTTTGAGTCTGCAGCACTAGATATGATTCGATCTAAATTACAATGAGGAAAGAATTTCACACAGAAAATGTTTCCTGTATGCGGAGTTGAAATATTCCATTTGCATTCTGAAGAATGAGAATTCCAAATTTTGATACAACAATCATCACTGCCAGAGATGAGAAGAGAATCAAGATTTCCAGTATCCTCATTACCCAAATAATGAGAGGCTCCCAATGATGCCGAATGAAAATAATCCTCTGGAGGTATCCATGCCACGGAATTGACACAACCGGAATGTCCCAAATGTGGATCATCAATCACTTTAGCTAAATGCAATCTGTAAATGAGTGAAGGATGTGTTTTTAGTAGCTCTAAGGGATTGACTTGATTTGGATAGAAATCAAATGAGGAGTAGGACGATGAGTAAGAATGAGAAGGCAGTGGAGAGGAGGAGTGTGGATCATGATGAGATGATGCTTCTAAATGGTCATGATCCTCGTCATGATGAGGAGGAGGTATTGTTTGATTAGGACTTTGGTGATTGAATGATAATGGTGATTGCAATAAATTAATATTTGAATAGTATTTGTGGTTGTGCGGAAGAGTTTTCATTTGAAAAAGGAGTGATGGAATGTTGTGATCGGAAACAAACTGGTACGAAGCCGCAAGGGAAGAATGTGAAGAAATGGTTGGGGAGGTCATTTGTGCGTATGTCAACGACTTTGAGGTTATGAATGATTTGTTGGCGGATAATGTTGTATTATGTGGTTATATTGCAATTCCAAGCAAACAAAATATTTGAAGAATCAAAGAAGATCGAATGATTTAAGCTTCTCGGTCAAAAAGGCACAACAAGGGAAATGAGTGTTTCGTCCTTCAAATATTTTTTTAAATTTGAGTTTCAATTAAAATGTTTTGCCAACTTCAATTCATTCATTAACATGCTCAACAAGTGGCCTTGGCAATTTTACCAAATTCTGTATTTGCCTTATTTGCTTTTATTCTTGTGACTCCTTCTTTGGCTGGGAAATTGTTAATTGATCCATTTGTTTTGTCAAGGAATCTTCTGTTGAATCCTTTGTACTGCTGCTCTTTGGAGGGGCTTGTTGTTGTGATGCAGCTTTCTTCTTTTCCAAAGGATTAACGAACTTTTTAGTGCCGCTTGTGGTGACAGTCGATGATGATGAGGATGGTTTTTTAACAGCACTGTTAACGGAAGAACCAAGTTGGTTCAATTCGTTCACTACTTTTTCAATTTCTTCTTTTGTTTCAAAGGGTACATGGTGATTACCTTCATGGTTTTTAGATCTCACAAGTTGCAATAGCCAATTCCACATGTTCATGTTAAATGTCATATTTTGTAGAATTTGCTTGGACTCAACTAAGGATTGGGGTAAATATACATCTTCTTTGAGAAGTTGAAGAAAATGTACCCCGAGTTTGTATTCATTCATAGTGGGTCCAATAAGGAGAGCACCAATCAATTTGAGTTGCTGTTGCTCAACGTGATCAGAATGTCCTTCTTTCTTTCGCTTTTTAAATACTAGTTTCATATAAACATTGTTGCTGTCGAGTAATTGCTGGGGTGAACAGTAAATGGAAATTATGGACTCATTAGTGTCTGTCGAGTGTCCAGTTGTAGTAGTAGTAGTCGGTTCGTAATGCCCAAGGCATGAAATAAAAAGTCCAAAGAACTTTGGTGTTTGACTGAAGAAGAGCTTGGTTTTTGTACCATGTTGTGGTGACTGTGATGACGAAGTGGTATCCGTAAGAATTCTTTCGCCATTTTTGTCTACCAAGTAATGAGAGCACAAGATTGCTTGTTCTCGAGCGCTTGTCCAGTTCTTCCAGACTGCTCTACTCGTATTACCATGAGTACTGACATCGATCAATTCACTTAATTGGATTTCTGCACAATCACCAATACTGTAAACGTTAGGTATGGTCGACAAGGAATTTTCACGCATGGTCATGACTTGGAAATGCTCATTCACTACAATACCACCATTCTCTCCAATAGATGCATGGAGATATTTCTCAGCTAGTTCAGTTTCGCTTTTAACACCGACGGCCTGAATGACACATGAACATGGAATAACTTTCTTAATCATCTGTGCATCATTTGTGCTACTTTTAGAAACAATTGTAACTGAAGTAACCATTCCTTGCTTCTCTTCCGAATTTGTATCGGCATGAATACTTTCAATCTCGCTATTCAGCTCAATTTCAACATATTTCGAATATTTTTGTTTCACTAAATTGGTAAGCATTTCACATGCACGGTCATCTTTCAAGAGAGACTTTCCAATATGTTTACCTCTCGAAATGATTGTTATTTTTGGAAGAAGAGATGGCTGAGTAACATCCCAAAACGATGGCTGCGATGTTGTACTTGAGGTTTGTAATTGTTTCTCAATGGCCTCATATCCTTCAACAATATGACTCACAATATCTAAGGAAAGAGTACCGCTTCCAATCACAACAATTCGGTTATGTTCGGTGCTTGTTGGAGTATTTGCGGTAGTGTAGTAACTATATAATTGTCTCATAATGTTGTAGACTAATTCCACCTCCTCAACGTTTCTTACATAAATGTAATTTGAAATTCCTGGATGAATATGGTATTTCTTTGGTATGCTATCAATTTCGAGTTTTGGAAATGTTGAAGTAGATTCAGGGGAGAATGCTATTGGATACTCTACGACATGAGCTCTACCTCCCAAACACAAACACAAATCGTCATATTTCAACTCTATTTCCTTGTTATCGCCACCATTTCTTTTATATTTAATTGTCTTTTCGTTTGCATTTACGCTTGTAACCACACTATTCAAAATCACCTGATTGACATTATATTTTTGAATGAAATTTTTTGATGAATCATGTTCGGAACCACTCTTGTTGCTATCGGAATGAGTGAAATCACACAGATGAATTCCACCATAATAATCCAACAACTTTGAAGAGGGAGAGGCTTGTAGAAATTTAAATCGGAAAAATAAATTAGGTCTACTACAGAAATCTTCATTGCTGATGAGTGTAATGTAAAGCGCCGAAGAAGGATACTTTGAGGATTCAGTAGTACTATTCAATTTTTTGTTTTCATATTCACGAATGGATTGAACAAGACTAATTCCTGCATATCCTCCTCCTACAATGATGACATGTTTTTGGTTTGGTAATTGTTCAGATTCCAAGGAGCATGAAAGCATTGGTTGTTGTGTCGCCATTTTTTTGAAATGCAATCGACATCCTCTTGTGCATCATCGTGCGAGAATTACAATTTTCAATTTAATGGAAGACTGAGAGAATGCAATTTAGAAATTCCACTCATCCTTTCGAATGCAACTTGATGATGCAAAGCGTCGTTTGCAATTCAACTTTGGTGAACATTAAAAAATTGAAAACATGATTGATGGAACAGCTGGCTCTGAAACTGTCTTGTGCACACAAGTCTCCTCAAATAATACCACAGAACAACACGACGACGAACAAAATCTCTTTCCGACCATTACAGACCTCTCTCAAATGATCGATGCCATAGGTTCTGACACCGATGATTTCAAATTTATGGAACAAGACAATTATTTATTTTACTGTTATGGGAGAGTGAAGAGTACAACATTTCCTCCACTCTTCACTCTGTCCAACGATCAGATTCAGATTTCGGAAGAAGAATTAAAAAGAAGGAAAATTAGAAGAGAAATCAGAGGATTGGCTTTTGAAAAATCGAGTGGAAAATTGGTGAGCAGATGTTTGCATAAATTCTTTAATTGTAAGTGAAGCATGAGCAATATAACTTGGAAATTTATGGTTGAGCTCGACACGCTCCATGATGATGGACATGAACATGGTCACATCATCGGCATTCATCTCCTCATTATTATCAATAATCATATTTTATGGACACACACACATTCAGTAGTGGATGAAAATGAAGAGTCCTCCATTCAAACTCTAGAATCTCGATTCAACACTCATACGAAATCGATCAACTTGTTAGACATTTTCCTGGTATTGGAAAAACTAGATGGCTCTATGGTCATGCCCATTCGTGTCCACAATAATCATATTGTATTCAGAACCAAAAGAGGATATTTCAACAATGTGACCAATGAAGCAGATTTATTTGTTCACAACACTCAATTTCATCATCATCATCATTCAGGCGATACAGCACCTGAAAAAAGAATGCAATATTTGGAGTTTTGTGAATATACCATGAAACAGGGACTCACTCCCATCTTTGAATTCTACTCGAAACAAAACATGGTGGTAGTCGAATACTCCGAGACATTTCTCACATTAATTGCCATTCGTTCCACCTCTCATGGGACATACATGCCTTACGAGGAAATGTGTGAATTGTGTGAAAAATTTAATGTTCCTTATGTGACGTGTATTTTCAGTTCAAAGAGTAATAATAACACTCGAGTTAGAAGAAGCAACAATTGTACAATGGACAGCACTGACTCTTCACCACCATTCAACACACCACTGATCATTCACACTTTTGAAGAATTAAAAAACAAAGTCAATGAATTGCGAGGTATTGAGGGAGTGGTATTGAGACACAAGAAGACTGGAGAAATGTTCAAACTCAAAACTAAATGGTATTCTGAACTTCACAAAAAGAAACAGCTCATTACCGATTCGAATCCATCTCCTTCTCATGTTTGGAAATTAGTATTGGACGAGAGTGTGGATGATTTTCTTCCATTCTTAAATACTGAGAAAGAAAAACAAGAATTGAGACGATTCAATGATCAAGTATGGAATGCCATTGATGAATGTGCGGAGAATGCCCTAAAAGTCGTGCAAGAGGCAATGAATCATTCTCACTGCGAGTTGAATGGTGCTGTTGATGTTGCTGCTTCTTCGATCCGTGCCATGAGTTCCCATTCGTCATCATCTCAACAAGAAACTCAACCATCATCATCACCATTGCCTACATTCAGAGCGAAGGAAATTTCTCAATACATTACCGATCATACCAATCATAATATCATATTTCGTAAAATTGTATTTAAGGTGAAGGGAGAGCTTGATAAGAGGAAACTTCAACAATCGATGGATTTCAAGCAATCATTGAAAGAGATACATGCATGTACGAACACTAACAAAGGAATTATGAGCATTATGACACCCCAAGAAGTTGTCAAATACTTTATCATGCAATACATTTTCAAAGACTTGGAGTTAGTGAAGGAGTGTTTGAATCGACCACATTTGGTATATAATAATTATAGAGTAATTTGAGAGTAGTGGAATAATTGCGCTCGTCGAATAAATTATTATTGTATTCTTCTTCTTTTGGCCTTCACACTAGTATCGAGTAACTTTATATTCATTCAAAGAATCGAATTGTCAAAGTTCTGAACCTTAATTGCCAAATGCTTCCTTGATTCTACCAAAACCACAAACCTCCCTTCATACAAACTGAAGTTTTCAGAGTTTTATTAAATTTGTAAATCATCGGGACATTAACAAACACAACGTTTGCGTTCAAGGACATTCATATATTAGTCAATCATCTCCTTGTTCAGGCATGTTCATATTATCCGCCATGTTACGTTCAAGGGACTTTGCCTGACAAAGGTTTTAGATTGCTTTAACATTAATCAATCAATTGTTCCATCCAGCCAGGAAATGTTGTTGTTGTAAGAGACGTTGCTAAACAAATGAGGTTATTTTCTCAATGAATTCATTGAACAATTTTCACTCAATTTACTTTTTTTACTCCTTTTGGTTGATTCAAATTTCGAATTGATATTATAAGAATTTAAATATATTATGTGACAAGTTCAATGAATGCATCCAATCCAAAACCATACCATCAAATGGAAACAAAAGGATGGGCAAAGTAACTCTCATACATGATTTAGAATCAGTGAATGGAATGGTGAGTTTTAAACCAGAGATATCCCTTCATACAGATTGTAGTCTAAAACTCGACTCAATATTTGTCTATCAATGCCATTCAAAGAGCATTTCAAATAAATACATCATCTCCTTGTTCGTACTAATCGCGGGGAACTAGTGCGGGGAACTGAGGCATTTCTATTTAACCGAAACTTTCAAAAAGCTCCATTTCGAAATCAAAGCGATGTTCAAAACACTTGCAACAATACCAACAAAAAATGTCTCAAGATTTCATTTTCGTGGTCGAGAAGACTGTCTGGCAAAACAAAAAAGAGGTCGTGAAGAGTGAAATTCAATGCTCAGACTCTGTCTTTCACGAACTTTTCAATGTTCCCTATCCAGTAGATCCAGCAGCTGGACATGTGATTGGGGTCGATGTGGATGGCAAGAGTTTGGATCTTTGTTGGCAATATGAAGTAACAAAATCCATTTCCAAGTCCGTATGTCCAGTGACTGATGGAACTTGGGATTTGTTTAAATTATTCGCGAGAAAAGGTTTTCGATTGTTGCAGCAACGAAATTATGAGAAAGTGGAAGGTGATTCTCCTCTCAAAGGAAAAAAAGTTGGTGGAGAGAGTTTTTGTAAGGGATGCAACCAAATAAATGATGTGCATCCTATGTGGAAAGAATACTTTCCATAATCTGTTGAGGTTATTATTATTACTTGCAGGTGGGGCCACTGCTCTGGTAATTTTTGTCCAGATCAATATTTGTACCAGAAATTAATTACTTGAACATGTAGTTAGGCAATGTGGAAACCACTTCCTTGTCTGAAAGAATTTTGCTATTCTTAAAGGCAATTAGCGATCCTTTTAAGTTTGTTTTCGCTTGCACATGCTTTCTTAAATGATATTCGTGTGATTGTTTTCTGTTAAACAGTTTGTTCATAATGTCAATCATAGCCACAACATCTGCTTTAGCAGTATGCTGATTTTCAATTGGCTTGTGGAAGAGGTTTTCGTATAATATTCCAAGCTTGGTATTATCTGTGTTGATATTTTTCTTTTTCAATCTCTCCTTAAAGATTGATATAGAATCCAAAAATATTAGTTCTCTTAAATCATCAGTGAATCCAAAATGTCTGTCTTGGGTTTTGTAAAACTTGTATGCTTGTAAAAATGTTGTTCTATCAAATACAGCGTTGTGAGCAACAATAATACACTTCTCTGGAATGAAGTTGCAAATTTGTTGCATGGCCAGCTTTTCAGCACACCCTTTTTTGGCTTTAGCATTTGTAATTCCTGTTATTATTAATTCCTGTTTCTTCTGTAATAGGTATCCGAGGGCAGATATATTTCGCGAATGAAAGACTTTTTTGTGTAGTTAAATTTTGAATGTAGCAATCGGTAATTCCACGATTTTCTCCTAATCCTGTTGTTTCAAAATCTAAAAGAAGCACTTGGTAATTGTCGAATGATCTGCCAGGCTTTAAGCATTTCTTAAATTTGTGTTGTCTGCATGTTCCATTATTTTCTTTCAAGCAGCATTGTCTGCATAATCTGTTACATGTTGCTCTTGCGGAAGTTTGTTTTTTTCCGCATTTTGTACAAGGAATTGATGGCTGTACTTTTTTTCGTTGAGTCGTGTTAGTCTTTTCTGTTGATTCAACAGTTTCAATTAGGTCTTGTGAGAAATTCAATTGACTCTTTTTCTCTGATATCCCTAATTGATTTCATTTCCTCTTGTTCTGCTCTCATATTAATTATAAACTTGGTACAACGTTCCTTTCTCTGGAGTTGTTGACGGATTGCATTTGTTAAATAGGTAGAACTAACTACGCATCTCAATAAAATATTTCCTTTCTTGCCATCAATACTATGATCTTTTTTTTAAATGTGTTTTCATATTACCTTCATATGAGTATATTTTTGCGCATATGGGGCACGCAAGACATTCGTTTGTTCGTTGGACAACATCACTATCTTTTCTTAAGGGTATTGATGTTAATTTTTCGTTCAACTTAGCTAAGCATTCCGTAACTAGTAATTTCATTTGTTTTACAAATTTAATCTTCTGCAATTTGTTGTCGGGCTTTAGTGGTAAGCTTTGAAATGTTATTTGCATTCTGTTGTAATGATACATCAAATTCTGGAAGAGAAAATCTACGAACCTCATCCGTTAGATGAAATATATTTCGTATTTCAATTGACTTTCGTAATTGCTGACATAACTCCATGCAATTTAAGTTTGGTATTTTATGACGCAAAATACTGAATATAAGTTCAAGACCATTGCTTGAGATGACTGATGGTTGAAATATTATATCCATAAATTCCTCTAATAATGTTGAAAATTCATCATCATCAAAACAAATATCAATTAATTCATCAATAGCTGGTAGTCCAGTTTCGATATCTGATAAAATATTAGAAATGTGAAGCCACATTCTCAATATTGAAGTAATTCCTTCTTTTGTTTGATCTGAAACTATTACAGATTTAGAGAAATATTGAACAACATTTTGCATTAAACTCATTTTCTCAAACACAGAATATTGGTCATCAATACATATTTGGTAAAATTGTTGCATGTTATACAAATAATCGTAAAGCTGTAAGTTCTCTAATCTTGTATTGTTTGGTTAAATATTCTTCAAGTTTTGATCCATCTAATTTAGAAATGGTTTCTTCTAATAGAGTATCGTCTTCATCTTCCATATTGTCATTCATTTGAGATTGTAATTCTTTACTATCACCCAATAAATAGCCGTTAAAAATTTCCATGATGGATGGAACTGGTCCATATTCTATTTGTTTAAAAAGCTTTTCTTTAAGTGCTCGTAACTCTGATAAAAGTTCTTCAGAAATGAGATGTAATACAGGATCCATTTTCATCTCATCCTGCACTACTACATCTTGTTTTTTTAGTAATTTGAAAATATATTCATGTCTCAAACTGATATATATAAGTGATGTCATAGAGAGCGTGCTTTTGTTATCTATCAATGGATTTCTTATTCTTTTTAAAATATGTAAATAATCCTCGCAATGAACAAATGAACAAAAGTATAAATTTGTCATGTTTTGCAAGTATTTTCATAATTATAGACACACTATCATTTGTATACAAATTCCCATAGACAACACCTTGATTCCACTTTTTTAGTGTGCTTATTGAAGGAGCATAAATATTAAATCCAATATCTGAATTCCCACGCATGAGTTGAATCAACTTCTCGGACCCATAGTATCTACCTAATTTCCAAAAATACTTAATTGGATCAGGTATTGCATAAGGACGATTTGGATTTAACGTTCGTAAAATTTCGTCCTTCAATCTTAGTAGGTTAAAAGGAAGTTTTTGACTCTCTTCATAAATTTCAAGCATTTTCAATAGTGATTCTAACAACTCGATTTGGTTGGATGGAATTTTTGTCATATGTTTCTGGCATAATTCTAATCTTTTCTGGATAATTTTTGGGTATTGACTGTAGCGAGAAATATCTATATTTTCTTCCACATGAAATCGTGATTGCCATTTACGTAACCTTCCTTGCAGCCTCTCACAATTTTGGCATCGCACTTTCTTTGAATCCAAATCTTTACTACACTCAGTGGAGAAAATAACTTCATTGCGAATGTGTCCTATGACTATTTTTCCTGATTTGTCGTATATTTTGTTATCAGTGTTAATGAAATCATCATATTTGTTGGGAAATCCTTCGCAGAGCTTTGCAAACGTTGATCGGGTAGGTTGACCTTGATTCATATTATGTGTTGACTTCTTTTTCTTCACGGAACGTTGATCGCTTTCCAATGCTTTAGAAATTATTATTATTGTATTTGTATTATTATATTTATTAATTGTTAGTATGAACTTAAATTTATGATAAAAACACTTACAATCACCATCACGAGGATGGTCTTTTTCAGCATTATGAGAATGGTTGCAATCAGAGCAACAGTAAATATTGCAATTGAATTCCTTTTGTGAATTTGGTTCTGTTGACTCGGAACTTTGTGTGTTGATCTTTTCTATTGATGAGGATATATTCAAAAGCCTACAAGGTTCACACCACTTGTTGCGTTTCTGCTTTACCATCCTTTTCTTTCTAAATTGTTTAGGAGCAATGGAGTACCTGACTTTTGTGTCTCGCGATCCACAACAACAACAGAACAACATTTTTTTGTTTATTTAAATGTTCACTTGGTTATGCCTGCAAAACAACAATACAGGTAGGAGGCTTTCGTTCTCCTCTAGGTAAAGTTGCGCACAAATGATTTTTCTAATATATTGACACACGCTTGCGATATATTGAATGGTAAAACAAAGAAGTTCTGAATCCATTGGGGAAAAAAGGAAGACTGTAAGTCTAAACTCACAATTTTTTCTTAAGAGCATTTTGTTAAAGAAAAATCTACGCCTCAAAAGACAATGTCCGAGGTTGATTACTTGCGTGGTATCTTTGTAATTCAATGAAGATAAAAACAGTATCATAACAAAAACATTATCTTGTCAACGACCATCATATCGTGTGAGGTGTTTCTTAATTTTGAAAAGAGATGATCCAGATACATGGTGTGTTTGATTGCCAACTTCTGTTCTTGTGAGATCTTGTTTGAGAGAGACATGTTGATGAGGTAAGGAGCAGGATTATTTTGGTGAAGGTTTTGATTTGAAAGCAATCCAATACATCTTTCAACTGTAGTCAGTCCGATGATGTGTTTTATTAAAGCAAATGATCTCGAGTTAAAGGAATCTCATTGGCATCTCTCATCATGATGTCTTGACATTAGAGAAGTCACAAGTACTCCATTTACAGTTGGCTGAATATGCGTGGCTACTCAAAAGGACGAGAAATGACAGCACTTTCTATTCTGCGAGACTGCTTTCCTTTTGTCTCTTATAATCGATAACATAAGGCTTGGCGAAAACCATTTTCAAATCTGGTTAGGACTTGTTTTAAAAAGTCCATCGCCAGTCAATGTCACGTTCACAAGAAAAATTTTTCAGAAAAAACAAACCGACGGTTGAACCTCGAACGAAAGTCTCTCTCTTCGATCACCAAGAAAATAACAACAAGAACAACACTCAGTGTGAGACTCTCTCAAATCGTCTAACAACAACAACAACAACAGGTTTCTCTCCAACAATTAAGTGCTAGACAACCACACTGCTGCTGCACTGAATCTATTTTCATTGATTTCTTCTTCATCATATATATATAGGATGACTCATCACCTCGAACAACATTCCAACCATTCCAATTCAGCTGGTGGCAGTTGTTGTAGTGATTTATTCAACCTCACGGAGCCACCCACACTCATCATTCGACCCACCAGCAAGGCATCTCCAAAACAATTGTCGAGTGTTCATGTTCCCAACAACAACAACAACAACAACAACAACAACAGCTCGACCACACTTTCCACCTCATCGCCCAACCCGTTATTGGAGGAATTGAATGGACTCGTGAATGAATTGAATAAACATCATCATCATCAGGACGAAGATGACTTGTTGCAACTTCAACAGTTGAACAACATGACACCCGCAACAGCCACCACTCCAACCACAGCTCTCTTGAATCAACTCAGCTCTTTTATGAATGCCACTACTCATGGAAGTCATCCTACGAATGAAGATGGTGGTGATGATCATTCTCCTACCATTACTACTACAGCAGAAACAACAACAAGGACGACTGCGAATTCTACTACCACCACCACTCCGACGACCACTTTCAACGCTGAAAGCACGAATTTACTGTTTCTCTCCACCCCATCATTCACCCCATCATTCACCCCAACATTCACTCCAAGTACTCCTTCAGGTGGATTTGGATTGGGTTCGAATAACAATGATATTGTTCCTAACACAAATATGTCTCATCATCACCAACATCATCATCATTTATTTGACAAACAAGTGGATCGAATCAAAACAAGTTCGAGTTTCTCCCTATTCTTGACCAGTGTCAATACACCCACAAGTGTGAGTGGATTATTGACCTCCTCTCCAGATGATTTCTTTACAAACCATTCGTCCACAAATAACGGAAATGTCATTCCTTGGTTGCAACACGATCACTCCTCACAAGCTGCAACAGCAATCTCACATCCTGAGGATGATGTATTTGAATGTGAGACTCAAGCTCCCTATCAAGTCATTCAAAATAACATGCAAATGGTCGAGTCATTGACTGAAATGTCAGCACTCTCATCATCATCGCTACAAAACGCGAATCTAATGATGCAACATGGTAGCAATATTGGAATGACTACTGCTTCGAATCCTCTCATCCTTTCAAGTGGCAGTGTCATTTCCACTCCACAACAAGCTTATACGACTTCTATGTCCACCACCACCATCTTCAATCCATCCATGACATGTTGTTCCCATCCCATGATGATTTCCACGACCACTGCTTCAACAAACAGTGCAAGTTCCAACAACAACACCAATGGTGCTTCCATTCTGGGAGTGTTATTAAGTGCCAAAAAGACGAGTCCACCAAATCCAATGGTTGCACCATCGTCGACACTACTCCATCATGTGCCAGCTTCTGCCAATATCATGATGGCAGCATCCTCCATGGCGCTCAATAATAACAATACAAGTACTACTACTTCTCCTCCTCAACAAACAAATGCCACTATGATGGCTTCTGTATTGATGAATCAGCAACTCTCACCACGAGGAGGTGCCATTCCTTCCACCAATAGTAATAGTACTTGTGGTTTGCAACAACAACAACAAGTGATGGGATCATCTTCTCCATCACATCTTATGCCATCAACAACACAACAATTTCATGTCTTACCTCCTTCTACCTCAACTGCTTCGAATCTTGTTTCCACCACTCCTCATGTGCATTCTTCAACCCCTGCTGCCAATAAGAAGAATTCATCACATCATTCGAACATGGATACTCTCTCCACAAATACCTCTAGTGCTCAATCATCGACTACCACTAAGGGATTCTTCAACACCAAACTCAATCCAGCAAACTTTTATTATGGAACAGCTGGATTTTTAAAATTCCACGATTATTCGAAGAAAATCACAAAAAAGTCGAACAGAATTCAAAAATCGAACAAGATGAAAAACACCCTTTCTACCAATAATAGTGCAGTTCAAGGAGCCAATGTTCCAATCGAGCAAGGCGAAAACACTAATTCCATGATGATGTGAAAATTCAATAAGATAATGTAAATACGAATTTATAATTTTGGTTACACAAAGTTGCTGACACATTGAGAGAATTCGAAGCTGGATGGAGTGTTACATGGTCAAAATTTTCTTGTATTTGTAATTGAGTACAAATACATTTGGTATTTCTCATATTTGAGAATGCACACACGATCAGAACATGTTCAGAGAAAATAATAACATGTTCAACTGTTGATTCAAATTCTGAGAATTATCATGCATATACACTCTGTATGTATAGTTTCATAAAGTATCATACACTTATAAAAAAGGAACAATTTAACTGTCAAACTGAAATTCCAATTCTTCTTGTTGCCTTGAATTCAAAAGCGAGAGTGAATGAATCCATTGATTGCAGATGGATGTCGCGTTCGGTGCCTTTGTTGAATTGAAAACCTTTTTGTCGAATGAAAGAATAAAAAAAAATGTTTCTAAAAGGACGAGCTGGACAACAAGACAATGGTGGCTCTTCACAAAGTAGCAGTATCATTACGGATGCTCTTCCATCAAGCGAAACAACAACAACATCATCATCATCATCGGCAAATAAATCTGAAGCAGCTTCCCTTCATGACCTTCTCTATGGAAATCCAAGTAAAATAACGGAACCTATAAAACAAGTGGAAGATAAGTGGAGGCTGTTACCTGCCTTCATGAAAGTAAAAGGCTTGTTCAGGCAACATATTGATTCCTTCAACTATTTTATCAATGTGGATATTAAAAAGATAGTACAGGCCAATAATATGATAACACCCGATACCGATGATAGGTTCTATATTAAATATAATGATATTTATATTGCCAAGCCTAGGTTAGATGAGGTTACAGATTCAATAGAGTTAACTCCTCAGTTGTGTAGACTGAGAGATTTAACCTATGATGCCGATATCATTGTTAATATTGAATATCCGCAAGTTGTTGGGAATGAAGTTTTAATTAAATCGGAAGAGTTACCCATCGGAAGAATGCCAATTATGCTTCAATGTGATAGATGTGTTCTATGTGGAAAAGACGAAAAAGAATTGGCCAAATTGGGAGAATGTCCACTGGATCCTGGTGGCTATTTTATTGTGAAGGGAGTAGAAAAAGTTTGTCTCATTCAGGAACAATTATCAAAGAACAGAATTATTATCGATTTGGATAAAGACAAACAAGTAATGGCCTCTGTTACCGGATCTACCCATTACAGAAAATCAAAAACTAATATTATCATCAAGCACGAGCGATTTTATTTGGACCATAACAGCTTCACAAAAGATGTCCCAGTAATTATTGCACTGAAAGCAATGGGAGTGGAAAGCGACCAAGAAATTATTCAACTTGTTGGAAGCGACAGAAAATATGTTGATGCGTTGGGCCCCTCATTTGAGGAATGTATTAGAGAGGGAGTTTTTTCTGCGGATCAAGCTGTGGAATGGATGTCTCGATATTTGAAACCTTCAGACTTTAGAAAAAACAAGTCCAAGACAGAAGAAACAAGAGAGATTTTATCAAATATTATTTTGTGTCACATTCCAGTTTACAAATTCAATTTTAAAATGAAAATTGTATATTTTGCAATCATGCTCAAGAGAATGATCGATGCAATTCATGATGCTAGCAATATCGACGATAAGGATTACTACGGTAACAAGAGATTGGAAATGGCAGGTCAATTACTATCTCTCTTATTTGAAGATTTATTTAAAAAGTTTAATGACGAAATTAAAAAGACATTAGAAAAGAAAACTGGAAGAAGAGGAAGAAGAGCAGTGTCAACACCTCATGAGGATATTGCATCAATTTTCAGTACAAATAGTAATAAGATTACGGAAGGTCTCAAAAATTCTATCTCCTCAGGTAACTGGAACGTGCAAAGATTCAAGATGGAACGTGCGGGTGTCACACATGTTTTGAGTCGTCTCTCGTTTATTGCTGCACTTGGTATGATGACAAGAATCAGTTCTCAATTTGAAAAGACAAGAAAGGTTTCAGGTCCGCGAGCTTTACAACCTTCACAGTGGGGATTGTTGTGTCCAAGTGATACTCCTGAAGGTGAAGGATGTGGTCTGGTGAAAAATTTGGCTCTTCTCACTCACGTTACTACTGATGACGAAGAAGAACCTATCATCCGATTGGCTTATAATTTAGGAGTTGAAGATATTAATTTAATCAGTGGAGAAGAATTGAATCATCCAAGTAGTTATGTCGTTATTCTGAACGGTCTCATTCTAGGTATTCACAGATTCCCATCTCAGTTCACCAAATTATTTAGAATGCTGAGAAGAGCAGGTAAAATTCACGAGTTCGTTTCCATTTTCAAGAATGATCTTCACAAATCAATTTATATTGCAAGCGATGGAGGTAGAGTGTGTCGACCACTAATTATTGTTGAAAATTGCAAGCTTAAAGTCACTCAGAAACATCTCAATGAATTGGCAGAAGGCATTCGTACTTGGGATGACTTTTTGAAAGAAGGTCTCATTGAATATCTCGATGTGAATGAAGAGAACAACTCAAATATTGTGTTCAGAGAAGAAGACATCAAACCAGAGACGACTCACTTTGAAATTGAACCATTCACAATTTTGGGAGTTTGTGCAGGCTTAGTTCCATATCCTCATCACAATCAATCTCCGCGTAATACTTATCAATGTGCGATGGGTAAACAAGCCATGGGTGCCATTGCATACAATCAATTCAATCGTTTAGATACACTTCTACTCTTACTCGTTTATCCTCAAAAACCCATGGTCAAGTCTCGTACGATTGAATTGATTCAATTCGAAAAGCTGAATGGAGGTCAAAATGCAACCATTGCTGTCATGTCTTACAGCGGTTATGATATTGAAGATGCTGTGGTTGTGAACAAGGCATCCATCGACAGAGGTTATGGACGTTGTATCTACCTGAAAAAGTATGTCACTGAGCTGAAGAAGCATCCCAATGGAGCTGAAGATGTCTTACAACCTCCACCACTTCAAGCCATTGTGAGTACTGCTGCAAGTAGTACTGCAGAGAGTGCTCTCGATCCAAAACGATTGAAATCCTATCAGAGACTGGATGCTGATGGATTGAGTGCTGTCGGTGAGAGAATTTATCCTGGTGACATGTATGTGAATCGATTTATTGTTGCGACACAGAACAATCAAGATATTCTTGGATCAATGGTCAACAACAATCAACAACAACAGCAACAAATTCAACAACAGTACAAACCTTCTCCATCCTTCTATAAGGGACCATGTAGTGTCTATGTTGATCAAGTACTCATCACTCCAAATCATGATCGAGGAGGTTATTATGTTAAATATTTATTAAGACAAACACGTAGAGCTGAATTGGGAGATAAATTCTCATCTCGTCACGGTCAGAAGGGAGTCTGTGGTATCATTGTGGATCAACAAGACATGCCATTCAATGATCAAGGAATATGCCCTGACATGATTATGAATCCTCATGGTTTCCCATCTCGTATGACTGTTGGTAAAATGATTGAATTAATTTGTGGTAAGGCAGGTGTTCTCGATGGAAGACAAGGTTATGGAACTGCATTTGGAGGTGATCGAGTGGAAGACATTGGTAAAACTCTCATTCGACATGGTTTTTCATATTGCGGGAAGGATATGCTCACGAGTGGTATCACTGGAGAGACCATGGCATGTTACATTTATTTTGGTCCAGTTTATTACCAGAGATTGAAGCACATGGTCTTGGACAAGATGCATGCTCGTTCCAAAGGACCTGTCAGAATTTTGACAAGACAACCATTGGAAGGTAGATCTAAAGAAGGTGGTTTGAGATTAGGAGAAATGGAGAGAGATTGTTTGATTGGCTATGGAGCAAGTGCTCTTTTATTGGAACGTTTAATGTTGTCAAGCGATGAATATAAGGTACATGTTTGTGAAGGTTGTGGCATGATTGGTTATATGGGTTATTGCAATTATTGTAAATCAAAGCAAAACATGTCTCTATTACCAATGCCTTACGCCTTCAAGTTGCTCATTCAAGAATTGCAAGCAATGAACATTTCACCAAAACTCAAATTAGCACCTTTTGAAAAGTAATAAATTATTTTATGAATTAATGAATGGTTAAATGAGTGATTTTCGATTTTTCATGAGAATTTGAATTTGAAAAAACGAAAAAACAAATTTCACCAAAAAATGTCTCCATCAACAGCTGCATCCTCACTTTCGGAACAGGAAATTCGGAAAGAAATCGAAAGTATCACATTACCAAGCTATTTTCCAACGTATAAACAACAGGTAATTTATTAATTTTAATTTTGAATATTATAGAAGTAAAACCTCAACTTCGGAACAACAACATTCACTCTTCAGTGTAAAGAGGTTGCTGAAAACTTCTTTAATTGTTTTTCCTCTAGATCGATCAAAACGCAAAAGGGAGATCGATTGGCTGGAGTGAACGGCTTGAGACAATGTTCTCAAGAGCTTTCAAAATATAGAGAATGCATGGAACAACCATAACACAAAAATCATTGTTGAAATATTTTACTTGAAAATTAATTGGTTACAGGAGTAAAGAAGCACGATTTCGAATATGTTGACTTTAAACATCTTCCAACTCTATATTTTCTGCTTTTCTGATTTTGCTAAATCGTCGAGGAGTAGAAAAAGATCTAACTTTGGCTAGTCTTGCTTCTTTTAGCGCTGCCTCGTCTTGTGTGAAATGCTGAGCCTGACCTACTGATGCTTTTTTGTCATACCATTGCGTTCTAAAAACAATATACATGATTATGAACGAGTACCCATCAAACAAAAACAGTAAGGCCAGTAGTGCAAACAAAAACCAAAAGTTAGCCAAAAATCCTGAAATGTCCTGACAAACCAAATTGCGTCCGTGTTTGTAATAAGAATTGATGCGAGCACATGAAAGAATGGTTGCAATTGGTCTGACTTGGTCAAATACATTGTCAACAGTTGTCTGCAACGAAGTTGTGATAAAACTCACAAACTGATCCCTCACAACCAAGGAACCTAAAAACTTCTTGAGATAGTTCATTGCAAAGCTTGGCAAGGCTTGAGCCACAGACTCTACTTGAGTTAAAGTGATATTCATTACGTCACTGTCGCATTGTGACTGCATATATGATTTGATGGTAGTGGATGGAATGATGGAAATATTGAACTTGAATCCCATGAATTCTTGCGAAAAGGCTATCGATCCGTTCATTGAACTTCCACCATATTGATGCAAAGCAAGAAAAGCATACTCCTCAACTCTGTCGCAAGTGTCCACGAGTGCAATGTTTAATGGAAGCAACAATGCAACAGCAACGCATGCCAACAAAACGAATATACTCATAATCATTGTAACGACCAACAACACAGAAGGACACTTTGGGAAGCACACAGGAAATACAGCAAGCCAAGGAATAAACAAAATAAGAGAAATGAATATTACCACCGCTAACAGTCGATATCCGTCAGCTGCAAACAGGTCAGGAAGGAAGATGTCGTTGAGCTGATGATTTGCTTCATCCACATACCATGAATAGCTTGCAATGTTCAGCCCATTCACCATGCTCTTGATCGTGGAAAACATGGAAGCAAAGTTGAGAGCGCTGTCAATGGTTGACGTATTTAACGAGTTCAAATAAGAAGAAACATCCATGTTGTTGAGATGGCTAAATGTTGGGCTCATTGACGAAATCTGTGAGGAGAGACTGGACAAATCCAGTGAGTTTAAGCTTTTTTGTAAAGAATCAAGTGAATCAACAATGGATTGGAATGGTATGGTGTTGGTAACTTGGTGAAGTGAAGGAATAAAGTCATTTGACAACGAGTTTCTTGCTTGGCTAAATTTGAATGAATTTTTCAAAGCTCTCATTTGGACAATGATTGACTTGATGGGACTCAACGAGGAGAGTGTGGAGGAAATTAAAGTTTGGGCAGACGTGAGAGAGCTGATTGCACTCGAAAGGGATGGCATTCCAATGAGCGCATTTTGTAAATTTGAAACTAGTGTTGCAAGAGAAGGCATTACACTACTTAAACCTGTACAGGCTGGATCAGAGCTTCCAGCACATGTTGATGGTGCAGTCTGTAGAGTCGAAATAATCTGCCCCACCTCATTTAAATCAAATACATTGATCGAGTTGTCGAGAGGGGATAAATTGTGAGAGAGAGCTGAGAAATCAGACAGACTATTCCTAGCCGAGTCAAAATTTGAGTACAAAGCAAGCAAGTCACGAAGGTTTAAAGAGGTATTCAGTGTCCTAAATGTTTTAAGTGGAATGAGGGACCACAAGTCGGTAATGTTTACGGAGGGTCCGTAATCAAGCTTTGAGTCATAAAATTGGTTCACTTGTTGAGTGACGTTCGGAAGCGACGCCTTGATGGTGTTTTTCAAGTCCCTAAATAAGGATGAAAGTGCCCCGTTAGCTTTTGAAATGATCCCATCCTTAACGCTTCTATACTTGGCTTGAATGTCTGCTAGTGGCACCTCTACAATCGTTGCATTAATTACTGAGAGGTCTGTTAATATTGAGTCAATACAATTGGTACCATTAAACAGTGTGACAAATGAATTGATAATGTCCATTGTGTCGATAATGTTTTGCAAAGAAGGAATGTCAGCAATGGTTTGGTTGAAATTGGTGACGCTTGTCTTGATGGATGTCAACGCATTAGGAATGGTTGTAAACAGAGCATCATCAAGCATATCAACTCGAACTATTGAATTGTTGAGAGGAGTTTCGAGTGCATTCAAAGAGTTCTCTAAATTATTAATTAGAGTAATGAGCGAATTTGAGGCAGTTACAGAGCTTAGAGAAGTATTTAGCGCGTTCAAATAACCAAGCGATTGATTGAAATTACTGGCCTTAATCCGTGTCAAAGATGTTGAAAGAGTTGAGAGCTGGGTGGCCAATGTTTGAGTAGCCACATTAGGGTCAGTGTTGTAATTTTGTAGGTTGTAGGCAAGGTTTGACAGAAAGGCATCTGTTAGCGTGTTCGCTCTTTCGTCTGAAACGATCTGCAAAGAATTCTTGATGGAATTAATATAGTTAATCTGCTGAAGAGTAGTTTGGGATGATGTGATCGAGGTAAGTAAAGGATCAAAATTAAAAAACGTGAGTGCTGACTCTGTGTTTGTGAGTTGATTGATCAGCTCTGGAATATCAATATTTGAAATGGAAAGAATAGAAGACTTTAAGCCGGAAATGGATGTCTTCAGGGGGGTGAGTGGCGTTTTAAGCTGAGTGCTAATATAACTATTAAGAGTATCTACGTTATGTGATGTTGTTGATAAATCAGGAACTTGGGATATCATATTGGATATGCAGTTGGACCATGACTGCTTTGTTACATCACTGGGAAGTTTGTTCAAAATGTTCTTTTTTAAGTTACCTATGCTTTGCTCGATTAGATCAATAATTGTCGGTAAATTTCCAGCAAATTTTAAAACATCCTGTGCCAAAGATTCCACCTCGTTGTACATCATCAAACCTTGATTAAACAATTGGCTAAACTGAATATTGGTCTGAAATGCAAATAAGAACCATACTCTGTTGAGAATGTTATGTGAATATTAAATGATGAACAACTGTGAAAGAACTTACAAAAGTGCCAAAATGTTAAATATCACTAAAACAAGTAAAAAAACTCTGCAACATGTCGTTACACGTTTTTTCTTATTGTGTGCAAAGGCCCACTTCGCATGATCCTTCATTCGCAACTCTCGATCTTTCTTGGAGGGTTTACAACAACACATGGAGCATGTGGCATAGCAACTCGTTACTCCCAAAAACAAAACTTGAACAATCAACAGAATGAGCAACGATATTCCGAGAGAGGCATAGTTTGCAATTCCAATGCCATAGTCTATTGTTTTTGAAAGCACTGAAGTGTCGTTGAATTGAAAAGAGACCAATTTAGAAGGAGCTTTGTGATTCGCAACGGTGGAGGTTGAATAGTCGTAAACAGACACTCTCTCAATGGAGCCGAGATTTCGAACAATGTTCTTTTCAATTCCAGGCCCCGTAACATTCAGGGCCGAAGAGAATAAGTCAATAGAGGATTTCATGATGGTATCACGAATATAGGTTTGCTCTGTTTTGAGGTAAATAGCGTCCGAACACAATACCAAGCTGCTACAAGAAGCAATAACAGCTACTAGGACTGTACATGTAATTATAGTGATATGAAAGAAAGAAATCCACCCTTCTGTTGATGAAGTTTTTGTTTGATAATTTCTCATTGTGCTTAATTCGCTCGCTACTAAGGTTTAAAATTAAATATCGGGAAGTGATGAGATGATTTGATTGTTTGAGAGGAGTGCAAGGACTTCTTATTTGAACAGTTTCCTCCAACCGAGTTAAACCAATGATTGAGGTGTTCTTGCGTTTGTATGTGGGTAGTGCTGGTAAGGCAGAGCACCGACCTTGATCATGCCTGCGCAGATGATTCAGCTGAATTTTTTGAATTGGAAGAAAGAAATGTCAGAAAAAGGAAAAGACCTCTTCACTAGAAAGGAATCTACGTTGTTCAAACGTTCTATTTCGTTGGTTCGTTAGGGTGATCATGTACCGAAACCCTTTTAAACTTTTACGACCAAAAGGTCGTTCGATCGAGTATTGATGAAGCGAATACCAATGAAATGTTTTTTCTCCAGCTGGCCAATCAAAAAAAATGTTGAGAAGAGGAATTTTGGATGCTTGGAACAATTACCACCATCATCATGGTGCTCTTACAATCCTCACAAACTCGTTCTCTCCGAGGTTCCATCTTTCAGAGCCATCCTCACTGCTGATGCCACCTAAAACAATGATTCATTCATCACATCGGACTCCTTCAGCAGCATGGTATCATCAAAGCTGTAGTCCATCCCAAAACACAAGGATCATCAACAAACAAAGCAACAATTCATCATCACCTAAAAAATCTACAACCAATACCACACAACACAATAGCAGCATCAACCCAGATGTCGCAATATCACATCCATCTCTACTTGCCCATCTTGAAATACTTTTTCAAGGAATGAGTTATATTGATATTCAACACATTCCTCCGACTGTCATCGATGAACAAGTTACAGCACGTCTCGAAAAAGCGTTACTCGATGAAACACAAACTCCAGAAAATAAGTTGGAAATATTTGAGTCACTCATTCGAGCCAATCAAGTTCAATATTTACCTCACCTACTTGATTTGACAATTAAAAACAACGTCTTTACAATCAGTTATGGAAGTTATGTGCGGGAATTAGTGTTAAAACTTGAAAGAAAAGGATCTTACATTACCAATCACCCTGAGGAGCACTCCAAAGAAATTTTAAACATATGTTCAAAGTGTATTGATCTAATCATTGCTACTAACTATAGTTTTGTGCAGGATAATAATGTAGATGCTTTTCTTTTTATTTTGACATTAAGAGTAAGAATGTTTAAACATTCGAAAGATTTTCCCAGCCTGAAAAAGTACTTTGAAAACCAGATGAAACCCTTGATGCATAAATTTATGACTCATCCAACATCCTTGTGCAAATTATACAACACCATTACGACAGTTCTTATTGAATTAGATCAACTGGATTATTTATTTGAAGAAATTTATGCTAACAACATGACAACACATTACAATTTACTGAAGAGAGGGAAAGGAATGTTGAAAGGCACACCTTTATTTGTGACGATCCATTCTTTGTTGAATCATCCCTCTCGTTCTGTGGCACTAAGCAACTTTGCAGCAAAACTTTCAATTCTTGCTGTAGAATTCTTTGATATGGCCAAAAGGGACACAAAAATTGACAACTCATTCATGCAAAGTTTGCATGGTACATTTATTGTTAGCTTTGCGGAACATTTCAACATCAATCGTCAATTCTTCCAACCATTACGCCATTATTTTTCACTCTATTTGAATTTTGTTTCATACTTTTGGAATTTTCATAGAGATGTGACCAATCCAGAATCATTTGGCTTTGTGTCCTCTAGATTTTTATTTTTATATGCTCGTCTCGCTCATGAATCTGCCTTTGATATTTCCAGTTCAAGAGAAGCAGAATATGTATATGAGCAATTGGTGACCAACAACATCCCTCTGACCGATGAGATGTATTCTTGCTTGTTTGTTATTTTTTCTCACACCAGAAACGAAAAGAAATGTGTTGAACTTTATGAAAATGCTCTTCTTACATGCAATTCAACAACCGCAAGATATCACATACACCAGGCATTAATCAATGCCTATTCTATAATGGGAGATTTTGAAAAAGCTTTTGCTCTTGCATCGACCATGAAGAACATAACAATAGGAACAGGAAATATTTTACTGAAAGCAATCACAATCATGTGTCTACCCAACTTGAAAAACAATTACACAGACGATTACATCCAAAGCTGTATTGAAAGAACATTACAACTATTGAACGAACAAAAAGTAGAATTCGATGGTATCACTATGAATACTTTAATTAATATTTATGGATCAACAAACAAATTGCCAACCATGCTCAAATATTTTCAACTTCTTGTGGATGGCTACAATGAAGGCAAATATGGTTTTTTGAATGCTATCACATTCACTACTATCATGAAACACTTGTGTGCCAATCAACAATTTGACTCTGCTTTGGACATGTTTAAAAAGATGAAAGAACTTTCAATTACTCCAACAACTGTTACCTATAAGGTGTTAATTGAGGGTATGATTTTGTCTGGTCAAGATTGCCTTCAATTCATCATGCAACACATGAAACAAGATGGTATCAATATGGAAGATCATTTAATTGGATCTATTGTGTTCTATTATTCCGCAAAAACAGAGGATGAAAAACAATTGATGGACGTATTAAAAGTGGTAGATAGACATCGAGATGAATACACACCAAAAGTATATGAACATTTAGTTCTCTTCTATGCTCGATTTCAGAATTGGAAAAAGGCAACTCGAGTAATTTTACAACTCTTGGACAAGGGAATTACACCAACAATTAGAACCTTTAGCCATCTTATTCAAAGAATGGCCGTATACATGGATGCATTTGATTTACTTCATATTCTTCACCCAAATGAGTCAGATTTAGCACAGTATGTGGCACAAAGAGAAGCAGGCGAGTTAGATGATTTAAGAGATGCTCTCTTTACTAAAGAGATGGATCATGGATGTGGACTTGCCATTTTGAAATCTGTGCTAGAAAAGGCGAATTTCCAACAGTTTCAAACCAAAGTGCAAATGCATTCAAGAAATCATTACATGAACAGACATTCTTGCGCTATTTTGTTTTATGCCCGTCAAAGAAATTTAGGCCTGCAGTCTTCCTATAACCTTGTGGAAATACTGATCGATTTGTTTGAGGATATGGATTGTATTATTTTTGAGCAAGCGTCGTTTTTGATGCTCTCACTCATGAAAGCAGAAGGTGGGTCTGCCAAAGTCCTTTCGATCTATGAAAAATTATGTCAAAGGAATACCAAGTTTGATGTGAGAAGCTTTAATGTGGTACTAGAATGCATATTGACAATGGAGGGTGAAAACGCTGTTTGGAATTTCTATGACGAAACCATCATGTCAAAAAAACGATTCGCAATCCTTCCAGATCTCAATACTTTGGAGTTGCTGATTCGTGCTGCTAGAAATGAGAACGATTTTGAAATGATACTGAAGAACTACAAACAAATGACAACCAATACCAGATATTTTGCAAATTCAAAGTCAGAATCAATACTTGATTTAAGAGAGGAAATGATTACTCGCATCAAGAATCAATTGGCTGCAAAAGAACAATCGCTGTACTTGTCAAACAATGTTCTCTACAGGATTAAGACAATGAAGGAACATTTAGATAAGGCAGAGATTTTCTTTATGGAACAACAACCAACAGCATAAATGGTGTTTTGATTTTGTGTGAAGAAACTAATTTCTATGAACTATTAATCTAAACTACTCTCTGAACTATTATAGCTGTGAACATATGCTATGGCAACACAACAACCATAGAAAGTAACGATAATATCAGGAATGAAAATTATAATAATTTAATTCTCAATGGAAAACCTAGAATTATGTTTTGCCAAAACCACACAATGATCAGGTGGTGATGGCCGTGGGGCTCCTCGTTGAAGTTTTCTATTGTCTTCATAATGCCCTTCATGAACTATTTTTGTTGAGTTGATGCTGAATCCTTGGACGTTAAGAAAAGCTGCTTTCTTGAAAGGTTCTTCAGTAGTAGGTCTTGCAGATAGTGTTTCCTTTTGCTTTTTGGTATATTTGGTGTTTAAAGCTGATTTTGGTCGGATTACACCCGTAGCTTCTGTCACCACATCCACATGCCGTGGAGTGGTGGAGTACCGAATTTGAGACATTGCTGACTGAGGTCGATTCTTGAAGGACATTTCGCTATTTTTCGAATAAGAGTTGTTTGGATTGAAAACAGTTCTTGAATTAACCGACCTTGGTACTCCTTGACGCCTAGAAAATTTTCGGAGCAAAGTTGAGTGTGATTTTCGAAGTTCTTCATGTTCAAAAGGAATGGATGGGTTGTCGTAATAGGAAGTGTCATGTCCAATCGAACTGTCCAGAATGAAAGAACGAGGTCTTGATGTCACATTGTTTTTTGGACTCTTAGCGGATGCAATCTCATGGATCGCTTCCATGTTTTTCTTAATAAAATCTGTTTTTTGTTTTTCACCTCTGTTGCTGGCAGATGATGAGGGCCTAGAACCTTCATAGTTATGAAGAACCGTATGTATCAGTGGTTGCTTGTTTTCTGAAAGCATTTGGTGCCATTGGTTGCTTATTGCTTGATTTGACTCGTCTTTTTTTACCATCTTGTCAAAGTTTTCATCATACAATTCGGACGAAGTTTTTGAACGAACATCCCCTCTTCCTCGTTTGAATAAGGGAGAGGATCCAGGTCGCTCAACAATTGGTGCTTTTTTAGCTATTGTATAAAAGTATGATTGTTGTTTTGGTTCCTTCTCGTCCTCATGACGAACCGACATGGAAGAATGAACACTTCTTCGAGAGGACCTCGAACTAACTGGTTCGCTCAATAAATCTGTGTCAATTCTGTTGGTTATATGAATGGAATCTTTGGAGTTTTCTGCGAGTAGGCGTGAGGATGCAACTTTCGGAACAGCAGAGGTGGGTCTAGTTGGGCTACGGATCGATTTAATCGATAGAATTTCATCTTGTTCCATATCTTCCAGGGCTCTTTTTGCCCTTCCAGTCGTGGAGAGAGCTGATTGAGGTCTCTTTAATGGATTCCTCTTCTCTTCCATAGCAAATCCATGATCAGAAATTCCCGAAACATTTAAATCAGAGAGGATTGAAGAGCGATTACTCGCAATGGATAGATTGGTCATTCAAAACTCGAATATCTGTTGGTTCAATAAGTATTAATACGTTAGTCAAAGATTATGAACAAGAGGGATCCTTTGAATTCCTTTCTATATGATCACTTGGTCCTTTGTTGAAATGATTCGGGCAAGAAACAGGGCGGGCTGATATTTACAATTTTTTTTAACGGAAATAAACGACCGAGAGAGATGTCGTTGCAAAGAATTTAAATTTTGTTTATTGCCATCTATTGGGAGATGATGTGAACTTTTGAACTTTTGTTGACCTTTGAACATTTATTTGCGAGTTAGTGACAAGATGAATCATTTGAGTATAGTTTTTTTGTTTTGAATCCTCCTCCACGCAATCTCAAAACAAGGTGAATGGTCGAGTTTTTGTTAATTGTAATCAGAAACACTTCTTCCATCCTCTAATTGTTTTCCAGCATAGATTAAACGTTGTTGATCTGCTGGAATACCCTCTTTGTCTGCAATCTTGCGCTTTACGTTGTCTATCCAGTCGTCATCCAATGCGATGGTTCTTCCAGTGAGAGTCTTGACAAATAGTTGCATTTTCATTTGTTTTTTGGTTGTTGTTCAGATTGTTGCAATTGTAAGGACTTTAGGCTTCTAGAGTTTTCACACTAAAAATAACATTGGAACAAGTAGTTCAGATATTATATTTTCCAATAATTATCAATTACAATTCGCACAATGTTTGCAAGGCATAGCCACTGGATCTGTGTGTGATATATTATTTGAGAGAATTGAAAAAGTGGCTGCGAATAAGAATGGAATTCTTTTTGAAATTCTCAGAAATAAGCACTTGGATGCAGTTACTACTTACATATTTCAGGACATACCTCCCTCCAAGCTTAATCCTACCATCCTTGAGAAATATTTGACAACGTACAACCCTATTATGAATGACGCACATTTGATTTTATTCTTTTCTAGAATATTTTGTGTACATCCGTCGACTTGTGTTCTTTTTAAAGATTATGTTAGAGAACCTGGAAATTTTAGAAACTATGGTCATACAGATCTGAATGAGAATGGAAAATATTACAGAAAACAATTCATGCTTCAATTAATTAGGGAATGTTTTGAAAATTTTAACTTTGAGGCTGCAAGATTGGCAAAAAATCTTTACACTCAACTTTGCAACAAGGAAAATTCTTGGAAAGATTATGTCGATGCTTTGGATTGTGTAGTTTTTGCGATGGATGGAATATGTTACTCAAGCAATACTCTCGAGATTAATGATTATTCCAAAGCAATCATTGAATATATCGAATTGATGGAAATTGACCATTTCAATGTAAGAAAATCAGATCGCAATGCAAGAACTATCTTGAGTATTCCTAATCTTATTGAGCTATGTGATACTATTTTTATTCCCAGAAACTTGCTCGATTGTGAGGATTTGCTATTCTTGTTCCATCAATATGGTCATCGTTATCCTCATTGTGCCAAATATTTCATGAGAAAATGTAATATTGACATTTATGGCGTTGTTTTTGATGAAAGCAGTAACAAGAATGTCAATATGATTTTAAATTATTTGTGCAGCTATCCGTGCTGTTCAGCTGACAAGGCTTTAGGTTATTTATTTACAGAGTTTGGATATCAGAATATTGATCTGACTCAAATAGCAAATCTACTCTGTTACAACTCTAGTTCTGAAACTGCCTTAGATTTATTGCATCGATCCATTTCAGCTTTAATTCAACACCAGTTTGCCTATGTCGACGTTGTTGAGGGTATTGAATTGTTAATGTCTCGTCTCACTCCACTGAATTTTGACGCGTCATGGATCCATCAACTATGCACCATCATTCGAAATTTATATCTTAATATCTATTACACTCATCACAAGGAAATGAGTATGGCAATGAAATATCTATTGGATCACGTGATGATAGAGAATGTTCCCTTTTCTGAATACGTACAACCACTCTTGCCAATAGATCAGGACTCAACTGATGCTGGTAATTTTGAAAATTATGCCACCACCAGTGACGAATATATGGTTGGTGTATATTTAACTGCATGCAAGCTCATTAAGGAGTTGCAGTCCTTTAATTAAAAAGATTGGCTGCATTTTTGGCGCCCAAGATTCAAACTTTCTCAAAAGGCTGATTTTGGCCAGTTTTAAAGATTTCTTTGCGAAATATTAACGAGATAAATATCTTTTTTAAAATATTTGAAGGGAGCATGGTCTAGTGGTATGATTCCTGCTTTGGGTGCAGGAGGCCATGGGTTCGATTCCCATTGCTCCCCTTTGATTTTTATTTTTCATTGATTTTGTTCATTAGAAATAAGAAATAACAAACAGATCTTAAAGACTCCAGAATTGTCTTTATCATTCCTTTTCTAACACCACTACAGTTCATTCTTTTCTTTATTTGGAAATTTTACTCCCTCCTTCTTCTTTTCCTTCTCTTCCCTCTCTCGTTGCTTCTCCTTCACCACTCTCTCGTATTCTTCTTTCGAATGCACCACCGTTTTACCCAATTTCTTCATATCATACTCAAAAACTGTATCATAGACATATTGACACACTTTCGCAGGTGTTAAATCGACATTAAAAATGAAATCTACCAATTTGGTAAATTGTGCTTCATGCTCCTTCACACGATGAGGTTGCTGTCGTAACTCTTCAATATTCTCCACCAAAATAGTTGAAAATTTTGATTTTTGTTTTTCAATGAGTTGTCGTTTTTCTTGTTTGTCTTTGGTTTTTCCTGTTAACACTACGAGAAAGGTCCGAATAGAAGTAATATTGGAATCACAGGCCATAAAATCAGGAAAGACATATCGGAATGGATGTGGCTCAAATTCAAAACTAGGATGATCATTGAAATTCTTTTTTTTCAATGGTGGTGATGGAGATTCCGATGATGGAGGTTCTTCCAATGATGGCGATGACGAGTGTGAAAGTGTTTCGGTGGTTTCGGTACATTCAATGAGGACAATATGGTTGTTGAAAAGTGTCAGAAAAGCAGCCGCGACGACCAGTACCAGGAGCAGAAGACTAAAGTGACTTTTTGTTATCTTTGACATTTTTTTGATTGAATTCGAGTGTTCTCTCCAGTTATGCCTCTTTCACGAATGACTGAATTTTTTTTTTATCACTGTCCATGCATTTGTTCGAAAATTCAAACGTTATTCATGGCTGAATTATTTGTGGAATTGAGAGAATTTGAATCACCACTCAGACTTTGGATGTACTATAACCACACCACCACGATCAATAATTTACTTGTTATTATTGAATTTGATACTTCTCACAGCATGAATATCAATGGGTCCACCTCTGTAAGATCTCTTCTTCTTAGTCTTGGCAGCTCTAAAATCTTTTCCTCTCGTTGGAGCTAAATCTTTCAAAGCCTTCTCACCATGAGCTCCAAAATTATAGGCTCGTTGAGCAAGTCTTTCATCAGCAAATTTAACCTCATCTCTCTTCACTCGTTGGAATGGAACTCCCTTATTTTGTGATCCATTATTGTTATTTTGCTGGTCTTGAATTTTGGTCTTTTTCATTAATGGAGTGGCCGTAGTTGAGTTTTCTTCGTCATTTCTCTTTCTCTTCAAATCAGATGCAGAATCATCTTCCTCAGCTTCGTCTTTCATGGTTTCTTCATTCTTGTCGTCGTCATAGCTACTATCAGAGTCATCTGAGGAGGATGCGCTCTTCTTTGAGGTGGATTGGGCCAAGGATGGCTTTGTGGATGGAGCAGGAGCAGTGATGGTTGGTTTCTTCTTTTCATCATCGCTTGACGTGTCTGAATCAGAGTCATCTGAGGATGCGCTCTTCTTTGAAGCAGGTGTTGAGACAGTAGGTTGTTTTGTAGAGCTTGTTGGTTTTGTTGTAGCCTTTTCATCGTCTGAACTGTCATCAGAGGAATCCTCAGAGGATGACGACTCTGCTTTCTTACTTGTGGTTGCATTGTTCTTAGAAACAGCATTCGAAGCAGCAGGAGTGTTCAAGGGCTTGGTGGTTTTTTCATCCTCTGAAGAGCTGCTATCAGAAGAGTCATCACTTGAGCTAGCAGTAGTAGCTACCGTCTTGGTGACAACACTTGTTGGCTTGATGGAAGGCTTTTTCTCGTCCTCGCTTGAACTATCACTTGATGAAGAATCAGAAGATGATGCTGAAGCTTTCTGTTGTTGCTTCACCACTGGTGTTGGTTTTGGTTTCTTTTCTTCCTCACTCGAGGTATCCGAACTATCACTGGAAAAGGCAGTCTTCTTGAAGGTCGTAGTGGTTGTGAAAGGCTTGGTTGGGGTTGGCTTTACAGCAGGCTTCTCGTCATCTTCACTCGAGTCGCTCGAGTCCTCAGACGAAGATTCTTGCTTTTTGCTATCCGCTGCTGGTTTCACTAAGGTCGCAGTGGTGGTTGGTTTAGAGGTTGACGTTACGGTTTGTTTCTTTTCGTCCTCAGAAGAGCTGCTATCAGAACTATCAGAAGATTCAACCTTCTTCTTTGGAGTAGTCACACTAGTTGCAGGTTTAGAGGTAGCAGGTTTTTTCTTTGCGTCTTCCTCACTCGAGCTATCGGAACTATCACTTGAAGAATCATCTGAGGAGGATTTCTTTGAGGCTGTTGGTGTGGGTTTAGAAGTAGCAGATGTGACAGTAACAGATGGTTTGGAAGGGGCAGTAGCTGAAGGTTTCTTCTTTTCATCCTCACTCGAGCTATCAGAACTATCATCGGAAGAGGTAGTTGCTGCTGTCTTTGTAGGATTGCTAGTTGCTACTGGTGGGTTGATCTTTGGGGTTGTTACTGATTGCTTCTTCTTTTTACTATCACTATCGCTTGATGAATTATCCGAAGAAGAAGATGAGCTTGGTTGTTTCTTTGAACCATTAGCACTCGAGGTGGTTGCAGTAGGTTTGTTTTGATCCTTCATCTTGACATCAGAATCTTCACTCGAGCTGTCGGAACTGTCAGAGGATGACGACTCTTTCTTTGTTGCAGATGCTGGTTTTGAGGTTGATTTGATGTTATCTGTGTTTGTTGTTGCTGGTTTTGTCTTGTTCTTGTCATCACTATCAGAACTACTACTACTACTGCTGCTAGAAGATGCCTCCTTCTTTTCGGAAGTCTTTGGAACATCCTTCATTTCCTCGTCGCTGTCTGAATCAGAAGAGGATGAGGAAGAAGAAGATTTGGTTTTTCTGAACTTTTTCTTTGCTGAAGAAGACAAATCAGTGCTTGATTTCTTTTCGCTCTTTGCAGCAACTGCAACATCTTCATCAGTCATTGCATGGTTGTTTTGATAAATAATGTTATTGTGAGTATTTGAAGATTTGGCAGCCTTCAATGCAGCTCCTAAATTGTAATCTCCATAAAAATCAATTCCGTAATTTGCAAAATAGGTTTCATAGACCTCTTTAACTGTTGGGATGGTCAACTCAGTAAAGTTTTCCTAATTAATGGATGATTTGGCCCAAGTTTCAATAATTGCACAATACGGTGAAGATCGGGATGATGATACCCATCAATCATTCAAAAAAACAAACTTACCATTTGAGTGTCCTTAGCAAACACTTTGGCAACGTTATCCAATTCACAATACACCAAAAAATCATAAATTGCAGGATACAACTTTTTCAACTTTTCTTGTTGTTGCTGTTTGGAAGGATAGACACGGAAAGTCTGGGAACTCACTGGATTCAAAATGGTGTGCTTTCCGTGAGGCATGGTTGAAGAGGATGAAGAACTGGTGCTAGCCTTCTTAAAACCGATACCCGATTTGCCTTTGTTTGCTTGGTCTAATTGATGCTCAGCGTATGACTCTTGTTGTGCCTGAGTGAAACCTCTCATTTTTTTTTGCTTCAAAATTTTTGTGTTTTTTGTGAAGGATGTGAAGGGGTGTCTATCTGTTGACGTACGATCTTCTTTGAAAATTCAGGGATGGGTTTATTCGATGATAAACGTTGTTCGATGGTTTTATGTACATTATTTACAAGCCGAACGTAAGATACGTAGTGACTTCCTAGCAGGCACCCCGGAAGTAAAGGTGTTTAAACTGCTCACGATAACAGCAGCAACCCCTGGGATTCAAACGCTGGACCAGTTGGCTGCCACAGTTCCAGAAAAACCACTCGGCCATATGCGGGCAGCACGATCTTCTTTGAAAATGACGAGAGGAGAATCAACATGCTCCTCTGACTTGTTGTTGTTTGCTGCAAATTACTCTCTGGATCATCTGTAAGGTACGAACGATGAGATCCATGATGATTCGAATACTGAAAAGAAAAATGAAACAATCAGAGACGATGATGCATGTTCAACACCAATCCGAGCAAACTTTTGTTGAATTTCTGTCGTGTCTGTACAAGGCCACCCAACGACAGTCTTCCATGAAAGCAACAACCATCCAATTATCAAAATCATTCCTCCTCCACCAAATTCAAAATAGCCACGTTTTTAAACAATTGTTTCGATCCAACAGTTCTTCTGTTTCACAACATTCTTCTCTTCGTTTGATTTATGATTTGTATCACTTGTCCGTAGGCTTGAGACAATGTGTCTTGTTGGATTATGTGATGATTGCAAAAGAAGAAAAATTATGTCAATTATTATTTGATTTTTCAAAAGAATGGACTCGAGCAACACGACTGAAATTGATGAAAATTGAATTTGTGACATTGTTGGGAGGGAATTGGGAAGAGATGATATTCACATATTTGATTAATGAAAATCAATTGAGGAATAGAGCTAAACAAATCATCAATGCACAGGAATCTTCAGCGAGACTGACGATCCGAGATCGATTATTTGTCAATATTGACATTCTGGAAGCAGAACCAAGATCCATTCCATGTTTGTTAGAAGAGAGCTCTCATCGATTGAACGATATTGATGCATTCGCAAAGCAATTGTTTAAGGAAATTGATTTACGAATGATGGCAGAAAATTGTGAAGACCTTCAAGTTCCGATTATAAATTTAAAATTCCTGAAAGAATCCTTTGAAAATGGCACACTTTCATACATTCCCTTTGATGCTACCTTGATGAATGCTCTGCTCTTGAACTACCCAATCATTCTATTTTACGGTTCGCGATTTAACACGAGTAGTGACAGCAACAAGATGAACTTTGTAGCGAATCATTGCTTGAATAATTTAAATCTACAACGATATTCCCTATTCTCGTCACTATTGGTGGACGGTCCATTCATTTTGCAGTTTGTAATTCCAAGCGAATTATATGAAGAACATCGCTCCGTATTCGACAGCTGCATCGTCGCATGGCTTGAAAATGTGAAAAGCTCTGTGAACAGCACTTCAGAAGAAAGAAATGGACTATACTTGAAAATTGAATCTCTGAATCATGATAATATTGTTCTCTAATTATCAAATCAAACCATTAAAATTGTAATATATTTACATTTTACTTGCTCGTAGTGATTCATCATGCGATGAATGGTACTACTTGTTCTACTATAAAAACTATAAGCATCACTCCATGTGTTGAAAAATTATGTTGGAATTGAGAAATAATCATCCCCAAGCCACTTTCAAAGAATAATTGATTACCAACATGTTATTCGTATTAAAATGATCATATAAATCTCCTACAAAATCATCAGGATTTGGGCAAAACGCCTGTCCACAATATAAAAACAGGCTTTGATTGGGGTTGTTAATTCGTAACAGTTTATCCCGAAGAAAATATATCACTTCATTGAAAGAGCTAGAAGCATTGATCTTGAATTTCTTCTTTTTCAAAATCGGAGCATTACCAACTGCTTGAAAAAGAAGAGTGATCTTTCTTTCACCGCCTTCCTCTGTTGTGGATGTTTCTGTTGTTGGGTTGCTTTCCGTTTCTTGTTGATGATCGTTGGTGGGTGTTGAGTCAACACTTGATGACATTTTTAAAAGAGTGTTATTTATTATTTTCGAAACTAAATTGAACCAATGTGCAAGCTTTTACAAAGAGTGTTGGAGGGCAAATTGTTCGTCTTCGTCATGCTCTGCCTCTCTCACATAGATTAAAAGAGCCTTTCCTTCAATGGAAGAAAGAGTTTGTGAGTCATCGAATGGAATTTGTCGTTTTGGAAATGAGTTGAGAGTCAATTCATAGTCAGTTTCAAGTTTGCTAAACCTTGAAGGTTGCCATGAACCTGAATAGGCATGAACAAATCTATGAAGATCTCCAAAAGTCAAGTGTAATGAAAATTTGTTTTGAGTTTCTGTTCCATTGGGCAATTTAAGCTTGATATTCTTGTAGTTTGGTTCATTGTTATAAAATAACAAGTTCTGTCTGATTTCATTTCGTTTTGTCTCGTTTTCGAATAGCTTGAATTTAAATTGATTGAGTGCTCGCTCTTTTTCACGTTCCATTTGGAGCCTTTTTTCTTCTTTTTCTCTGTCTCTTCGTAATGATTCTTCATAAGCTCTGTCTTGTTCCTCTCTTGCTCTTCGTTCAAACTCTCTCATTTGTTTTTCATTTCGTTGAATGATTAATTGAGCATCCAATCGTTCATGTTCACTAATTAATTGAGTAAGTAAAGCATCAATGAGATGGATACCACTTTGTTGTGAAGAATTCATCAACTCAGAGAGGCCATCCATTTTCCAATATACTTTGTTTCCCATTAATATGGCAAGGAAAGGAAATGAAGTTGCTTGAATTTGATTGGAAACTGCAAAGCCTTCTTGTGATTTGATAGAGCTTGAGAAAACTACAAAATTAGAATTTACAAATTCAATGAATTCCTTCCTACAAAAAACGTTTTGAATAAACTCATATGAATCATCATGTCCAGGTGAATGTAAATATACAAATAATAATTGATCATTGTTTTTACAAAAGTCAATAGCTTCTTTAAAGGTTCCTTCAAATAGATGAGGAATCATTTCCATCACATTCGGATGGTGATGTTCTTGATCATGATGTTCGTGCTGCTGTTGCTCTCCAATCAATTCATCCAACGATGGCAAATGAGAAATGATATCTACAATCAAATCTTGTAGTGCTTGGTTGTTGGTAGCTACGGAGTGGGTTCGAAGCTGTTCTCTGATCACTTTCTCGCTCGGATTCACGGCAAGTCTAAAGGGAAGTAATCCCCATATTTTGCTCATCAACCAAGCGAATAAATCATACAAATATTGAGACATGACCGAGATCTAGTGTTTGTACAATACTCGAGTATAATACATCACAGCTGTTGTTTAAACCAAAATGACTCACACAAAGGAATCGAATCAGAGAAAGAGCCCCGACAACGGATTGCTTTTGATTTTTTTGTTTTTAATCTGACAAAGGTCCATCTTTGGAAGGAATGTCCACCATGGAAAAGCAAGATTTGAAAATCTTTGAGAAATGCAATGCATGCATGCCAAGGTTCTCCTTCACTTGAATTCAACAACTCTTCCGTTATATATTTTCAGTTTAATTTGAGCAAAAAAAACGTGTGTCATCTTGTATTCCGATAAGACAATAATATTTTATTCACTGTCATCATTGGTGCGCCGTTTTCATCATCCCAACAACTACAAGAACAATATTATTTCTTTCAAACCGGAACACACACACCATGACGTCGGACACATTCAAGATCCTTCCAATGAATTTGTTTCTAATTTCTATTCAGAGGAAACAATTCCATTTCTATAGCAAAGCCTTGCTGAAAACACTCTTCGTCAAGTTGGATTCTCCAGATAGATTTATTAGTTTTATTGAAACTGCCGATGAAATATCCATCATTTTGGATGAAAGTAGTCTCGAAGAGGTCAAACGGTATAAGGAAATAATTCAATCGTATCAATTGAATATGGATGCCATCATGCTTGAACAAGGCTCAACATGGAGAGGAATATTGATAAAATCAGTTAATGATGAAGAAACATCGGATTCAAATGATCCAAATAACGGCTCAAAAATACTATTGAAGAAATCAACAGCAAGGTCCATCTATCGTTATGCAAGCATTCTGTCAAGCAACAATATTTCCATTTTCTACCATAGTTTGTGGAGTTTTGACTTGCTCCTGGTGGAAGAAGAGAATTTTGAAAAAGCTGTGGAATTAATTCAGAACAAAGTTGAAAATACTGACAAATCCATGAAGGAAGAGGAACTTGTGCCACCTTCAATGTTTTTAAGAAAGAAACCATCTGAAAGTGAAAGTTATGATATGGAGGCAGATGAGTTGACCACACTAGATACCAAATTGTACATGTGTAGACTTTCAAGCAAGCAATATCAATTTCACATCAAGGATTTACTAAACGCTCTGTGGTTTGAATACAAAAACATTGGAGATTTCTTTGCTTTGGCTTCATTTGAGGATGAAAATATTATTGTTGGAAATGAACAAGTATTTGAAATGTTGTCACTTGGAGAGGATGAAATTGAAAGTACTGCTATTACGGAGAGCGAAGAAAAACTTCAATTTGTACCAGTAATGATTCATACGAGTGAAGGATTAGGTTTTGATGAGGCGCAAATTGGTGTAGTGGTATGTTTGCATGTTTTGCATGCACATCATTAATTCTTTATCTAATGTTACATTAATTCTTTTTCTAATGTTATACCCATTTTCTTAATACATTATTTGTCAATTTCGATTTTCAAAAGTCCAAACTCACTGGAAGTTTACTGAGTCATTCGGACAAATTGACCGTGATTTACTTTTCCACGTTTGTCACAGATTACATTCTCATTCAACATGACCATTTAGAAAGCGCTCTGAATCACATTAAGGAAAAATTAGAACAAGTCAAAGAGTAGAATGTAACTTTTTTCATCTCCACACACACTAGTTGAACAAATTTTTCCGTTCTGAATCTTGGCCATCATAAACCCTACTCTTTGGAATTTCCTTCTCTACAGGAATATTATTCACAATTTTTAGACTCCATTCCAAGAATTTCAAGTATCTCTCAGAAGTAATAAAGTAATCGTCAGCAATGTCTACTCCATTGTATTTCACAACTTGATAATACTTGCTTAGCCAATATAACATTTCGAGGGCATACTTTCTATCGAACTCAACCTTAAATACATGACAACCCTTAGTAGCAGTCCAGCTGCAGAAATAGCACTGCCGAGTGTTGGTAGCAATCATTTGTGTGTACATCTGAGTCAAGTAATATACAGGAATAGTATCATGAGGTTTCTTGCAAATATAACTAAAAGTTGGTCTTGAGGGAATGAGTGCTCCTTTTTTCACATATTTTGGAACAAAGCAAGTAGGACATTTGATTTCGACACACGAAAAGAATTCATCTTCTTCTTCTTCTGTAGAATATGGATGATCTGATTTCCCATTCTCGAGAACTTGATGAATCTTGGTACCGTTAGTACGATTCAATTTCTTTAGAAGGCCATCCGGAGAAGCGCCCAATGGAGGAATCTTTTCAAAACTTAATTGATATTCTTCCAATTCTTGCTTGGTAAAAACTTTCGAGAGTTTCTTTTCTGTAATGACATAAAATCCGGCTTCACAAAATGTTACATCTTGATCGAACAAGTCACTCTCCAACAGTGTGCTTACACAATTCAATTCATGCAAGCTGCCCCATTCGGTAAAAACCCTCTTCACAATCTCATCATACGACTCCTCATTCACTATTGGATTTTTTAGCTTTTCAATTTCTTCTTCACTCATCTTGAAAACTGTTTTCAATTCTTCTCGACTCAATAACGATTTATACATTTCTCTTGTTGTTTGTTCGTGTGCATTTTGGGAAAAGGAAAGTTTGAGTTTCTTTGAAGCTTTTGGATTGAAAAATCCCAACGCACGGCTAATATTCGAGGCTGTCAATCGATTTTGTCTCAATTCACGCCATCTTTGGGAACGTTGAGGAACAAGATGAGAATTATCTTCACTCACAGGAGTCGCCTCATCAAGATATTCAAGTGGACAATATCGTGCTGGAAATTCTTCAAGTACTTGCTCGTGATAAATGGCTTTCCATTTCACGTTGGGAGAAATTCCTTCAAATCGTGAAAAGACTTGTTGTTGCTGAGAGAGCTCAACAATAATTTCTTCTTCTTGTTGTTGTCGTTCGACGTCGTGATAATCGTCATCACGACGGATCGTTAATTTCGATAATTGTTGTTCAATTGAGGTGATGAGTGTGGTCATTGATGATGACGACGAATCGAGTGGTGTTGGTGATGATGATGAACCATTCTCTTGAGATGATGATGAAAAGGAAAGCTCCGATGATTGCGAAAAACTTGGAGTCATCACGATAGGCAATTTTTTTGAATCAGATGAGAAAGTTTTCTGAGGTGAGACTTGATGAGATGGGAATAGAGGAATTTCCGTCATCATCCAATGGATGCAAGAATGTGATTTCGAATCCGTGATTTATCAAATTGATAATAACTTTTTCCATTCAATTAATTTTCAAAAATAAAAATGAATGACAACAATAATCAAGAAGAGGTTTCTACTCATTCGGAGATCACTGAAACAACAACCGTTCATCCACAAGTAGTGGACCATTCTTCATCTGACAAGGCTGAAATAACGGTTAAAGCAAATATTCCGAATCGGACTGAAGAAGAAGTGTTAAATGATTCACAACTTTATCATAAGGAGGACAAAAAATCTGCCATTCCCGATCAATATTTAAAATTATTATTGAATCATGATCAAACGAATGATGATATATCAAAGAATATTCAAGACTTTTCTTTAAAGAAACACGAAAAAATATTAGATGAATTATTTTCCAAATATAACACACTGAAATATATAATTGATAAACATGCAAATGAATGTGACAGTAGTGTTAAATATTTTCAGTTTCAAACCACATCGAATAGAGACAACAAATTGACCACATTTCATCACATTACAAGTCGAGGAAAACAAGGCATATGTGGAGCCAATGGGAAAAGTGGAAAAGATGGCCGATTTGGATCAAAGTAAGTTAAGTGATATTGTGAAATATTAAAAGTAATTATTTCACAAAAAGTGGCAAAACGGGTGTTATTGCAGGATTTAAAGATATGACCGAAAGAGAATTCATAGATCGAAGACGATTGAATGGATGTGACGGAGAAGATGGTTCACCAGGAGAAGATGGAGGAAATGGTTCCCATGGAGAAGATGCCTCTGACATTTATCTGAAAGTTTCTCTTGTGGATGACAATGTATTGAAAATTAGTGGAAGCATTGAAATCGAAATCAATAACAGTATGGGACAGTCGTTAGTGTTAGTGGATTCACGAGGTGGAGATGGAGGACGTGGAGGTAATGGTATGTTCTGAAATGTCTTAATCCTGCTGTTGTGGAAATTAATTGAATAATTTGTTAACAATTACTGAGACAGGTGGACATGGAGGCAATGGAGGTGAGTGAAAATATTTGTATTTGTACTTTCTACATTCATTTAATGTAGGTAATGGAGGAAGTGGAGCAAACAACGAAAATGGAAGGGGAGGAGATGGTGGCAATGGTGGAAAAGGAGCTAATTCTGGAAGAGGGTAAGTATAATAATTAATAGCTTTATTCACACATTCATGTGAAACTTTACTTCAGTGGAAATGGAGGAAATAGTGGGAAAGGTGGAAATATAATTATTGAATCCAGTAACAGTGTATGTTATATGATTTTACACGTCACAATTCAGTACGAATGTCACCCTTCATTATAACGTTTTAATATTCATCCAGGAATGTTTTATATTATTTAAAGCTCTGACAAGTTGTGGAAAGCAAGGAGAAGCAGGTTTTAATGGAAGACCAGGTATTGGTGGATTTGGAGGTAATGCTGGATGTGGACGATTGAATGACCAGATATACAATGGAAAGAACGGGTTTGTATCAAATGGTGATGATATTTCATCGTCACTTACAATTTTTATTTAAATGATTGGAATCTTTGTCATTAGCATTTCTGGAGCTGATGGCACGTCGCCTCCTCTATCGAAAAATGGTGCTCCTAACTCTAGTGGAAATCATTTATTTATTGTAACAGATAAGAATGGCAATGTGGTCGAATATAGTGATGAAATATTTAACATTGTAGTGAAGGACTTCTCGGTTTATGCAATTGTTGATGATGGCATCTTCTCACCAGGAGAACCTTGTTACTTGTCAGATATAATTATTGAAAACAACGGAAAGCTCACTCTTCCCTCCATGAAAGCCAAACTCTCATTTCCAAGCATTTCTTCACAAGAGGTATTTTTGCCACGCCTTCAACCTGGAGAGAAAGCGACCATACGTGACAAATTTAATTTCAAAATTAGTTCAGAATCAGTCATGACAATTAGCTCACAAGTTACCGTGATGGGAGTAAGACTCTCAAAGGATGGATGTTTAGAAAAATCAATCCCTTGCGGATTACCAATCGTTTTGAACAACCTTGAATATCCAAATGTTCTTGGAAGAACACAACCATGCACGTGTAGAGTTGATGTGAGAAATGTGAGCATTACAAATTTCAGTCAAAAGAAGAAAAGATTAGCCAAGATCAAAGTTTCCATGATTGACCAACATTTAAAGACACGAATTGTTCGATCGATTGCTACTACTGTCGAACCATTCAGAGATCATTTTGAAGAATCTCTCGATTTAGACCCTGGCGACACACAGGATGTGACTTTTGAAATTGCCGTCGATGAAAAAGCATCATTCTTTGTCGACAAATTTTGGAAAATTGAACTTTACGTCTTATATGAAAATGAGAACGAGTATTGTCTCATTCATTCTCGATCTAACACAATTCAAATTATTCCTCACTACATTGAGTCAGGATCTAATGAATTTGATTTACTCTTTGTCATGCATCCTGCTTTGAGAAAGAATGAATTTTTGAAATATCAAAGCATTATAGATGGACTAGGATTGAACTGCAATTATTGGGACATTTCTAAACAAAATGGTTTTAGTAGAGTGAATGGAACAAACGAAAAGCAATCCAGCAAATGGCTGAAAGCATTCTCTGGAAAGGTCATTATGTTTCCGTTGGTATCGGCAGCCAATGAGGAAAATTCACACAAATCTCGACACAAATCCACCACTTCCTTCTCTGAAATTGAAAATGATTTTATTCTCGTATCACAAGAGAACGATCTGATTCGTGGATCAATCGACGTGGATTCACAACGGCCACAAAGTTCACGCCGTTCAGGTGAAACCTCATCACCAATTGTTGATCAAAAACAAGAGGAACAAGAACAAAAATTGAAACAGCAAGAAAATCTATGTGAAGAACTTTTTAGTTTTATTGACACACAAGATATCATTTCACATATTAGTAATGGCGACTCTGGGTTTATTGTTGTGAATGGACCAGAATCGAGTATGATCATTAATCATTTATTTTCATGTGCTACTCAGATAGAAATTGATGAGAAATCGCTCTCGTATGGATTGAGTGTATTTTCTTCTCCAACTGAAGAGGCCTTTTTGAAAAAGTGTAACGATTTTATTTCCAAATTACGAGAACAACATCCAAGCAAACTGTTTAGATTGAATCGTGCTAATTTCAATGTACAGAAAAAGGGATTTTCTAAAACCAAACTTGGAGAAGCTAGTTATCTTTCTCTTGCACCGATGAGCTGCATTGACAGGTATGTGAAATTTACAAGTAATGTTGCAATATCATGACATTTATATGGTTGTGTTGAAAACATTTCTGTTCCTTGACATGAATCATTTTAAGATTGTATATTTTACCACATTTTGGAAATCTCGAAGATGAAAAGATTCACATTCACAAAACAGTCACATTCTACACAAACTCCAAATTCTTTTCAATTTTCTTCACCTTACTCTGTTCATTGTCGATACAGAGAAAATTACAAATATTAACGGAGAGTTATAGTGGTACAATCCTATGTCATGCTGAAAATTGGACGTTCAGATACCATGAAGATCAGAGAGAAGAATATAGACTGTATGATTTATTGACTTCTGCTCTATTCTATGATCTTATTCAAGAATGTAAGTATTTTACAATATATTATTGCTCTTGCGTGATTATTATGATAATTATTATTTATTAATTATATCTATGCGATGAATGTTTCAAAAAGTTTTCTTCAAGGATTTGGGTTTGAATCGACTACATGAAATGGTAAAAGTTGTTTCCAATAATTTACTCGACTTTGCTTTTCAAGACAGCATTTATATGCTGTGGAACATTATTCAGCGATTGGAACGAGCCAAACTCTGGAAATCCTCAGCATGGAGCAAATTGCAAAATCTTGTTGGAAAGCGCACAGAACTCATGAATGTGAAAAAAGGCATGCATACTCTTTTGTTTGAAGGCAAAATGGAACAAAATGTGAATCACTTGTTGGAAATTAAGCAAGATGCTGAGACCTTTGGTGACCAACTTCGAATTTTCTTGAAAGAAAACATTTTCTTTCAGCCTTTGCTCTCTGACGAATTGAAAAAATGTTTCATGGAAGAGTTTAAAGGACACGAAGACCATCCATGAACATCAGTAAATAACTCGCATGGGAATGCATGCCATATATAATGGTTTTTAATACGAAATTTCTTTCATGAGCATTCTAGTGTTAATGAACTCGACAATATTTTGTTGCTCTTTGGTGACAAGGTTTGTCTTGTTGGTCATTTCGAGGAATAATGCCTTGTCTCTTTGTTTAGTATTAAGAGTAAGATCAAAGCTCACTAAAAGCTGTGAAACAAAGGTCTCCAATCGATCCAAGTGAGTGTCAAACAACAATCCATATGTTTCTAAGGCTGCAACTTCTTTTTTAAAGTCATTCCTAAATTGTCCTAGCACCTGCTTCTCCAGTTTTACCTTGTCAAAACCAAAAAACATGAACGCAAAAACGTAACATGAGCGTAGTAACCTTCTCGAACGAATTACTGTCTTGAGGGTTGAGTTCAAGAATTTAAAGTCTTCTTTAGAGAAAATTGTGTATTCTGTGTGTATCTTTGTGTTATCAATTAGTAGTTGATAATGTTTTGTTGTCTTTTGCTCCTCTAACCAATCTCTATGCTTTCTCCATAATTGAGTAATTTTTTGGTACAGTGACTCCACAATGGAAAATTCAAATTCGACTTCATTCAACTCCACATTTTTAGCCTCGTGTTTCATACATGCCTCATAATCATGTTGGTAGCCTGTAAAGTCGCCACCACACCGATAGCAAAATTCCTTGCCACATACACAATTAATGTGATCACTTCATCATGCATTCCAATCAAACGTGAATAAAATGTCAATAAAGATTTTCCACTACCTACCACCCAACGTTCTTAAAAACAACAGTCTTGCAATTGGGGCACTGTTGACAACTCTTTTTGATCAGCTGAAGCGATGCCGTCTCATTCTTTACGTCACTAATAAATTTAGAATAAACAGCACATGGGCAAGGAAAGTGTGGTTCGTTATCACAGTGGAAGCAACATTCTTCTCCGCATTTGCAGAGTACATAAAATAAGTTTTCGTCACAAAGTTTTTTGATCACATGACCACACTTTGGGTTGGGGCACCACTTCAAACGAAAATGATCTGCGACGTAAGAATCAACTTTGGTCTTGTAGAATCGATTGATCAGCTCTGCATCAATATTTTTGTCCAAGAAAGATAGCATGTAGCTTTCAGTCAATATTGATTTACAGCCATAAGCCATGCACTTGACATTCAAGTTATTAAAGGCAGATTCAGTGACAAAGGTGCAAATATAATCTTTCCAACAACTTTTACAAAATGTATGGCCACACATATCGTAACGGTATAACTTGACATCATCTGAATAGCATGCATCACACATTCCAATTTCATTTTTGGAATCTTCAGAACTAACATTATTTCTCAATCCACATTTTTCAAGTAAATACTGCAATCCATATTCGCCATAATCTCTAATCAACTTTTCTGAATTCCACCGATATTGTTTCAACATCACTTCAACAAAAACATTGCTTTTCAGTTGAATGGTGTCCGCCACTTGTTTCACCTCAGATTCTTGATCTTGCAATAATTCATGAAATCCAAGAATTTTAAAGAACTGCTTGGGTGCTTTTTCTTCCTTTACAACCTTTGGTTCTTCAACTACAAAGGCCGAATCATCTTCTTCATCATAAATAATTTCTTCTTCTTCATCATCATGATCGGCATACTCTTCCTCAATCTCTTCATCATACACTTGATCATCACTACCATCATACACTTCTTCATCATCTTGATCATCACGATGATGATGCTGTTGTTGTTGATCCGAGTTGACTTGATCCACCAAAGCCTCTGCCACCTTCTCATCCAACACCTCAACATTCTCAGAATCACAATACAACAACACTTTTTCAATTGCCAAACTCTCATCAAGATCACTCTCAATCACTGCCTGATGCAACACTTGTAAATTCACTTCGGGAAACATGGTATTGAGAGAGAGCACCATTTCCCGAATACGTTCTTTTCGGTTCGTCATTTTTTTTTGCAAATTCAATTTCTGAAACGAATTTCAGAAGAATCAAGAACACACAAGAGATTTGATTCAAAAAACATGTTCACAAAACCGTAATCAATTTAAAAAGGAATGCACACTTTCATTACGTACAAGGTAATGAGAGTCAAAGAGAGAGGTGGTGGTGGTGGTGTTGTTGAATGATTCTGATCAATCATTTGATGATGACCTTAGAATACCAAAGGCGTGCGAGTGAGTGTGAAACCCACAAATTATATAATGAAGACTTGGCATACAGAGAGACATCCTCACATACGCCATGCAACCTGGTTGGAAATCTAACTCTCAGAGTAATCATCAAAATATAGTAGTTCTAGAAAAGAAGAAGAACCATCTTATTCCATAATGGCTTCATCAGCAGCATCATTGGAATCGACTTGATCCTCAATGGTTGCATCTTGATATTGTTGATATTCACTCACCAAATCAGTCAAATTGGATTCAGCTTCAGTGAATTCCATTTCATCCATACCTTGATCAATGTAGGTATGAAGGAAGGCCTTTCTCTTGTACATTTGTTGGAATTGAGTTCCAATTCTTTTGAATACTTCTTGAATGGCAGTTGAGTTACCAATAAATGTTCCAGAAATCTTTTGACCTTGTGGAGCAACATCACAAACGGAAGACTTGATGTTGTTTGGAATCCATTCGACAAAGTTTTGAGAGAACTTTCTTTGCATGTTGACCATTTGATCATCAATTTCCTTAGTGGACAAGTTTGGTCCTCTAAAGATGGCACTTGCTGCCAAATATTTGCCCATTGTTGGATCACAGGCAGCCATCATGTTCTTCTTGTTGAACATTTGAGAAGTCAATTCAGAGACAGTCAAGGCATGATATTGTTGACTTGAAGCAGCAGCCAATGGAGCAGTTCCAACCACAAAGAAGTGCAAACGAGGGAATGGGATCAAGTTGACAGCCAATTTTCTCAAATCAGAATTCAATTGTCCAGGGAATCTCAATGAACAAGTGACACCTGACATGACACCAGCAACCAATGAATTCAAATCAGCAAAGGATGGAGATGGCATCTTTAAAGTCTTGGTACAAATATCAAAGAGAGCTTCATTGTCCAAACAAAAGACTTCATCAGCAGCTTCAATCAATTGATGCAAACTCAAAGTGGCGTTGTAAGGTTCCACCACAGCATCTGACATTTTAGGAGATGGTAACACAGAGAAAGCAGCCAACATTCGATCAGGATAGTCTTCCTTCAATTTGGACAACAATAAAGTACCCAAACCAGATCCAGTACCTCCACCCAAGGAATGAGTCAATTGGAATCCTTGCAAAGCTTCACATTGTTCGACTTCCTTTCTCAAAATGTCCATAATTTGATCAGCAAGTTCAGCACCTTCAGTGTAGTGTCCTTTAGCCCAGTTGTTACCAGCACTTCCTTCGGAGGCAATAAAGTTGTCTGGTCTGAAGAGAGTTCCATTCTTGGAGGATTTTACATTATCCAAAACAGAGGATTCTAAATCAACCAAAACACTTCTTGGAACGTAACGGTTGTTTTGGGTTTCAGAGAAGTAGACGCTCAAGTTTTCCTTGAGGACAGAGTTAGTACCAGTGAATTCACCTTCAGTGTTGAGTCCATGTTCGTTACGGATGGTTTCCCAGAAAGCTTGACCAATTTGGTTACCACATTGGCCGACGGAGATGGAAACGATTTCTCTCATTGTTGATGATGGTAGAGTTGGTGATGATGATGATGATGGTAGTTATTCGTTAAGAATAATTGTTAGTGTGTGAAATTGTTTTTTTTGTTGAAGAATTTGGCAAGTGACAGGCAGCGCTTTTTGTGTGATTTTGCTTGGTGATGAAATGGCGCACTTTTGAATTCAAATTTTGGCGGTAAGACCAACGTTCATATCGAGCGGGAAGCGAATCTTTAACGGCTTTCCTTATCTTCTTTCACAATAAAAAAGAACACAAATAGCATAATGGATGAGAGGGTTTGCAATAACGTCTGTTGAGATGAGGAGAACTGGACCGCATGACACTTTTGCAATCGTTCCATTGTCTCTTGAGTCTTTTATTGACCTGTTGAAATTGAAACATCCTCACCAATGACAGTGAGAGTAGGTGCCGAGCATTTGTTTCCTGACGGTACTGAGGCCACCTCATTCATCTTTTTTGCTTGTGAGAGAACAACAGCATCTGTGAAGCTCCAACTGGCTAATAGAGAGGGCTGAGGTTGAGCACAAATCATTTCTTCCTTCACTTGCTGTTCATTCAACTCTTTGCTATAAATATTAACATCTGCAATGTCTCCAACAAATGTGTAACAATTATAGGTATAGTTCATGGAGCTTCCTGGCCATCGATCGCAAAGTCCACTTCCAATTTGGCCGTGATAGAGTTTGTGTGTGTGATGATCAAAATTATGATCAGGCACGATCGTACCGACAGCCTTTCCATTGTAGTACAAGGTAGCAACCTTGTTCGATTTCGTTAAGGCAACATGTTGCCACTTATTATCAGTTAATATTTCAGAAAATTCCATAAAATTTGCTCCCCAAAAACCAGCTCGCAACATTAAATTGTTTGTGATATAAATGATCGGTACGAATGCAGTACCGACAGCGAATGGAGAGTTTTGGACTCCAAACAGCACTCCACCTGTTGAGTGAGGTTGTAATCTAAACCAAATGCTTATAGTAATGCTTTTGTTTGTAATTAAATCTGCAATAGTTTTCACCAGGGATGTGTTCATCAATGCAGCATTCTTGGTATTATCAGAGATGTGTAAGAAATATAATTTGGAACGAATGGCGTTTGGAGATAATCTCAATATTTTTCGAACCACATTTTCCTTTTTGAACTTGCTGAACGTGGTTGTTGTTTTGAGAGGAGAATTAATAATGAGGTCATCATCATCAATAAAGTCTCCATCCACTAATTTACATCGTTGATTATTCTTGATCATGTCAATACGAAGAGATGAAGAAATATTATTATCCTCTGGTCGCAGAAACATGTAGTAAAACTCATGAACAAGCCTTTCCGAAACATTTTTCCAAACAATATTCATAAACGTCTCATCCATCATGATGCAATCATACCAACTCCTGCAAACGAGGCACAATTTGAAAATTTCCTTCGCTGATAATTTATTAAAAATCTCGCACAGCAATTCAGTGGGGAGAAGTCCCAACGCGGTGAGTTGATGATCTTTTGTCTTTTTCATTTTTTAAATGTTTTGACTGATCTCGTGAGAATTAGAATTATAATAATATTTTGTTGTTCATTCGATAAATATTTCATCCAGCTGAGAGTGGACATTTCTCAATTTATTTGATTTTTTCATCAATGTCCTCCTTGTCAATTTCTTCAATGTCAGTTTGGAAGTACTTTCTGATTTGCTCAATAATTTCTTCATCATTTCTTGATCTCATCAAATTGATGGCATATCCCTTCTTACCAAATCTTGCTGTTCTACCAATACGATGCAAGTAGGTTGCAAAGTCTGGTTCTTGTTTTACAGTTCGGTCTTCTTGATAAAGTACTGGCAAGTCATAGTTAATAACGTGTGTGACTGTGGAAATATCCAAACCACGAGAGAAAACGTTTGTAGTGATCAAAACCTTTGCTTTGCCTTTTCTAAAGTCTCCCAACACTCTCTTTCTTTCAGGAATTTCCATGTTGGCGTGAGTCACACTTACAGTGAAACCGCTATTTTTAAGTATTTCTCCCAACTTGTCAGCATAGTGCTTTTGGTTGACGAAAATGATACTCTGACCAATCTTTAGGGTTTCATAAATATTCTGAATGAGCTTAATTTTTTCTTCTTCATCTTTACATCTAACTGCAAATTGTTTCATTTGCTTTAGAGTGAGTTTTTCCTTTGGAATGAGAATGGACTTGACAGGTGGAGGGACAATCGCTTCAGCAAATTCTAAAATCTTTTTTTCCTTTTCAGCTGAATCTTCCTCATCTTTTTTAGCTTGCTTTCCATTGTTGTCGTCTTCTTCTTGATAGGTTGCTGAGAAGAGTAGAACTCGGCATTGTTTTGGAAGAGCATTCTTAATCATCATGGCTTGACTTTTCAATTGACCTTCTAACATTTGGTCGGCCTCATCCAAAACGAACAACTTGATAGCAGATACAGCAATGTTTTTACGTCTGATCAACTCTTCAACTTTTCCTGGAGTTCCAATCACAATTTGGGCATTGATACTACCAGTGTATCGTTCTCCTTTAGAAACCAACAAGGATTTAATTTTTGTGTGTTGTCCTAGTTCATTCACAACATCATGAATTTGGGTGGCTAATTCAAAGGTTGGACAAATACAAATCGCTTGTGGTGCTTGCTGATTTTCGTCAACATGTTGAAGCATACCCAAAGCAAAACAAGCAGTCTTACCGGTACCACTCTGAGATTGTGCAATCAGGTTAATCGACTGCTCGAGAATGATAGGAAGTGTTTTAGCTTGAATATTTGATGGTTCTTTGAATCCGGTAGAATAAATACCTTGCAAAAGCTCTGGTTTTAGTTTCATGCTTTCGAAGGTAGTTTGTTCACTGTAGAGTGGATTGTTTGGATCATGTTGTTGATCGGTAAGATCCACAGCTACTCGTATTGTTCATCACAATGTACGCCAATAAATATTCAAAATGTATGACGTGAGACAGTGATGATGTTGTCATATCGTGTCAATCGACAACATGTTGTTGTAGTCAAAAGTAAGCCACATCGGATGATGATAATATTTTTGGTTGGTAGAATGTGTATCATTTCATACAACAAAACCCACATCAACCATTCAATGTATTATCATTAATATTCATCCAAATATATGATGACCAACATCATTGGAATTTTGAGTTCCAAATTCCATTCAAAATTTATCAAAATCATCATCATCAGGGTCGAAATCGGTCAAAAGTAAACCAAAATCCCAACACGTATCATCCAAAATCAAACCTTTCAAAATCCACGCGCATCGCCAATTCAACACCTACCAGTAACAGATGATGATGAAGGAGTAACCACACTATCTGCCCAATTATCACCCTCCTTCAAGGTCATATTTTTGATTTCCTTCTCAATGTCTGCGGTCGTTGCGTTGTTACTCATTTTTTTTTGAATCTTTTTCTGAATAGAGACGATCACGTTTTTTTTGAGGGAAGATTCCAGTTGGTTGAAGGTGGAGAAATCAGGTTAAAATTATTTTACTTGATCATCATCTATTTTCTCTCTAGAGAGGACGTTATTGATAGGTCAGAGAAGGTAAGATTTTGATCTCAATTTTTTCTTTCTCATCGCCCCGCGCTGAAGGAGAACTTTCTCGGAGTATGAGTATTCTTTGTAGCAAACACACTCCGAAAAAAAAATTTCAAAATCTCTAGGTGCAGATTTTTTCATTTTTCTCCTGCTTCTTTTTGAAATTGATTTTCATTGACGATTTTGCACCTCTTCTTCTTCTTCTTTTCAGATTCGGATAAAACTCAATTTTCTTCTGTTTTCAAAAAGCATCATTATGTCTTCCCCGAGAGCATCAACAGCAGCAGTAAATACAAATTTGGGTTTATTATGGAGAGCCATGATTGTTGGCCTCTGTTTAATGGTTTTCTCCGTACTTTTCGTATCGGCCGATGATAACTCAGCAGAAGTGAACATTCCTCCCTATAAAGAGTATCATGTGGATTTGGAATTTTTGCAACCGAGTCAAAGTTCTTGCACGACCTATGTGTTTCCAGGAGTTTCCTATTGCAATTTTATCTTTAATCAATATATTACTGTAGATATGCCTCCAATGAATCCATCCGATAAGCAAGGTAGGTTGTTGTGAGTGAATGAGCTCATCCATGGTTGTTGATTACAATGTAATGGATATTTAATTGTTGTTGTTGGATAACAATAATAATATTATTATTTCACACGTCCATACACACTTGTGTGATAATTATCACCCCATATGGTTTCACAATTTTACTTTTCCAATGTTTCACACCCCCACATGATGCTGAACAGGTTCCGATGGAGTTCAAGTTTTCATTACACCAAAACTTCCAGTATCATCAATTCCATCCTACAAGTATCTCTCTCCAAAGCATATTAATTATCACAATGGCACTCAGGTGGAAGATATTTTCGATGTGGAACCAGAAATTATTACCTATGATAATTCTGTTTATCCTCCTGTCAAACTTTCACAGCTCAAGTTTAACTATTACAGGAATTATACAAATCCACAACGATTTGAAATTTCAATTCAAGTTATGGGAATGATCAAGTATTTGACAAATAGTACTGTGAGAGATTCTGGAAATCGTACAGAAATTAATACTCTTGAATTTCCACTTGTCACTAATTACACTGTCCCATTTGTTAACGAGAGCGGTGTTGTGGCGTCTGTTCATTTCCCTTATCAGGGACTTAAAAGTTCAGGAATTAATATCGTTTCACCATCCAAGTATAACATTTTTGCAATTAATGGAACTCTGATTTATCACTTCTCTCAATCAGCAGAAGAAATTGTGACAGAGGGTGCCATGTCACCATTCAGTGTGAGGTTTTTATCACAATATCCAAAATGTGATGTCATGTTGACACCTACAATTGCCATGTGGGCCACAACAGGAACCATTTCAGTCTTGACACTACTTGTGGTTTCTGTGAAAGGAGTGATTCAAATATTCCAAACAAAGAGTAGACGAGATGGGTACAATCCTCAGTCAGATTAAACACTCCATGATTTTTCATGCTACTGACTGTCTATTAAGAACATGTATGTGAGAAAACTCACAGAATTTATTTATTTCATAAATACAGTCCTTATATTCTGAAAAGTTCCTTATAATATGTTACCAAAAAAATTAGTATATCGCTAATGAATAAGGAGTAGTGGTACGTATTACTTTGCCGCTGAAGCTCTCACTTAAACTTAACCTTGCTGTGAAAAACTCAACATCCATCTTGATAATTGAGGTCTACTCATTTGCTCACTATAAACTTGTGTCTCTGAATTATTTTTACTCCATTTGGGAATAATAAGTAGATGGTGATGAGGTGGAATGATTGTTTAACATATGATGAATCTCAATCTTTTCAATTTGGATCTCATTAGTCTCATCGAGATGACTAGCTCTATTCTTCTTCCATCTTCTTTTGAGGCACAAATTCCGTACTTTCACAATAATGGGCTTTAACATTTGTTTCCAAATTCCATCCACATACAGCATTGTAAGTGTTTCTTTATCGTGCAACAAATACACGACATAGATTTCAAATAAATCTGACAGGACGAAACCAAACAAAGTAGATCCAAAGAAAACCAGAGCTGTCACCGAGTCATATCCAAAATAAAGTGTCACCACCGAGAGAAGTGCTGGAATTAGTTGACTAATGGACATGATTAAATATTTGGTTGATATTGAAATGTAATTGGTTTTTCTAAACGAGACATCGGACGCTTTCTTCATTTGTTTGCTAATAAGCATGGACAAGATAATAAATCCTAAATTTGTAAAAACTGGAGGTAATGCCACAAGAGTTAAAATTAAAGGAATTAAAACATCACCTGCTGAACTACTTGCAAGTCGATAGGATTGTTGTTGCTCGTAAAAAACACTGGGGCTTGTGAGTAAAATGATCGTTATCACAAATATTCCTAACGTATTAATAATAAGAAGTGAATAACTTAAAATGATGAGTGCTACTGAGCTCTTAAATAGCTTGGCTTTTGTGAAATCTTGAATAGGTTCACTATTTCTTATTTTAGATCTTGGGTCATCATTATTCTGTAGCAAGGCATAGAGTTTCAATTTTTCGTACAATTGATTCCATGATATCAAAACTGGAACAAACACATATTCAAATCCAAGAGAATCCATAACGTGTCGAATTAATTCAAACACAAACATCATGCTTGGTTTGTCAGATAATAATTCTGGATCTGGAATGCTTAAAAAAGTGACAAATGCCAATCGAGTGAACCAAAGAGGAACAACTGACACTAGTTTTAGCATGAGTTGAATATCCTTATAGAAATATCGACCTCTCTTGAAAATTTCATATGCGAGAGGTAATACTAAAACTGTGAAAATCACAATAAAAAGAAGACCTTCTGCTATAGCCTCAATATGGTATTCCTTAAACTTCAAATAAAAAGGAAAAATAAAACTCGAAAGAGTGTCACATCGAGACGCATATTGATCAAAATCGTAACAATAGCATAAAAATGGATTTCCAGAAAATTGCAAATACTGATCCAATGCCAGTGAAGGGTAAAATATTGGAAAACCTCTCTTTCCCAAACAAGTTCTTTCTGCTGCTCTTGTTGGGTAATTCACCATGAATGGACATTTCAAATCACGTGTTTTTTTTCTAAAGTTTGATTGAGACGTGCAATATTGACATCGATTTGCAATTGCAGAGAGAATATAGAGATCATTATAAAAATTTGTTCTCTCAGTTGTGTTTGTATAAATGGAATGAAAATGGAGTTGTCGTAAATAATCCTTGAATGGATCCATCAATATAGTGCGTTGTGAGTTCTGGTGGAGGTTATTTTGTGAGTAATATTGACAAAAGAATTGTTCACATGATTGAAAATCAACAGATCCCACCAATCGTAGTAACCTATTGGTGTCACTCAACCGCATTAATTTTTCCTTAAATAGTGCATCATCTTTTTCACAAATATCAAAATTAGTATTTTCTGCATGAACGACTTGAAAAACACTCATAATGGGATAAAACAAGTGTTCTCCTTCAACAAATAAATTTCTTTTTTCTTGCTCAATTTGTTCCATCACTTGTCGATAATAAATTCCAAAATTTGAGCGTTTCACATCAGCATGAGATTGAAAATACATAATTTTCTCACATTCCACTTTTCCTATCGTAGGAGCCATTAATCGATCATTAAAAAAGTTGTCGTATTGGTTGATCCCTAAAGTATCATTTAAAACATATGGATATAGAGTTTCATATCGAATGGTGCTTTGCGTAAAGTTTGTCACGTAGGAACAATTTTGCCACAATTTGGATGCATCTGAGAGAACACGTGGTCCAGTGTTGATGGATTGAAATTTCCATGTGTGTGCTATTTTCTTGAGTGCAACGTTCATTAAGGTCTCTGCGGAATTTTGTTGTCCATCATCATCATCATTTTGTTTATGATGAGAATCATGATGAAACGCTTTCCAACTATTGAAAAATATCATGGTGGTTCCGATCACACCAATCATGATGAAAAAAGTAGAGAGAATGATCGGGAATAAAAAGGAAGTTTCTGTGGTGCTATTGTTGTTGTGGTGGTGATTATTATGGTTAGAATGAGGAATAAAGCCTTTTGTCAAGTGATGGCATTCGTGTTTTGTTTCAAGTTCAAAAGAAGAAACGCGGAAAATGTTCGAATCTGAATGAAAGAGTTGTTCCTTCTTTTCTTCATCCTCCTCGTATTCCTTCTCTCGGACGCTCGTTGAAAATGGCGGTGATGAAGATAACGACTGAGCGTTCAAAAAACGTTGAAATTCCACAAGAGTCGAACCTTCTTCCGGTTTCTCCATTTTTTATTTTTTTGGAACTTTTCCAGTTTTTACTGACCTAATTGACCTAATCGAACAAAAGAAAATGATATCCTCTTCTTATGAGAAAATCATCAGTTGCATCTTGCATGCTATATCCTCTTATGAGGAAATGCATACTAGTTCACAAAATTTTGTGAAATGACAATTTCTGTGAAATTAAACAAGTGATAAAAATCACAAGTAATGACATTGAGGAGTGTGGTGTTGTAATCTTGAGAAATCCATTTTGGTAATTGTTGAGCGACTATATAGGAGAGATCTAACACAGAATACGGTCGTTTTGTAAATCCATTGACAAAATCTAAAATTCCTGGAGTTAATACGAGTTGTAAATTTAAAAAGTGATGCATCACTTGTTGTCTCTCCACTAAAACTTGAACATTATATTCATTTAAATAATCAATATTAGTAGTATCGGCCCAAGTATAATCAATCTGTGAGCTATTCCACAAATAATTGGTGACAGATTTAGGAATGACATTTTCACTATAGAACGCATAAATTCGTTTCGAAGTATTCCATAAATGTTCCAATTTTGTTTGTAGTTCAAATTGTGAAGGTTGAATGAGTAAATGATTGAGAGTGTTTGCAATATACATGGCAAAAAATTCATGATCTTCTGCATTCATACCATAAAAATGATTAAAATCCAAGACGATAAATTCATAAGGAGAAATATTGGTCAAAAAATCCACCACTTGTTCTAATACTTCTGAAATGTAGGATCCAAAATAATTGTGACAAGATTTGAATCGATTTTGAATGAAAGGTTCTCTTTCATCTTTGCAAATTCTAATATCGAAATATCGAATGCCATGCATTAATTGTTGAGTGACATGACAACTCTGAGTGTTGGCCCATGGAACCATAATCATGTACATGAACGGCTTTGAAACAAATGGAAGATTAAACAATTTTAAAAGCATCGAATCAATGTCATTTGAAAACAAGAGTGATGATCGATTATTATAAAAATTAATATCATAGGTGAGAGAATCATGCGTTCCAGGAAGTAACACTTGATTGAGTGTCTTATTTTTGAGTTCATTGTAATGATCGGCCATCCACCGAACTGTCCAGTGTGTGGAATTGACCACTTCACACAAAGAACTAAGATTTTTTTGTGACAAGACCTGAATGATGGATTGTTTCAAATACCAAGGCAGTGTCGTTGAGGAGGAAGAAGAAGAAGAACTAATGCTACTACTACTACTACGACCAGCATTCGTCGACATGGTAGTGGTGGATGAATTTAGTGTTCCATCAGAAGTGGTGGCAACTGCAGAGATTGGCCAATGATCATGAAAACGATCCACCATTAATAAATTTTTCAATGATGGTCTCCGAGTGTGAAATTTCAGTCTTTCATGAATGTTTTGATCTCGTTGTTGAATTTTGGAAAAGAGAGACGAGGAAGAGAAAGAATTCGTAGCAGTGGTGAGATATTGTTCGATCCAATCCAAGACGAATGTGGTCGCTGAATTGGTTCGGAATGAATACATCCATGTCATGAAGAGTGGTGCAACAAGGAGAATGAAGAGGATGAAGTGACATGGATTCAATGGACAGCATTTGAACTTTGTTTTTTGGTCGTTCGTCAAATTGAGTGATGCCATTTTTTTTGAGGTTTCAAATGAAAATGGAAAAAGTAAACTATTGTTACTTTCAGAATCATCAAATACAGCAAGGATAGTATTGAATTGCGAGAAGTGAAATCAATTTAAATAATTATAATAAAAAGTAAATTCAGAAGAGAAATTTATGAATTTTTTGTTTTTTGAAAAGAAAAATATGTCTCAACAATCATCATCATCGTTGTCATCTTCTTCATCAAATAGTAGTATTAGTGGAGATGAGGATTTATATCTTCGTTCTTTATTTGCTCATAATTCACCTGATGCATGTTCTGGATTATTCCGAGGTGCTCAACAAGAAAAACAATTAAAAGGAGTGGAAGGAGGATTTCATACACTCTATGTCGGATGTTTATTGAAAATGTTAACCAAGCCATCGGATCCACTTAATTATTGTTTACCATCGTTTATAAAAGTTCCACAAAATCCAATTGAAAATTCATCTGATAATAATAATACGGATCAAAAGACAGAAGCAAAAATTGATGATGAATTATCAATAACAAAATTAAAGAAAGTTAATGAGTGCATCGGAATGGACATTCAAACAACCGCACATTATCTTGAAGAACTGGAAAGAGTAGTTTCTCGGAAACCAGCTCAAGCTCTTTCTCATCTGAACAGAATTAGTTCTATTAAAAATAATTTGCAATTAGAGGAATCGGACTCGGTGGATGCTATTCGGAATAAGGTTCGAAGTGCTGTTGAAATGAATTGTGCCGAAACTTTTAATGAAATTGAAACAGCTCAGTCACTGGATAGTCAAGCCTACTCCATGTTTAAAGCTCACCTTTGTTTATTTGGCTCTGTTTGCAAAAGACAATTCCAAAATTGTGTCACTACACATACTTCACATAGGTCATTTGCCAAATGCCTGGAGAATGCCGAACAGATGAAATGTTTCAAGCTTTACAAAGATGTTGACTTTTAAAATGTTTAGCAAAACAACAGATTTTGCCATTGTTTTTGATATTGATGGTGTTGTTGAATATCATATGATTTGGCTAAAGAATGAAAATAAACTAATAGTCATTGGTTTTTTAATAAATAATTTTGAGTGACACATTTACAATTCATCCTTCTGCTTTTGCTCATTTGTTGATTGTTGTTCCTGCGAGTTGGCAGTATTTTCCTCAGTCTTTGTCTCTTCGTTTGTGGAAGGTATGGTGGTTTCATTTGTTTCATTTGTTGCAGGTTTTTCAGGTTTTGGAACAGGTTTCTTGGACAACAAGAAGGCCCGTTCAGAAACCTTGCCACATTGCTTCTTGATATCTTTTGCACGAACAGTTGGTGCTTCATAAAGTGGGGATCTATCTTGCTTGGCGAGAATTGAAGTAATGTTCATCTCTGTTTCCTTGTTAAATTGGTGAAGCTCGTTCAACTCATCCTCAGTAATATGCTTTTGATTTTCTCTCATATAATGAATTGCATAGTTTGTGGCATTGAAAACACTCTTACAATAGCTGAGAGCTTCTTTTCTTCCCTTGTGCTCGCGCCATCTATCTTGAATAGGATCAGTCAAATCAGTGAGAAGTTTGAGCTTGGATGTAAAGAGATCAACTCGAGATGGCTCCACAACTCCCTCTTCGTCATTCTCGCCGAGCCATACTTCAAGCTCATCAATGACAGTGTTAATTTCATCCCTTTCTTTGGTTGTGAAAAAACCCTTGTAGTCTGGGTTGTCAAGCAACTTCTCTCTGGTTGAGTACAGAGCAGATTCCAAATTATTTCTAGCTGCAGAAATTCTTCTCTTCAATGCTTCAAAATCTTCCACGTTTTTCACCTTTTCTCGAGATGCCTTTAATTGTTCTGGAGTGAGTGGCTTGATCACGGAAATATCAATAAACTTGACATCGAGGGCAACCTTGGTCACTCTGGTGTCTTTCTTGTAGACTGGTTCAGTTTTGGTTTCATTCGAAGTAGTGGTGTTATTGCTTTCAACTCTCACGGTAATTGTTTCCTCGAGAATGGCATTGACTGAGTCTAACTCGACCAAACCAAACTTGTTCACCTTAAATGTTGCCTTAACCTTCTTTTTCTTTCCACGTTCATCTTCAAAGGTCCAATTCGACATGGCTTTGGTAACTCCAGTGATTTCATAAGTGGCAAAGGCAGCATGTTCTGTTGAGTAACCAGATGGAAGGTACTCTGAGGCATATTTGAGAGTAATTGTGAAATCTTCAGTTCTTGGAACAGTGATTGTCTTCTTTGCATCAATTTCGTCTTTGTGGTTGAAAAGGTTAATTTCTTTGTCGTTGCCTGATAACAAGAAATCAACTTTGTGTGGAACGGTATCAAAAATTTTGAATGCAGTAACCTTAAATGATGGAGAGAGCATGGCACCATAGAAGCTGGAACCCATAGCTATGGCCTCGTCAGCGTTAAGACTGTATCCCACCATCAACTTGGATCCTACAAATTTAGAAATTCTATCTTGAACTGCTGGAATTCTAGAAGAGCCTCCCGACATTTCAAAAGCATCAATATCATCCAATGTCAAGTTGGCTACTGACAAGGCAGCAGTAATAGGTTTAGTCAATCTATTGAGTAACTGTTCACTCAACTTTTCAAATTCTTCCCTGGTAATTTTGATTGACAAATCTCTATCATTGTACAAGTTTTCAATCGATAGATAGGCATCATTATTTGCACTAAGGATATGTTTGATTTTTTGGGATTCTTCGACAAGTCTTGTGAGTGGTCGAACTTCTTTTCTAGGATCCGACTTGTGCTTATCAATGAACTTTTCAGCAAAAAAATCTGCCAAAACATTATCAAAATGGGAACCACCCAAATTTTCGTCAGATGCAAAACCCAAAATCTTGATATTTCCAAGTGAAGTCTTCTCTTTGCTTTGGGTATATTCAGCAATACTCACGGTAGTGCTAACTGAGCCAATGTCGTAGAACAATGCGACGTGGCGTGGCTTGGTCAATTCCTTAATTATTTTAGCACTCTTAATTCCGTATTGTAAAGCTGTAGCAGTATGGTCATGCATTAAAGCTAATATTTTGATATTAGCAATGGAGGCGGAGTCTAAAATAGCCTGTCGTTGGGCCCTTGTGAAAAAATGTGGAATTGACACAATGGCATCCGTGACAGCTGCTGTCTTTCCGTCATCTGCTAATTGTTTGATATACAAGAAAATCATGGAAAGAAGCTCTTCAGGTGAATAGGTTGCATCATTTGAAAATTTAACATCTACTGTCCCTCTCTCTTCATTCTTCACTAGCGAAACTGGAACCTTCAATTCATTGTAGCGACGAGAAACTTCGTTGAGTTCCAAGTCATAGCTCTTGCCAAGTGCAAAATTCAAAAAGCGCAACATTTTGTCAGGAAAACGAGCAACCATGGTATAACCAGCCTCTCCGATGTACCTATCTTTTCCTCTAAAACCAATAATATTTGAAGTTTTACGTTTGGATTGCTCATTGAGCACCAAATCAATTGGCGAGCCCGACTTGGCAATACCAACTTTCAACCATCTCGAGCCAAGATCAATTCCTACTATTGGACCTTGATGGGATGGTTCGACCAGGATGTATGACAAAATTATAACAAATAATGCTACGGAAATCAATGTACCCACTCCGGAGCTCCGTGGTGTTGTAAAGCCGAACATCATCCTACACAAAAATCAATCCGATGATGATAGTTAGATGCGAGACGAAGGATCTAGAAGGCGACGACAAGAGCTGGAAGAATGTTGTATTTTTTTTACAAATTGAAAAAAACTCGCGTGTTCCGAAGTGTGGAGGAAACACGTGTCCCGTCGTGATGACTCATGGATAATGGTCTTGGAAACAAGGTTAATAAATGTCGTTCTAAAACATTTTCAGTCCTCATCAAACTCTTGGAAATAAAGCAATTGTATCATCTCAAACCATGAATTGAAGGTTCATTTTGCAATGCTTGAAAATTGTGTCAATTGACTTGATCTGTATTATGATGAGGAATCAACAACAACCTGAATGCCAGGAGCATCATGTGAGGGCATCAATTTGATAAGCGACAAAAACCTTCTTGATCAATTTTTAGAGAACCACATGTCTCAGTATTCTTCAATTCATTGTTGTATGGTGGATAAATCCACATTAAAGACGAACGTATATAAGTCAGTTTATTGTAAATCCAGACAACAATAAATCAGTTAACTAAGGAAACTTTTGATTCATTAATAGGTGAAAGTGATCATTCCTGTGGTCAAGCCTGCTCCGGTTCCAATCATAAACACATTGTCTCCTCTTTTAATTCTTCCATCGTGAATGCCTTCGTAGAGAGCCATTGGAATACTTGCAGAAATGGTGTTTCCAAACTTTTCCAATGTTTTGACAATTTTTTCAGAAGGCCATCCTAACACATCCGACTTTTAAATTAAGGATAAAAATTAAGGATTCATTCACATTGACACAAATATTACGTGAAGAGCATGAAAGTATGTATACTTAAAAAACCATATAAATGAAACCTACCATCACATGGAATGCTGCATAACTTGCCTGATGAGGAACAACCCAATCAATTCCTTCCAAATTTCCACTCGAAAGACCAGGTTGATAGTCTTCCATCACTCGAATCATCCGTGACGCAGTAAATTCTAAAATCTTTTTTCCATTCATATCAAAATACATGTAATTGGATGGTGTATAGACATGATTGGGATGAAATTCACTTCCTCCAGATCGAATCGATGTGTAGTCAGCTCCATCACTGTAAGTGGAAAATAAATATTTTGAGAGTCTACTCTTTTCACCAGGTTTCGATCGAGTCAACACAACAGCAGCTGCACCATCTCCAATTAATCCTCCAGCATCTACAAGATTTTTCAATGACAAGATTACGGGAAATTCCAATTTCCATTAGTATTAAATAGTGTGACATCATAGATCAGTTCCATTGAATTGTTAAATAATAATACATGATTTTTCAAATATGAAATTCGTTTTCATCCTTAAACACAAATACCTACGTGGATTTTCCTCAAAATTTAATCCAACCGTACTAATCTCAGCAGAAACAATTAAAATCGTTTGATACATTCCACTTGCAATTAATCCTGCACACATGTGAAAAGCACTCATAAAAGACAAACAAGTCGAGTGAATCGATAATGAGGGCTTTCCACTCTCACTCAAACCTAGTTCTTTGTGTAAAAAACATGAAGTGTCTATATGATAATTTGTGCAAGGATGGTGAGTTGGTTTTTGAAACATTTTCACACAAAGTAATATCATGATTGGTTGTATCAATATCAATGCATCCATTCACTCGTTACATGACAACACTCACTTACCTGGAATGGTTCTTTGAGGTGTACCCGATGCATTCACAATGAGATCAATATCATCTGTGGTCATTTCAGCATTTTTCAAAGCTTCCAAAGCTGCCTGAGCACCCATCCATGAAATAGTCACTTCCTTTTCTTTCAATTCTTGAGCTTGTTTAGAGGAGGAGGTGATATTCATTTCCTCTTTGGAAAGAAATTGTTCAACATTCTTGGCAAATTTCTGTTTTCTAACTTTTAACACATGTTGAACGCTGTTGGCCCATCTGTGATTTTTTTCAAAAGAGCATGTTCATCCAATAATGGTATTGAAATGGTATAGAAGAAGAATTGGCATTATTCATCCCATTTCAATCATGTCGTTGTTCAACAATGATGACACGACAACAACGATGATGATGATACCATTCAAATTCAATCAAATTGATTGCAACATTGAATAATCGTTTTAAGATGCTCAACAACACACACATACGAGCAAGCAACTTACCTTCTCTCTTTAATTCCGGTCGTTTTCTCAGTGAAACCTTTTGGTTTTCCACACAAAATATCAATGGTGCTACTCGGAACAATATGTGGAGGAAGATAACGGCCAATGCCAGCAATTTTCACGGGCAGCGAGACTTGTTTTGGAACTAATCGGATGTGCTGATCGGAGTCTTCACCCTCTTCTAATGGTTCATTCTTCATGTTTTGAGTGGTCGTGGTAGATTTTGTGGTTGGACCCGAACAATGATTCCATTCCATCGGAGTGGTGGAGGTAGAAATATGATGAGAATGGATATTATTATTATTATTTTGAGGGAAGAGATGTTGTAACAACATTTGGCTTCTTCTCATGCTACAATGATGAAGAGTATGGATACTGGTTGTTGGGTCATCATCACCACACGGAAAATAATTGTTGGAATGATTCATTTTGATTTCCAAGTGTCGTTTTTTTGACGAAATTAATGTGCGATCCACGAAGAAATGCACTAAACCTGTAGGTTGGTGTTGATGAATGTCTTTCACTGGGTTTCTTATTCCCCAAGTTCGACAAGGTTGCGCTTGAGTTTCTAAACACATTCAGTTTATTTATTGTCTTGCTTTGTTGCAGATGAAAACATTGCCGAAAGGGGAAGGACGTCCTAAAAAAATGAAGGCGAAATCCTTTGACACCATCATCATGAAAGTGGATGGCCAATCAGATATGAATATTACCTCAATACTCATCAAAGAAGAAATTTGGGAAATAAATTATTTTATTATGATTCACGTGTAGAGAAATATCATGTTGGGAAATTTGTACACTTTAGAGATTCATAGGATGCCAAAGTTGCAACTGGAATGATGTTATCGATAACAATCTCAGTCTAAAAAGAAATTACATCATTCTCGTTTGGTGTTCGAAAGGTTTATTGAAGCTGAAACATCTTTTAAATTTGCAAATAAGGGTGGAGCTTATCAACTGTTATTAGATTGCATACATCCAATCGAAATAGACTCTTTTAAAGGAGATGAAAGTGAATTTTTTCGTATCAATACCAAATATCACAAATTATTACAATTATCAGCTCTTTATGGCTTCAAGATGAATGTGTAAGTTTAAAACTAATTTGCAAAGTTTTGAACAAGAAAATAAGAAATGCCTCAATGAGCAATATCATTAATCATTCAGAAACCTTCTCTAAGGAAGTAAGCGAGATATTAGAGAGTAGTATTAAACCTGAAAACTTTACTGTGTTCGAATTACAAAACAATGAATCCTTCCACAACATTAGGGTAAAATTTGGACATGAAGATAAAGATGTGCTCATCCAGATTTTTTGAAAGTTGTGGCTATTATAAAAATGTTTCATAATACATTGCTCCAAAATATGAAACCCTCTGAAAACCATGTATCCGAGATCGAGGATTTGGTAACTTATGGATTATTGACAGAAAAGAAATTTGTTCGCGTGATTGGAATTAAGGCGTTTTTTCCAGAAAAACAACTATCTGTCAGTTCTGATTTTTCAAAAGGCGATAAGCTGGTTATTGGTTGGCACAAAACAACAGACACATTATTGAAAACAACCATTACACTGAAAGAGTATCTTTTCGAAATAAGTACCATGACGGGTCAAAATAATATTCCAAAAGATATTTTCTTAGGTGTGATTGTTCATTCCTCTCAACCAGTTTTTGTTAAGATTTTCCATACGGATAGACCCAAACTACCCTTCGGTAATATATTTCTTCCGATTGAAAAAGTGGAAAAGAAGGCCTTGCCCTCAATACATGGAGATATCACTCCAAGGAAAGGAATTGAATAGCATTGCAAAAACAAGATCACACGCAGAGAAGATGCATATTATCATCCAATTACTTTTAGAAATTGATAACATTCACGCAAAAAAAAATTATTCATTTTGCTCTCTTTACGGCATATTGATACAATCAACTGCTGGAAGATCGAGTCATAATCTCGAGTGTCAACTGTTTGAGTAATTGTGAAAATAAGAGGAAAAGTGAGAACACAGGTCACCAAGGTTATAACAACCTGAATCAAAGAAAGTCAAAAAGTAGCCCTATCCAAGTCATTCAAAAGTCCCTTAGATGATTTCAATTAATTAAGAGAATTCTCATGACTGCAGTTGTTTTGAGATGCAGTCAACTGAATCCTTTAGCATCGATGTGGACTTGGAAAGGATTTCAGTTTATTATACTAGTAACCAAAAACCGTTGTCCAAGATGAAGGTTATTGGTATTGAAGTAAATTCTTCATAATTTTACATCAAACAGAAATCTTTATTAAAAAATTAGGGCTTTTTCATTTACCAGTGTTTGGGTGCAACAACAAAGTTCCCTTCTCTTTTTGAAATTCAAAAAAAAATGAAAGCCAAGTCCACAGAGGCAGCATCATCCTCTTCACTCCTCCTCAACAACTCCATCTCACTCTTGAAGAAGAAGAGAAAAACCACAGCAACAACAACCTCATCATCGGACTCAAAGCAAGTGAGCTCGGAACAGAAAAAAGGCTCTATTAGAAAAATTATCTCAACGATATAACAAGAAGGAAATTGATCCAGAGAATGATGAGGCTACTTTTGAGGATCAACAAGCTCGGAAAAAGTATCAACATGATGACGAGAATGAAAATAGCGCAGATGATGGTGTGAGTGAGAATAGAATTTCAATGCTTCGGTCATTGGATGAATCGCTCACTCAAGGTATATACAAGGGTCACACCATTCGGAAAGAAGACTTGTTTGACGATGGTGATGATTTGAAAGAAATTAAAGAACAAGAAGACTATCTTGAAGAAATTAAACGACTTCAACAATTGCAAGATAGCGACGACGAAGAAGAAAAACGTCACGATAACGAACACATGGAAGAAGACGATGAGGATATCATGCAACAAATTCACGATATTGTGGAAGAAGATTTCAACAATGATGACAATGTTGAATCTTTGAAGAAGTCTAGAATTTTGGAAAAGAAAAAAAGCAACTAGTGTGTTAAATCAAAAATTACTTTACGATCACTTGTTAAAGATTAGAATCTTGTTGCAGAAGCCACTCACGGCTTGTAACAGGCTGCCTCAAAATGATAACTTTTGGGACTTTGTTGAGACGGTCGATGATATTTTAGGAAACAAAAGTTCTACTTCAAATGATACGTCCAAAGAATCCACTGAGAAAAAGGAAGAGAACACTTCAAGTGAGGACATGCAGGAGCAAAATGGCGATACCACTGGAGAGAATTCTGAAAATTTGACAATACCGAAACGTGTTACAGCCTTGCAGAAAGATTTAGTGCACTTGATTGGCGACATGCTTTCACTTCAAAGTGAATTGCAAGAAAAGGGAATGGTTGGAAAGAATTCTGACAGTGACCATAAAATTGATGGCCTATATTTACAAGAATTTTTAAGCCAAAACAAGGAGGGAGATATTTTTGAAAGAATTTGGAACGTTTTGGACGAGTCCAACAAGAGTATTGAAAAATTTAGAAGCGAATCCATCGAACGATGGGCAACAAAAACCAAAATCCAATCGAACGTGGGTGGTAGTTCTTCAAAGTTAAATCTCAAAGTCATCAACACTGGAATCATACAGCAAGTCCAAAATGCATTATCCAATCCAAAAGAGAAGAAGAAACTGGTCAACCGTACCCATGTGAAACAATTCGAAGGTAGTGTTCTTGGAAAGAGAGAACGTGACATAAAATATCATGAAGAAACAGGTTTAGAAGTCGACTCTGAAATTTTCGATGATAAGGACTTTTATCAAGTCTTACTGAAAGATTTAATTTCTGAAGTAGGAGGTGCTAGCTTAGGATCAGAAATTTCATTCCGTAGAGCTCTCTCAAAGAACAAGACGAAAAAGGCACAATACACTGGAAGGACAAAGGGAAAAACCATCCGTTATACGGTGCATAATGAGCTTGTCAACTTTATGGCACCTAATCTTGATAATGAGATTCCAGAATCTGCAACCACTCTCTTTGCAAACTTATTTGGAGGTGACACGGTAGAATTCATCGATGAAGAGGAAGAACAAGTGAATGATCAAGAAGAGGACACAACTTCTTCCAATAATAACCATACCAATGAAGAGAATGGAATGTTGACCGATTCCGACTCTGAATAAATCGATTTCAGCCACTGATTGGATTGTATCCAAGAATTTCGAAATTCGGATCGCTGAATAATCTCTTTCCATCCTTGAACTTCAAGTCCTCATGAGGAGTTGACTTTGTAGTAACAGTAGCATTAAAAAATTGTCCACTCCGAATCATTTGTCATCGACCACCAAAACTTTTATACAAAAAAACGACCACTAGTACTGAAGGAAGCACCAACAACAAGAACGCACTCATTTCTGGAGCTTCTTTTCTCACCTCTTTATCGCTCAACTCTCAAACCTAAAATACACTCTCCTGACAGCTGTCAGTCAATACCATGTCCTCCTTCGAATTGACTAAACATCACCAAGACAACAACATGACCGTCTCGGATTCAAGTCCCACTGTCTCATCATCAGCGGCGGCACCACGTGGTCTCGACCATGCTCCTCATCATCTCCTCTCCGAAATGATGACCAACATTGGCGTGAGTGTTGCCGATCTATCGAAAAAACATGTCGTCCTTCTCATCTTTCTCCGATACTTTGGTTGTGTCTTTTGTCAGAGAAATATTGTTGAAGTGGTGAATTGTCTCTCAAGTTTAATCAAATTCAATTGTGTGCCTGTCTTTGTGCATCAGGAAAGTGAGGAAGAAGCGAATAAATTCTTCTCCGAGGAGGGAATGCCTCAACCTTTGAAAGTGGCTGATCATGAAGAGGAGAAATTACAGAATTCTCATCGATCCAGTGCTGGCTCAATCCATGATGAAGAGAATACCTTGAACAATAATGGAAAAGAGAGTCATCGATTGACTCATCTTCCTCTGCATAGTCGAGCGGAGTTGATGAAAAAGTTTCTCCGAGTTTCCGATCCGGAAGGAAATTATTACTATCAAAAATTTGGAATCAAGACGAGTTCCATGAGTGATTTCTCAGGAAACATCAAGACCATACTCGAGACCATTCGATTGTCCGTCACACAGGGCTACAAGATGAGTTCGAATCTTTCCGAAAGAGCCTCTCGAACTCAATTGGCAGCCACGTTTGTGGTGGCTCATGGTAAGATTGTGAATCAGTATTTTAATGAGACGGCCTATGTCGTGCCAGATGTGTTGGAAATTTTGTTGGATTTGGAAGGAAAATCGAGTGATAATGTATTTGAATTGTTACAACATGTTGAAGAAGAAAAAGTGACATCTGACCTTGAGGAGAACAAAGTTTGTTCATTCATGGATGCATCATCCCATACTAAAGAACACGAAGATCAATCGATTAGTACTTCTAAAAAAGCATCTCCATCCATGGTTTCACATATTAAGGAATTGGAACAAAACTTTCCAACAGCAAAGAATATTCTTGGAGGTACCAATCCATCATTTACCACAATGACCACTGCAACAACTACTGGAACTGCACGAACGACCACAACGATGACAACGACGAACACGAACAAGAAAAAGTACAAAACCAACAAAGAATCTTCCTCCTCATGTCTTTTTCGTGGTTCTCACAACAGAAACTCAACGCAAATGGATCCTTCCAAATTATTAACACTCGAAAAAGTCTTACTGAATGATGACTATCGAAAAGTATTCAAATTATTTGCTGCAAAATTGTATGCAGTGGAGAGTTTATTGTTTTGGGAACAAGCCACACGTTATCAGAACACTTCGAATGAGAAAACAAGAGAAAAAGCAGCTCGAGTGATTATTGACACTTATTTGGATCCAAATTCTCCATTGGAAATTAATACATCATCTACCATGAAACATCTCGTGTTGAATCGATATGAAAAAGAAGGTTGTGTGATTCATTTGTTTGATGAACTCATTCGAAATATGGAATCTGATTCGATCATGGACACGTATTTGAGATTTTTGGAAAGTGATCTTTGTAAAGAAAAAATATTGAAAAACAAATTGAATAAGACATGAGGATGATGATTTTGAATACAAGTCAAGAATATATATGATTGCTTTTATTGAGTAGATGTCTCTTGCATGGAAGAGAGATGGGAGAATATTTTCCATGACCTCTCACCATTAACATAACACGATTGGCACTCACACAACTATTTCAAATTTATTCAAAGAAAGCATGACTACCATGAAATGTTGTTGGCTAAAAAGCCTTTGGAGTATAATGTAGTAGTATTTGGTATTTCTTGTTGTTTTTACTCGACCCCAATGGAACGAGTTTGTTTTTGTTGTTGTTGCTCCATTTTTGGAATATTAATCTTCAACACTCCATTGTCCATATTTGCCTTAATATTATCCAAATCAACATTTTGTGGAAGACGGAATGTTCTCGAGAATTTACCCCATGATCTCTCTGTTCTATGATAGACTTCATTCTCATCGGTCTTTTCAGAATGAGTTTCACCAGAGAAGGTCAATGTTCTATTCTGATCATCCACATCAATACGAATATCTTCCTTTCTCAAGCCAGGTAGATTTGATCTCAGGCAAATAGCTTTATCTGTCTCTGAGATGTCTGTGGCTGGATTGAAGGTGTTCATCATGGTGCCACTGGTGCCCATTAAATCACCTCCAAAACCTGTCCATGGACGCATGAGAGAGGTGCTGAAGAAGGGATCATCGAAAAATGGATCTCCAAAACGATTGTAACGAGACAACATGGTGGTTCGAGGATTTTTTTATGACGTTTCTTGAGTGTATGGAATGCTAAACCTGCACGCTCAATATTAAATTTGGAAATTTGAAAGAAAAAGATTAGTAAATAACCAAATTTGGAAATCAAATTAAACGAATTTCTAAAGGAAGCAACAAGCTTGATTCAAGTGAGATCTATATGAAGAAAAACACCTCCGAAATCCAAGCAATTGTTGATTCCCTATAAAGGAATTTAATAAATCGTCTAGAGAGAGACAACATTTACAATTGTCGTAAGGCTTGGAAAATGGAAATTTCTTCTCCACCCTCAGAAGCAACGCTCAAAACCTCCTCCTCCTCTCCATTCTCCTCAGCTTTTGAACCTTGTTCATTATTATTCGAAGCAAAATCATCGGGATACATGTACTTGACAAATTCTTTTTCCAAAAATTCCACAGCAGTGATCACATCTGGTGGTTGACTGTTTAACCACGATTTCAATTGTTCCACATATTGTTTCTCCTTGTATCGAATTTTGATATTCCACAATAAATCAGAAATGTTAAGAGTTCCATCGAATTTTGCTGCCACTGATGATTTGGTTCGATCGAGAGGTTTCACAGGATTAAAATAATTGGAGGATTGTCGATTGACAGAATTGGAGAAGGGAACTGGTTCGTTTTGTTGAAGAATTTTCATCCATTTGGTGAAGGAGAGGGCTAACATTTTCATGGTTTCAACAGGCGATCGTGCACCAAATTCATTCACCTTTTTCACAACTTCCTCTCTTGAATAATAAAATCCATTAATTTTGAATATTTTCACAAAGAGAGCTAAAAGTTGGAACACAATGTGATACGTTGTTTCTGATTGTTCAACTTCCAAATGATTAAAGAAAAATTCCAAGAATAACTTGATGTAGGAAACGTCTGACATGAGTTCATCACTTGAATTCTTATCCTCTTCAAAGATCCATGAAATGATTCGCAGAGTAGAAATACTCGCTTGAATGGAGAGAATTCGTTTCCAACGATTTTGTTGCTCTCTTGCTTTTTTCTTGGAATCTCCACGGAACAATTGTGAATAACTGCATTGTTGACTTCTCAAAATGCTCACCGATGTTCGATGAGAAAGTTTGTTGACGTTGGGTGAGGAGAAACGTGACAGGTTTGGTTTTTTAGTTTCATAATGACTGTCATCTTTTGAGAAGGGAATTCCAAAACTCTTTCTTCCAACTGTATCCTTGACAGTGTTCGCTCGTTTGGTTGCTCTTGGAGAAAGAGGTTCTTTTGGAATCGAAACTGGAGCTCTCAAAGTCGAAGTACTTCGAGGGGTGGATGCCATAAAATTACTGGCACCTCCTTCATCCATAGAGTCTTCATCCATAGAGGAATAGTTTGATTTAGTATCTGTATATCTGAAGAGTTTTGGGATGGATGACAAAATCTTGATGAAGGTGCGTTTTCTCTCAGGTACTTCTTGTTTCCACCACTCACGAAATACTTTTTTCCTAGTGTTAATTAAAATGTGCAAGAAACAAACGAGAAGTGTTTGTGCCTCAGGTCTCTTTTCAGAACGATTTTTAGAAGCATCGGCCTTGGTAAGCTCTTCATAGGTTTTCCAAAGATCACAAATAATAATAATGAATGGAAAGTAGAGAGAAGCAATTTTTCGTCTTGCATCTTTTGTTTGATATCTACTGTCGTATTCATGTCTGGAAAGCAAGAAGCAAAATGTTTGTGCAGCCTTTTCTCGAACCTTTCGTTGTTTGTGAAGAGTGTCCAACAGAAATCTCTTGATAAATATTCCAGACAAGTAATGATTGTCACACATGTGATAAACAATGTAATTTCCATTCTTCTTGACATATTGTAAACAGCTACTATCGCTGTAGGACAAACATAATACAAGCAAATGATCATAGCTTGCAATGTGTTTTAAAAATATATTCTTGAGCTCTTGGAATTGTTCAAATTGTTGATCTTTGGAAGGTAAGAATTCATCCAAAAACATTTCAATTTCTGTGATGATGAATCCCTTGTCCACGAGATTTAACATTCCAGTCAACAACTGTGCATATGAAGCAACCAATACTTTAGCCATTTGCATCGAAGTCAAATATCTGAATTTGCATTCCTTTAAAACTAGAGTCCTCAGCTCTGAAAGTAAATCTACAATTTGATTGAAAGGTCCGGGTAAGTCATCCTTCTTTTTCTTTAAATGTCTCAAAGGATTGGTAGAGGAGTGATGTTGATTTAACAACTTGTTACTGTGCATATAGAGTATGAGAGATTTCTCAATTAATTGGAAATAAATAGAACTATTCTCTATGAGTAAGCTATCATTTGGTAGTTTGATAAGAAATGCATCACCGGAGGAAAGTAAATTATAAACGGACATGTTGGTGACTGCATCATTCTTTCGTTCAGCTCTTTGTTTTTGTTCATCGTCCAAATGTCTTACAAATCTCTTCAAGAGTTGCTCAAATAAAAATCCTGTGGATTCTTTGTTGTTCACGTATGATTCCTTAATGTATCTCTCAATATATTGACCTGTATTTCTCTCAGTTTTCTTCAACCCATCTAGATATGAATTTAGTAAGTCAAAAGCTTGAATTTGTACCTGTGGATATTGCTTCAATGTTATCATCAGCAAAAGTACATCCATGATTTGTGGCATGTATTGAATCAAGTTTCTAAAGTCAACCACTCGTTCCAAATTTTTCAATTTTTGATTGATATTCTTTTGGACTTCAGTCACAGAATCTCCATAAATGTTTTTCATAACTTTGACCAATTCAGTTGCAGAAAAGAATTCATACAAGTTAATATCGGTAGTATACAAAGTAGAGATTGCTTGAAAATCAACTTTAAACTCTCCTGACTTTTTTCCTTCTTCGGTTCCATGAAGGTAATTCTTTGGTGGCAATCTTTTGTAGATTGTAAGAGATTGTTTGCCATGTGTAGCGAGAAGACCATGTTTTCCTAAAAGCATGAAAGATGAATATCCAATGACTTGCATAGATTTTTGATCATTATCGCAATCAATGTCAACAAATGTGAAAAGGAAGTGATCACTTGAAGTGAGATGCTCCGGTAATTGAACTTTGATTTCATCATTAAACTCTGGGCTACTGCAATGGTAAGAAACTGTGGAATAACCTTCGTTAAATGTTTTGTTGTTCTTTCGCAAGAAAACTTTCTCGCCTTCTCCATTCAGATCCTTGTCGTCTCGTTTGAATTTTACAATAATTCCTATCGACATGTTGTCTCTCAAAAATAGAGATCGGCGCTTAAAAGTAATCGACTGAGGATACACATACAAATTATTACTGTCGGTCAATGATCTCATAAAGTTAGGAGCAAACGTGAACATTTTACACAAGTAGGCTCCGTTATTGGTGTTTGACGTTTGTTTCAAGTAAAAGGAAGTGTTTTTGAGATCGACACTGGCATCCAGTTCAGTTAAGCTATCAGATTTTGTTACAGGGGTTGTTTCAAACGATTTGCTCATTTCACAGTGAAGCTTTAAAGTCATAGGCACAATCTTTTCTTTTTTTACATCTCGTTTTTCAAAGAATTCGTAGAATGAGTGTTCGTTTCGAACTTCATCCATATAATAAAATGTTTCAATCTGCTTTGGAAGAATAAGATTTCCTTCAAAGTCAAATAATGGTTCGCAAGCCCAAGCAAAATCTTGCTGGAAATTCTGTAATTGTGGCAATAATCCATTCAAAGCTTTTGAGAATTTTTCTTCTGTGAGTTTGTTTTTAGATGGTTTGATATAGGAATCTGTAAAATCGTTTCCTTGAAGAGTTTTTGATACAATAAATAGTACCATGATATCAGAGTTGCTTGAATCTACCTCATAACCTGAGCATCGACTTCTTTTAACAGAGAGTGGATCATCTTCCTCAGCAATGTCACCTAACAGTTGTTTCATTTGCTTTGTATTGACATCACAGCAAAAAGTCTCTGAAATTCTGCGTTTTTGTTTGATATCAATTAGGTACCAATATAAATAGAGAGGTTCCATTTGTTTTCCGTTAAAGTAATCTCTAAACAGGTTGGGCTGGAAACTAAGACATTCGATAGATACATTCACCAACTCTGGATTCTTTTTTGAGAAGCCTGCATCTGTGCACGAAGTGTTTGACGTCACAGAGTGTAAGTGATAATTCTGAAGACTGTTGTAAACATGTTCATCATAGGTTTCAACGGAGGATTCTCTTTCATTCTCTTCTTCTTCGTCTTTGATAATTTGTGTCCATTTCTTGTCTGTTCCATCTCTACCGATGTGATACGCTTTCAATATGTGTCTCACTGAGTTGGCTCGTATCATTTCCTTGATCCTTTGATGGGAACAGTGAAACTGTTCCTCTGGGCTTAATCTTTCTGCTTCTAAAGTCTGAGTAATAATGGAAAGATTGGAAGATGGAGGCGACTGACTAATATTGATCATCGGAGCGTCTGCTGGAGGAGTGAGACTAACAGGAGAGGTAGTTGAAGATACAGTAGAGGTAATACTGTCTTTTCGATCAGGAAATCGATCTGTTGGAAATCGGTGCGTCGTGTAGAGTTGAGTGAAAAGTTTTTGTGACACATAGGTCATGGAATACTTGCATGGATGCGTCACTATCGATCCGTTAAACACGAACACGAGTAACCGAGGAAAATCTATAAACTCGGAGCCATGTTGTCGATAGCAAACATCATAGGCCTCTTCGAAAGGATAATTGTAAATTTCTCGACATTCATCCAAAAGATCCAAACTGAAAAAATACAAGTTGTAAATGTTATCTTTTTCCATGGGTTGTTGTTGCACTTCAATAGCGTCCAAAATTGATAGAATGACTTCTCCATGTTCATCAATCTATTTAGTGAGTTGTATTGTTAAATCAAAATGAATTTCATTGGTAAACTTAGGAGAATCTCTACTTACAAATATCTTGGAAGCATCCAATTTGATGATAAACTGAATATCAGTGTTTCTGTTAATTTCTTCGATAGCAGTAGCAATTTTTAGCAATATCTCCAGCTTGTCATGCAATGAAACATATCTTGGATTCGAAGGTACCAAGTACTCTTTCAAATTAATTCCTTGCGGCTTGTGTATCACAAAAATCTCTTCTTGTTGAGTGTCACTATCAAATTTCGTAAAAAATCCAAGAATATGAGTGACATATTGAATATCTCTCAACTGAATCAGAGTTTTAAACTGATCTGCAGTGACTTTTCGTTTAGTAACAAATGTTCCTCGCCATTTGTAATATCCGCTCTTAGTTGTTAATTCTGTCAGTTCGCTCTCATCAATTTGATATCTCCACGGTATTAAGTAATCCCAAAAGAACTCATGTGAAGAAATTCTATCATCAGGATTCTTTTGTAAGAGTTTGTTAATGACAATGTCAATCAATTCCTCAAAGTTTTGAGGCAGCGACGTTGAATTCATCCTCTATATAATTTTAAAAGTACGTTTAAAGTAAATCGGTAAATTCATGAATGGAGGTTGCAGTTTCTCACAAAAACTTACTTGTTTCATCTTTTCAACCATTTTTAGCTTGTGAGAATTGTGATTTTCATTGATAAGCTCATTGGTGTTCAGTAGAGCTTGATCAAGACTAATTAAATAATATATAATACAACCTAAACTCCACATATCGGTTTTGTAAGAAAATGTAGCGTTTAAATGATCCGGACTCATCCAACCAAACGTTCCCACCACTGAGACGGCCATTGATTGTTGAATATTTTTCGATAGACCAAAATCTCCGAGTGTGACTTTGCATGAAGTAATCTCTTTCTTATTCTTTTTATCGACCTCTAGACTAGAAATGAAAAGGTTATCAGGTTTCTTTGAAACAGTCAGCACCATAAATTCATCTTTCCGAAAACTTACCAAATCTCTGTGAATGATTCCTTTAGAATGTGTGTATTGAATTGCGTCTGTGATTTGAAGTACCATATCAATAATACACTGTGGAAAAGAAATGAAAAAATTTGTTAAAAAAATTTGTTAAAAAAGTACAAAATATAATTGGAAATGTGAGCAAAAATATAATGGTGCAAAAAATACAAAGATCAGCCGAGTAAATCAAATCTTATCGGTAAACTTACATGTGGTGTGAAAGGATTTTTTGGTTCGCAATGAGGAGCAAACTTTGTGATAAAACCAGTTAAATCTCCATGAATGTAAACTGGCATGGTCAATACAATGGTCGAGTTGAAAATACTTTTTGTCTCATACAGTCTCCAAACTGGAATAATCGATGGATGCTTCATAACTCTCAAAATATTAAACTAGAGGTATGCCAAATGCATTGAAGTATTGAATATATAGAAACAATGTTTGTAATTAAATATTTTAAAAGCAAATACCCACCTCATTCCATAATTGTGCAGAGTTTCCACCGGCATTAATAATTTTCAAAGCCACTCGTTCTCCTGTTGACTTTTCGAGAGCAGAAAAAACAGTTGCTTGTCCACCTCGTCCCAAAGACTTGAGTTCTGTATATTCCTCTACAATTGCTGCCTCATTATTCTTCTCTGTGATTTGTATTGTGAAATCATTCATGACAATTTTGAAACGATCATGTGGAAAGTGTTGACCTCTTCGTTGTTGAATTTTTGGTACGCTATGATCGTGTGAAGCTTGGCCTCCTTGTTGTTGCTGTTGACGTGTTTGGTAATGACCATGAATGATGTGTCCAGTGTTGGCAAAACTTGGACTCGAACCACTTCCGTATCGTTTCAGCAGCAATGGAGTGACACTCGAAGACTCTGTCGAAGAAGAAGAAAGCTCTCTGCCTTCCGAATTCGTTGTCGTTGAAAAAGGTGATGCATCTGAAGAGGTGTACAAGTTGGAAGTACCATTCTGAGGAGTAGGAGGGTTTGATTTTGAGTTCTGTTGTTGCTGTTGCTGTTGCGTAGAATTTTGGTTTGATCGGTGCGTATGTTGTTGTTGCTGCTGCTGCGATTGAGAGAATGGAGAGAAGGTGGTCGAATTGGTCGACGACGAAGAAGAAGAATCTCCAGGAGAGGATATCGAAGCATCCGAGTGTCGTCCCGATTCCGATAGCCGTCCCGTGGAAGAGGAGGTTTGCAAGGAAAAACCAGATGCTGTTGTGCTTTGATGATGAGGCGTTTGAGAATTGGTCGATGAGGAACGCGAATTAGCAAAATCACTCTGAGTGTGTTGATGGTGGTGATGATGATGATGATGTCGATTACCCGATAAATTCAAAGGAGGAATTGAGAGTCCTACTTTTTTTCCTCCCGATAAGCTCATCATCTCCGTAGAAGTACTGCCATGTTGATGGTGTTGTTGTTGTTGAGTGGTAGCAAGATGGATGAGGCTCGACAAGGGTTTACTGGGAGAGAGTGGTGTAGGTTTTGTGCAGCTATGACTGTTCGGTAATAATGGAATGGAATTATTGTTGCCACCATTATTATTATTATTATTACTGTTATTATTAATATTATTATTAATGGTCGTCGATTGAGGTGTTGGAGAAGTGGCCTCTAGTCTCGTTCCACTGCTGTTGCCACCACTATTGTTATTGCTACTAATACTACTGCTGACATGGTTCTCTTTTTGTGGTGGTTCATGAATGTTGTGAAACTCCTCTGTGGTTGATGATGAGGTTGCAGAAGAAGAAGAAGAAGAATGGAGTGATGTCGTAGTGCTTATTGTTGTTGTTGTTGATGATGGGTGGTGGTCCATCAATGGTGTCATTGTGGTTTGGAATTGTGCCGGAGGAACAAAATGGGAGGATTTGTTGTTATTATTTGAATATTGTTGATGGTGATGATGCGGATGAATATTGACCGAGTTTGAAGTGGTGGGCGTTGTTGTTGTTGTTACACTGGCAATATCATCGTCTTCTGAGTTTTGATGATGGGTTGTTGGTGTTTGGACTGTGTTTGGCCCTATCATTTTTTTACGAATGATGGTTTTGACAGATGGCACTTCTGGTTCTTGGCTTTCTTGGGTTTTTTCCTGTTGTATTGAGCTGTTGGTCGCGGTGAGGTTGAGAAAATAGTATTTGATGTTGCCCATCACCAACCAGCGATCCAGGATCAAATGTCTTACTCATTGTTGCAATCCTTTCCAACACGAACCTTTTACAAAACCAACAACAGAAAAAAATTGTAAAAAAAGAAAAATATCAAAAGCCTTGTCTTGATGAATAGCTGCCGTTTCCGAAAAAATCGTCCATCTTTTTCAACAGAACACTGCTCAGTGGCCTGAGAGTATGTACCTATTCAAATTGCCTCCAATCTTCATTTGGTACAAAACGTTCATTAGCAAAGATTGTATCTTTCCAAAGGCTCCATTATTGGATCTTAGATTAGGAGACATTGGAAATCCATTTTCTCTATGAAGAGATTTTGAACGAACAATGTGAGAGATTTTATCGAGTGGTGGCAATCATGAATTTTATGAACATGAAATGGAATCGACGATGAAAAGAACGAAAGGCTGATCTTTCTCGATGATGAACTTGGTCAAAAGGAATACTTGTATCAATGTCCTGAAACTGGTGGAGTTGTGAAACTTGGTAGGTTGTGTGGGCGAGAATTCCAATCTCCATTTCTAAACAGAAATTGATGATGGTGGTCAAAATATTCAATGATAATAGAATCTTCTGTGGCTTCCAAGCATCATGGCAAGGAAGTAGAAAACACAGTCATACCCTATTCGAATGATGTGTGTTTAAAATGCACCAATTACCACCAAAAATAGGGGCAGACCGAAGAATGACATGAAGTCATGGTTTTACTTTGTTGGAACTTGCATTTGTCTCTTTTTAAAGTAGCTGATGGGATCTCCCCATTCGTCAAGCATGAGATGTTTGTTCGACCATTTGACTCGGTCTGTCAAACAGCGTTTGCATTCCTCCTTCGTGTCATCAATACAAGGTTTACCTTGATAGAGCTGATAATTGACTCTGTATTTGGTTGGAGTAATGATTGGCATGACCATATTAGCACCAGAGTTGAGAGCAATTTCTCTACCTGCTGGATTGATCGCTTGCAAGGCCGTGGTTGCAGAGATGTTTGCTTCAGGGATGAGAATTCTTGCAAGTGCTGTCATTTTCAAGGATAATCGGAATAATTTTCGATTGTACTCTTTTTTCTCCTCTTCATTCAGGTGCCCATAAAGCTTCATCCATTCTTCTCCAATCGGTGTGTCCTCTTGAACAATATAAGGTCCCATTCCAATCATGTCTGCTCCAATGTCACGGAAAAAGAGCAAGTCACTCGCTAAATCCTCAACTGTTTGTCCAGGAATCATAATCATGACACCAGTACCTGTTTGATAACCGATATCCATGAGTGTCTTTAAGCAATCCCGTCGCTCCTCCCAAACATGCTTCGAATCATTGGGATGCAACTTTTTGTAGAGTTCTGGATTTGAGGTCTCAATACGAAGCAAGTATCGATGAGCTCCTGCGTTGTACAGTCTCTGATAGGATTCTCTACCCAACTCTCCAACTCCCAAAGCAATTCCAAGACCCTTGTTCCATTCACCTGGACCACCACCTCCTGTTCTCTTTTTAATTTCATGAATGACCTCCTCCAACATGGCAATTCTTCCCTCAGTGTTGAGTTCTCCGCTTTGCAACATGATGGATCCAAAATGATTTTCATAGGCCCAAACCGCTTGTTCAATAATTTCTTCCTTTGGCATGGTATATCGAGGGACTTTCATGTGTTTTCTAATTCCACAATATTTACAATCTTTTTGACATACGTTCGAAAATTCAATAATTCCTCTAAAATACACCTTATTACCATAGATGGATTCTGTGATGGAGTTTGCATAGTCAAAAAGAGCTCTCTGATCGACCAAACTCTCCATATTCAACACACTAATAATTTGTTCTCGGGTCAAGTTGACTGGAACACCTAACTGCGGTATTTGTCCTCCAAAATACTTGGACAAGACTTTAATTCTTTCCTCTATGGGTTGCTGTAGATAATTGGCAGTTCTTTCTCTTCGTTTTTTCCGTTCCTCTGCTCTTTCGCTTTTTAGGGAGTTTAATTCGGATTGAATGGTTGGATGAGCAGATCCCTCAGAATCCGAAACAACATTCGCAAAATCAATTTCTGAAGTCGGAATGGGTGGCTGTCGAATGTTGATAATTGTTTTCTTTGGTGTTGGTAATAACTCTTCTTCCGAAATAATGTCGTGATGATGATCATCATGGTCATGATTGCCGTGCATTGCTTTTGACAACCACAATGAAAAGTATGCTTCTTGTTGAGCAAGATGCGCAGGATTGCTATGCAACAACGATCCTAACACTGATGATGTTGATCTACTACCCGAGGCATGATTGGTATTGAGGAGGACACTTGTCCTCTTTGCAAGTCTTGTATTCCGATAGCATGATGAGGTTTCAACGAGAATGGTCTTTAGAACTTTCATTTCCTGTTAAAGTCGACTGTTTTTTCAAGTGTTTGGATGAGAGATCGATCGATCAATGGCGTTGTTACTAGCTAGTTATCCACTCACACCAGTGTCCACTCGTCTTTTAAGGTATTTTTTAAGAGCTTGTGTGATGATTCTTTTTTCACCATTTAGGTCCTTAAAATTTCTTTATATTTTTTCGGGACTAAAAAAGGAAAGCGAGATTCTTCGCCAAATAGTCCCAAGCTTATAAAGAAGCGAATTTTACAGGTGTTTGAGTCAAAAAACAAAACACACAGTCATCACCACGTCAGCGATCGACCCGTGATCTCTCACCTTTGACTACTCCTCGTTCATCATCACCATCATCATCATCATTACTATACTATTTAATCCAAACATGAAGAGCATAACAAGAAGGAATGGAGCAACAACACTTCTCCAGCAAGCACTATTATCGAAAGGATTATTTGGCTTTTGTCCAAAAAGCTCGTTCAAGCAAGCAACTTCAGCATCCACACACACTCCGACCCCAGCAACACAAGCCATTCGTCGTAATTTTTCATTGTCCATTTCCATGATGGCCCGCTGGTCTGTCGAGAAGGAACCCGAAACTCTGAAACAACTTCCGGATCCCACAAAGATTATTGATGAGGCATTGATTCATCAAATGATGGAAGAAACCAAAGAAAAAGCACTCGATCATGAGCACGTGAGAGGAATTTTGAAACGAGCCCGAGATCAAGCTCTCCTTAAATCGCCTCTCCTCCGAAACAAACACAAGAATGGAGCAAATGGTGATGCTTCTGACACTTGTGAAAGTATTCCAAAAGATGAGTATGTTCAAGGATTATCTCTCGAAGATACGGCCACATTGTTAAACATTCCAGAGACTGAAACAGATATTCTGAATAGTTTGTATACAACTGCACTCTTCATCAAGGAGTTGATTTATGGAAATCGAATTGTTTTGTTTGCTCCTCTCTACACTAGCAACTATTGTGTAGGTAGTTGCTTGTATTGTGGATATAGAGGATCAAATAAGGAAATGCCTCGTTCGTCACTCACGGATGAACAAGTGGTTCGAGAGGTGGAGGCTTTGGAAAAACAAGGACACAAAAGAATTCTCATGTTGTGTGGTGAAAGTCCAAAATACACTTTTGAGGATTTCTTACGGCAACTACAAATTGCAGCCGATGTCAAGACTGAACCTCATGGTGACATTAGAAGAATCAACGTGGAAATTCCACAGTTGAGTGTTTCTGATTTTAGAAGACTCAAGGCCACTAATAAGGTTGGAACTTATATTCTCTTCCAAGAGACTTATCATCGTCAAACTCATAAGGAAATGCATCCATTTGGAACGAAGGGACAGTACTATGATCGTTTGCAAACCATGGATAAGGCATTTGTGACAGGTTTGGATGATGTCGGTATTGGTGCCTTATTTGGTTTGTATGATTATCGATTTGAGGTGTTGGCCATGTTGCAACATGCAAATCATTTGAGTGACGTTTGGAATGCTGGTCCACACACTATTTCTGTTCCAAGATTGAGACCAGCCTCTGGTTCAGAAGTGAGTGTTAAGGTTCCAAATCTTGTCAATGATGATCAATTTAAAAAATTGGTGGCTGTCTTGAGATGTGCTGTTCCTTATACTGGTATGATCTTGTCTACAAGAGAGACTCCAGAAATTAGAAGAGATTTACTGAGAATTGGTATTTCACAAATGTCTGCTGGATCTAACACTGCTGTTGGAGGATACGAAAAGAAAGAAGAAGAACGTGACGATTACTCCATGGGCCAGTTTTCGTTGGGTGATCACCGACCAACCAATGAAGTCATTCGAGAATTATTAGAAACTGGCTACATGCCAAGCTTTTGCACTGCCTGTTATCGCATGAACAGAACAGGTGAAAAATTCATGAAAATTGCAAAGAAGGGTGACATTCAAAATATGTGTCATCCTAATAGTATCATGACACTTGCAGAATATCTGCACGATTATGCAGATGAAGAGACACAAAAGATTGGATGGAGAAGAATTGAGGAAGAACAAAAGAATATTCCTTCTGAAGCCAAACGAAAGAGTCTCAAAAAGAATCTCGAAAACATTGCTCAAGGAGTGCGTGATATTTATTATTAAGAAAAACAATGATCAAACTGAAACCATGTGATCATCACAAACATGTTTCCTTTGTACAAATTCTATGAAATTATTCTATTAAAACTACTCACAAAAAGTTTCTTATTAACACAAGTTCACAAACCAGATTCAAAAATCAGATTCAAAAAATGTCTCAATTCAAGAAACGTCTCATGACCATCATTGAAAAATCGGGTGGTATTGTGGAAGAGGAATTATTCGTGTTGAAACCAGGAGTAATCATCACAGAAGTTTCACAATCGACACCCGAAGCCCTTGATCTCTATCAGGCCATGCATTGTAACCACGGAGAGGATTATTTACAAAGTGCCGAATTCAAAGGTCGACTCACCTATTTGAGCTTTAAAGATCAACCTACAAGCAGTGAAGAGAGCGCCAATTTTCATCATCGAATGATCAATGAAGCGAAACATCTGAGTATCTATGCAGGAACAACAGTGACATTTTTAATTGCCGGTTGCACTGTTGAGACCTGTCAGGAGTTGGTGGCACATCGGGAGGCCTCTGTCGCTCGCTTGACTTCTTCTGCAACGTTGGCCATGTCTGAGTGTTTGTTTAGGGTTCAGGGTGAATCAGCTCCACGTCAGAAGGAAATGATTCGTGAGTTTTTGCAGCTTCGTGAGAAGAATAAGGAATTTTGGGACAAGAAAAACACCAATCCAGAAATGTTGAGTACTGAATTCTTTAATATGCAAAATTTGGCTTGTAAATGTAATGCATTGACATTTACCATCAATATTAAGGATTTACACAAGTTGTTGATTGGAAGAATGTGCTCAAAAGGAAACGAGACTGAAGTTCAAGAAGTATGCTCCATGATGGCTGAACTCGCCCATAAACGATTCCCAGAAATCATTAAGGAGCCATCTTTCTATAGAAAGATGGATGATAATGGGGAAAAGCTGGCTGTCCATTAATTCAACAATGAATTCTTGTATTTGAATAGTTAAAAAGTTTTAAATTCAAATCACATAGTTTAATATAATAAATATTGTAATACATTTGTATTGGCCATTACATTTTTCAAAATGTCTGGTGGCAGTGACACAGGAGAATCCCACAAAATAATTACTTGAGAATCGTTTGAATTTGTTTGAAAACCTCTTCGGGAGGCAATGAACCGTCAATGTGGAAAGTAATTTCTTCTGGGAACCACTTGTTACTCTTGTCCATTTCTTCATGATAAACCTTCACTCGAATTTTGGCCTTTTCTTCATTATCGGTGGCTCGTTTGGTCAGTCTCTCCTTAACATCTTCTGGAGGTGGAAGAAGGGAAGCATGATAAATTTGCCCACTCTGTGGATCCACAAGACGTCCACATTGTCTTTCAATGGCAAGTTCATCATTTATATCTATGCAGAGTACACATGTGACAGCCAGTCGATTATCCCTCACAAATTGCAAATTGGAATCAGTTCGAGGATATCCGTCCAAAATCCAGCCCTTTTCTCTGCAATCTTTTTGTAAAATTCTCTTCAGGAAAATTGGATTAATTAGTTCATCAGGCAACAATTTTCCAGTGTTCATAATTGCATCACATTTCTTTCCCAATTCAGTTTGTGCTTTGACTTCAGCTCTTACCAAATCTCCAGTAGAGATGTGAATCAATCCATATTTCTCTGCAATCATTTGAGACTGGGTTCCTTTACCACTTCCAGGTTTTCCTAAAATAATAATTCTATGTGGAATATGAAATTGTTTCTTGTAAATATTGGCAATGCTGTCATAATAGCTCTTGTTCTCATCATAGAATACATAACATGGTTCAAACTATGGTCACATGCATTAAAAAAACAATCGTGTAGATTTGGAAATGTCATTATTATCAACATGATAAAACAGGACAACATGGTTTTCAACTTACCATTGGATAAATTTCCTTGTAAGTAAAGGCATCATCATATGTAATTAAATTCTTTTGTGCCAATAAATCTACAAATGCAGAATAGAAAGAGACTGCATTCTCGACTTCGTTAATGGTGATGGATTTGGTTTTGGATTTTTCCTTCAAGAATTTAAGTAGTCCATCTTGATAAATGGTTTTCTCTGGAATATTGAAGGCTGAAAAGATAGCCATTTGTCCCATCATGTATCTCACAAATGCGTTGTAATTTCTTGTACATTCTGGCAAAAGTGGAACATCATCTTTTTCAAAAACAGGTTTAACAATTTCATTCCACACAGTTTCAAACACCAAATCAACAATACACTCATTGTCTAACATGGATAAATCTTTGGTGTGATACTTTTCCATACGAGAAATGAATTCGTCAATGGTGAGGAATCTAATGTCTGGAATGTAACCTCTCACATGCTCAACGCTGTCCCACCATTTACGAATTTCTTCTTTTCGAGTTTCCATGTTGAGATAGTTGTTGGTATTCCACTTGTAGTCTTCCACAAAGAATGGTCCAAATTTATCCTTGAATGTCTTTAAGGCAGATTCTGAGGCAATACTTTTAAACTTGGTATCGTCTCCTTTGAGAGCATAGTCCACATTGGCTCGTACCAATTTTTCAAGTGTGGGTACAATTCCATCCCTGTCAAAGTCAAGATTAGAGGAAGAATAGAGAGGATAAATTTTTCGAGAATCAAAGTCATATTCAATTCCTTGCTTCTTCAAAGCATGAATGAATAATATATCTGCCATCATCATGGTCACAGCTTCACTGATCATTCTGAATGTAATATACACTAACTTGTGGAGTTCAGTTCTTTCATATCCAGTATATACCAATTCTAGAATGAGAAAATGGCCACAGTCATGAACTTGGAAGGTTGTCTCATGAATTGGATCTTTCTTGCTGACGAGAGGTAAAGCAGGATTTAACAATGTGGAAAAGTAATTGTATTGTCTTCTGTTGATGGCAGACTTGAGAACAATACCTTCATTGGCTACTGTCTTCCAAATATTGGTAATCTTGTACTTGGCAGTGCTTTCATTATTGTAGAGATTGTGTGTTTCAAAGTAGTGGAGAACACTCTTTTTAAAGTCAATGGTTTTTTCTGCGTGTTGAGGAGTAAACTGAAGATCTCTTCTCTTGGAGTAGTAAAATCTGTATTGATAGGTGGAAATAACATTCAATCAATTGGATGACAAAAAGAATTGTCTCAAAAATTGTGAACACCACACACATACAACATGACACACCTACCGATCACGAATAAACTCTGAAATGGCCATATCTCTCGAAGAAATCTTTGATCCCGAGCTCTCGATCTGTTCCAAATTACTCAAACCTGTCGAAATATTGATAAAGACATCATCCCATCCAAACACACTGTTTCTCAACAGGTTAGGCTTTTTTCTCGATAGATCAATAAAACCCAATTGAGTATTCTTGTAAATCTTCTTCACAATCGCATCCTTCTCCTTATTGAGTTGCCAAACAGTGAGTTCAGTACAACTCTCAACCAACTCCAAATGTTCCAATTTAGCTCTCTCTCCACTCTGTCCTCTCTTCCACAAATCCATCTGATCCGCAATGAAACAAATAGCCTGTGGAGCATGTTGTTGCAAAAATTCCAATTTTCTCTCATCATCCGAGTATTCCTTCGGATCAAGCAACACCACTCTCACTCCGTAACGATCAAAATTACGACTATATTCGGGCAGTTTGAGAGGATTGGTGGAAAGCAGATACACGGAACGAACGGAACTCATTTTTTGTTGTTGGTTCGTTCCGTGTATCTGCTTTCCACCAATCTGTTCTGATCTACCTGAAGGTTCGAATTTGGACCAATGAATGTGGTTAAAGGCGGTGGAAAGAAGAGGAGTGAATGAGATGCAAAAATTGATGATTTGGGTTCATGCTCTTGATCTTTTTTTTAAAGCACAATCACCTGAACAGTAGTACTGTCAATTTTTTCCGGCGACCGTCATTGAAATTTTCTTGAAACTTGATGCAGTTTGAGGATTGAAGCGACCGTCATGAAGTTTTGAGTTGGCAGATTGACGCTACAGTTCAGGTTGTGTACTCTACGCGCGTGTAGTAGAATAAACTCGATTTTACTCGTTGGATTGCTAAAGAAGAAGAAGGGAACTTTGTTTTGAGGCGTGTCATAATTTTTCCTTCGGTTGTTCTCAACACCTTGTCATTCATGGTCGCACAAGAGATAAGAAATCACTTTTTGAGCGTGTTTGTTTCTTTGGCGAGTGACAATTCCTTTTGAATCCAAATTCAAAGCATTTCAAAAAATATTTTCGAACGCCGCAGCAAAGAAGGGCGCCCTCAAAAACACACCCATCGACCAACCTCAACAACAATCCTCCTCGAGCTTCTTTATAAAGGATCAAGGAGTGTGCGTGTGTGTTCTCTTGATTCTTCCATCGCTCATTCGCCATTGCATTCATCAACCCGAACCCAACATAATTCTTTGTGATCTATAGGTATATATATACCTTCATTGTTGTTGTAGGAATATCATTCATGAACATTTTGTAATATCGTACTAGTAGTGAGCCATCAAAAAGGTAAAACCTCCTCAACATTGATTCCTGGAATCAACATCACCATTCCATCATTATGAGTCGCCATCCTCGCGTTGTAGATTCCCATAGTCAAGGTCATTCTACAACAACAACAACAACAACAACCACGAAGCCTTTATCATCTTCTCTTTATCATCAAGACGTTCCGACGATAACCAATCAACAAACGCTCCATCCATTTCATAACACCACCACCACCACTCATGATGAGAAATACTCTTCTTATTCATTAAGTAGTAAGGAAAGTATTAATACGAACAGCAGCAACAACAGTGGTCGAGAGAATTCCCTCACCAACGCCATCCTACATACATCCCCACCATGGGAAGAAGCCAGTAGTTTCTATTACTTTCAAAATGAATTCTCCCCATTCGTCCAGCCCTCCAACGATCATCATCCACATGGAAATTTGTTGACCCTCTCAACATCAGATGCTAATCTTTCTGAAATCTCTCAACAACCAAGAAACGATCCGATCGTTGTGTCTTCTCCCTCCTCCTCTCACCGATCTCATACTCAACATGTACAGACCTTTCCTTCACTTCAGACCACTTTCGACAATTACCCTCGTCATCAAGAAACTACCATCGATGCATCTCCAAAAACTCAAACTCCCTCCTCCCTCAAAAACTCGGAAAGTTTCAATAGACTCAATGCGAAACAGGAGAGAGAAGTGAGGTGTTCTGAAAGCAGCGACCGAAGAAAGTATTCAACAACCGCTGCACGAAAACAATTATCCCGCTGTGCTTCCTTCTTTGCCAAATTCATTACAGTGACCAATGTGCTAATTGTATTATTTATTTTCCAAGTTTTTCTTGGTATTGCTTCCTCTTTTGTGTTGCTTTACTCGAGTGGAGAACATGTCCTTTCTCATATTCAAGACTTTCAAAGATTTCAAATGCAAGTTTTTATTGACAGAGAAATACATCAATTTGTGGACAACATTAACACATTCATCTCTCACATGATGAGACTTGTTTATCGAATTAACCTAAACGACGAAATATCTCTGTTAAAGGTCATTGATACGGTTGACTCTCTTTACGCTAAAAACGTAGGAGCTAATGCGTATAGATATGCCCGCTTTGACGATCGATATTTAGCACGTGAATATAATCAAACAGTGAAAGGGTTAGCATTACGAGTGTACGATCCCTTAGAGACTTCTTTTTGCTATTTTAAAATTAGTAAGGAAGAAATGATACATGCACCAAGTAATAATTCTTACACTCTCTCAGAGTATCTTCATAGCACGTTTACCCCCTTCTTTAAATCCAAAGGGGTTAAATACTTTCCTAAATCAAGAGTTTACTACGCTCCTTTTAACAAAGGCAACAATTCTGCGACAGATATTTTATGGACTGAATCTTGGATTAATTATGTTGGAGCTTCAGTCGTGTCACTCAGCATTCCTCTCTTTAGCAATTACTCCCTTTCCTATCTAAATGATACAAGTAACCGTTATTTGATACAATCTGAATTATCACCCAAATTAATTTCAATCCCAAGCGTGGATCCAAACACCAATCCACAATACAAAACTCCAGAATATTTATTTGGAGTTTTAAGTATTCAGTTCTCGATTGAGCTTACCATTTCAAAACTGCTGAACTCAACAAGGTCCGGTTGGGATATTCTCTCGAGTTACAGTAGCAATATTTTGGATAACAGCTTCATTATGGATGCAAAAAACGCAATTTTGGGCCAACAAGGAGGATCGACAAGAGTGAATGCCATGTACAATATCATTGTGCAAAAACAACTCATTGAGGTGTTAATTGCAGCAAAATGTTCGGCCATTCAATTGCCCGCCAGTATGACTGATGTTACTGTCACCACGTCGAACACAGTATTTTTCATTATTCCTGCGGGCACTACTGTCAATGGAACGACCTTTTCAGATACACTGGAGGTGGAAATTATGCCCTTTTGTGACAGCTATAATCTTCAATGGTTTATTGTAGTTGGTGTCAAGCAAACTTCGTTTTTTGAAGAGGCAGTTAGAGGTAGCGAATCCTACCTTGCACTATTTGTGGGGTTGTTGGGTTTGGAAATGATACTTCTCTCCCTTATTATCGTTAGAATTAGTTGTTCTTTAAATCGACTGGCAGCCTCCGTTCAACAAATCTCTCAATTTGGACCTTTCCCAAGCAAGACAAACAACCACCCATCGAAATGGAAGCAAACTCTTTTAAACGCAATTGATTTTCTACAAGAAAGTACATTATTTTATGACATTAGACTAATGCACCAAAATCTATCTATAATGAACAGTGGTCTTGAAATATTTTGCAAATATATCCCAGATACAATGAAACGAGAATGTGCTCAGCTTGACCTTGGTTTTTCCAAAAGAGAATTAGGCGTTTTACGTGTTGAAATTCAGGATTTTTATGAACTCAATATTGTCGACACTAACCGAATTGCAGGAATAATGACTAAATATTACAACCTTACATCCAATGCAATACATGTCAATGGAGGTGTTGTAGATAAGTTTGTGGGAGGAAGTGTCACTGCTGTTTTTAATTTATCAGAAGAACATACACCAGAGGCTACAGCAACTCAAATGTGTCAATCGGCTTTACAGATTGTTTTGGAGCTGGAGAAGTATAACCAAACGTTCTCTACAAACTTTTCTGTGACCATTGTAATGAATTACGGAACCATGTCAGTGGGAAATATTGGTTCCAATAATCGTTTGAGCTTTTGTGTTTTTGGTCCAGAAGTCACATTGTTAAAAAGTATTTTAGATGAGCATCACATCTCGGCCAAGTCCATAATAATAATGACAGAAAAGGTTTTCGAAAAGGTGAAAAACATCTTTACTTGCTACTTTGTGGATTTTATTGGTATTAATGAGCATCTCGAAGGTGTCTATTTATTGGAATGCTTGTCTCAACTGTCTACCACAAAGCAGCTCGAAAACTTTTCATCATTGGCTAACGTCAGAGAATGCATAATTGATCGGAGTTTCAAGGAGGCAAACGCAGAGTTAAGCAAACTTCTCTTGGAGTCACATCTAGCTTGTCCTTACTCACTGCTGCAACAACTAAAAAACAAAATCTCAAACTATGAATAAAATTCGTGTGATAAAGATTTGATAGAAGTAGAGGCTCTGATAATTTGTGTGACGAGTTCTTTTATTGCTTCATTCTTATTTGTACTCAGTAAATTTATAGAAGGTGCAATTGGGACCATGTTTCTTTTTAAACTGGATCTCATCATAATAATTATTGAAAACTATTGTTTTGCTTAAAGTGTTTTGCATTTTGTTCTGTTTTGTTAATGGCGAACTCACTGAGGAATTATCTTTTTCAATGGATGATAGGGAATTTCGTCTCGTTCTTTTGGGAATGGCTGCCGTCACGGTGGAAACTGAGGTGGCAGGTGTTTCAACTCCCTGAACTTGAATTGAAGGAATGTGGATCATCGGGCTTGCAGGAGATGATTTTGCAATGCTCTTTTTTCTACTTCGTGGTTTTGTTTCTGTTATGGTGATTGCAGGTGTTGAATAATGACGCTGGTGATATTGCTTTCCAGTGTTACCTTTTAGAGCAGTGATTGAAGATTCTGACTTGCAAAAAGTAAATTGTTGCTGATATTGTTCCCTGAAGGAGGAAAAATTAAATGGCTCTGGTTGTTGAGGAGAAACTGGAGATATTTGGCTCGTACTATCATTGCTTGCAACTTGCAAGAATTGAGATGACGAGGTTGACATGGCAGAAGAATTGGGTGACAGATTTGGAGAATACATGGCAGGAGAAGAAAGTGTTCTTGATCTTCCACTTGAACATGTTGGCATGACGGGAGAAGAACTGTTCATATTTACAGGATGGTCTTGTAAGATATCAGTAGCACTCACTAGCTTCAGCCCAAGGGAAGAAGTACATCCAGAGAGTGCATTGTCAATTAATGAATAAATTTCATTTGCATTGGATGGTATGTTGCTTGCAGGGTCAAAAGAATTACTGGTGTTTTGAAGTGGTGGTGTGTTTTGAGGAGGTGGTATCGATGCTGGTGAATCCTGGAAAAAGTTGATATTTGGATGTCGCGAGGAAACTTTTAAGGTTGATCCCAATATTTTCTGATTGTCCAAGCTCGAAGAGTAGACCGAATCGAGAGACATTTGACTGGCCACGCTGTGTCTTCTTGCATGTGCATGCGAATCGACTTCTGCGGATGTTGTGACAAGCTCCGGAGTGTTTTGATTCATAAATAACATGTTTGGAGCATTCTTAGAGTTCCCTTCTTGTTGCTGCTGCTGAGCTTGACTTGACAGCTGTTGTTGTGGTTGTTGATCGCTGATCAATAACCTGAGAGTATTTAACTGTTCTTCATTGAGAGAAGAAAGATTAATCTGACCTGATAACAAGGCAGAAGCTAGTGTCATTGGATCAATCATCATATTGGTGGAATTATTGCAATTACTTTGATTCATGGTGACCACATTATTCATGTGGTTGTTGTTGCTAATATTTACAAGTCCTTGAGGAGTGGGAAAGAGCATGCTGGTGTTGCCACCCAATGTAGTTTGAGGGTTCATGATGCTGTTATTGCTGTTGTTCATTGTGATCACCATGTTATTATTCATGAACATCATCTCGTTGTTTTGGTCTTGCTCCTGCTGTTGTTGTTTCTGATTGGACAGAAGAAGAGGAGAAGGTTTTCGAGTTTTTCGATACTGAGAAGTTATTATTTGAGGGTAAGAATTTGAAGAAATGAGAAGGCTCGAATGGGGACTTGATTGAGGCGAAGAAGAAGAAGATGAGGATGCAATGGGAGATGAAGAGCTTCGTTGGTGTTTTCTTTTCTCTGCATATAATAATAATGGTTGATGGGAGAACCCTTCAACAGTGTCCGCAGATGCAAGAAGGCTCAAGGCTTCTTCATGGTTGCTGCTGTTGTTGGTAGTGGCAGTGGTGTTGGAAGTGATGGAAGGACTTGAAGATGATGACTGCAACTGAGAGGGACGGGCAAAACTCTTTAAATTTGCGTCTGACGATTCATCAAAAGAAGAAAGAGATGTTGGTTGATGACTGGTCGAGATTGGGGCGTTCGTTAAAGTGGTACTAGTGGAGTGACAATGGTCGTCTGCTGATTTTTCAAAGTTGGACTTTTCATCGCCTTTTTGCGATGTCGACTTGCTGAACATGCTGATGAGGCTCAAAGATGAGTCCATGCATGTTGTCGGGTCATCCATTTTGTAATAAGTATTAGAAGAAGAAGAACCCTTCAGTAGGGATGTCGGAAATGAAGTGTTGAGAAGGTGACGACTGTTGTCATCCTCACCACCACCAACATTGTTGTTGAGAAAAACAATATCCGAGTTTGGTTGTTCCAATGTTGGTCGCATCTCATGGTCAACTCCAAAATAGCTGAGAAGGGCCGATGGCTGTTGTTCATGTGGTGGTGGTTGTATTAGATGGGAGGACGAACTAGTAGGAGGAGAGACTTCATCACTCATAAGCAAACCTAAATCCCGATACATCTGAAGCAAAGTCTCTTGTTGTTGAAATAATTGTGTCGTTGAGGAATGGTGTGATTGTGGGAACATTTCTTCTTGATGAAAGTGTTGTATGGATGATGAGGATGGATCTATTTCTGATTCAAGAGTATTATTTGGGATTGGTTCTCTTTCTCCTAATGATGATGAAATTGATGACTGATCTGCTGCTGCATGCATGTGCTGCATATTACGGAGACTTGTTTGAGAGGAGTATTGGCTTGTTTTAAGGTTTGGAAGAGAGAATTGATGCAAAGGGTTTCCAGAAGGGATTTCATCATGACGAGTAGCACTACACTTATTTGTTAACAATAATGAGTGATTGTTCAATCTGTCTGTTTGAACGCGTCTGGTCATTATTGGTTCCTCTAATTCCGACAACGTGAGTGTTCTTTGCCAATCATGGACCTGAGGTTGATGGGAGTTCATTATTGGGAGAGAAATTGAGCAGGAACATGCGTAGTGTTCTTGCTGTTGTTGTTGTTGCTCGTTCTCGCGAGGGTGTTGTGGTTGTTGTGGATGCCTTGAAATGGTGTGGTTATTGTTGTTGTTCTTTGAGATGTCGTTGGACAAATTCATCTTCTTGTTGTTGTTCTGGTTACTACCGTTCATTGGATATTTGCGAAATGAAATGCGTGTGGATGTTCTTCTTTGATGATGAACAGGTAGTGAGTTCTTTTTCTTTCGTTCACTCCACTCTCGTGATTGTGTTGTGAGGTATGTGTTGAGTGAAGAAGAAGAAGCCTTAGAGCAGACAGCACAATGAGTCTCCTCTCTCGTCCTGTTATGGAGTAACACGTTACTAAATCTGTATTCGCGGTCAATTGGATTTGAAAATTGGTGTATGCACCACCTTTGTTGGCTTTGAGATCCACAACAAGCCAAACTCTCCCAAACAAGGAACGTGTGATCGTTTGATATAGTTTCTTTGAGTTCCTTTCCTACACTTCTCCGAGATGCGTCGGAAATTCACACAATAGATTGCTGCGAAAGGTATGGTGGTGGTGGTGGTAGTAGTAGTGTGGATTCGCTACTTGGCGCAAGACTACGCCGTGTCTCAGAGAGCTCTCTCAGTTGTAAATATTACAACTTGTAATGAATAGGTTTTTATTGTCAAGGCGAATATTGTTGTTGCTTTCGTTATCACTTTTACAACTCCCGATGATGACGAAAATGTAGTGATCAAGGGGCAGTCTGCAATCTCTGAAGAGGAGGACCACAGAGAAACAATCGCACGAATTGTGTGAAAGAGGATGAGACGGAGAGAGTGGGTGTGGGTCTGATTTTTTGTGTTGAGTTTCCGCACTGGGTGTTTCTTGAGATCGAAACAAGTGATGATTGGTGGCGGATGTGTGGCTTTCATTTCGAGTGAATTGGGCAAAAAGAGGACAAATCCGTCACGCTTTTGGGTTTGGATATAATTGACTTCCATTTTTAAAAAGCTAAAAGAGTATTTTTCTCCATCGTTGTCATCATGCAGCTGTGCTGACCATTGCATGGACTTGAGCAAGAGACCATGTCCTAAATGGATGCGAACGCGTGTTGTCAGAATATATAGTGTTCACTCAATTCGATTCTGTGAAGTTTGTGAATGACTCATGACCAACATCGATGAAGTCCAGAGAGGTCAGCAGTTCGTGGACCATGAAATAAAATGGACACCGTTGTTGATACTTGATGGTGCAGTAGCCCGTCCATACATTGAAATGAAAGAAGAAGCATCAATCAAATGCCAAAAACATCCGTACCACCTCCAAAATAATATACTCCTCAGAAGGCGTCGACCATCAACATTGTACGATAATTGTAAAGTATTATTATTGATATATATGACATTGTTAAGGCGATAGAATGGTTAATTCTTTTAATCATTACATTCATAATATGTATTATATTTTGTATTGGTATGTGTTGTTGAGTGTGTATTAGTGTTAATATGGTAGTGGTGGTGGTATGCGAGAGAAAGGATTGAATGAATATCGAATTCGGTTCATTAAATTCCTCCAGCAACTTCGATCGCCTTCAGCTTGTTAGAAGTCTTAATTTTCTTTACATAGTTTTTAAATTCTTGACTCTCCAAAAAGCTCTGATAAGTACCATTTTCATGGAGGACCAATTTCAACTTTTCAATGGCAACATCAAACAAATCAACAGGAACTTCATCCTCGTAGGTAATTTGATTGTATCTTTGAATAATTCTCTTCTTGACTTTACCAGCAATATTAATTTCATTTAAAGCATCATCCTTAATGTAGTTTTCAATAATATTTGGAGCTTTTTGAGAACGATCCATTGCATTACATTTCTTATAGGCCATCACTTCTTCATAGAAAAGCATTGTTTCACCACACAATGCATTCAGGAGATGTCTCTTGAATAACTCTCTTGTGACATCATTTTCCAAAATTTTGTCAATATTATTTGGCATTTCCATATTGGCCAATTCAGCAGAGTTGTCAGTATTTCGTTTCAGAGAGGTATAAACGAGCAAAAGGACAGGGAAATACGAACAAGTGACATGCACAGCTTGAACCCAAAGGAGAGTCAAAACAATAAAAGCAAAGGATAAATTGGTGAAGGAAACGGTTGCATAGGCAATGGATCCAATGAGTACAATCACAGTGGTCACTCTAATTTCAGTATTGAGGGAATAAGAGTCATTCACATCTTTCAACATGATGACTTCCACCAACAACATGATATCTACGAGGAAGAATAGAGGCACCACTAATCTTGGATACAAAATATAACTCATGTATGGACTATTCGTTTCTCTCTCATTGATTTGACACAAGAAATCATGAGGACACATTTTAGGATAGGTCAAACTCACTGGTAACAAGACGACTACCACGACCACCAGCATGACCACAAAGAACTTGACCAAATTTGATTCTTCTGCTCTTCTCTTGTTGACATTACTTGTTTGTTCTGCCTTTCTCTTTCTCATCATTTCAGAAACCTCAGTAGCATCCAATAAGGTAGGAACATCTTCGACATCAATGACAGACATTTGATCATTTTGTGTATGCACATCAGACATGTCATTACGCCAACTTCTATTCACTGGTTGAGTTGTTGTTGATTGTTGTGGTTGTTGTTGTGTGGATGGATTCGACTTGTATTGTTTTTCATTAGTGGACACAATTGTGGATTCATCGACCATAGTGGTGTTACTATCGAGAGCAACACTTGTGACAGGATTGCTATCTTTGTTCTTACTCTTTTTGCTGAGAGCTCGTTCCTTCTTTCGTTCAAGGGAGGCTTCTTGTTGTTTTTTCATGAGTCTTTGATGATGATGGAAGAGAGGTTGTCGTTGTTGTTGTTGTGGGTTGAAAAAGGAATCGAGAGACATGGATAGGGTGGACATCATATCAACATTAACGCCACACACACAAGGATTATGTCAACAAGTCCATCCCAAGAGGTGGTTCCGGCAAGTCGCGAAAAAGTTGTTCATGCCACATCCAAAAAGGTATTGTTGACATTATTTGAACAATGGTGTGTGAACCCGAATATATTTGATAATTATTATGACCATCAAAATAGTTGCACATGTGGTGTCATTAATGACAAAGAGACATGAATATAAATACTCACTTGAAATTCCAATGATAGATAAAGTAAATTCTCCAAGCTCTCAATAGCAAAGGTGCAAACATGGCGAAAAAACTCACATTTGCCAACAAGACAATCATTTGACAAGGTGTTCCAGGAACGCTATATGAAAGTGTGTAGGCTGCCATATAGACACCAGCTCCGATCGAAGACAATACGGAAAGCACTGGAGCTCTGGCTCTGATGGATTGTGTTTTGTTTCGGAAGAGAACGAGTACAAAGGAACAAGCAATCATGAGAAAGAATTGAACAAACCAAAGTACAATGAAGAGAATTTCAGACGCTTGTGTTTCAAAGACCATGATGAATTGAGAATGAATCTGGAAGAAGAAAAATGTTGTTGTTGACAAAGGAGAGAGGAATTTCCACAGTTGGAAGTCCTCGTAGAAAATGTGATGAATGTGTTTGTCTCAGAATCTGATGTTATGAGAGACTCGCTTCAATGAATGATGGAAGGATTGAATGGAGATGGCGAGAAAATATATACGAGTGTTCTTACCACCACTTGTCAATGATATTGTTGTGACACCAAAGAATGGAGACCTTCTTGTGAAAAAAGAGAGAGAACGAGGAGATTCGTTTTTTTGTGTATTTATCGGTCTTTTTTCTAGACTTTCTTTTCCTGTGTTGTGAACGTTTTGCTCTTCAGTTCACGTTGTGTTTGCCTGTGGTTTGAAAAGTGACGCGAGAAAGAACGGATCAAATAGCTTGCCACTAATCCTGTTTTCAGCTGTATCGTCCCTTTGCTGGATGGTCGTTTTCGCTTCGAGGTGGCTAGAGGGGTATCTTGCTGGGTTTCAAACAGAGAGGTTGCCACTTGAAGTGGTTCTTCTGTGTTTGGAAAGCCATGTCTTGTGCCTGTTGCGGAAAAAGAAACACACCCGACATTGTTTATCTCTGAAATCTCGGTGTCACCACAAGATGTCGATTGAGAAGAAGCATTGCTTTTAGAGGATGACTCTTTCGTGACTGTGATTATGCTCTTGCTTCTTAGATTTCTGGAAGGAAGGGATGCTAGTGACTCACCGACGCAATTCACCTTTTCATCCACCATGGTTGATTGATTCGTCTCGCTCGATACAGCAATCGCTTCAATCTCTTCACACTTTTCTTTTGGACTCTCTTTCTTTTCAACAATGCTTACTTCTTCTGTTTTTTGTTTTTTGAGCTCATACTTGGTGTTGGTAGCCAATCTCACAAAAACTTCCTCTGCATTTCTTCCATTATATTTCACAAGTCCTCCATTTGGATAATTTTTTCTTGAGTAACACCTGTCATTTGGGCAGCAGGATCGACAATGAGGACAAACAAAATGACCAATTTGTGCATAGTATTCAAAATCACCATGATCATGGATCTCAATGCAATCCTTACATATACTTGCGGTGCAAGGCAAGGACGGAAATGAAAACTTCTTATTGACATTATCCTTACCAACATCATATTTTTGTTCAAAATGAAGAATATTGAATAAAGTCGAGTTGTCACAAATTAATTTTGCCCCATCTGGGGCTCTACAGATGTGACATTGAATTGTAGTTCCTCCAATATTTTCAGCTCCCTTAAGAAATAGTAACACTTTCTTGTTGGTTGTTTCTTGCAATGCGTTCATGGTGCATGTAATGTACATTTGTTTGTTTAGTTTCACTTTTTCATCATTCAACAAGTACTTGTTATCGTCCAATAAGTCTTGGAGCGGACCTGGTAGATCCTTCTTGGAATACAGAGATGGTAGATATTTGCTCAAATCCACCACATACATGTTAGACACTTTTCTAACCAAATAAAGATCGCCTCCAATGCAGACCTTATTATCTTTGTCTATTGTTAACATTTCAGCAGCAATAGTTGAGTGTCTCTTCTTCGTCTTCTTTGATGATTTAGAGTCTTTCTTAGTAGTTTTGATTACTATATTTTCTTTTGTGGTATCATCTGTTGAACTTTTAGTAGTTCTTTTTGAGGTTGCATTGTTTTCTGTTGCCGCTATTGGTAGCACTTGTTCTTGATCTCTCGTTTCATTGTTAACACATTGTTGGACATTATGAAATTCATACGATATTGACTGTGCTGGTTGGATTTGTGAGCTTTCTTCTGCGACAGAATTGAATGTGAATTTTTCTGTTTCATTTTCGGAAAGTGTTTTCGAAGGACTTGGGGAAGACTCGGCCGATGATGGTACATTTTTGTGGAACCTTCGCTTCTTCTTTGGAGTTTTATGCTTTTCGGGTTGAGCTATAGGTAATAATAAATTTTGTCCATTCTCATGTTCCATTGTTGAACCATCACAGTCATCCAAATCGCTTACGATATTTTGTTTCAGCTGTTCATTGCTTTCCGAATTTTCATTTTCATCCATTACCAAATCAAAAATTACATCACCATTATGATCATTCAATACTGCATGTTTTTGAGTTTCCTGTTCGTTATTTCCTATTACTAGTGGTGATGATTCTTCCTTCTGCTCCGAGAAGGCTGTTTCCGAATTGATGGATGAATTGGATTTTCTCTTGATGAACCTTCTGGACATTTTTTGAATGAAATCTCAGAATGATTTATAAAATTTATATGGTGACCTTAAACTCTTAAATGCGAAGTGTTCCACATGTCCCCCTTTCTGTGAATGATTCGTTGTGACCTTAATGACCTTCTTGTTGAAAGAGCGGACAAAAAATAAATTAATTTTATTATTGTTTCTTGTAGAAGGAGCATGGTTTTCTGTCTGATCCCCACCAACCATCACCGTTTCGGCACGTCTCGTCAGCATGGTTGACCATTGCCTTGTACCAATCGGTGCTGGGTCCGTTATCTGAGAATTTCTTTGCTTCATCCATTTGACAGCTCTTAAATGTCACAAATCCATCTGCACAGAATGTGGTATATTGAATTTCCAAAAACAAAATTAAAGTGTAATGAACAAAAATTTAACGAATATATAAAGAAACATATTCAAAAATGTAAAAATTAACATGAAAATGTTGGTTAATAGGTTCACACAAATTTCACTTCATAATTATCACATACCAGATGTAGTTCCATAATCTGCAATCAAATGCACAATTTCTAAGGCTATACTATAATGAGTCAACAATCCAATAGGGTCGTCACCGCAAAGTCTTCCAGTGTCATAAGGATCTGTATGTTCGTACAAGTCATGAATACAAACTCCTTGTGGTGAGCAATAACCTTCTTCGACGGAAACATAACTTTGATAGGCATTAGGCGTTCCTTTCAAGCAATAACCACCAACGGTTGCAATAAATCCGTAGAGAGCTTTCAAATTCAATGGGAAATTGTTGTAGTAATAATCATGACAGATATTTTGTAAGGTTCTTGAAACTACTGAGCCATTGAATGGAGCTCCCATTGTAAACCATTTAGATGTTGATAGATCAATAGAACATTTTCCATTCATGAATGCAGCTGCAATGACAAGATTACCCATGGAATGTGTATAGAGAAGAGTATTTTGAATCGTGGTTGAATTTCCACTTCCTAATAATGCAGTAGAGCAATAATAATCTTGCAAAGATTCATCGTCCCAACCTCTGTTCTAAACATGTGGTTTTTCGAGACAAATATGTGTCACATGATGTGACATTGCAAATCGAATCATGGTTAGTGTTATTGATGTTGTTTAAAGTTAAACTCACCTTTGTATCACGTCTGCCAAACCATACATCTCCACAATGATCTGTGTAGTCCAATACATTGCCCCAATATTCCTTAAAATTCTTTTGTGGAGGTAAATCTTCTGTTCCTCCTGTTGGTAAGGTCAATTGAGTTTGTGGACCACATGTCAAATAATAATCACAGTTACAACCAATCACTCACTTACCTGCACCGTGGAGGAAAATACATGTTGGCTTGTTTTGAGAAGCTCCGCTTGAAACCTTTCTTGTGAGATATGAGACACATGATTGTTCATCTCTGAGATGCCGACTGCTACAGGATTCTTGCTCATTTAGGAACCAAAGTGACACGGAGCTCACTTCATTATTCTTTCGATGAGAGCTGATGGATGGAAAAGTGGAAGGATCGAATGCCTTTTCATCAATGATTGGCAACGAAAGTCCATATTTCAAGCTCACTCGATATCTTGTGAGATATTTTTCAATCCTATCCCTCGTGGTGGTGTCTTGTTTCGCGTGAATATTCTTCTTACCAAAATATTCAGCAAGATATTTTCTATCGTAATAGGTACAATTAGAAACAAGACGATCCATCTGATCGAGGAAAAGCTTTTCGTGTAAGGTTGGTTGAGAAGAAGTATCAGCCTTCTCTTTCGTGAGTGTGAATTCACTCATGGAAACCACCAATGATTTGGAAATGATAAAAACTGGAATCGATCCATTGGCACACAAAACCATACTTTCATCCATAAACGAGAAGGAATACATGTCAAGCTTATTGTTGACACAATGAGCATTCACTTCCTTATCAAATATGACACTCTTTGGAGTAACTGCTTTGAAAGTCACTTGATTCAACATTTTACTCAATCCTATTCCACTATCAAAAGCATTCCAAGGTGCATCATAATTAATGTGAATACATTGAGTGACACTTGACTTGTCTGTAGTTTGTGAAGAAACTTCCACACCACCTTCTTGAACAGGTTTCATAAATACATGTAAATTTCTCGTGTCAAAGAATGTCATCAATCCCAAAACTCCACTCTCCAAAATCACGTTCATCGACTCTGTTTTTTCATTTTTATATCGAATTGCAGTTCCTTCATGCACCTGCTTGCTTGATCGATCGAAGGCTTTAAATCTCAATGAAAAACCACTCTCCGGCATTTGAAATGCAATCATTGGTTGATGCAACGAAATGCTATGATGTGGTGGTGTTTGAGCGCTCGTCATCATCATCACACGACGTGCTGACTCGACAGCATTTGCAGTACCTGTGACGACGACGATCGCTATCATAGCCGCCGTTGCCAACAATAGTCGGCACCCTAATACACTGAACGGAACAGAACCGGAGTGAAGATTCATTTTTTTAAGCGATGATTGTAATCTGATTTTGGAACCCCGAAGGTCAGACAATAACAACAACGACGACGACTGTCGCGTTCATGAAAACCAACTTTCAAAGACCAGAAAAGTTCTGAAGGATGGATCGCCTCTACAAGTAGGTGAGTACTAGCAGGAGTCCACAACCTCAACATTTGGAGTGAGATTAATACGCAAAAGACATTCACACCTACTTCTAGAAGCGATCACATCGCTTGACTTGATTGTGTGAGATGGAATCGATTTTTGAAAACACCTCAGCAGAGGATTATTGCGAAGATAACAATAATTATTGGTACGAGTGACAATGAATGACCTCATTGATGTGTGAAGTAAGATTTTTATAATACATTGATAAAAGAACACGAGGTTCATGTTGTTGATTCTCAAAGTATAATTTTTTAAGCATGTGAAAGAGATTCAAATACATGATCGAACTTAAATTCCAAATCCCGCCTTTTCATTTTTGCGCCAAATAAAATTGTGAATTGAAAAAAATGTCAAACAGCAACGGCTTGGATGATGACAACCTCCGTAATGGTGAAACACAAGAAGACTTTTTTGAAGAAGAAATTCCGTTCGATGATGAAGATGAAAATGATGAAGGAGAAGATTTGTTTGCTGACGATGTGTTAGAAGAAGACTATAGAGCCGGACCTTCCGAAGAGGATTTTTATGATGAACAATATATTGACAATGAAGAATATCAGCCCATGAGTTATCATGAACGAATGAGAGCTGAGGAGCAGATGCAACGCCGACAAGTTGAAGAGGAAACGGAAAATGAAGTGGAACAGGCGATTCAGCAGAATGAAAAAAATTGGAGTGCTGCTGACCATGCTGTGTTTCACACACTCTTCAATGATGACGACAATGAAAATAATGACGGTTTCAATGACGATGATGAAGATGAAAATGATGGCCGATTTGAGGATTTATTGAACAATCTTCGAGAGAAGCTGACCATTAGCAAAACGAGAGATCGTATTGTGAAAGCATTTAAGAGGTTTTTCACAGAACAAAAAAAGGATGTCTATATGGAGGCCATCAAAAATGTAGTGGCTAATAACAAAAAGTCTCTGGTTGTCAACTTTTCTGATCTCTCAGTTGAACCATTTCTTTTGATATTCCTGACAGAAGAACCTGATGCAATTATAGAAATTATGGAAGAAGCTCTTAGACAGATTGTGAATCGATATTTTCCAAATTATGCAGGTTTTAACCTTGAAAAGGATGAAATGATTCATGTCCGTATCAAAAATCTTCCAGCTGTAGAATCCATTCGAGACCTTAGGCATTCTACTTTGAATCAATTGATAGCTGTTCGAGGAGTTGTCACGAGAAGAACTGCCATGTTCCCTCAGTTAAAACTTGTATCTTATGATTGTGTCAAGTGTGGCGAGAGATTGAATCCTGTCACTGTTCGAAGTGCATCAGAAGTTGCTAAACCAACCAGCTGTCCTGGATGTGCAGGAAAGAATTGCTTTGTCATCAATGAGGCCAAAACTCTCTACTCGAATTATCAAAAAATTACTATTCAAGAACCACCAGGTACTGTCCCAGCAGGTAGAATTCCTCGTTCCAAAGATGTAATTTTGACAAACGATTTAATTGACTGTGCAAGACCAGGAGAAGAAGTTATTGTCATTGGAGTTTTTAAACAAAATTATGATGCCTTCCTTAATGTTAAACAAGGATTTCCCGTCTTTGCGACAATAATTGAAGCAAATTACGTTGAAAAATTGTTTGACAAGAGAAATGAGTCCATCACTAAAGAAGACGAACGAAAACTTCAAGAATTGGCCAGAAATCCTTATATTTTTGAGAAGATTGTGAAATCCATTGCTCCCTCAATTTTCGGTCATGAAGATATCAAAAGAGGTATTGCTTTGAGCTTGTTTGGAGGAGTTCGAAGAGTTTCAGCAGAACACACAACAAGAGGTGATATTAATGTGCTCATCTTGGGAGATCCAGGAACAGCTAAATCTCAATTTTTGAAGTACATTGAAAAAACAGCCACTCGAGCAGTTTATACCACTGGAAAAGGTTCCTCTGCTGTTGGTTTAACAGCTGCTGTTAAAAAAGATGCAATTACAGGAGAATGGACACTCGAAGGAGGTGCTTTGGTATTAGCTGATGAAGGTGTTTGTATGATTGATGAGTTTGATAAGATGAACGACCAAGATAGAACCTCCATCCATGAAGCCATGGAACAACAGAGTATCTCAATATCAAAAGCTGGTATTGTCACAACCCTTCAGGCTCGATGTGCTGTCATTGCTGCAGCCAATCCCATCAAAGGGAGATATGACACCTCCAAAACATTCCATCAGAATGTTGAACTATCAGAACCAATTCTCTCTCGATTTGACATTCTTTTCATTGTTAGAGATACAGTTGACGAAAAAATTGACGAAAACTTGGCACAGTTTGTTGTGAATAGTCACTTTAAAAGTCATCCCAAGCAAGCTGCGATTAGAAAAACTCAAGAACAACAAGCTGCTGTACGAGAATTACTTGATGAAAGAGATGGAAAAAAGGACGATGAAGCATATCTCTACAATAGAGATCCAATACCTCAAGAAATGCTGAAAAAATACATTATTGTGGCGAAGAGACTACGTCCAGCTCTTGCTCTCGCCAATCATGAGAAAATCACTCAATTTTATTCAGAGTTGAGAACACGCTCTGAGGAAGGAAGTGGTTTGACCATTACAGCAAGACATTTGGAATCCATTATTAGAATGGCTGAGGCAAGTGCCAAGATGCATTTGAGGTCTCATGTGAATGATAGTGATGTTAACACTGCCATCTCTGTCATGTTGGAGAGCTTTATTTCAACTCAAAAGTATTCTGTTGCTGGCTCTTTGAAACGAAAATTCAAAAGATATCTCCAATCTCCAACCGATGACCATCAACTATTATTACACATTCTCAATGAGATGGTCAAAGCTAAAGTCTCCTCGATGGCTGATGAAGAGGAGGATGAGGAAAGTGAGACTGAAATTAGCATTTCTATTAAGGAATTCAAGAATGAAGTGGCTAAAAACAGAATCTTTGACATTTCTACCTTTTTGGATAACGAAGAGTTGCTTGTAAGGAAAGGGTTCTCCATTCGAGAAAACAAGATCATTTGGACTCCACCACAGCAATGAGTACGAATGTTTTCACTCAATCAATCAGACTGAGAGAACGCGTTCAATCAATTCGAAGCTACTTGTTTGGCATCAAGCAAGTACTATTACTTCAACAAGCATGTGTGGTGTGCGTGTACACTCGTTGAATAAGTGTGACGTGTGTAATTGATGTACGATGTCTCATCGAAATGTGAATTTTGGACGAAAATTAACTCTGAAATGCGTATGAAACTAACCATTCCTAGATAAGAGAGATATTTGTGTGAAAAGGAAGATGAACGTTAATTTTCTTACAAGTCTGAACATTTCAACTGTTAACTCAATAATATATGCATTCGGTATTTATTCTCACAAGAGGTTCAACGTGTGCTGTCAACACCTGTCCCTTTGTCCCTCAACAATGGTTTTGAATGGCATCATTCCACAATGTGTACATAATAGTGCAAATTTGATGCTAATTTGATGTTGCTGTGCTTGTTTTACCTCAAAACGTCAAGAGGTGTTTTGACACTTCTTGAGAGGAATGAAAGCGTCCTTCATCTAAGGTGTGGAAATTATCCAATTTTGACGGCACATCATGTCGTTTTTCTTTGCACTCAGCCTTCAAAACAACAGCAAGTGACAACGTGCATGCGTCCTTGAATCTGGCAGAAGATTTAAAACAACAACAACAACACTTTTCGACACTTTCACAAGCTCAAAAAAACATCAAACAAACAGCGAGTTCGAGACGAGTGTTCATCTTCACCACCGTCTCACACATTGAACTTTGACAGAAGCAACCCAGTTCCAACACGTCACTATCATCTTGAGCCAATTCACTCATTCAGAATCTTACTCCTTTTAACGGTGCAAGCCCTTCCAATAACAGTGGTAACTGCCTTTGTGAGAACGACAACAAAAACGAACAAGAGTTGGCAATCCTTTCCTCTCTTGTCCTCTATAATCACACAACAAACAAATTTCTTCAAAAAATATTCATTCTAGAACCAAGAAATTTAACACACATCGCATTCTTCTAAAGAGCAACAACGACGGTTGTGTGTGTACAATTAATTGATAATAGTACAAGTGGTAGTCGAAACGCCATCATCATCTAAATACGTGTGTTGAAAGCATTTTGTAGCTCGTTTCGGTGCTCATTGTCCGCACGTTCTTCTTGCATTTACTGATTCCGCTCTCTTTATCTCTATTCCATTATCATCATCATCATCATCGGTGGTTGTAATCCAACCTATTGTACAGCCAAAATAGACTTTACTTTTCAAGAGGGATATATATCAACTTATCATACTCTCTGAACTGAAATAGTATATATTTTATTATTTATTGTTATTATTGTATTGGGTATCATCATCCGCAACTGAACTCATCCTCACCCACTTTTCCTTCAGGCATCCTCTTGTGTGCTCACCATAGCGACGGAAAAGTCTTCTTCATTTAACAACAACAACTCAAACCTCCATCATCTTTTGTTGGTCATCACTACGATCTGATAACCGCTCTAACTGACAACCACCAAACACCAACAACTCTCACGCGTGTTGTGTTGTAACATTGATTGTCGTCGGTTGTAAATATTCCAATCAAACATCCTCTCAGCAATCTATCCATACTACCGTTAGTCCAGTCGTAATTACATTGTTCCCGCCCTGTCAATAATAAGGACCTCCACACACACTTGGCACTTTTGAGAGCAAAGAACCACTTCATTACCTCTCAAAATCTACATTCGTCAGTTCGCATTAACAATTACACAGTTTGATTATTACTGAGTGACTGACAAATCTGTGGCAAATCATTAATTTATTCGCTACAACGACATTGTTTTGCATTTTGTACGTTTTCTCAAAGAAATAGCGATACTTGTCATTGAGCATTGATATCTCCAAGTATTCAATCACCTCTCTCTAGAGACATTCTTAGCTCTGTAATCATTTTCCAACTCTCGAGTACTTTAACTCTCTCCTGTTGACAGAAGATCTTCAACTACACACATTCATATTTGCAATACAACCCCATTACATCATGAACACTACTACTCAAAGACAAGAACTCTTCCTCAAAGATATGCTCAATGGATCATCGAGCAACAATACCTCTGATGATTCCAACCACTCTCAAACTCCATCCATCCAGCTCACTAAAATTTTGTCACCCTTCCAACTCTACACCAAGAAGAGAACCGACATTAACAACAACTCTGTAGAGATTTCATTGTTAGGAAAGAGCACAGAACATACCTCACTCGACATTCAAACCGAAAAGTCAGTGAGTGTCTACTTGTCTGAAGAAGGTCTCTCATCAAGCGTCGTTTGTGCCAGTCACTTGATTAAGAAAATTCTTCCAATCACATTCAGTTCAGTTAAGAAGAACGATAAGGTCTCTGTTGTCTCGTGTAATGGTACAATTCGCAACAATTCCAAAACATGTCCAGTGCCTACAACGACCACCCTGAACTCTAATCAACCACCAAAAGTTGCCTTCAGAGTAAAGAGCCATGGTAAAGGATGTAATGGCACAGTGAAACTCTTTGTGATACCATTCGTGGTGACTGAACATGATGCTGCCAAGACAGAAGAACATTACTATCTCATGATTAAGGCCAAGAGAAATTCGTTAGGAAAAGGAAACAACAAGTATGGTATTGAGAATGCTTACATGTTCAGAAAGTCCATGGATAATGACTTGATTGATCAAATTATTGATCGTGTTCAATCGTTTGATGCCTCCTCTGTCAATGTCTCTTCACCAACAGCAAATACAACACCAGCCATGAATAACATTTCAAGTGTCACTGCTAGCAAACATACCTCAAGATCTGTCCAACAACAACAAGAACCATCCTCACCAACAAACAAGAAGAGAAGAGTGAGAAGCAGCAGCAATGCCATTCAGAACGATGCCAACAAGACCAAGTTGAGAAAGACACAATTGGAAGGAAGTGTTAAGGAAGAGAAGCAAATCTCTGCAGTGGGAGGAACTGCTCCAAGCACTTTTGTGAGCTCAAATGGTGTGTCGTCCCTGAATAACATGTATCACAAGACAACCTCCCTCCATCAACAGTTCCAACAACCTCCTCAACAATATCATCACCAACATGTCTCTTCCTCCAACCAATGCAATCCTTTCAGTAGTGGTAGTAGCACACAGAGACCAGTGCATAATAATATGAGCAATACTCCTACACGAAACAACGTTCTGTCTCAAGGAACAGCTCCACTGAACATGGAATTTGCAAACCATAGCTCACAAAGACTCCCACAACATGGCCAATATTCGAATACAACGCTCTCCTCACAACCATCAGGCAATACATTGGCTTCCATGATGGCAAACATGATGAATAATCCTCCTCCAACTTACACCATTGACAACACATGGAATAATCATACCTCTACAACCAATACTAACGGAAACAACAACAATTTGGGCGCAATGGTGAAGAATCATATTCTTGAGATGGATTTCCAAAAGCAGTATGGAAGACAACCATCCACTTTCCAAACTCAACAGCAATCTTCATATCCACCAATTCAATATTATCAAACTCCATCTCATACCAACTATGGAGGTGACAATAGAGCTGTGAAACGAACGCTGGATGAAATCTTTTGCGAAGAGTTTGCTACTTCCAACATTCACCAACAACCACAGGTGTACACCTCTAACCTTTATCAAAATCATCCAATGATGAATCCTGCTGTACAACAAAACTTTGCTCATTTATCGACTGATGAAGACATCATGTCCATGCAACATCAGGAAATGGCTGAAATAATTGACTCCATCCAAATGTTTGACATGCCTCTTGTAAATGAAGAAGATGAGCAACTTAACTTTTTCTGCTAATTCTAAGTTTCTATGACCCTCGCTAGAATATCACAACAATGTAAATAAGAACATAAAGATTGTACGATAATTATATGTTTGCAAACATCCATTATTATTATTATTATTGCTACCACATAACACCATCATGTTTTCGAAGAAATGCCAACAGCAGCAGAAATGGTTCACTTTATATCTCTCCCTCGACATACATTTACGATCGCAGAGTTACATAAAAAAGCGCAACATTTTCGTAACGAATTTTGAGGATTGCGCTTCAGCAACACGAGTTTCTGGACCGAGTACAAAATTATCATATGAATTAAATCCTTTACTTGTTTAAATTGATTATGAATTAAATCAATCATCAAGCTCTGTAAATTCAAGAATGAACAGCAAATCATCGGAAAATCGAGTAGGAACAACGAATAACATAGATGATTCGGATTCCATTAATATTGCCTCTCCTCCATCCAATTTCGACCATCATCAAACATCCTCCTCAACTCCCTCAGAGCAACCACCGTCAGGATTGGAAAACAACAGCGTTGAAAGATCAGAAATTGAAGATATCACAATTTCAACAACACAACCAACCACACCTAACGACAACAGTCATATGAAGGATGAAAGTGCCAATCCATCCACTCTGGCAATCAAACCTCTCAATCCCTTAATTCCAACTCTTGTCACCTCTCCCATCGCCGTAACACCCTCGACCTCAAAACTAATTCAACTTTCCCCTAGAGCTCAATATCTTCCTCATAACATGCATCTCAATATTGATAACTTGTTAATTCATCATGGCTCTGAGCGACTTGCATCTCCTTCTCGAGCACTTGTAAATAACATTATACACCATCTCTCCCCACACCATCTTTCACCTCGATACCAAGCTGTTGTCTCTACAGAAGATGAAGATAGCAGCAACACAATGAATGAAGAAGATGACGATGATGATGAGGAATTGAATATATTGATCGATAATTCGACTCATCAACCAGTACTCTTGGAACCCTCTAAATCTAAATCTCCGCCTCCCACGCATAGTTTCCGAAAAACAAGTCCTTCCTTAAAAAAGAGTGGCTATTCGGGATCACTTACTGATGACGATGAAGAAGATGATGACGAAGAGGAGTTGGAAGAAAACATTGAATCGAGTGAAGAGGATGACGAAGTACAGATTGACATCAACAGCCCACCAGAAGAGGATCAAGTGGAGGGATTTAACATGTCAAATGAGGACCTTTTGGATGAATTACATCGTTCGAATGCTCGACTTGCTTATGCAGAGTCAAAGGACTCTGAGGACGAAGATGATAATCAAAGCCTTATGAATTTTGGAGAAACAAATCGAAATAGCAGAAGAAGAGGCTCAACAAGTCCTTTAATTGTGAAGTCGGCATCATCAAGTAAGGAAAAAACCTTACAAACTCCAACAATGACAAGAGACAATAATAAGAACCAATATCGGTTGTACAATTCCTTGCAAAGTCACACAAAACTGACATTTTCTTCAATAGAAGAAGAAGCAAAATATTACAAACTAAAATATTTAGAGATCTCTCGAGATTTGCAAACGATAAGCGAGAACTATGAAAAATATCAAAAAAGAAGTGAAGAATTGGAGCAAGAATACGATGCAGAACTGGAAAGATATGAAAGCCTTCTTCAAAAGAGTGACTTGAAAATTAACGTTTTACTTGAACAAATCAAGCAATTGAAAGAGGAAATTGAGGAAAAAAACACTACTCATTCCTTAGAAATGAAAAAAATGGTTCGTGAGCTTAAACGGTCTAATGAATCTGAAAAATTTAGTCTTGATCTCATAAAAGACATTGAATCAAGTAATGGGGTGTTAGAGCAAAAGATGTCAATGATTCAGAAGGAATATGAACGAAGGTTAAAAGAGGAAGTAAACAAGCAGCGGGAACTGCAACTTTCGCTCGACGAGATGAAGCTTACAGCTGCTGAAACCATTGAAAAGCTTAAAAGTGAAAACAGCAAGCTTGAGAATGACTTGTCACATCTTCGAAAGGCATTGGAAAGTGCAAGTCAAAGCTCCCAAGAAATTGCAAGGTTGAACTGTGAAAACGACAGACTTTCCAAATTGGCGGAAGAAAAGGAAATGGAGTTGTCCAAGTTGAAATCACTTCAAGAAAAGAAAAAGATGCTTTTCAAGAGAGCTCGTGAATCTAAATCAATTCCAATAACACAACCAACGAAAAACGAGGAAAAGTGGAGTGCTATTCTGAATACATGCAAGTCGCTGTCTGAAGGAATAAGTGCTTGTCAACATGTCATTCAAAATGTGTCAACGAGCTTGGAAATAAGTTCCTCAATCGTAGAATAAACTACCATAATCCAAAAGATTAATCATCCCAACTTTGATTCTTGTCTGTTAAGGATGTTCATTGACCGACAAATCGGACAACAATGCTTCCAAACATTGCATTCGGACTTCCCTCTTCTTCACAAATGATGAACTTTTAAAAAATGCAACAAGAACACATGGTTTCGTTGTTGGCACAAGTATTTCTCTCCAACAATATCGTATCTCGAAAAGAGATCAATCATGCTATTCAAATGGAAGAAAGAGGAGAGAAGAGTGAGGACATAAATTTTGAAAACAGAACATTCGCCAATACTAGTTCATTACCCATTTCATTGGCGGATTTAAAACAAGTGACGATGAGTGATGTGATTGAGTACATGATGCATATTCAAAAATATGGATCCCTAGACAGATTGCCTGACGAAATATTATAGTCAATTTTCATGATGATTGAGGATGACGATCACTCGTGGAGAAGCTTCATGCTTTCTTGTAAACGCTTCTATGAAATTTGCAAGACGTACAGATACCAAGACATTCATGTCCCTGGAGCAGGTTCATTCACTTTCTATCAAGGTGCTCCCAATCATTTCTATCTCACCTTACCAAACCCTGAGAGAAATGTTTCCATGTACAAAATTCCAACAAGAAAGCCTTGGTCTGCCAATGACACAGACGTCTTGACCACATGGTACAAGATTCGTGTGGATCCTGCGACCTTAAATGTTCATACTGGAGATTTTAGATTTGCCAAGTCTGTTGGGCGTTGCTCTCATCATTCGGTCAATCAAACACAAATCCCGTATGCATCATGCTTTGGATGTGAAGCCCCTGGTGTTGCTGATGCTAATGCAATGTGCGATTGCTTTTGATATCCCTTCCTTTCATCATGCAGGTTATATGAGTAGCGGAACGTCCATTCTCACACATCAAGACCAGGTCATTGAGCTGAATGGAGGAGGCTATTGTGGTTGGATTTGTAGCATCGGAGCAAAAACTGAAGATCAAGCTGTTGAAGGAGGATGGTTCATCAAATTGAAATCATCCTCACCACTCACTCAAGAACAAGAGAAATTGGGAGAGTTTGACTCTAGTGTATCAAGACTCTATTCAAAAGCCGTAACAAGTAATGATTGATGAAACATTAATGGAGCACGGAAATATTCTTCTACGATTCCTGACTATGATTATAATATTATATTATTATTTAATAAAAGAAATAAAAGATCATCGCGTGCATTTGAAAAAACAATTCATCAATTATTATTGTTGTAAATTATTTTTTCGAGTGAAAAAATGAGACTCTACGCGACCTTGCTCAATCCTTGCTCGAGGTCTGCCAATGCTGGCAAGTTGATGATGATGAGCAAACTCTCGTCAGCTTCATCATCAGCTGCAACAACAACTGGAGTAGCAACAACAACACATACTTCATCAGCAAATTTATTTTTCAACAACACATCTTCAAGACATTTTTCTTTGTGTTCTTTTCAGTGTGCAGGAGCCGATGAGAACCAGTCATCCTCTAGCACACCCTCAAGTTCTGATAGAAAACCACAAGGAGAACGTAAACCTTTTGTAAGGAACTATGATAGACAAAAGCAACAACAACAACAGACTGGTGAACGAAGATTCAGCAACCAACAACAAGGAGAGAGAAGACAATTCAACAACCAACAACAAGGTGCTAGACAAAGAACACAACCTAGTACTCAAAACACACAATACGTCAAGAAACCCTACAAACCAAGAACCGCTACAGAAGGTGAACAAACAAACACTCAACAGGAGCCAACCACTACAGGAACCATGCCAACCACTAGTGGCACTTCAACCAAAGCCAAGCGCACAATTCCAAAAGAAGAAGCAGAAAACTTGCTTAAAGAGGCTCAAAAACTCAAGGAACTTCAAAGGAAGCTCAACAAGAATACTGAAGAATCGACTGGTGGCACTCCAGTACCAATTGATGATGTTATGATGATGGAAGAAGATTTACTTGAACCAACAAAGTTTGTTGACAAGAGTGCACTGAGTGAAGAAATTGAAAAGAAGAAATACTTAATGAGACTCGAAGGAAAGAAAAAGCAAAATACAGGAGAGAAAGCTGCAAGCACTAAAAAGAAGGGAGCCAAAAAGAGAGAAAGAAAGAGAAGTAATGAATCTGAGGAGTCAGAAGAAGCAACCGAGGAAAGCAAATCACTTCAAATACGAAAAAAGACTGGAGAAGAGGAGGAAGATGTATTCAAAGTAGACATTGAAATGAACCCAAAATATGCCGAATATATTGACAGAATGTATACTGGTACTACCCCTCAATTACTTGCAGAACAAAATGCCCTTCTTCCCACCAGAGGCTTAATTCCTACTTTATCTGAAATGGGAGCAGAACATGGATCAAACTTTGCACCTGTTATGAAACAAATGCTTGTTACAAACCTTGTGAGAGACGAGCATTTTGAATTTCTTTTTGGTTACCTGAAAAATTATCAAATTCTGGCTAAAAAGATTTTGGACTGCATGGAAGATAAAGATAGAGCAGCTGAAATTCAAGAAATATACCCAATATTGGCAGAACAATCGCCCATGGAAGTAACTTCTAGAACAGACCTTGAGGAAAATTTTGATAGACCAGAAACAAGAGCAACTCTGTACAGCTTGTTCGATCCTGATTATTTCGTGAACATGGAGGCTATTGAGGCAAAGGCTACAAAAGAATTGGAACGATTGTCTAAAGAAGGACAACTCACACCACATGTGTTGGAGCCATATAAGCAAGAAATTCCAACATCATTACTGGCTGAAAAGCTTTTGGACTACTTTAATGGTAAACTTTTCACTTTGCAAATTGGAGGCGCTAGCGATTTCATGTTGCAGGCTCAAACAATCAAAACCTTGGCAGAGGATTGTTTCGATACTATTGTAAGAAAAAGAGGTTCCGCTGCTCTTCCATATCTTCCAGAATCTGAGAGAAATTTCATCGAGGAGAGAGAACGAAAATTGGCAGCAAAGTATGGAATTACACGAGAGAATTTGCATACCTTTGTTTCCAAAGATAAAATGTACCAAGAAGAAACTTACCAGAGCTTGAATGGAAGAATTGAAGAATTACTTTCAAAGAAGCGTTCGAATAGACTGGCCATTGAAAATCGATTTAAACTTGAACAACCAAATGATGATTTTGATCATGAAGATGCTTATTATTATGGTGACGAGGCAAATCCAGTGGAAAGAAAACAAGAAATATCTCAAGCTGTTGAATCTTATATGGCGGACTATCCAGGACTTCCATTAAAGAATCACGTGTCAGCCCTCATGGAAAGAGTTAGACAACGAGTGTATCTATTGAAAAGATTTGTTCATGAACCAAAGTTTGATTCTTTAGCCTACATTAGAGACGTTCCATTTACTAGTGGTCTGTATCACCATGCAGGTAAAATTGGAAAATATGCCAAGTTTGCTCCTCTTGAAAGAAACTTTGATGAAATTATTGAAGCAAACAGTGCTCCAGACACTGTTGCTAGACTTGTCCTCACCAACTACTCACGTGCTTTGGGACAAAATGACACTCTTGATATGAAATCCAAGATGAATCTCATGCATAGATTTGGAGCATACGTAAAGAAGGTTGACGCTGAAGGAGGATTATCAATGCCAAGTCCAATTCGACCTGGTAAACTCACACACATGCATCCTAACAGAGTCAATCCTCGTGATGCTAAGCTTGATGTACTCAAAATTGATGACGAAAATGACCCATTCTGGAAGGATATGTTCGCAAATATGGATTACATCCAACAAATCAAACAAAAGAGATTTGAGAAGGAAACTAGAAAGTCTGACATTGGACGAGGAGGCAAACCTGCCCCAGTCAAATCCAAGGCTAAGAAAAAGTAAATGTTGGGAAAGGGTTGTAGCGGTGTCAAATCGAATAAAAACTCAATTACTGTGCAAGATATTTTTGTAGTGTTATGAATAAATAACAGTGACAATCGCCATTCGCATGACATGATCTCCAACATGTCGAACATGCCCTTCGAATCCTTTTTGGTCGAGTCTTCCTTTTTAAACTTGTCGTACAAACCGATCAACTAAATCAAAAAAAAATTGTTTCATAATTCCCTTTCATCCCAACAACACACTCTTTTTCATGTTTCAGAGTCCAAGCGAAAGTTGTGTATGTCCACCTTCCTTTCGAAACAATCGAAAAGTAACCTCTCCAGCCTCTATTGGCGACGACAACAACCAATGCCATGACATTCACTTTTCTGATGCTGCTCTCAGCTCCAATAGTTTGGACATCATGCATGGAACACCACCACCAACACAACTACATCAACGTTGGTCTTTGGCTGTCGAGGTCTCGGAGAATGGATCCTTCGTACATGATGATGATGATCGAATCTTTTCTCAACAACAAGAACGACAAGATGATGATCCTACACTAATAGTGGGTGTCAAAGAAGAAGGGACAATGAACAAGTTACATTCGCTTGGAAGTCACATAAAGGAAAGAACCAATTCTGATGGTGAAACAAAGAGTGGTTTGACGATTCCATCCTTGTTACCGAGTAAATTATTAGGTTCTAGAAAGAAGAAGGAAAAGAGAAAAGATGAAGAAGGATCTTTGACTTCATGTAAGTAGATGAGACGAGATATCATGTCATGCGTGACGAATGGTATCATGAATTGTATCATTCTCGTTTATTATTTCAAAATATCATTTTGGAATGATATTGGCATATGACACATATGAATTGAAATTCGATGGACAACAATCATCACATGTCCACATACATCACACAGTTGACAAGGAAGAATTAAAACAACTTTCAGAAGAATTTTCAGCCATCGATAAAAGCGGAAACATTGGTCTCAATGAATTTGTCAATTGTTTAGGAAGATTGAACGATTCTGACAATCAATCAGATGCTGACTTGGTATTAGGGAAAATATTATTTCGAGCATTCGATAAGGACAATAGTGGAACAATTGACTATAGAGAGTTTTTAGCAACAATGGCCATATTATCGAGAGGAAATGTGGAACAGAAATTAGAATTTGCATTTTCAATGATTGATTTAGATCACGATGGAAAATTAAGTAGAGAGGAATTACAGAAAGTAGTGACTGCACTGTACAAAGTGTTGACCTCTTTAGGATTGGGTTCAAAAACCATGCAAGATCCAATCGTGTATGCGAACAAATTATTTGATGAAATGGATGAAGAAAAGTGTGGATATTTAACATTGGAAGGTTTGTAGACTTCTCAATTGAAATTCAGACAAACATTCTCTTGTGATGAATGGTTACCATCGATCGAAAAGCTTACAAAAAGGGTGCTTTAAAGAATTCAAATCTTCTCAAAGGTTTGGGAGTTTTAGAGAGCTCAGAGAGTGTCATTGATCAAGGTGATGCTTCATCATCATCGACAGGTATGTGTTTCCGTTTCACAACAAGTCGCGTGACAATAACTGAATTTTATAGAAAACGGCATGGATCTCCTGACAGAGAATGATCTAAAAAACACGTCAGACAAACCAATGAAACACCAAGGAAAAATTATTGGATTTGGAAGTAGAAAATGGAATTTATGTTTAAACATGATGATAGGAATTCGACTGTCTTCCGATTGTATTGGATCCATAGGTACGTGTGAATCACATGGTTCTGAATGATCATCAACATGCATCAACATTGATTTGTCACCTGTGTTAATTAATTAATTTTCAAAATATTCATTCCCAAATTCACACACACACGCACTCATATAGATGAAAGAGATGTTCGAATGGAAGATTTTAGTGTGAGATTAATGTTCGATCTTCCCAAAGAATCGAGTAAAAATTTATTGAACTCTGAAACTACTAGTTATAATGATCCTCTTTCTGCAAGAGGATTCAACTCTGGCATGACCTTTGATTCAGAAGAAGTTGCAGCAACCTTTGTGGATTATGCTCCGTTTGTATTTAAACACATTCGAAGAATGACTGGAATTTCTGAAGCCAGTTACATGCTCAGTTTAGGTCCTGAGCAATTGCTTGGAAATTTGTTATTGGGAAGTATTTCAACCTTATCGGAACATTTAAGGTAAGTTGTGGAGTGATAGGTGGGTGACAACAATATGTGACTCACTGTTGGCCATGAACCTTTATTCAATCACTCATGATGATTGTATCAACTTAACAATGTCACCATGTCATGACATTTTAGCGATGGAAAATCAGGATCTTTTTTCTTTTATTCCAATGACCGAAAGTTTATGGTGAAAACCATTTCCAAAGCTGAAGTTTCATGTTTGAAGAGAATTCTTCCCATGTACTACAAGTACTTGTCACAAAATCCAGATTCACTCATTGTTCGAATTTTGGGACACCATGAAATGATTATCAACTCGGAGAGAATTAATTTCATTGTCATGGGAAATATATTTTCCTCCTCGAGACCACTTGTGGAGTTGTACGATTTGAAAGGAAGCACTCATGGACGAAAGAATCCTGAAGGATTTTGTAAAAAAGATTTAGATTTGCTCGAAAAGAAGAGAACATTCACAATTGGGTTGGAAAACAAGTTGAATTATATGAAAATTATTGAAAAAGATACTGGTATGTGCTTGAGTTATTGAATGAATGGTTAATTGGAAAATAATAATTAATGAAATGCAACCTTGGTTGAACTTCTATTTAGAATTCTTGTCAAGTTGCAATTTATTGGATTACTCACTTCTTGTTGGAGTGTGTAAAGCAGCAAGAAGCACATCGATTTCAAATGTTGACTCACAGCAAGAAGTTGCATCTCCAACCACACCCACCACATCCCGTAAAATGAGTGGATTTGTTGGTGCAAGATTAATGAGAAAGAATAAGTGTGTTTGTGCCATTCCAAGCACTCAACTTGCGAAAAACCTATCCTCTGAAGAAGAGTCAGAGCTGTACTACATTGGAATTATTGACATTTTGACAGAGTGGAGTTTCAAGAAGGAGTCTGAGCATCATTTAAAGTCCATCACAAGCAAAGCTGAAACTATTAGTGCCATTCCTCCAAAGCCCTATGCCGAACGATTTTTCAAATTCATGTATCAAGTATTTGAGTAAGGATATGTACAAGATGCGTGAAGGAATAGTCTACTTTATTCAGAAAGTGAAGGTTTAGAACCATTTGCATTCTCTAGTTGGTTGTTTTGATTGAGTTTCTCGACGCTTAATTGATCATTTTCATTTCTTGTGAGTTGATTGATTTCTTCTGGCGTCAATATAGCACATACATGATGGCAAGCGTTCAATAAATAGGTTTGTGTCAGGCCTTTACCTTTCACATCGATCGTTTCTTCGATAAACGTCAAACCTAGATCGTGTACTCGTTCGTAGGTTGAACGGCTATTAAATCAACAAATTTGCATGCATCAAACCCAAAGACATTGTGACACTTACCTTATTCTAATTCTTCCAGCCAAGGATGTCGATTCCATTCTTGAGGCAACATTGATGGTATCTCCCCACAGGTCGTAGGCAAACTGTTGACAAACGTAACAAAAAGTTTTTCACAACGTTGGAAAATGGAATTTTTCAAACAACAATACATACCTTTTTCTTTCCAATAACTCCTGCAACAACGCTACCCGTGTTGATGCCACAACGAATGTTGATTTGTTTAGGAGGTGAGTTATTTTCATTAGTGCCGCTATAAAACTCTGTCATCAAATTGCTGTTAAACCCTCGTATTACTGAAAATGTATCCATGGCAAAACGCAGCACTCGCTCAGGATGATCTGCATCCATAGTTCAATGTATGTGAAAAAAGAACAATTGTTCAAAATTGACAAAGAGAATATCAACATCCCAAGAGTAGAGATATATGATCATCATGGTTATTTTCTAATAATTGTACTCATAACTCCAATAATATACCTACCTGACAAGCTATTAAACAATCCACCAGCACAAAAATATGCATCTCCTAGATTAACATTTCGTATTAAGGTTAATATGGACAATATCCGTTGTTACCAACGTTTGAATTGACACAATTAAAAACATACCAATGGTTTTGATTTTTTCAAGTTCATAAGTGTCGGTGAGGTTATCAAATCCATTGACAATCATATTCAGCATGGCTACCAAATCTGTTGGTGACATGGTGGATGACATTGCTTAACAAGAAGGCAAACAATATTAAATAAAACTTATTTTGCATTTTCAGAACCTACCTGTGAAATTGACCATATCGCTAAAAAAGCAAGTCACATCTGTAAACTTTTCGGCAATCAGAGAAATGCCACTCTTTAACTGGGAAGCAACAACCTCTGGAAGAATGTTGAGCAGCAACTTTTCACTATTCTTCTTTTCTTCAGCAAGAAGAGAATTTTGTTTCTTTTCACTGGTTACATCTTTGAGAAAACAGGTGACAATTTGCTTCTTTTCAAAGACGGAAATGAATATAGTTACTTTGGCAGGAAACAATGTTTGGTTCTTTCTGAGACAATCCACGTCAAAGGTTTCTCCTTTGGAATCATGTTCAGTAACGCTTGATTTCATCGATTCGATTTCTTTTCTTATCGATTCTTGCTTACTCTTTTCAAACAGTGACACTAATGGCTTTCCAATGACATCTTCGTGTTGATATCCAAACATTCTAAGAGAGGCAGGGTTCACAATTTCCATACCCAGTGCCGAATTACACAGCACAACTCCTTCAACGGATGCATTCAAAATTGAAATGAGTTTGGCGTCTGAGTTGTCTGAATTCGCATGGCGGTTAAACCTTTCCAAAAAGCTTATTAAGGAATGATATAAAACATAATTTTTCAAGCGTTCGTTACTCTCAATAGTTTCAAGAGAAATATAATTGAACATCATTCGCATGATGAAAGTGGTTTTTGAATGAAGAGACATGGAGTTGACTAAAAACAGTAGCAATACAATCAAGGCTGCAAAAGCAAGCACAGCAACAGCTGTAAATACTTCAAGCTTTGGTTCAGATGAGGCAAAAGCGAATACGTCTGAAAATTCGATCAACACTTGAGAGGTGTAACTTGTTAGAAAAGCAACATCCATGAAAAAGTCAATATTTTGCCACATCGAACTGTCAACAGCTTGAACGTTTTCGATCAATTTTCTACTCTTCAAAACAATCTCAGAAATGGTGCTATCAACTCCAACAACACATGAAAGGTTATGACGAGATGTGGATGCGTGTAAAACTTTTTCAAGAGTGCAATTTTCGTTGCCCTTGATCATTTCATCAGTTTCCGGAAATAGACCAATCACTCTGTTGTCAATACCTGTTTGTGAGTTCGATCCAAACAAACACTTCCCCCAATACTCACGAAGAGAATTCACAATATTATTGAAATCACTGTGGAAAAATTCGAGCTCGTCATTCCTCAATAATTGTGTCTGGTTGGCAATTGCTTTTGAAGTGAATATTTCAGTTACATAAAAGGCGAGATGCTGAATAAAAGTGAGAGTGCCATAACTGTACCTGATGGTAGAATATGATCTTACACTATAATTAGTATTAGAAAGTGTTTGCTCCAAAAACAAAACACAACTTAGGGTTACCGTGAACACAAGAGCTATGGAAAGTATGATGAACAAATTTTTGGGTTTGAGATATGCGGCTTTAGAAATGTGGATGGTCGTTTCGTCACCAACCTTCTTTCCGAGTTCGTGATAGATCTTTCCAATCTCATTTCTTAATGTACATACATTGTTTTCAAAATGATCGATATTGAACCCAACACTTACCTTGTTACAAATTTTTGTAACAGCTTAATTTGTTTCTTTACAATAACCAAATCAAACCTCATGAAAATCATAAAAAAGATTGAAAATAGAACATAAATGGAAAGAGCAACAGAGGTATAAACGATATAAGTATGATTCAATTCTATAGCATCATTCTGAGAAGAGTTCATAAATTCGTTGCAAAATGTTGAATAGGCATGTATAAAGGTGTCAAAGTTTCGATGCAAAAGCATGAACTCATAACTGGTCAAGGTTTGAAGGAGTTCAGTTTCGTCATAGTTCAGCAATTCTTTTGTAGCTTCTATTATCATGTTGTTAATATCCGCTATTGTGGCATTTTCTTGTGCAGTAACATTGTACACTCTAATATTATTGTTTTCAATTTGAGGAATTAGTACAGGAAAGCCTTCTCCATGATACACAGAATAAATTCTATCCGAGAATTTTGAGTTATAAGCAGCATCTCTTAATTCAATTGCCAAATTTCTCATTTCTTGATGTCATGTTAATTGGAAAAAACAATAACAAACATTGGCTCAACTCACCTTGCATCATTTCCTTATTTTCATCAAGACTTAGAAACAACTGAGTCGATAGGTCATGGGGAAAACTCTCAGTTCCAAACCCATGTACCAGTTGAAATCCTCGTGTATTGACCAATACAGTTGTTAAACCCATAATAGGAGCGCAAGCACTTCGTGCTGTTGTTACGTGATCTGTCACCTCATGAGAAATGAAATAGCCCATGAGTAAACTTGCTGTGACGAGGAGAAAAGAAATTACAATGAAAATTCCGAACAGCCCTAGTTGAATAACTCTCGAAGATGGCGTTGATAATGTGGATCTATAAGTTAATTCTCGCTTTGCTTCATTGTTCAAAGTGTCGACTCCAGTGAGATCAAAGCTGGTCTCGCTATTACCTCTTTCCAAATCATAGGGTTTCTCTTCTGTTGGATTTTTAGAATGAACACTTAAAGTGATCGAGGTATTAGAACGATATCTCTTGTCTGCCTCTTGCAATGTCGATAGGTTTTCCTCTGATTCTGGATGAACAACTCTTGTCGAGGTCTTGGTTTTTTTAAGAATCTTCTTTGTGTTGTTATTTCTATAACCTGCAATGCGTTTTCGAACAGATTCTTCTTCCTCAATACCAGAGGCCTCTACATAAAATTCTTGAGCAAGCTGTTTGTTGAATTTGAAATCTTCCAAATATTTTGCATACCTTGATCATTGTTGTTGATGTGTTCCATGTTTGAGAAATGTTGAATACTTACATTCGCAGAACAGTTTTGTCGTTGTTATAAAGTTTGAGAACGTTTTTGAAAATAGAGTCACATTCTCCTTCTAATATCGCACAACGAATCATCATTCTTTCAAGTTTTTCGTATGAAACAATCTCTTGCATTAACTCCTTAAAAAAGTGTCTATGAATAGCTGTTAATTCTCTAGTTTTCTTTTCCATTTTGAGGAGTGTTGCCTTTAACTCCATAGATCCATCAGTTTTAATTACTTCTGATGTAAATACTTCAATCTCTTTTTTCTTTTGGCCAATAAGGAACTTGATATAAATGTTAGGACGTTGTTTCATGGCCTTCTTTAACAAGGCGTGAGCAAAACTCGCTGAATTAATTTCGTCAGGTATAAAATATGCCACAATTTGAGATGAAATTATGAGAGAATGAACATCATTGAAAGTTTTCAAAGACGTCACACCACGAATAAAGCTAATTCCTTGAAGTAAATCATCATGATGGGATGAAGAAGCCATGGAAAACTTAAGAAACAAATATAAGAGAGGCAAATGCTTGTTATCATCCATTACTTGAAATAATTGCAATAGTTCACGTTCTCCTTCGTTGTCTTCTTGTGGATTAAAGTACATGCTCTTGAACATTTTAAAAACAATCCTCGTATAAATTTCCATTCCAATAAATCCAGCAATAAAGAAAAGAGTCATCAAACCAATGGTCATCATGGCCATCGCAATTCCAAATTCATCACTCAATGTCGCATTAGTCAAATGTGAAATAAGCCCGCCGATAGAAGTTCCTAATCTACATGCAGTTATTGCAAAGACAAGAGAATTTTCCCATCTTCTCATCATTGGTATTGTTTTAAAGACCAAGTATGACATCGCAAGGCTTATCACTATATGAGCAGAGGATCGTGCAAAGGCAAAATGCGGAGGTATAAGGTAATGTATGGTAATTGAAACAATGTTACAACATAGAAAGCTCACTCTAAAAACTAAGGAATCACTCTTGAATAGAGAAGTGCTTAAAGGATGCATGTGTGGTATGATACACGAGGACAATACAGTTAATACAAGTAGGGCAATCATTCCAATCAGTGCAATTGTCCACATGATAATATTCTCGCTTGCAAAACAAGCAGTCGTGGGAAATCTATTGAGATTCATTTGCATGCCACCATTATCAGTGAAAGAAGACGGTTGCGTGTGGTTGGAAGATTGAGTGGTGACTGAATTATGGTTGACATCAGAAGTAAATACATGAGGTCTAGTTTGAAATCCATAACCACAATCAAAGAAGCTTGAAAAGATAAATGCCATCGGTGTCGACAAAAGAATGATGATAAAAGAGAGAGTGTGAAGAATCTTTCTCAAATACACCACCATAGCAGATGTCTCACGTGCAGCTCTCCTTCCAATAATGTACAGCAAGATCATGATCAATAAGAGAACTAAGGCAGCACTGGTAATTCCCACTGCTCCGTAATAAGGTAGCAAATCCATAGAGAGAGATGTCGACCAATTAGCAATGGTAAATATCCAACTTCCCCACTGTCCAAACAAAAAGTCTTGCGGACTTAACACCGGGATGAATAGGAAACTCCAAAATAGCTGAGCGTGTAATACCAAATCGAGAAGGTAATGTTTCCATCCATGTCTTCTCGAATTATTTTGCATGGTGTAAAGAAAGAGCATGACATCTTGAGTGATCTTGTAGTGCAAGGTCGAGAGATCCGTAGAGGAAAAGGTCTCTCCAGAAGTGCTCGAGAAACTCTCATTTCTAACCTCCGAATTTGCCTTCTTGAATCCTGATGACAATGCGCTTGTAGGTCCTACATGTGTTGTGGATGGTTGTTGGTGTTCATGTGTGGTATGAAGAGGTTGAGAGGCTTCATTGACTGAATTCGAGGAATCAGATGTATGAACGTGAGCATTGTGCAATCCTCCACCAGTATCCACAGCACCTTGATGATGGTGGTTATGGTGGGTATGGTTGTTGTTGTTGTGGTTATTAGTAGGAGGGTGAGGCTTAGTAGTAGCAATACTGTGGTTGGCATTTATACTGTTTGAGGGAAAGGAGGGATTAAGGTTTTGAGGGTTGTTGGTCATTTTTTGCTTTTCCCGAAAAAGTGGTTTGTCATTACCAAATAAGCAAGCATGTAAATGGCGACGAACGTGTTTGGTGTTGTTTGTTAACGAGAGTATGTGTGGCGGACATGGTGTATTTCCACAATAAACTAGGAGGACAAAATGGTTTTTTGAAAAAATTTGCCAAGGGTGTGCAAGAATCGAAGGGTAGAACTGGATCTCTACTCTCTGCTATTACTGTGAAAACTAAACAATAATTACCCACTTGTTCCATTATTGGGGAAAATAAAACCAATGGTGAAGATTTCATGGATTCATCACTCAAAAAAAATAATGAAAAATTTAGAGAGATTTCACATAATTTAAATTTCAATTATTTTCAAATGCACACAGCAACAACATAAAATAATATTCAGAATTCTAATTCCGAAATACTCTTTTAAAAGATGTGGAGGAGGATCACACAACCGGACAAGGATAGAGACACGACAATATATTTTTTTTTTAGGCAGCCGATTCGTTTGGGATGTTGCTATTGCCTTCACAATTTCCTCAAAGAGAAACGCATGGATCAGGCATGTACCTAAAGTTCAAAACTGGTACGGTAATCACTTGGCTCTGTCAACGTCAAATGTCATTTTTAATAAGGATGCTCTACAAATAAGAAACATGCATTTATCTCAACAGCAAGATAAAAAAGCTTGCAAGATCACTTCAGAACGAGAACCATCAACACAAAAAAGATGAGTGACAATTCGATCACCACATCTTCAGCACCGTTAGCATCATCGATAGAGCAAGAGAAATCCACCATTCAAACATTAACAGATTCTTTATTCAAACTCTGCAACATCCAAGAGATCGAAACCAATGCTCACTTTCAACAAATCACTGAAAGCACTTCCCAACAATTCAAAGAATGTCAATTCCCTGATAATGAATATCATACGAAAGGCATTGCAGACGTTTGTTTTTGGATCTCGCTCTGCTTACCCTATGCTTCATTCGAAGATCTTCGGCTGTTTGCTGCTATTCTTGCATATCTGAGCGTTGTGGATGATGCATGCGATCAAGAAAAGGATCTTACTGGAGAATTAAGAGACGAACTTGAATCTCATATTGAATTGTTGACGACAATCGAATCGATTTTCAACAACAACCTCAAAATCACTTCAACACTCGAAAGTCCATCATTTCAACATCAAATTACATCACCAACGGATTCGCCTTATTATTGTTCAATGACCAGTCCTAATGAATCAAGTACTCTATTAGCACTTTCATCTATCACAACAAGTCCTTTTTCTCCTCAATGCAACACCGTTCAACACAAAATCGAACCTTGTCACAATCCATCTTTGGAGCTTGGAAAGAAAGTCCTTTTCCAGTTATATACATCTCGATCTGCAAATGTCTCTTCTAAGACAAGGATGGAAATTGACCATTTTCAGAATGTTCGATTCATCATGATGGAGACATTCGAGCACAATGTTGGGATAGCTAATCTATGGGCGAAAGACTCAAGTCCAACTTTAACCGATTACATGAAAATGAGAGAGAATGATTCTCTAGCAAAAATTTTAATGTATTTTGGCTTTATGTTAGCCATGAGTGATAAAACGAGAGATGACGATGATGATGTGGTCATCGATAAAACACAAGTGACAGAAATGGGTGAAAACTGTAACCCATTTGAAGAGCTCAGAAAGAGTGAGTTCTATAAGAGTGCTGTCAAGGTATGCATTTTGGTCAATGACATATGTTCCTACCCCAAAGATCTGAAATGTGAAATTCAGAACAATTATATCTCTCTGTGGATGAAAGAGCATGAAGGATCAAATCTGGAGGAGAGTTTCATGCACGGTATTTCCGAGCTTGTCAAATGCGTGAGAATTATGAATCAACAATTGGAAGAACTCTCTTCAAAGAAAGATGATGATGAATCCATTCGATTGTTTTCAATCTTTAAGAACTTTAAAACTGTTGCCGTGGGATACATGGGATGGTGTCTGAAATCACCTCGATTCAAACATGAAAATCATCCAGTGCCTCAATTGAAAAAGATGCCAAAGACGACCACCAAAGACAACTCCTCTCTCGAGACAACATCCAGTGTTCCTCCAATGTTGACAATTAACACACCATCTGCACCTGTCACCTACTTGGATGTCATTCGAAATGAAAAGAGGAAGAGATTCCTATTGAATAATTCCAACCACCATTGCTCGATCACGATCGACATTGGGGATGATTCTCTGTCAGACGGAAAAGTCACCACACTCTCCAAACAAAACAACATTTGCAACGATGAACTTATCTTTGATTCCTTTCCAGACGTTGCCTTTCAACAAGTTGCTTCTCAAACTGTATCTGTAAGTAACTCGGCCATGGACGAAATCATCTCAATCGCAATGATCAAACGAAAAGAACATGATGTAGTGAACGTCACCGATTTAAGGAGGAGCGAACTCGCGTATAATCACATTCTCAATGGAGTGCCTCTGATCATGATGGTCCTTCACTACTTTGGTATCATGTCGTGGTGGCAGATTTTTCTCATTCAACAATATTGTACCATCAGGTGGACTCTCTCCTTACACACTCTTTTACATGCATGTGCCAAGTTTGATTTCTTTTCTGAAGTTTTGATTGGTATGGGTAATTTTGGTCAGTTTTTCACACTCTCAGCGGCAAAGTATGGTCACAAAACACATCACATGTTTACAGAGACAGAGAAGGATGCAGATTATGTGTTCTTTGCGACAAATAATGTGTTACTTCTTCTCATCAAGTGTCTGTTTTTTGCAGAATACTACTCGTATATTTATGTTTCACACTTGGTAAAGAAATTGAAAGCAAATGAGAACCTTCATGATGCCATTCATTCTGGAGAATTCAAACACTTGGTAAGATTTATAGCCATCATGACTGTGAAAATATTATTTTTCATTGCATTCATTGGAATTTTCTCCACCTCTTTCATGGTTGTCATTCTAAGTGCAAGATTTGCTTCGAGTTATGTGTTGGCCATTTTCACTCAACTCATTCACAAATTAGATATGGTTCTCTTTTTTAACAGAATGAACAAGATCTTCCCAAGACGATTGCATTTGGATCGATTGCTGAATCTCATCTTTGGATCCAATATTCATGTGGTTAAATATCATGCCATTCATCATGAGTTTCCATGGATCTCACCCACATCCTACTATCCTTATTTAATGAATTGCGAGCGAGAGTTGAAACAAAACACAAAGTCCTCAACGTCCAACTCTTCTTCTACCCTATCCACTGTATCAGGAGCACCTGTAAATTATTCAATTGCCGAAAATTCAGTCTAAACTAATGTACATAATATAAATTGAGTAAAGTCATTCAAGTCCCGTCTCTTCCTGTGTGAATAAAACATGTACATATTTAGAAAAATAACACTTTTTGATTGACCGATCATGAGATGCTTGTTTCAACAAGCAAAAAAAATGCAAATAAACTTGAGGCGATCGTTTGAAGCATGGTGGTCTTCTCTTTGTTCACCACGACACAAGTCGAGTCTTAAACATGCTATAACAACAACAACAACCACCACCACGAGCAAACCATGTCTTACAAAATTATCATTGATGAATAATGTATTATTATTACAAGAAACACATCATCATCATGAACGAAGGTCGTTCCATACTTGCATCAGGTTTAGTGTTCCGAATCTACCAGGCTTGGATGAAGGCACACCAAAAGTTAATAATTCCTCTTCACCTACTACTACCAGTACCGATACTGGTAAAATCAATCCAGCTACTGCCACCACCAATTCACAAGAAAAAAACAACATCTCTTCATCATTGGATGGAAAAGAAGAGGCAGAACCAAAACTTTCCTTTTTAGCACTTGATGCTACTACCTTGAAACATTTAATATCCAATCAAAATATTGGAGAGGCCATCAAAGAGACTCAACAAAAAGTTTCTCGGTGGACTCGAACATTCAGATCATTAATGCAAAATACTTGGATATTTAAACTTGCTACTGTACTGTTTGTTCTCCTCGTGTTGGTTGTTGAGGAATTTTTGAAATTGTCAAGAGTTCAAGAAGAATTTAAAACTCAAGTTTCAGACGACGACAAGACACATTATGTTCAAACAATTGAGAGAAAGAAGGAAGAGGAAGAATTGCTGAATTTTGCTGTACATTCATTGAATCAATATGCAATGATTGTTGGAGAAAGTGGAAGTGGAAAATCTGAAATTGTGAGCAGATTGGTTTACAAAGCACGCAAGCAAGGTATTCCAGTTTTTTATTCAGCAGCAACTGAACGACAATATGAGGCCCGATTGAAAAGCGAATTGGGATACTTTACACTGATCAATTCTTTCTTTCACTATGTTAAAAAGCTGCTTAATGTTGACTCGTCAAGTGATATATTATCAGATTTAGAAAAAGTGGGAATTGAGATCAAAAAGAAAACAGGAAAACGGCCACTGATGGTAATTGACAATGCTCATCGACTGAATGCCAACGATGAAGGTAAACAATTTTATAGAAATCTTCAAGAGCTTGCTAAAAAGATGGCCGACTCTGAAGCTTTGAATCTCATTTTTGTGATAACAGTAGATGGAGACAAGACTGTGAATACGACATCCGAATATAGTAGTAGACTACGAGTATATGAAATTGGTGAAATGACAAGGGATGAAGCGAAAGCATTTTTGAGAAAAAAGTTCAACGTCACCGATCCGCAAGAACTGGAACGAATTTTTAGTGTGACTGGTTATATACCAAAGTACCTCAATCAATATAACCAATTATATCAAGTGGATTTGGCTATCACAGAGAAGTTTATTCACAGCGGAGTTGACCCTCTTTATAATAAGGTAAGTTGACTAGAACTTGAAGATTTAAGTACAACGTTATATTTTTATATGCAATAGGCATTTCAGGATGTTTCAAGATATATTTTGCAACATGGATCCATTGACATCCATGACTTTGAGGCCATGACCCCATCATCAGAAGTGGTCAAAGAATGTGGATACAATTGCACGGTCACAGAATCTGTTCCAAATTCTGTTCGAAAATTGTTGGAGAGAAATTTAATTTTCAAAAGAATGGGAAGAACCATCACCTTCAAGAATACTGCAATTCTGAACTATGTCAAACATCTACTTGATAAACTGGAAGAATAATTCATTTCAATACAAAGACAATCACTTTTGGGAGAGTAGGAATTCTCTAGGCTCGTAAATAGTGAACTACAGCTTGATAAAGTCCACAAACGGACACTCGGTGCATGAACTTGTCTCTATCGACCAATGAGGATTCTTTTATGGAGATTAAAAAAATGTTTCTTGTGCTTCTTTTCACACTCGCTGCCCTGATTGCAGGCATCTCATACATGATCAATCAAAAACGCAAGCCTCTTCTTGATATCCCATCACAGGGTCGCGTTGTCGTTGTTAGTGGAGCAGCAGGTGGCTTCGGATCACTGACATGCAAAGAATTACTTGACAAGTGGCAATGTAGAGTGATCGCCATTGACATCAACAAACAATTCCTTGAAGATAAATTTAAAACAGAATTATCATCGGAAAAGATTGCATCACGTCTACAATTAATCGAATGCGATATTACCCAAGTGGATCATGTCGAAAGAGCAGCAAAAGAAATTCGCCAAACACTCTCGAATTGGAATGCCGACTCGATCTTCGCACTCGTCAACAATGCAGGAATTGCCAATGGCATCAGTACCAAAAAACGATGCGGAATTGTCGAACACACTGAAGATGAATTACAACAAGTGTTTGGTGTGAATTTATTTGGGCATGTCAGAATGTTAAGAGAGTTGTATCCACACATGACCAAAACTCACAGCAAGAAAGATCATTCCTCTCCATATGGATCCATTGTTATTAATATTGCAAGTGTTGCTGGCCTTGTTGCACCACCATTCTTTGGATTTTACACAAGTTCTAAATTTGCTATGGTTGGATTGAGCGATTCTTTGAGACGTGAATTCAAAGCAGTGAATAATGGAATGAGATTGACTTGTGTGGAACCTGGCTTTTCTAGAACCAATATTTTAAATTTGAAACCATTTGATGAGAATTCTGAATATTATGACATTGCCGTCAAGAAACAACAAGAAGCGAAACGACTCCTTGATAATGCTCAAGATCCATCTCATGTCTCAAGTGCCATTTGTCAACAAATATTTTCATCCAATAATGTACCTCATTTGGTGATTGATCATTGGTACATGAAAATTGTATGGCATTTGTTCAAAATGTTTGGTTTGGATACTTTTTTGTAAACATGTGCACACTATCTAATTCAGAGGTAAGAGAAATTAAAAACATTAAATTCGAAACAATTCATACATGTCATTGTTAATACCAACTATGAAACGAGCGCAAATTTCTTCTTTTGAAGCGTGCTGTGTTTAAAAAAATGCTCATTCAATTCTTTAGTGATCTTCACATTGAACACTTTGAATCGTATGCAAAATTTCAAAGTTGCTATAAGGAAAAATACAATCATCACTTGTGCGAAAAACCCTATGGAGATGTACTCGTGTTGGCAGGGGATATCGGAAATGCGTTTTTTCAAAGTTATTTTGAATTTTTGAATGATCTCTCTAAAAAATATTTGCATGTGATGATTGTTGCCGGAAATCATGGTAGGTCATAATATCGTGTATGATGATTGAATTATTTGGGAAAAATAGAATATTACAAAAATGAATATTGGACTTGTAATGAACAAATGAAGAAAATTTGTTCTCAATTCAATAATGTTCATTTCTTGAATAGAGAAAGTGTGGAGATTACTTCAAAACGTGGAGAAAAGATTTTATTCTTGGGATGTGCATTATGGTCACATGTACCAGATCATGCAACATCTGTGGTTCAAAAGGTAATGCATCACATGTTTTTTGACCAATTTTGAATCATGATCTATTTATTTGTGGAACAAATTCAATAGTCTTTGAATGATTATCGTTTAATTACCATCAATGATGATCATATCAATACAAACAGTATATCCTCACGGCGACTTCTCACTGTTCAAGATACCAATCTCTTTTTCAAACAAGATTACACCTTTCTTAAGGAAGCGATCGAAAAGGAAAGACATAGTTCTTCACCACCACGAAAGATGGTCGTCATTACTCATCATGCTCCAATGACGACAGGTGTGGGAGCTCCATATTTTGAAAATACCCAAGATGAAAAAATCAAGATGTACAATACTTCATTTGCTACAGATTTGAGTCATTTGATGGGATCACCTGTGGTGTTGTGGATTTTTGGACATACTCATTATTCAGCCATTCAACAAGTGAATGGAACGAATATTGCAAGTAATCAATTGGGATATTTGGCTGGACCAAATGATGATCGAATTGTCAATGTTTTTCGAGAAGATTTAACTTTTGAATTATACTAAACACTGAGAGAAGATTGAAGTCAATAGTAAAAAATCAAACGACTTTGTCGTCATGATTCCCAAAAAAATGTTTGAAAGGCCAATTCCTTCGTCGTCATTGGCATCCACTTATTCACCCAGAAGATATGGTGTCTATGCAGTGCTTCATCCCTCACAACCATCTCCACCTTCCGATTTGTTTTATGAATTTCCAATTTTTTTGCAGTTATTGGATCGATACATTCATTCAGAAATCAAGAGTGTTGCAACCGATCATCATCATTTGGAGTATGGTACTCAACATATTTGGGGTAATTTATTTCACGTTACGTTGGTAGGATTTACAGAAATGCCGGCTCATGATCTTGATGATCTCAAGAAAGTGTTATCGGAGATGGAAAATGTTGGAACTCGAGACCACAACGAGTCCGAAGAAATTACTTTAAAGTGGAGAATGAGTCATGATAAAGAACAACCATTACTCGATTTTAGGGTCATGTTCAAAAATCAGGGATTTGTTGAGATTGTTCAAAAGTTGTCTGAAATGGAATTTTACAAAATTGAACATCACAGAAAACGACTTCGGCTTAAAAACGATTATCATGCTTCATTGTTATCCGACGTAAAACCTTGTAAGAAGGATGAGATTGTGAATTTCTTTTCCAAATATAGGGATTTACTACCGAACATTTATGCATGCCTAGTGGATGACTCCGATGGCACTTGTCAACAAATTATTTCGGACATGTTCAAAAATTTGAGGTGGTGTCTGAAAATTGTGAGCTATGACAATGTCAAAGAACCGCTTGAAAGATGGAAAGAACACGACACATTCATCATGTAGGCTCACGTGGTGTGTGTTCGCCCAGATATTGAAAACAGACTGTTCATTTAAGTAATAATGTTCTGAAAATTAAGAATTCACAATTCAAGAGCAACGGTCAGGAGACTGCAATTTATTTACAAAAGACCGAAGTCCGAATTCAAGTGGTTCTTAATATTTGTAAGTATCCACCTTCTTTGGCTTTTTAACCTTCTTAATCTTCTTACACACTCTCTTCTTGTAGACACACACTTTCTTGTAAGGGGCGCGTCTCTTACAAATCTTTCTTCCTTTGGTGTAATTGTACTTGGTACACTTCTTCTTTGGTGGTGCTCTCTTACAACACTTCTTCCAATACTTCTTATGAATACACTTGGCTGGATAGGTCTTTTTATGAGAACAGTATCTCTTCTTCTTGTGCTTACAACATTTTGTCACATTCTTGTAATGATTGCAATATTTACGAGTGCCCCATTTGCGACAATATTTTCTGTACTTGTGATACATGCACTTGGTGTAACATTTGTGTCTCTTACAATAACGACGATAGTTGTGCTTGAGACATTTGGTCCTGTAACCAATAATACGACATTTACGAACGTATTTGCAGGAGCGTTTTCTTGGAGCATATGGATCCACATACTTGTCACACTTCTTCTTGGTGTAACACTTCTTAATTGGAATTCTTTTTGGAGTTCTGCAAGTGGTCTTCTTTCTGCCCCATTTGGTGCATTTCTTGTATTTTTTGGTTTGGACACAATACTTTTTATGAACGTGTCTCTTGCAATATTTTCGAGTGCCATAACTGTCACAGACTTGCTTGGTTTCATATTTGTGGCAATACTTCTTGTACTTGTGTCTGACACACTTAGTGTAAGGCTTGCTGTATTTGTCACACTTGGAATATCTCTTATGCTTCAAGCATTTACCCTTTCCGACCACCATATACTTGTCACAATACTTTTTACGACCAACCCACTTGTGTTTGAGACATTTTCCACGAACGTACTTGTGAAGGACACACTTCTTACGACAATGTTTTTTCTTTGGAGGTTTGTAAGTGTCAACCTTCTTGTAAGAATCAACCTTCTTGTAAGTGTCTGCTCCTGCTACAAAGACTGCAGCAAAGAGGAGAAGTGCAACAAGCAATACAAGTGAAATTGATTTCATCTTGTTGTTTTTTTTGGTGTGGAACTTGTAAGGAGGGAGAATGGTACACAATTTATAGGAAATTTATGAAGTGCTGGAAGGACTTGAAAAGAGTTGTAATTGTCTGTCGTTGATTGAGATGTTTCACAACTGACCGGCAATGTCAAGACAGGAGATCAAAACCAATCCTTTGAGTACTTACATGGACCAAAATTGGAAAGACAAGAGAAAGATTGAAGAATAAAAAGTTCCAAAAGGTACTAATTAAATTCCAAAGACCAAGACTTCTTATTGTCATTACGTTTTAGGGTCTATAAACATTTTTCAAGTACGTTTGTCATCAATCCTTCCAAAGAACTTGCGAAATGACAAGAGCTGTAGTGAACTTTATTTACTCTGAAGATGGCTTTTCTTCCAACAATTTTTTGATATCTTCTTCAATTTCCAATGGTTTCGTGTAGGGTGAGTATCTACCCAACACTTTACCCTCTCGTGTGATTAAGAATTTGGTAAAGTTCCACTTGATGGCATTGAACATGTAACCTTCTCCCTCCTTCTTCAAGTATTTGTATAAGGGAATAGTGTCACTACCATTGACAGTCGTCTAACAACGCCAATATTTATTTAAAAATCGAAATTGATAAAATATTGATCACGAATTTCATATATGAAATAATAATATTATAATACATTAATTTATGATTAAATAATAATATAATAATAAGAAATCCCAAAGCGAAAAGAACATCATACACACCTTTGCGAAAATCTTGAATGAAACATTAAACTTTTTACGAGCAAATTGACAAATCTCTTCATTACTTCCTCTCTCCTGGAAAGCAAATTGATTGCACGGAAAGGCCAAAATTTCAAAACCTTGATCCTTATACTTTTCGTAGAGTTGTTGCAACTCTTCATATTGTGGAGTGAGTCCACACGACGAAGCAACATTCACAATCATTAGTACTTTTCCCTTGTATTCGGACATGGAGACTTCATTGCCCTGAGCATCCGGAACGGTGAAGGAATAAAATTCAGAAGAACTCGCTGCTGATGAGGATGACATTTTTTCGCCTTGTGATTCGAAGTCATGAATGACGACGACAGAAAATTCAAAACTAAATTTCACACCCATGATCAAACCAACAAGTTTCCTGATTTGGGGATGCCACTCGAATAAGAAAACTTGATCCTGAAGTGATTTACAACAACATCTCTCAACTCAATTTATATTGAAGGTATTTCTTCTTTAGAATGTTACACCACAGTGTGTGTCACTTCGCACAAAAGGAAGAATCCTATAAATAGTTCAATGAAAGTTTTGAAAGTTGAATCGATTTTTATATGAAAAAACAACAATGAACAAACGAATTGCAGCACCCCACTCCAAGCTTTTCATCTCTAGATATCGTGCGGTCTTCTACCAAGTGGTGGTGGTGGTGTTGAGCCTTCTTCTTCTTTTAAAGAGCCTCCCGATCGTTCTTGGTTCAGATCTTTCTCACAACAACAAACAAGGAAAAGAAGAATTGAATGTCGGAGCATGCCTCAGTAATACTGATCGGCCACTTGGTGAACTCTCGGAACAAAAAGGAGGAACAAGAGCTCCACCCTCTTCCTTCACAGCTGAACTTTTCAACACTCACTCACTCTTTCTGAGTTTGTTGGCTCTTGTGGTTGGTGCATTGAGTTCCTTCATGCTTTATTCTTTGAAATTAAGTTTGGAAACCGTTTTGATTCGTATTCTCTTTTTTCAACTCTCCCTTTCTGATAAGGATGAAGAATTCATGTGGTTCAATTCATGGTTTTCCTATCATCCTTACACTTTGAGTGGAAGTTCTCAAATTAAACCCTACAAACAGTCTCTGAAAATTAATGGAGCTGTCTCGTTGATTCATCGATCCACAAGTGATCGCAACGACGATTCCTGCTCCTTGCAAAATTTGAATGAAACCTTAAAGAATTTTGAAAAGAAGGTGAATTTTGTTCCTTCGTATGGCTATCATGTCATTTATGTGAATTCTCAACCTTATGTGATTTATTTACAAATGACTGTTCAGAATACTGTGAATGAAGTGAGAGAAAAGGAATTTATTACTATTTGGAAACCAAGATATTCATGGATGAATATGTGGATTCGATTCTTGTATCCATGCGTGGATAATGTCACCAATTCACATCATGTGAATGACATGTTATTAAGAGCAGGATTTAAAAAGGAATTTTTGACATGGAATAATCTTGCTTCGATCGAGTCACAACCTAAAGAGAGTTCAGAATCATTTCATAATGAGAATGCATCCAATCACCACAAGAACCACCTTTTGGAGGATAAGAAACATTTGGAACCATCTCATTCAACAACTGCCTTTTCCATGTTTACCGAACTTCTCCGCGATTGTTTCTATGTTCACACGTTATTGACTCGTGAAAAGACAAAAATTTTCACAGCCTATTATCAATCATGGGCCCTTGCCACTATTAAGGAAAAACGTGAAGTGAACACTGTGATTTTGGACGAAGGTGTTTTTGAAGAGTTGCATTCTGATATTTGTGAATTTTTAAATGGACGTCAATGGTATAAGGAAAGAGGAATTCCTTATCGAAGAGGTTATTTGCTGTATGGAGAACCTGGAAGTGGAAAAACTTCCACCATTATGGCCATTGCTGCTTGTCTCAATTTGGATATTTGTGTATTGAATTTGGGAGCAAAGAACTTAACAGATGATTATTTGGTTTCATTGTTTACGAATGCTCCTGCCAATTGCATGATTGTTTTGGAAGATATCGATTCTGCATTTCCTAAAGTAGACAAAGAAAAAAGTGAGAATTCTAATTTTTCAGATTCATCAAGAACTACCTTCTCATGTTTGTTGAATTGTTTGGATGGTATTACTTCACAAGAATCGAGAATTGTCTTTATGACCACTAATTATAAGGAGAAATTACCTCCTTCCTTAATTAGAAATGGACGAGTGGATCGAAGAATCTATTATGGTCATGCCACCAAATATCAATGTAAGAAACTTGCAAGAAATTTCTTTCCAAATGAGTTCACCGAAGAGAAGGGAGAGTTATTGTGGAATCAGTTGAAAAATCATACCTTCTGCATGTCACAACTTCAAGCTTTCTTTTTGAGATGTAGAAAAAGTTTTTCTCAAGTTTTGGAGGCAAGTAAGGACTTTGAAAGCTTTTTGGAAAATTCTCCAAAATCTTCCAAAGTTGCCCCTTTAAATAAGAACAATGCCTTGACAGTATCCTCCACTGAATCTTCGCCAAGAATTGAAACTAAGGAGGCTAAGGTCGATGAAGACTGAGTTGTAAACTCAATAAACGAAAAGGGTGATTAATTTGCGCAACACCAATGATCACAGACAGGACATATTGTTACTCTTAATGTTTGAACTAACAATACACTTATTGAATTATTGTTTGTATTATTAAAATGTAAATATGTAAATACAAAACTTTATTGTTGAGGGCTCTTTGGAGTGGCTGAGGTAACACTCAATCCTAGGGCATCAAAGGATCCAATTTTCAAATGTCTATTCTTTTCTTCATTACCTCCTAGTCTCTTTTCTACCCATCCAATAATTTCAGAATTGTTACTTTGAATGGCAAGTTGAAGTGTGTGTTCATCAGAAACTGTTCCCAATTCACACAAATATTTGACAACATTTAGTTGAACACGTTTCATAGCCAATTCGAGAGATGTGACACCATTTTGTGTCTTGATTAAATTAAGATCAACCTTCAGAGGTGAATCTTCCTTTTCTGGTTTGAATTGTCCATTGTAGTTTCCTTGTTCGACCAATAACTTGACAATTTCAGGATGACCATAACCAGCAGCCAAGTGGAGAGGAGTGAGTAATTTATCTTCTCTTGTGTTGATGGTTACGGTGCAGTCACATCCCTTCTCAACAAGATATTGAGCAACATCTAATTTTCCACTAATAGAGCACAAATGAATTGGTCTCATTTGTAAGTCGTGTCGTGATTGATTCACAGAAACACCATACTTCTCAACCAATAATTTCACAGCTTCCAAATTTCCATTCTTAGTTGCTGCATGAATTGGAGGATATGAATTTTCAGTGTACAATTCTTCATAGCTTCCACTTGGATCTAACTTCAATTCATCAATCAAATATTCCATCACTTGCAAGTTACCACCATAGGCAGCTGCAGACAAGACAGTTTCATTACCGTTGGTGATCGCTCCACTGTTGGCACCTCTTTCGATCAATTTTTTCACAAGCTCAAGTTGTGAATTTTGGCAAGCGAAGAACAATAAAGATTGTCCCAAACTATTGCTAAAGTTGAGAACATCTTCTTCCTCATTCTTATCTAAAGCAGCTTGAACAATTCGAGCACCAACATCTCCAGGTAATTCTTTACATTGTACAGCTAAAAAGATTGGTAAATCCTTTCCAGAGCGTTTGTGACAATCAGCTCCATAGTCAAGTAAAACTCCAGTCAGTGCAGGAGCATGCAACATGGCATTATGAAGAGGAGTATACTCAGCTCCATCAGCAGCACGCTTTTCACATTCATTGACAATATTTTTCAACTCTTCAGCACTCAATGTTGGATTATTGAGGAGAATGGTGAGTGCTTGAGAGTTCTTGGCACGAATAGCAATGTGAATAAAAGTGGTGGAGGAATGCATGCCAGAAACTGTGCTTCCAACATCGAAACGAGACAAGACGATTTTTGGAACCTTTTCAGTGAGTGTTTTGAGGATCAAATTGCACTTTTCTACTGAAATCTCCTCAGCAAATTGAATCGCCACAAACAAGTGATCCATAAATAAATCAAGATTTTCATCGGAGGATAATTGCTTCAAGTGATTTTCAAGATCTTCTGAAGAAAGGCTTGTGGATGTGTTGTCAGCGAGAATTGTTTTTGCCAAGCTCAATAACTTGGACAAACTTGGATTGTTGTTAATTGTTTGGAGAACGGATTGAGCTGGCTGTGTTTGTTGTAATCCTGGAATGACTGGTGTCGATTTGTAACCTGGAGTGGCCAATCGATCGTTGAAAGAGTTCAAAAGAGAGGCGTTCATCAACTTCCGAGTTGCATTGGCTAACATGCTCAAAATCATGTCGAGTGGACTCATTCTGCCATACTTTTTCAAATCTTCTAATTTGATATTTCCATATTTAGCAACCTCTTCTTCTTCATGAGGCTCAACAAATCTCTTAGAACATGCCAATAGTTTACCACCTCCTCTTTTTGTCAACACTTCAAGCATTCTCAAGTTTTGATTATAGATGGCATAATGCATTGGAGTCCACCCCACATCATTCTCCAAATTTGGATCTGCATTTTCATAGACCAACTTGGTGACAAGATCCATTTCATTTTCTCTAGCAGCCAAATTAAGAGCTGTGAAACCTCCATTTTTGTCAAACTGATTAATATTGATCTTTCTTTGTTCTTTCTTTTCGAGGATCATTTGAAGCAACTCGTCACGAGGTCTCAAAATACCACCAGAACGAGGAGAAATGCCACGTGGAGAAACACCTCCACTTCTTGGTGAAGAATTTGAAGCACTGTTATCATTGCTTCCAGTAAATGACAATTGAGGAATGCCAGAATTTTCCATATTACCACTTCGATTTGCTAAAGAGGGATCAAACACTCCAGGTCCATTTGAGATTGGAATGAAATGCAATGCTGTTTGATCGAGCTTATTCCTCTTATTAAAATCGACATCTCTCTCTAACAAGAATTTCACAAGCTTTAAATCTTGATTTTTCACAGCAATATGTAAAATGGTGTCTCGGTCGTGATATCCCATTTGAGTCAATTGACGAATTTCTTCAGTTGTCAACACTTGTTCTTCATCTTCATCATCGCTCAAGTCCTCTTCTCTCAAACCAGGTGCAATCGAAGCACTTCTGGTGCCTCTATCTGTACTCTTTTCTTCTTTTGTGAAATGTAAAGAGGCGTTCTTGGAGTATTCTCCATTGAGAATCAATTGTCGAACGTCATTGTAATTTTGTTGTTCGATCAATTTCACAACTTTAAGATGGAGATGAGTTTGTGACTCTTTCAATTCTTCAATGATATTGGTAATGGTATCAATCCATGATTTACGTTCTTCGGGATTGTCAGCAAAGAACCAAAATGTTTTGTTACAACTTGAAGATGTTGGTGAATCATCATTGTTCGATGCTACACTCTCTTGATCGAGATAGGGACTGTTAGAGGGAAGAGCAGTTCGAATACCAAAGGAATTTTCTGCAAGACAATAAAGGTTTGGAGGAGAGATAATTGAGTGGTCATGATGGCCATGTTTTGTTCGTTGTGACCAATATATGAGAAGAAGAAACATGAAACCGATTGAGTCAATCAATCTTCCGAAAGAAATATTGTCAATATTACTACTTACGCATTCCCTTGTGATTATCAATATCTACAATGGCAGAAAATCTGCTCAATGGAATCTTATCTTCGGGTTTCTTTTCAACTTTCTAGTGTTGAACATATGATGATGATGAAATTAAAGATCATTCGTTCGCACACTTACCTCACTATCTTTAAAACATAAAATCTTTTTAGAAGTCAACACCACAAATCTCTTATAACTTGACTTTTGAAAGAATTTCTTTTTTGGGTTTTCCATGACGAGTTTGCCACTCTTTTTCACACGACCACCGAGAGGTGATTGTACAGCTGTGGCAGCAGCTGTACCAGTTGTTGAGACTGAATGTGATGCTCCGATAAGATCAACTTGAGACATTTTTTTGGATTTGTTTTGAAATGATGGTTGCAAACGATCGACAGTTGACTTTTTTGAAACCATGACAACCATTATCCATTTTAGACCTCCCCTCAAACATCATTCACAACGTTAAAACGTGAGAAAATCTAAAAATTTCATTGAGGATATTTAAATATTTGGTTTTTGAAAGTTCTAAAATCATCTCATTGATCATTCCTCCCTATTGTCCTGATTATTAATTCAATCATATTAGAATGAAAATAGATCATTAAATAGAGTCTTAAATCGGTCATCCTTCGACGATTCCAACAACATTAAAGATCCAAATTAATCTACAAGCTGTCATCCAGAGGAGCAGCAGCATTGTGATATTCTCCCATGTTCACGACCACAACTCAACACACAAAAAATTCAAAACGAACGCGACTGCACGTTGTGCACAACACTGAAACACGAATTATTTTGATTGTGGATTCTCATTGTTGAGAAGTTGGTGCGCTCTCCTCCTCCTCCTCACGTATCAGTAGTGATCATCGACATATATTCTCGCTATTTATTATTCACACCTCTTTGTTGTTGGATAACAAGAATCCTTTCTTGCTTCTCATTATCTTCCGATATCAAAGAGATTCGCTTTACAAACGTATACAATATTATTTGAAAAAAGTGTTTAAATTCTCACTTCCATCGTGCTTTGAACTCATCATCTCTATTGAGGACGATCGAACCACCACTCCGAACTTTCATTAAATTTATTGAAACGAACACATTTTATTGACAAAATGTTTTTAAAGAAATTATTTCGAAGAAAGGTATGGTCTCACATTTGAATTAATATTCCACATGAAGATGATTGAATAATATTGTATATTATAACATAACTATTGTGTTGTTATTGTTTAAAAATTGCGGCATTTCTTATTACCATATTTGTGCATGTTACCCGTTTTATTTTTGCTGGCATTTTGGATGGACACTTGACACACATCAACAACAAAACAAAAATACTCTTACCCACTCTCATTGTGCTGGCCGTTGACTTGTGCACAATATTACGGATACCAATATTTATTAATATCCTTAGTCTCCCGATGAAAATACATCACTAATGGATACCGGAAGTTCTACAATTAATAATGTGGCTTCTGGAAGCGTCTCAAGTCTATTTAACGACTCTTCTAGAGGAGCATTTAATATTTATGACGTTCAACAGCAACATGATCCCGAAAAAACGAGACTTGTATTTGTGAACGATGAAATGGCAAACGTCAAGTACGGATTTTGTGACAATTCCATCAAGACCACCAAATATACATTTTATAATTTTTTATTCAAGAATTTATATCAACAGTTTCATAGATTCGCTAATTGCTGTAAGTTTCAGAGTCGATGTCGCAATTATTGAATTTTTGACGATTTTTCAAATGAAATCATGATTATAGACTTTTTATTTATGGCTTTACTACAAACTATTCCTGGATTGTCACCAACTGGACAATTCACTGCTTTTATTCCTCTCTGTTTTGGTATGTTCTTGTGTGTTCAACTTTTGTTCATCTTATGTTGATCCAATGTCAATCCAAACATTAGTACTGATTTGTACCATGTGTAAGGACGCTTATGAAGACATTAAAAGAAGAGTCTCTGACAGGGAAACGAACAACAAACCCACAAGAGTATTGAGAGATGGGCAATTTGTTGAAATATTTTGGAAGGACGTGAAAACAGGAGATATTGTGAAAGTTTGTAACAAGGAAGCATTCCCTTGTGACATTGTTTTACTATCCTCGAGTGAACATCAAGGTATATGTTATGTGGAAACATCGAGTTTGGATGGGTAAGTAGTTGTTTTTTTAATCTCTGTGTAAATTGTATTGGACTATCTTTGTGAATATTCTCAATTTTCGTTATATATAGTGAGACAAATTTGAAAATTAAGAGATGCAAGCATGAAACAACTTATTTATCTACGCCTGATAATCTCAAAAGTTTAAAATCAATTTTAGAATGTGAAAAGCCAAACAATAGATTGTATAAATTTGAAGGAACTTTGGTATTGAGTACTGGAAAAAAGTTGGCAATAGATCCAGAACAAATTTGCCTTCGGGGTTCTTCTCTTAGAAATACAGACTTTGTGATTGGCGTTGCTGTTTTTACAGGACATGATACCAAACTCATGATGAATACTAAGGAGACTCCACACAAAACAAGCAAGATCGAAAGAATGACCAATCGACTTGTTTTTATCATGCTCGCTATTGAACTTTTACTTGTCATTGCATGTGACATTGGTCTCATAATTTGGACTGCACAAAACAAAAAAGCTTGGTATTTATTTACTGGAGTAGTGATCGATGCAGATTATTTGGCATGGTCAGGATTCAAAGGATTTTTCACCATTCTAGTGTTATTGAGCAACTTGATTCCAATTTCTTTGTATGTCTCTATTGAAGCTGCCAAGTTAGTTCAAGGTATCATGATTAGCAAGGATTTGGCCATGTATCACGAAGATACAGATACTCCAGCCATGGTACGATCCTCTGCACTGAACGAAGATTTGGGAGCTATTCAATATATTTTCAGTGATAAGACTGGAACCCTTACACAAAACAAGATGGACTGTAAGTATATGAAGTTGATGCAAATTTTTTGAATTTTTTGAACTTGACAAATCCTCACTAAATAGTTTTGAAATGCTCAATCGCAGGAGAAATCTATGGTTCTGGTATCACAGAAATTGCTAAAGCTGCTGCAAAAAGAGAAGGTAAAATACTCGAAGATAATAGACCTCTCAGTGCAAAGAATAATCCAAACTTTCAATTTTACGACGAACGATTAATGGATGGAGCATGGAAAAATAGTCCCAAGAAGGACGAAATTTTAGATTTCTTAATCTTGTTGGCTGTATGTCATACTGTCATTCCTGAAAGGTCTGGAAAGAATGGAGAAATTGTTTACCAAGCCAGCAGTCCTGACGAAGCAGCACTTGTTAAGGCAGCTAAATATTTGGGCGTTGAATTCATCGCTAGATCACCAAATGATGTGACATTTACAATTCTGGGAGAGGAACAATTATACCAAATATTGGACATTATCGAATTTTCCAGTGACAGAAAGAGACAATCTGTCATTGTACGAAATACGGAAGGTCAATTATTAATTTTAACAAAGGGGGCAGACTCTGTCATTTATCCCTTATTGGCTCCAAACCAAGAGTACATGGATGTGACATTGAAACACTTGGATCAATTTGGAGAAGAAGGTCTTAGAACTCTTTGTTGCGCAAAAGCATATCTTGATGAAGAAGAATATGCTCAATGGCACAGAGATTATGAGGAAGCAAAAACTTCACTCGAAGACAGAACCCGAAAAGTTGAAGAGGTAGCAGCGAGAATTGAGAAAAATTTACTTCTCGTCGGCAGCACAGGAATTGAAGATAAACTTCAAGAAGGTGTCGGTGACACTATTTACGAGTTGAGAAAAGCAGGTATTAGCATTTGGGTACTGACTGGAGACAAGCTCGAAACAGCCATTAACATTGGATTTGCATGTGACTTGTTGAACTCAGGTATGACTCTGTTGGTGGTCGAAGGTCACACCAATGATGTCATTAAGGACTTTTTAGAAAAAAGTATCAATACTGCCAATACGAACAACATTTCACACGATGCGCTTGGCTTAGTAGTCGATGGTGAACGTTTAATTCACATTTTAGAGGATCCAATTCTCAAAAATTTATTCCTCTTACTTTCTATCAAATGTAAGAGTGTCATTTGTTGCAGAGTTTCGCCAAAGCAAAAATCAGATGTTGTTCTGTTAATTAAGCAAAACGTCTCTGGTAATACTTTGGCCATTGGAGATGGAGCCAACGACGTGGCCATGATTCAAAGTGCTCATGTTGGCATTGGTATCAGTGGAGTTGAAGGTCTCCAAGCAGTGAATGCTTCAGATTATGCAATTGGCCAATTTAGATTCTTGAAACGATTACTACTTGTACATGGAAGATGGTCTTACAGAAGAGTCTCCAAATTAGTTCTCTATTGTTTCTACAAGAATACTGTCTTCTTTTTGACACAATTGTGGTTTATTTTCATTAATGGTTTCAGCGGAACGACATTACATGACAAATGGACGATAGCACTTTACAATTTAGTCTTTTCAGGAATTCCAATTATTACTCTTGCAGTCATTGACAGAGATGTACCTGCATCAGCTGCCGAAAAATTCCCAGAATTATATTTCCAAGGTCAAAAGAACCGATTTGTAAGTAGTGAAAGAATTATTCATGGATGTGATTCATCATGTTTTCTATCAATTATTGCTATTCATTCACATGCATTTTTCATTTCTTACACATGTACAGTTCAATCCAAGAGTCTTTATTTACTGGGTCATCAATTCCATTTTCCAATCAGTGGTTTGCTTCTTTGTTCCATACTTTGCCTTGGTAGGAACCACATTCCTTGACGGTCAAGAAATTGACACTCAAACGATTGGTATTGCGGTTTATTCTTGTGTTTTGTCTGTAATTACATTGAAACTCTGTATTGAAACTTCCTCTTGGACGTGGCTTACAGTTCTCATGTATGCTGGAACTCTTGCTCTTTGGCCAGCATTCATCTTTGTTTACGGTTCTATTTATTACATTTATCCACAACCAGTTCCTATTGTTAAGGAGTTTTATGACATTATTCAACGATTTAGAATTTTATTTGCACCTCAATTTTGGCTTGTTTTACTTGCTGTGACATTTATTTGTTGCATTCGTGACATTTTCTGGAAATTGTGGCTTCGAGCTCAATCACGAAAACTCTATTATGACATTCAAAAACATCACAAGAAGAAGTCACGTGAAGATATTATGGAATTCTTCCCATTTGAAGAAGGCCTTCCTGTTAAATTGAAGAAGAAGAAAAAATTCAACCGAATCGAATTGCAAGAAATTAAGAAAATTTTCACATCCATTGCCAAAGTGGACTATCGTGGTTTTGCATTTTCACAAACAGAGAATCAACAAGATCTAATCAAACAATATTACAGTGGGGATAATAATACTACTACCTCGACTCAACAACAGGGAACGAGTGTCTCTCTAACATCTAATCAACAGCCAACCCTCATGAACCCTTTGAAATGAACATGATGGTGAGTATTGTGCTCTGTGTTAGCGAGTTACTTGCTTATTGCATCCTTGGATGATTAAATACTTAATCAAATAAATTAGAAAATATCACACAATCCAGTCCCATGCTTGACTTTCTTTGAAACAAGTTGTGTTTTACTTTCTTTTATTCATTCACCCTTCATCCTCTTATTGAGTTCTTGTCATTACCTGTTGTTTTTTGAATTTGGCATTATAATGAAAACAGGTGAAAATTCAATCCGCGCGCCAAGTTCTACCGCCCCCGCCAAAAAGAATTGTGCTTTTTCTTTCACAAAAAAAACTACAATGAAAGTGTTCGACTTGGCAGGTTACAAGGTGCACTTTGACGACTCGGAATTTTCAAAGAAAGAAGGCACTCAAAACTCTTCCCAATACTCTCACCAATGAACAAATTCGAAAAGATGTGGCTGATGTGATGACCTCTTTCACGGAATTTGTGAAACAAGAGATTGAACCGAATGTGAAAGAGTTTTTGTTTTGGTTGGAACATGTTGCAAATATCAAAGAAAGAAATGAAGCGGTGAACACGATGATTCAAACGGATGCCACGTTTCGTTCGAAAATTATTTCTTCCGATGCAGATGATATCTTGAAGGTATTTGATGCTGTGGTATTGAATATCGAACAATTTATTTCCATATTTGAATTTTTGTGCTGTTCACAAGGAAATTTGAAGAAAATATTGGAATTGAGTTTGCAACAACCAAATGATTGCACCTCTCTTCAAATTATGCAACCTCTCATTGATGTGGTCAACAAATTTTATGAACAAGACATTGATCACGGGGATGGCTTGTATTATTTAGTGTGGTGTGTCAATTGCTTCACAAGAATGATGCAAAAGGAATGGTTGAAAGTTAGGGAAAAACATTTATATTTTCGAAAGGAAATCCATGCATTCAAAAAGAAGAAAAAGCTCAACTCGAAATGTCTCTCGATCGACGATGAAGAGTTTACACCAAAAAGTGGTCACATAGATGCTCAATCCCCTAATGAAATGATGAGCTCTTTCGTGGATGTCCTCTCCAATTCGACACAATGTGATGAAAAACTTCAAGCCCTCAATTCCATTTCAGAAATGAAGGAACTTGCTTTACAAATCTTTTCAAATCCAGTTTGTTATGAAGCGCTCAAGGAATTATATCAACAACATGGCATGAAGGATATGATTATGAATATTATGGCTAACGTATTTGCCCACTCTCATCATTGCTCAGATATGCAACAAGAAACTCTCAACTGCATGCAAAAACTATTCCAAGATTGGAAATTCTTTTTTTCAATGGCTGAGTTGAACAATGAGAGACAACAATTAAGCTCGATCCAATGTCGATTCATTGCCAATGGAGCGTTTATTAGTGATGAATTTGGATGTCTTGCAGAATGTTTTTTACCAGATCTTTGTTTCACAATTCGTTCTCAATGTGATTTATGCAACGACGCGAATAAGGTCAAACTTCCTCACATGAATGTTCTCAGAGCAGCTGCAGCTATGGACTCCTAACTTGAGAGTGATCATGTATTGTTTGGGCTTTTCTCATTATCTCTTTCAAATTGAATCAGAACCAATAGTGATTAAGAATTACTCTTCACATGCGACAATGGCCTTTACTGCTAGAAGTTGGATGCAATCTCTTGAAAAGGAGAGATTTTTTTTGAGAGCAAATTCAATGCACACCAAGCATTGTTGAACAGTATTGATAAGAGAAAATCTCTTTTCACCACTCATTTACACTTCAAGTCTGAATGGATGGATCCAGTTCCACCAACTTTGAACCAGAAAATCAAAAAAACAAATCATTTGAAGGCCATGGAAGGAAAATTCATCTTGACAGCTGCCGAAGGATTTGACATGTACAAATTAATTCGGTGTGACCGATTTTCTCCGTTAGGTTTCATGTTTTCTTCATTCCTCATTTCTGTTTGCAATCAAGTCATTAGAGACACAATTTTTCAGCCGTTTCCGACGGCAACAGAAATAGACAACTTTCTCGAAGGATATTTGCAAACTGGAATCATGGAGCAATATACACCCTATCGGCTACCACCAACTTTTAAGTGGTATGTCCCATTTTGCATTTGCCCAGATGATGTGGCTGCTTGCTTGATTCATTACAGCATTCTTGAGACGCTTAAATTTTCTAAATTTAGAGGAAATTGAAGATATTTGCATTGGATTTATGAGAAAAACTTTGAATCGCCCTGACCTTGGAAATCCTGCAATGGCAAAGAATGATCCAACAACGTCCCATGAATCTCTTCTTAATTGTCTTTCTGATTTAAAAGTTGACTCAATGGCTACCTCCACACAACCAATGCCCAGCGACAACAATCACACATTTAATTATCCATTTTTCAGAGAGCTCTTATGTAAAACTTTTTGTCATAACTTTTACTTTGATACAGGAAATCAGGAGAATTTTGGATTCCAACCTAAATCCTTTGAGACCAATCTTAATGTATACTGGGAAGTGATTACGATGTCATTCCAGCACCTACGTTAAAAGTAATGGATTGGATTGTATCTTCATGTGAAGTGGTCGATCATGTTCCTGCTGCCAAACTCTTTCTCTCCAATCTATTTGCATTCACAGCCATTTTCTTTAAGGCATATGGACGTAAAGATTTAGCTACATTCATGTACGATAGAATTGTGAAATGGAATAAGATTGAAATCAAATCTATTGAAATTCCATTCATTCAAGCATTTATAGATCGATCTTTATATTTTAGTGGACAAGGAGTTTTACCTGAAGCTAGAATTCTTGACGTTTACAAAAGACAAGGATTAGTTGAAGCAATTAGCATCATTTTAGAAAATACAAAGAGTAGAATGGCACTTCGTCTCGTGCCACGCTTCACAACCTATCAAGACATATCAAAAATCTTTGCCAAGTACCTTCTAAAACGAAAGAAAGATGGAAAGAAACCTCCCACGAAAAGTACTATTCTCAATAAGGTTGCTCCCTTACTTGCCACACATCCAGAAGTTTCATTAAGAGCTTCCTATTCCATGTTATCCTTAAATCACGCAAAATTCATTTCGTTTTTCACATCGATTTGGAACACATTTTCAAAAGAAAATTTAGTCATTCAAGAAGAGAAACAAGTATTCTTGGAAGGAGGAAAACTGAATTTGGATCTTATTCATGAAAGTGAGAAGAAAGATTTTATTGATGCTGAATTAGCAAAAGTGGAAGGTGGTGAAACCATCTATGAAAAGATGGAGGCTTTGTTTCAGAGAGATGCACAATCTCAATCGAATATTCATGATGTCAATGCTAATGCTGTGAAAATCAAATGTCGTGCCTGTGGAAAAGTGGATGCCACTAAAAGATGCTCTCGTTGTAAGAGTGTCTATTATTGTAGTGTGGAATGTCAGAAATTTGATTGGAGTAATCACAAACAGCATTGTTGTGAAAACACTCCACAAACACCAAACCCTTCAAAACAACCACAAAACAAACAAACCAAGAAGAAGAAGTAATATTTTGATCACGTTGGCTATTAATGTGAACCAGAAACAGCATTTTCGGCCTTTCCTCTTTCAGATCGTTGGACTCCGTTGTTTAGAAAGGTCACTTATGGCTAAACACAAAAGCAGGTCATCGTTCAATTATGCGAGTGAAAGTTCAAGTAATGATCGGTTCTCTGCTCAATGCGTCATTACGTTGCTGAATACAACTATGAGACTCATCATGTCAATAACAAAACTCAACATTCCTCGCATTCTCCCTTCTAAACAATAATAATGATTGACCTATTTCAGTAAGCAATAATCTATCTCCATGAAAACCTGAAATGTAATTTCATCCTCTCGAAACGTCGTTCACGTTTACTGGTTTCGTTTTTCCTCTTCGGGAGGACTGTACAGTGGTTGTAAGATCGAAAGTTCACATCACCCAAAATACAGAAGACAAAGAACAATTCCGAAACTGAACAACAACTGTAAAAGAGGTCTTCTTACAGTCCAAGGCCAATCCGGGACTAATCCAATCCTCACTTTTTTGTATTTGAACACTTTGTTGAGTGAAAATGATTTCCTTCCTTCATCTGAAATTGTCACTCTCCTGATAATTAGGACATTAAAAATCACACAACAGTCTGCCATTCACCTCAAACAACAATCCGACTGTCAACACCATCTGCGTAGCACCTCTTCCAAACTCTTCAAAAAAGTTCTAAAGCGGTACTGCTTTATCCTTTTATATCCATTAATTACTAAAAAATTCACAAATGGATTCACACGATCGTTTTGGTTCTCGTTCTCCATTTTCCAACACATTTAACCAGTCCACGAGACTCCTCCCCCACTAACAAACACAAATGGACGCAGATTCATGGATCACTCGGAACGTCATGAATCTCTTCTTCCGCCAACACACTTCCAAAAAAACAAAACAACAACAACTCTCTTGTTGACACCTCCAATCCTCATTGGCATTCACAACCAACACCACCCACTCTCCAAACCTGTACTACAACAACATTCTCTTGTATTCTCACCTCTCTTTCGATTGACTCCAAGAAGAGATTCAAAATGACACACGAGGCATCATCGTCATCTTCAGATAACAACAACAACAACTCCAATGTGGTTGAACTCAAACAATTACCACCCTCGTCAGGTCTTTCCTTCTTAAATGTCAATTACGGTGCTTCCTCCTCACAAAGCTCGCTCACAGGTGACGCTAGTCCAGGAACCATCTCTGACTCCAATACGTCAAGTACTTCACAAGTGAATTTGTTGTTGAATCATGGTCTATCTTCTCAACAACCACCTCATCCACAACAACAAGCATTCCAACATCCACCACTCGCTTCCACTTCTCCTCATCACAGTAGTGGTTCATTCATTGGTGGTTCATTGTATCTTCAAAATAGAACCAATTCCATTTCTCAAAGTGGTGGCACCAAACATACAACCATTCGTGAAAATAGTGATGCCCTCTCCTCTGATGATGCTTCTGATGATGTTCAATCTCCTGGAGGTGCTGGAATGGGTCATCATCCTCCTCATGATCATCATTCAGTCAATGTGAAAGATATTGAAACAAAAAGTAATAAGAGTGCTGCAACTTCATCAAAAACCAAACGTTCTGGATCAAGTGGAAGATCTGGTTCTGCCACTGGTTCAGATGCCATTCGAATTCACACACGATGTGGAACTTTTGAGTTGAGTTGGTTGAAAGTGTTGAGTTTAATGTCACTCATTGTCAACTTGATCGCATTCCTTGTATTGGGAGGTTTAATTCTTGCTGGATATCTCACACAATCCGATTACAGCACTAATTGGTTTGGACTCGATACCGATACTTCCTATTATAGAGAAATGATGGTTGCTAGTTGTAGAGCTGCTGTTTTTTCAAACTCTAATCCTGTCATTACAGCCAATTATTCTGCAAGATATTACGATTGGCAGAAAAAGTTCACAGCCAATGCTCAATCAGTACAAAAAAGAGTACCTCCAAGTCTCCAATATACAGTCTCTCATAATATTTCTGTTATGGAATTGAGAACTTCCAAAGCAGTGGCTACAGAATTTGCTGCATTGGCATTGGCCGGTACTGGAAATTACTCAACAGCAATGACATTGATCGAATCAGATGTCTATAAATTTAATTTGGAAGGATATTCAGTAGAGTTTCAACCCATGGTGAATTATGTGAAATCAAAGAGAGATGAAGGATCCAACTACTCATTACTTGTGACCACCATTTCATTGGTTGTGATTTGTGTATCATTATTGGTGGTCATCCCAACGGTGGTGGCTTCTATTGGTTTGAGTTTGAGAAAGGACTCTGTGAATACCAAGAAATTACAAAAGGTTAAGGCACACTTGTTGATGGACACCATGAAGGATAACAAACTCAGAGAATTGTTCAAGGCACACTGCAAGCAAGAGTTGAGCTTGGAAAACTTTTTACTTTTGGATAAGATTACCGATTACAAAAAGTTGTGTGAACGAAGTTTTGAGATTCAAGTCTATCTCTATGACAATGATCAAACAACCTCAGATGCAACCTCAGAAGGAGGACTTAGTGTGGAACAACCTAAAAAGAAGAAGAAGGGATTCACTGAAAAAGATCTTATTAATATTGAAAAGAAGAAGTATGAAATTGCATTTGAGATTTATAGTGACTTTTTGGAAGTTAATGGAGAACACTCTGTCAATCTTAATAAGCAAATGATCGATCGTGTGAAGGAACATTTAGATTTCTTTGCCACTGGTCAAAATGAACATTTGGCTGACGGTATTTTCGATGGCGTCGAAAACGAAATTTGTATTCTCATGCTCGACACTCATGCTCGATTTGTGCAATCGGTTCAATTCCAAAAACAATTAAGAAAGGAAGCTCTGACTACATTCAAGATTACTACATTGAAAAAGAACAAGAATGCAACTAACAGCCAATCCAAGTAGACGTTTTTTGTAATCATTATTAAATATTATTTTAATTTTGTAATAGTTATAATTATTGCATAATAAGGTATAATAAGGTGAGGTTTTGTTTGAGTGCCATCAACGGTTTGATGATAAAATCTTTCACTACAACATAAACGTATACAGAGGTGGTATCGAGAAAAAAAAAATTAAATTTCCCGTCCAGCCAATTTTTTTCTCCTGGCTTTGAGAGATCTCGTTACCTGTCACTCCCACCTGTACGTTACTGGGGTTCTTATGTTGTAGTGTCCCTGTTCGTGATCGGAGGTGCTGTATGTGAAGAGGCCAATTTGTTGTTCTGATAAAAATTTTTAATTTTTTAACTGACATTTTCTTTTGGCGCCTGACAGCTTCTTTACCTCAATTTTACATAGCAAGACAGCCAGCGAAAGTGCACTCTCGGGCTTCGAGGACACGATTTATGTCCCTGCAAAAAAAAAAGTTTCTGTAGAGAGCTGGCTTAACGCTGGCAAAGAAAAATCTTGAAATTGAAGCTTCAAGTTCACTGTTCCACCAACAGACAGGAGTTGACGAACAAATCCATCCTGCAACCCGGAGGGATGATAGTCTTGCTATGGAGAAGAAAAATCCATTATAATGGAACTGATCACTTCTTTCAACTTGGTTTGATCTAACATCATGGATTTCGAGAATTTACCATTTGATGAAATACCTTGTTCTAGTAATTGAGATTTCACAAACCCATACAAACAATTGCTGAGGGTTTTAAAATTTCTGCAAGCATAATATTTGGAAAGCTTTTCCTCTATTGACTGTGCAACTTTTTCACAGGTCATCTTCTCTATAAATTCAACTCGAGAAAGGAATGATACCGCGGCATTCCAATCTTGTTCGCAAAAACTCTTAAAATTAGTGGTAAATCGATAGATAATGTTTGCTTGAGTGGCTAGAGATAGTTGTGTAATAATTGAATAAAATGTCACAAATACAGTCAGAGTTAAAAGGTATTGGTTTCTTGTACAATTTTGCTTGTTCAAATATCAAGAGAGGTGTTGATAGAGAATCATCAGTGATGGAATTACGTTGTGGCTCACTTTTTCCAGAAAAGCGTTCAATATCCAAAACAGACTGAATCGGCAAAACAGCAATGTCCTCTCCAAACTCGAGCATCACGCACTTGTCACTATTCTCATCACGTAATGTGTCAAGCCAATAGTTTACAGTCAAATCCACTTGATACAAATAACCGTTCAAACTTGCAGTGGCATCTCTTTTGTCAAAAAAGAATTCTCTCCCAATGCTGTACAATACTGGTTTGTTTTCCACTCTTGAATATGACCCAATGATGTCAAGAAACTTTTTGGAATAGGTTTCCCAATTTCCACTCGCTGTAACTATTAAATCAAATTCAACCTTGTTGGTTGCAAAGAGTGGATTGTTCACAATCTTGGAAATTCTTTCGAGTGCATTCTTTTCGACGTGCCCTTTCGTTTTGTCTTGCATTATATGGTACAGATAGGTGGTAATCCTTTTAATTATTTGATGATGAAGAAGTTGTGGATTCAGAGGACTCATTCTCACTG